ATCTTTTATATCTATGGTTGTATCCTCTTTATGTATGGCTTTATCTTTTATATCTATGGTTGTATCCTCTTTATGTATGGCTTTATCTTTTATATCTATGGTTGTATCCTCTTTATGTATGGCTTTATCTTTTATATCTATGTCTGTATCCTCTTTATGTCTTTATCTTTTATATCTATGGTTGTATCCTCTTTATGTATGCTTTTATCTTTTATATCTATGTCTGTATCCTCTTTATGTATGGCTTTATCTTTTATATCTATGGTTGTATCCTCTATGTATATCTGTATCCTCTATATGTATGTCCATATCCTCTATATGTAAGTTTGTATCCTCTATATATATGTTTGTATCCTCTTTATGTATGTCTGTACCTCTATATGTATGTCTGTAACCTCTATGTATGTCTGTATCCTCTATATGTGTGTGTGCATCCTCTATATCTATGTCTGTATCCGCAATATCTATGTCTGTATTCCCAATATCTATGTCTGTTATCCTCAATGCATGTCTGTATCCTTTATATATATATATATATGTCTTTATCCTCTATATTTATGTCTGTATCCCCAATAACTATGTCTGTATCCCCAATATCTATGTCTGTATCCCCAATATCTATGTCTGTTATCCTCTATATCTATGTCTGTATCCTCTATATCTATGTCTGTATCCCCAATATCTATCTGTATCCCACATCTATGTCTGTATCCCCAATATCTATGTCTTTATCCCAATATCTATGTCTGTATCCCCAATATCTATCTCTGTATCCCAATATCTATGTCTGTATCCCCAATATCTATGTCTGTATCCCCAATATCTATGTCTGTATCCTCGTCGACTATCTTCCCTTTCAGAATAACGATGATCTACAGTTGAAACTTTTGAGTATGGATGATGTTGGTAAAGGTTTCATAAAAAAATGTAAAATGAGTCCTGATGCTTTCATTCAAGCAGCTTTACAACTTGCTTACTATCGCGATAGTGGCGGTGTTCTTCCGCTTACGTATGAAGCTTCCATGACAAGATTATATTTGCATGGACGGACGGAAACTGTACGATCGTTAACCGACGAGTCACGAGCTTTTGTTTTGTAAGTTTGCATGCATTCTGCATCTTATATCGTATATGTAGTCGTACAACAATGTTATCGTAGAGTTGGATCAAGGGATTTGATTGTATGGTAGGTGTTGACTAGGGTTTTGATTGTATGGTAGGTGTTGACTAGGGTTTTGATTGTATGGTAGGTGTTGACTAGGGTTTTTGATTGTATGGTAGGTGTTGACTAGGGTTTTGATTGTATCATAGGTGTGGACTAGGGTTTTGATTGTATGGTAGGTGTTAACTAGGGTTTTTGATTGTATGGTAGGTGTTGACTAGGGTTTTGATTATGGTAGGTGTTGACTAGTGTTTTGATTGTATGGTAGGTGTTGACTAGGGTTTGATTGTACCATAGGTGTGGACCAGGGTTTTGATTGTATGGTAGGTGTTGACTAGGTTTTGATTGTATGGTAGGTGTTGACTAGGGTTTTGATTGTATCATAGGTGTGGACTAGGGTTTTGATTGTATGGTAGGTGTTAACTAGGGTTTTGATTGTATGGTAGGTGCTGACTAGGGTTTGATTGTAGTAGGTGTTGACTAGTGTTTTGATTGTATGGTAGGTGTTGACTAGGGTTTGATTGTACCATAGGTGTGGACTAGGGTTTGAGTATGGTAGGTGTTGACTAGGGTTTTGATGTATGGTAGGTGTTGACTAGGTTTTGATTGTATCATAGGTGTGGACGTTTTGATTGTATGGAGGTGTTGACTAGGGTTTTGATTGTATGGTAGGTGTTGACTGGGTTTGATTATATGGTAGGTGTTGACTAGTGTTTTGATTGTATGGTAGGTGTTGACTAGGGTTTTGATTGTATCGTAGGTGTGGACTAGGGTTTTGATTGTATTGTAGGTGTAGACTGGGGGTTTGATTGTATTGTAAGTGTAGACTGGGGTTTGATTTTATTTTAGGTGTGGACTGGGGTTTCATTGTATTGTAAGTGTAGACTGGGAGGTTTGATTGTATGATAGTTGTGGACTGGGGTTTTCATTGTATTGTAAGTGTAGACTGGGAAGTTTGATTGTATGATAGTTGTGGACTGGGGGTTTGATGGTATGATAGTTGTGGACTGGTGGCTGATTGTATTGTAGGGGTGAACTGGTGGCTGATTGTATCATAGGGGTAGACCCTGGGTTGTGTTGCCTCACAAATGCATGAGAGTAGAAATGAAGTTCCTCTGAGTACGTACGTGCATACGTTATAACTGCAAACATTCTGCTTGAAGAGGTATGAATAAGAAAGGTACGATGTGTTTGTATGTTTAGTTGACAGAAACATACGTTGCTTACCATGTTACCGCAGTGTGCTTTAATAAAAATAGACACGTGATTGATTTATCTACAATTATTGACATACGTAGAGCTATGGAAGACCAGATGTTCCACCTGAACAGAAAATATGTCTTCTTCGTGAATCTGTGAAACGCCATCAGGTATGTTGCATAGTACACCCTTACAAATACCATTTCTTGAACTATATTTTCTGTTCATATGATGTCATGAATTTATTTAAATCCATTGCAGGTGTTGTATAAAGACTGCATGAATGGAAAAGGAATTGATCGTCATTTGTTTTCACTCTATGTGGTAGCCAAAGGACAGGGTCATGTAAGTGTTTAATACTGTGGTATTCTTCATGTTTTTCTTCGTGTAACCCACATATCCTGTTATGCACTTATGTAAATGTTGACCACAGAATGGTGTTCTTAATGTTAACCTTAGTATAAGTACCTACATGTCCTGTGATGTACTTGTGTAGGTAGTGATCACAGCATGTGATATTGTAAATGTTTACCTCATCTCTTAGACATACTTTTGTAGGAATGGTGTTCTTAATGTTAACCTTAGTATAAGTACCTACATGTTCTGTGATGTACTTGTGTAGGTGGTGATCACAGCATGTGGTATTGTAAATGTTTACCTCACCTCTTACACATACTTTTGTAGGAATGTGAATTTCTTAAGCGTGCGTTAACTTTACCTTGGACATTATCAACAAGTCAACAACCACAACAGCAAATGTTCAGACTTCCTGGTTACACTGTGAATGATCCTGCTTTTCGAGACATGGTGAGGCATGGCATTTTGTATTTAAAAGAAGAAACATTGCATGTGAACTATTTAATGATTGTGTTGTAGATTTGCCCAGGTGGTGGATTTGGTCCTGTGGTGGATGATGGTTATGGTGTGTCTTACATGGTTCCTGATGACAATTATTTCTTTTTCCACATTTCTTCCAAAAGATCATCATCGAAAACTGATTCAGAGAGGTTCATGGATCATGTAGTGAAAAGTCTGCGTGACATGAAGGCAATGTTTCTTGAAGTGGAAGGAAAAGGAAAAGAAGCCAAGAAAAAAGACCGATGAATGTTGCACGGTAACATGGTTTCAATCATGAAATCATATTTATGTTCTTAGTACTTGACCTTTGGAATGATTAGGTTATTAAAGTTAAATAAAGGTAATTTTGTAAAATTTCAAGGTGTGTTATTTTTATATGTAAATGCGTTTTTTTACACAGATGTTAATGTTGTACCATTTTAGTTATACTGTGTAACTATTTAACATGTTCAGGAAAAATTGTATTTTATGATCTGTACATTCAAACTTTTTCAGCACTTTTATCTCATTTCTACAGTAATGAGGATGTAATAAATATTTATTACTCAAAGACTTTGTCATTTCATTCGAGTGAGTGCCAAATCTTCAAGCTCTTAAGCTATGGGAACTTTAACACAACATTCAGTCCCGGGGTATTTAGGTAAATCCAATTGATATTTGTCTTGCAGAACTTCTGGCACAAATCTTCCACCAACAAAGTGATGTTGTCCAGAAAAGAGCTTTGCACAAAGCTTTGGTGCAGTAAGAGAAATCAAAAAATCCGGTTGTAATCCATCTGGTGCTCCTTTTTCCACATCCCAGCCTACAAGAAAATAGACAGTGTAAAATTGAATAGTCTATTTTCAGAGTGTTGCATCCTGAAGCTAATGCTTTCACAATAAATTTTTGGAAAATTCAATGTCTGTTGTCTTTACCTAACCAAAAGTATTTCTTTATTACCTGAAGGCACATCAACCGAACATAAAGGAATTTTGACACTTTTTAATGAATCTATAATAGCACCAAATGGCTCACGAATATTCCCTTTAAAACTAAACCCAAATATGGCATCCACTATAAATGTGTAGCTGTCATCAATGTCTTTGCAAGAAGGGAGCACATCAACAAATGGAATATTCATCAGAGTACATTGAGTGACAAGGTTATTGAACAGGTCTTTGTTTGGTCTTTTTGGATAAAAAATAAAAGGAGTATAACCCTAAAATAAAAATTTGAAGTAAGTGTTGTATATCTACAATGAAAATACAATATTATCTCGACCCCTTGATGAATAAGTGTTCAATATCCACATCCCCACGATGTCATATAGATAAATTCAAGCATGAACTTACAAACATTTTCAAATGCCTAGCAGCAACTAAACCGTCTCCTCCGTTATTTCCAGGTCCGCAGCACACCAATACATTGTTCGATTGTTTTTCGCACAAGGGATATACTTTAGCCAGGGCAACGGCGACACTGAGTCCAGCCAACTCCATGAGTTGATCAACACTGAAAGCGAACTTTGTAAACAATTCTTGATCGATGTTCTGAGCTTCTTCCTGAGTAAGGTACTTCATTGTTATTGTTCTCATCAATTGAAATCGAAAAACGCAACCAAGAGAGCTTTTTCTTCCGAGAAAAAACCGCAAAGACATACAAACAGTCGAGCAATAGTCCTTTGCTTAGGATCCTACGGAACTGAATTTACCTACCTCCGACATGTTTACCCTCAGGAGTATGCCCCAAGTGGTATGCCCCCTATGGTACAATCCCCGCTACAGGATGAAGTACAATTATAGCCTTCGGTGGATAAATAAATGAAAATTTGAAGACAGACGAGTTTAATATACAAACTTCAAACAATTATGAATCAAAGTCATTGGGTAATTTCTTTTTTCATTTAACATATTCTGGGTTCAGTTTTTTAGATTTTAGTTCTTATAGATGACTTACTTTGTTTACGTTTTGCAAATTAACCCAAGCCAAGAGATTTTGCACTCGACCAAATCTGCTTGCCAGCAAAAGGCAAGCATCTTCCTTGATTTCCTCCCATTTATTAGTCTCGTTCTTACTTATTTATTGAAGAAAAAGCCAAAGGACGTCGAAGGAGAGATGATTTGGAAAAACGGTTTGAGCTGGAGAGATGTTTATTTTCAGGTTCATTCTATTGATCTTTATTTGTTTATTATTTGTAAATGTTTTTGAAAGAATTGCCGTGTCTTTGTCTGTGTAGACGTCTGGTCGTTCAATGTATCTGTATCCAAAAAGAAGGGGAATTAAACAAGTTCTGTTTGAAATACCATTTATAAAGGTATGAAATATTAAGTACTTTGAATGAGCAAAACATCACTTGTTGTTATTGTTGTTGATATTGTTGTTCTTGTTGTTATTGCTGTTGATGTTGTTGTTGTAGATGATGTTGTTGTTGTTGTCGTTGTTCAGGGGCTTTTTCTTTTAGTGCCTATATTAGGGTCTGGAATTAACTTCATTAGATAATCAAATCAATTTTAAAACATTTGCAATATATTTGATAAATCAACATTTCATCTTCATATGTTTATGCAGTTTTGGTCCTGCACATAGATGACTTTGTGGCAAATGTGACATAAAATGAATTTCTACTATTTAAACATTTTCTATGATAATTACCTAAAACTGTACACCGATGTGCGGCATCTTAAGTTTCTAGTGCAACTGTTTAAGAAGATTCTGTATAACAGCCTTATTCAGTATAACAAAAGCTACATCTTCAATGCATGTGCTTTCCTTTTTACATCATATCTGGTGGGCAGTAACCAACTTCTTGGTTACAAAAACCTATAAGGAGTTACTTCCCTGAGCTAATATACGTAGGCAGTTTTTAGGCACTTGTGTATTTCCTTGTTCTTTAGATAGATGAAATCATTAAAGGTACCAAAGGGTTTTCAAAAAACACTTTCAGAATAGTATTGATATCTGGTGCAATTGAACAATTCAAATTTCCAGCTAACGTGGTAAATCATTTATCTTATGTGAGCAATTTTACCCTCATCATATTTTGACCTAACATTTTATTCTTACAAGGAACAAACAACAATTCATCAATGGATTGGAAATTTGACGCATGCTGTGGCTTTTTGGAAAGATAAGGAGCTACTGGAGTCGCTTAAATCTGAACGCCATAGAAAGGTATGTGTTATTTTTTGTTAAACGTTTGTAATCTTTCTGAAAACACCAGTATTATATTTTTTGTCTTTATTACTTGTGTTTTAAATCATAGGTAACCCTCGAAGGCCATAATGGAAGTTCTAAAAGGTACTTCATTTAATCACCATGTACTTTTTTAATTCATATTTGGACTTAAGGCTTTCATTTGCAAGATGATCACAATGATCCACATTTAGCCTTCATTATCCACCTCAGTTTTAACCATTCAATCTTCAACTACAATTTTTCAATAAATATGCTACATAGTGGTTTAACCATTCAATCTTCAACTACAATTTTTCAATAAATATGCTACATAGTGTATTTCTTGATTCTATGTTTCAGTAGCGATGAGAAAAAGCATCGTTTTTTTCACTTTATGGAATGGCGAGATGATAGGTTTACTTGTACATCCTACATGGACTTTTACTGATGTCTATTCACATCTTTTGCTTTTACCTGTAAACCTGGTACCTGCTCCTGTGCCAATTGTAATCAATTGTGCACCCTCTGGGCAGTGGATATTGCTGGCTCAGGTGTGTTTTCAATATTTGATTTCTTCAAATTTTCAAAGCATCAAAGTACCAAAATATAGTTTTTTTTAATTTAGCAAGGCATGTACACAAAGATGAGTTACTTGTACAGTTAGAAAAATCAGGGCATTCCTTATTCTTAATGGAACATCAACATAAGGTTAGTTGTTGTGTAATTACCATCTAAAGCAGGGTGGGCAACTTCTCCAGTCGGGTGGGCAACTTCTCCAGTCGGCTGGCCAGATTTAGGAAAATGAAGTTATTGGTGGGCCGGATTATTACATGAATAACATTCAATATCTTAATCACAGATATAGACGGATACAGTCGTCGGGCCAGTCAAAATTCCTTCAGGGGCGGACCCGCCCCAGGCCGTATGTTGCCCACCCGATCTAAATTGTCAATGTCTACTTGAATTCCGTCTTCCAAGACTTTTGTTATCATATTTTTAGTTGCTGGTTGTACATTTTGGGGACTATTCTTATGAAGCTCTGACTACTCCATCTGAAATCACAGCTAAAGAGGTTTTGACAGTTTTATTAAAATTTTGCACTTCATTTTCAACTGCATATTATGTAAAGTAAAAAATGTGAGCCAGAAACCAAATTTATAAGCCAGATCCCTATATTCAACGAATTCCCTTTTTTAGATTTTAAAAATGGACGAAGTTTCCAGCAAGTTACGAAAATTAAGTTGCTTTGATCCTAGCTTGTTTCTTTGCTATGACAATGGAAAAGGTTTTAAAATGCGACTACTTTGTCGGCCATTTAACCACGTGATTGATATAATTTGCGATACCACGTGATTGATATAATTTAATGTGTGTGTGATATCTTTTTATAGAAGTTCAGTTTTGTATGAACGATAATCCTTTGAACTATACGGAACATGGTAAATAGATGTCTGTGAATTTATCTCTCAATTTGTTTAATTGACGTACAAGCTCTGGACAGTGGCTCGGGAGCGCACATTAGGGAAGTGGAATGGGTCGAGATTATGGCACTCTTCAGCTTTTGTGTTACATACGTAAAAGTCGATCCAGAAGCTGATAGAGAATGAAAAACGGCAGTTTCGCTGAAATTGTGATCTTTTCTATAAAATACAGACACTGCATTAGTCGGTTCCACAATGCCCCCATTTTTTGGAATGTGCGCCCTTGTGTTGTTAGAGACTTGTTGCCCGAAGCTTGAATAACGTTGTCATGTTAATGATGACATATTGAAGCGTATTCGAAGGTGTAAACGGTCCCAGATCGTCCGTCTTTATAAAACTTGCATGGTAACTTGTTTTTTTTTGTGATTTATTAGGAAAGATAGTCGCAAGAAGCAAGAGAGTTCGAGTGAAAAGCCTAAAAAAGACGGATTACCGAGCGATCGCTGAAATACGTTGGACTGAGGTGTTAAAATGAACTTCTAATGTGTAATCATCATACTATCTCATTGAGGTTTTTCTTTGTATGTAAATACAATTTTTATTTCATACTGAGTTATCTCTTGTTCATAGTTTGAAAAACATCGGCAAAGACAAAAAGCGACTCAAGCAGCAAAGGAATGCTTATCGGAGCAAATCAAACTCTCGTCGAACGTTGATAAGGAATTGTGTTTTGTTGAAGACCATTTTGCTGCGAGTGATTGTAGACCCAGCCGTCGAACAGCAGTTGAGAAGTATTCTCGTGCGAAAATCTTACCTAAAACATCTAGTTTTGCTAACGATAATGTTGGTTCGTCAGTCTCTTCAATTCCTTGTGAGACGGCGAATGCTCGGGAAAATAAAAATATAATTTATGATTTGAAAGAAGAGGAGAAGACGCCGAACACCTTTACTTCAGATGCGCAATACATTGACAATTCATGCGATGAGATTGCCCATGCGTCTAACAACGGGAAACTGGTTGTTTCTGAACCAAATGTTCATAAATCATGTTCAAATATCTCAAACGATAGCGAGGAGAAAAGAAACTGTCTTGATGACAAGAGTTCAAATGTCATTGCCACACGATGTGGGTCAGAAAGTACGATCCAAAGCTCTGAGCATGACTTGAAGGACGAAGACAATGAAGACCGTACTTGTGATGTCACTAATCATAATGTCACTAGTGATGTAGCCCCGCCACCGACGATTGACGAAACGTCCTTCAAGTCATGCGACTTGAAGGACGAAAACAATGAAGACCGTACTTGTGATGTCACTAATCATGATGTCACTAGTGACGTAGCCCCGACGAGTGACGAAACTGTAATTTGTAAAAATTACATGAACTGTAATGTAAACAAAAACGAGGAAAGCTCCTTTCTTGATGATGGCAGTACAACTGACATTAATAATGACCGTATTTCCCGTAAGGCCGAATCTAGCATCAATATTCCTTGTTCTGCCACGTCTTGTGCAGGCTCACGTGATCTCTTGGGGCATCGTGTAGAGCGCTCCGTATCTGTGCAACCAGTTTTGAAAGATCAAGGATTACTTAGGGATGAGACCCTTGGACTGCAAAGAGGAATGCGGCGTTGCGTATCGGATTTAAACGTACGTTACTCGTACACGTGTGCTGCGAACTGCGCAGACTCAATAGACGATAACACTGCTTCTTCAATTGGTTCAAAAGTTATGTCGGAATCAGATCTTGTAGATATAGACGATGTGCTACGAGTCACTGACATCCATCTGCCAAAAGTTTGTGATGAAGAAGTTATATTTGCTATACCTGAATGTGACAAGTTTACCGGACCCACGTGGACATTTTCTAAGCGCGTTGAGAAATGCGTGAGGAAAATACTCGATGTGAAACTTGATTATTCTAAAGTGGAAACATTGATAGCTGACGAGCTCTGCTTGATACTGTATGAATTGATGGAACATGGTCTAAAAAAGACGATTTTTGGTCTTTCCTTGTTTTCAATTGGTGCCAATGTGTGGGTTGTCTGTCAAACTGTGTGCAAGGTAAAGTTTGTTGCATAAAGTACGTATTTAATGAAAGTGCATATGTGACGTCACTGTGTTCAAGGTAAAGTTTGTTGCATAAAGTACGTATTTAATGAAAGTGCATATGTGACGTCACTGTGTGCAAGGTAAAGTTTGTTGCATAAAGTACGTATTTAATGAAAGTGCATATGTGACGTCACTGTGTGCAAGGTAATATTTGTTGCATAAAGTACGTATTTAATGAAAGTGCATATGTGACGTCACTGTGTACAAGGTAAAGTTTGTTACATAAAGTACGTATTTAATGAAAGTGCATATGTGACGTCACTGTGTGCAAGGTAAAGTTTGTTGCATAAAGTACGTATTTAATGAAAGTGCATATGTGACGTCACTGTGTACAAGGTAAAGTTTGTTGCATGAAGTACGTATTTAATGAAAGTGCATATGTGACGTCACTGTGTGCAAGGTAAAGTTTGTTGCATGAAGTACGTATTTAATGAAAGTGCATATGTGACGTCACTGTGTGCAAGGTAAAGTTTGTTGCATAAAGTACGTATTTAATGAAAGTGCATATGTGACGTCACTGTGTGCAAGGTAAAGTTTGTTGCATAAAGTACGTATTTAATGAAAGTGCATATGTGACGTCACTGTGTGCAAGGTAATATTTGTTGCATAAAGTACGTATTTAATGAAAGTGCATATGTGACGTCACTGTGTGCAAGGTAAAGTTTGTTGCATAAAGTACGTATTTAATGAAAGTGCATATGTGACGTCACTGTGTGCAAGGTAAAGTTTGTTGCATAAAGTACGTATTTAATGAAAGTGCATATGTGACGTCACTGTGTGCAAGGTAATATTTGTTGCATAAAGTACGTATTTAATGAAAGTGCATATGTGACGTCACTGTGTACAAGGTAAAGTTTGTTACATAAAGTACGTATTTAATGAAAGTGCATATGTGACGTCACTGTGTGCAAGGTAAAGTTTGTTGCATAAAGTACGTATTTAATGAAAGTGCATATGTGACGTCACTGTGTGCAAGGTAAAGTTTGTTGCATAAAGTACGTATTTAATGAAAGTGCATATGTGACGTCACTGTGTGCAAGGTAAAGTTTGTTGCATGAAGTACGTATTTAATGAAAGTGCATATGTGACGTCACTGTGTACAAGGTAAAGTTTGTTGCATAAAGTACGTATTTAATGAAAGTGCATATGTGACGTCACTGTGTGCAAGGTAAAGTTTGTTGCATAAAGTACGTATTTAATGAAAGTGCATATGTGACGTCACTGTGTGCAAGGTAAAGTTTGTTGCATGAAGTACGTATTTAATGAAAGTGCATATGTGACGTCACTGTGTGCAAGGTAATGTTTGTTGCATAAAGTACGTATTTAATGAAAGTGCATATGTGACGTCACTGTGTGCAAGGTAAAGTTTGTTGCATAAAGTACGTATTTAATGAAAGTGCATATGTGACGTCACTGTGTGCAAGGTAAAGTTTGTTGCATAAAGTACGTGTTTAATGAAAGTGCATATGTGACGTCACTGTGTGCAAGGTAATGTTTGTTGCATAAAGTACGTGTTTAATGAAAGTGCATATGTGACGTCACTGTGTGCAAGGTAATGTTTGTTACATAAAGTACGTATTTTGATTCAGTTGATCCACCACCGTTATTAAGGGTATGCGACTCGAAAATTGTGCTATATAGATTATATTTCCATTGAAGAAAATGACAGCGTACCTTTTAAAACAGTTTATTCGCATCACTTTTCATTCTTGAGATATTGTACTTCATGTAATGTCCACGTTACACAACATTTGACGTCATATTGCATGATGAATATTTGAAAGAGCAAGTATATTTGCTGATTCATGTTACGTCCAGGGAGGCCGGAACGTCGATAATTGGGGGCGAATATTTGTGTATGCGTGTTTTACTAGATTACTTTTTAAATCAATTGTTTTTTAAGAGCTGTGACTATGAATACATGAATATCACCCCCATTTTATCGACCTTCCAGCATCGCTGGTTGCTTCAACGGAACAGAACTACCGCATTGTGAAAAGTTACATAGGATGTTTAAAACTGTACAGTGACGTCATCCGAAATGACGTCACAAGCTGTGTAATGTGGACATTACAAAAACTGCAATATCTCGAGGTTGAAAAGACTTAAAGATATGCATAAACTGTTTTAGAAAATACACTGTCTTTTGAAAGTTTTGTTGAATGAAAATATAATTTAGATAGTAATATTTTTCTCAAATCATATGCATTTTAATTTCTTTTGTTAAGTATCCATTCGCAGGTCATGTCAAAAATTTTTCTTTGTTGTTGACTTGCTTTATGTTGTGATGTAATATAATTGAAAATGGCCAATATTCATCACTTGTTTGAATTCAGAATATTGTAAGAATGACTGTAATAATTAAGTAACATACCAACTGTATATATGAAATTCTTGTTTAGGTAAGCAATGTGGGTTTGAAAACAATCGAAGGGATAAAAGAGGGCAGTTTGAGACAGAAATTTCATCTCTTCATTCGGGAATGCATTCGCTGTAAAAGTTTGAGTCGTTGGTTTGAGGTATTGTCGAGTGAAATAGTTCAAAAACAAATCATGAAGTATTACGAAACTAGTGCCGCTGTTTTAGAGCCCGAACATTCTAAAGCAATGGAGCACATGAAAATATACCTAGATGCTTTAAATGATTTAAATCTAAAAAAACTCAAATTGCCGAACATACGCCATAGGGAACAACAAACATTCTTGGTTAGCATCGAGTGATATGCCAGAGTGCTTTTTATCGATCGTTTTTATACGTATGATGTTTTTATAAAAGTTCAGAACTTGCAATGCAATTCAAATTTATCTTTTAAGGAGACTTGAATTTAGTACGTTTTTCAACTTGCGTAAAAACTTTCAAGACATACTAAATTGTTTATGTTGTGCAAAAGTCGTATTTTATTGCTCTTATGATTTTCTTGCTGTTTTTTTCAATGTCGTTTTAAATTCATTCTGTCCAGTTTTAAATAAATTTGTAAACGTCTATACGTATAGAAATGTCTATTGTATATAAAATTGGCCATTATGATTTATGTAACAAACTAAACTTTGAAAAAAGTTTTGTTTTGCTCGTGTTTTTCGATATCAAGTACAGTCTGGGGTGGTTATTTTATAAATGCAACTTTTTTATTTATTTAGTGATTATATCCTTATAGGTCGAGTAACTTTTACGCTTAAAATATTTAAAAAGAGTAGACTTAAAGTAATGATTACACACTTCCATTTTATATTATGCTCGCAATGTTTGTCATACGTAGAATTTCGTGCATGAAGTTTGTGTATAAATGTTTGAGATCATTTGAAATCTTCCCACATGACATACGTACGACGATATACGAAAACGTCATTTTGTCTTTATCATCTTTTACTACGTCCAATTTCCGGCTAATGATAGTCGAAATATTGCATTTTACATTGCCTCCCACGACATATTTACATATCTTACACAGTTCGCTAAATAATTGGCGTCTCTTTTCTTTGCCGCGCGACAAGAGATCGTTAAAAAATGTTATTTATTTGAAAGCCTTTTCCGTTTTAAAAACATTCCAGCTTAATGCTATGTTCACTCGCGTACAGCAATTTTATATATATGGATTTTGATGTCCTTCAGAAGGCGTGTGTTCCGTCGAAGTTTCATCAAAATCGTGTGTTCGAAATACTATATATTTGAAATGAACATTGAAGGTTTATGTTTTTGCAGATGAAATCTTAAAGAGCGAGGTAAGTGGTTTGAAGATAGGGAACTAAAGAATTCCTTTGAAGTTAAACACGCAACATTCACAAAAGCTACAGTAATAAGATTTACATGAGCAAAATTGGCAATCGAAATTTGTATTTTATTGAAATGAAGTAAAATGCAGTTAAAAATCGTAATGTTTTGAATATTATGAATATCTTAATCTTTATATGTATACTTTTTGCATAAACCTCTCTCCTTTCGATTTTAGACTTCAGTGAAAGATGCTATTTACGATACTCGTCATTCTATCATCAACAGTTTTTTCTTACTGTACAAACTAAGACCATCAAGACCACCTGGCTTCCCTCCTGGTCCTGCAACCCTCCCATTTATTGGTAACCTTCACAATTTAGGCACTAAACTGCATCTTCGTCTCGATCATCTGAGAGCCATATATGGTCCTGTTTTCAGCATTTATCTGGGTCGAACTCCCATTGTCGTAATAAATAGTGTCACTGCAGCCAGAGAGGCACTTCTCGGACAGCGGGATACTTTCTCCGGTCGACCATACCCCGAGGAATTGCCTTATGGCTGTCAGTTGGTTGGAAATGGTGGCAAGAATGTTGGTTTTGGTGATTTCACAGCGAAATGGAAACTGCAGAGAAAAATTGCCGAGTCAGCTTTCAAGGAATTTTTAACAAAACAATGGAGGATCTTATGCACGTTGAAGTCGAGAAACTTCTCGCGAGACTACGTCCTCGCGTGGGAGAGCCTCTTGACCTTGCTCCTGAGTTTGATTTGGCCATATTAAATATCATTTGCTCTTTATTGTTTGGCGTTCATTATGATCACAACGATGAAGAGTTTCGACGGATTGTGTATTTTAACACCTGTTTTACAGAAGGTTTAAAACCTGGTCAGCTCGTCGATGTGTTTCCCTGGCTTGCCAACTTCCCGTTACCAGGCCTTGAGAAACTACGAGACGCGGTTGCAATCCGTGACGAAATATTGCATGCAAAGTACACTGAACACAAGAAGAATTTCGACAGGCATAACATCCGGGATTTGACTGATGCGATCTTGAAAGCAAAAGAGGAATTCGTTGACTGCGAAGACGAAACCTTTCTGACTGAAGATCATTTAATTGCCATACTGGCGGATACTTTCATAGCCGGATTTAAGACAACTGCTACTAGCCTTAGATGGTTATTTGTTTACATTCTCAATAATCCGGCCGTACAACAACGCATCCACAAGGAACTTTCTTCCAACTCGAAACCTCCTACATTAAAAGAAAAGCCAGGACTCCCATATCTTCAAGCTGCTTTAACTGAAACATTAAGATGCGCCAGTCCCGTTCCAATTCCCATACCTCATAGGGTAACAGTGGACACACGGCTTTGTGGATATAATATCCCCAAGGATACCACTGTGTTCCTAAATCTCTGGGGTATCAACCACGATCCACATTGGTGGCAAGAAGCAAGTGAATTTAATCCAGGGCGGTTTTTTAACGCGCAAGGGATCTACGTGGCACCGTCTACTCTCAGATCTAGCTACATTCCTTTTTCTACGGGACGGAGAGTGTGTCCTGGGGAGAGTCTTTCAAATGCCATACAGTTCTTGTTTGCTAGCAGTCTCTTGCACGAGTTTGTTTTTGAAATTCCACAAGGAAATGATGCTCCAGACACAGAAGAACTGACAACGGCGGTCTTGGAGCCCAAACCTTTTAACGTCGTTCTGAAAAGACGATAATTATTTTATTTTTTCTCCCATTTTGTAAAGGTTCCCGCCTAGTTTAAAATAAAATGTGTTCAGTTCACCCCACTGAAGTAATTGTTGTGAATTTAACGTATTGTTCTACTCATTTTGAGAGTTTATTGTGGATGGATTTTTTTGCCCAGCATTGTGTCCAATAAAGGAAATGGTTTGAACCCGGGAGTATCGTTACATGTTTGTGGATGTAGATCGTCCTGGTTAGTAGAGTCCTTAGAAGGACTGTTGGTGTTGGTGTTGACAGTCGTTTCGACAACCTTGACTCTGAAGATGACTAGCGCTAAGGCTGTCGAAATGTCTGTCAACATCAACAGCAACAGTCCTTCTCAGGACTCTACTATAACCTGGACGATCTTCATCCATCCACAAACATTTATTGTATGCGATGTTGTGATACATAATCATAACCCAAAAAGCAATGCTCAAATTGAATGCAAACATTGATGAACTGGCAAGGACTAAAGAAAACTGCCGTACGGGTTTTTTTCTTCTGATTATTATACATTGTGTACTGCCTCGTTACTCTGGTGAATAAAACATGAGTAAGAAATGAGAGGATGAAATGTTCCCATTGAAGAGAATGCATTAAAATACTTGCGATGCGCGTGAAGCTTTTCGTTTTCAAAGATTGAAGTGTTTTGCAAGCAGCATATAATCGTCAGAAATCTTATCAAATATGATTTAGAAATCAGCTGCATTTGTTTTAGGGCCGGAGGGTCCCTTGAAAGATCTATTTCTTTGTTGCATAATGTGTTGTATCGACAAATCTCGTGTACGTAACGCGTGTCCATTTTGTATTTTTAAATTCAAGCGTCAGTCATTGATAGTTTTTGCATTTTGCCACCAGTCGATGAAAATCCTAAACTAGAAGACGCTACTAGTGTTATTTTAAAGCTGGGAATTTCATCTCAACTCAAAGTCCACACTAGGATATTTTAGCCGTTATCATTTTAAAATCTCGAAAAGAGGAAGGAAAACGAAGAACTTCAATAAACTGTGGTCAGGTTGGAATGTTTTATTTAGCATGGTGAATGTTAGAATTTGTGTTCAATTGATTGTCAGCGAGCTTAGGATGATATAACATTGACCAAATTTGAGCGCGAAAAGAGAGAAAAGGCACACAGTGTATACTTTGCATATAGTCGAAAAAAGAATAAGGAAAGTTATACACGAATCTTCTTAGTAATTCACTCACAGAAAGCGTTTATTTTGGCGACTAACTGATGCAAAGAGTGTGCATCTTTGATGAACGCACATGTTTTTGAAATGTTCATTTCAACCGAGCTAAATTTCATAAAGAAATTCGCGCTCATTTTCCAAAAACTCTTGGATGAACTAAATATTGTTGTGATGAACTAACGTGGGCCGTGGAAGAATGAAAACGAGTTGGTGTCAGTCGAGAACAACTTTGCAAATGTCAGTGTTATCGGCGTACCTGTCATGGCGAATGTCTTTTTGAAATTTTCTAAATTATGTTATAGTACATTTCAAAATTAATGCTTAATTACTTTTGTCAACAGGATGGGTAGTTCTATGTCTTTGTGGAAAGAAGAGCTTGTTAACGCTTGTGATTACATAATGGTTGAAAAAATAGTGAGAATGCCTCAGCTTCTTCAAGATGAACGCTACATTCAGTGGTGTCTCTATGAAAGATGGTGTAGAAAACGCAAGAGTATCTCGAAGTATGTACACCTGCAATGCCCACTGGCCAGCGTACAACAATTCACAAAACCTGGACAAGATACATATGTGAGCCCTCGAGCAATTGACTTCGTTATCTTCAATTCAAGTAAAGATGACCCATGCAATACAAATGCCATTCCATTAGTATGCGTGGAAGTCAGTCTTGCGAAGTCGAAAAGAGAAAGTGATGCTCAGTTTCGTGAGAGATGTCTGAAAGATATTTTCCGATTGGCTTATTTACGTCATCATTTTAAAACTGGAAAAGCCTACTTCGTCATGTACGTATTTAAAGTGGCTATGAAACGAAAATTTTGCAACTTAAATTATGTCTAAAATGAGTAGAACTTTTGAAATGACAGTTTACTTTCGAAAACAATTAATGCATATCTCTTTTTATTCTCGTGATTTTGACGTTTTTTTTATTTCCAATTCATCCAACTTGTGACGTCATTTTGCCTAACGAGTTCTTACAATGTTTCAAATATTCTTCAGTTTCCTAACAACTTTATGTTGATACAAGTAGCAGTGCTGTAGAACTAAATTTATCAGATGGGGGCTCTCTTGTTAACAGTGCCCTTTTATAATTACCCATTTCAAAGGTAGAAGAGGGCTCCTCCCCCAAGCGCCCCCACTTCTACAGCACTGACTATTAGGCAGCATTTTATACCATTAACCACGTCACAATAAAGGGAACTCTGTCCTTGTGAATTAAAGTATCGTTAAATATACCTAATATAATTTTACTTCCATTATGCAACGTGACGTCACAAGTTAGGTGAATCGGACAAAACAAAAACCTCAATATCTCAAGAATTAAAAGTGATATGCATAAGCTGGTTCATTGGCACTTTGAAATTACTTAGAAATAGCTCAGCTTTCTAAATCCATTTGATTTAATTAAAGGTTTGGAACGGAGAAGCAGCTTTTGCAAGTCAACGAAGCGGTGAAGATGTTGAAAAGAAAAGAGTGTAAAATAAAGTGGAAGGATTTAGAAGAACTTGGTGCAGAAAAGGACTTGAAGAAAAATCTTGATTGCACGTGTCCGTCATGTGATCGCGTAAATATGTCGTGCTTGAAGAGCGTGGTGCCAAAACTTGAAGTCATCTACGAGAAGGTGGTGATGCATAAAGCATATTGGTGTAAGATATGGGAAATAGATGCTCCACCAAAAAGATAAATGAACTATAAAACTTTGAAGACTCTTTAGAGCGTTTTTTTGATTTTAGACTTTTTGCATCATACCATAAGCATTATGAATAAATAGATTCAGCAATTTATTAATTGCTTAACAACGAATGCTTTGAGCCAGGGATTATTGAGAAAAACTGTTGGTTTTGGTCTTTAAACTGACTTTTACACATCCTTACCATTTCTTGAGGTAAAGTTGACTACAGCTAGAAAAATGTCGAAAAGTCTGTCTCAAACAACAACATTAAAAGTCTTTCTCGGGTATGCACAAACCTGAACGATCTACATGTACAAACATGTTAAATTGCTTATTCAAATACGTTGAAAATAGCTTAATTCCTGGATATGTCACCACCTTCCAACTATCTATTACGTAACGTATCCGAAAATGGGACCTTTGCCATTTCACGCATGCGTACAAATACATCTATTTTCTTTAATTTAATTTAATGTCCAACATCCGGCGAATAAATAGAGAGATAAAGAACTCAATTTAGTACTTGAAACCAATTAGCGCTTAATCGTTATTTCACTTGCATTTCAAAGTGCAGAGTATGGCCTGACTTTCCGGCCTTGTCATTCTATTGTCTTTTTCTTGAACGAAAAGGACCATTAAAATGAGCACCCAAATCTTGTACACAAAGGTAAGAAATGTATTTGTTGTTTGGCGGCAGAGTTCTTTTCACTAACTTGTCATTTTACTTCATTTACTTGAATAAAAATATACACTGCTATTTATATTTTACTCCAGGGCGCTCGAGTCTGGCTACCGGATGACACAGATATATGGATTCCTGGTGACATTTGTCATGATTTGAAAAATAATATACTCAGCATCGAAACTGCTACTGGAGAGGTATGCTATCGAGGAATTTAGAATTCACTTATGTTTCGAGTTTGCGAACAGTCATTGTTTTCCTTTTGCAGCATATTTATTAAAAATTATTGGCTTAGATCCGGAAAGATTTCACTGTACTTTATATTCTTTTGTATTTAACAATTGTATTGTGATAATAAAGAGAAAGCTCTCTTCGGTGGTACTTCCGCTGTTAGTTTTTACTTTTTATAAGTTATTGTTTATTCTAGGTTTCGAAATGAAAGACGAATGTTTTCGTTTAGTAATTAATGCATTATTTTAGGTTTGGGCGACGGTGTACGTTTTGTATTATAGGAAAAATTCTGGGGTTCTGGTTTGGGATAATTGTTACATTGTCTTTAGGTTGTAACTTATGATGTTGAGAAGAATGGTTTTCCTCCTTTGCGTAACCCGGAAGTGTTGGTTGGAGAAAATGATCTTACAACATTAAGTTATCTCCATGAACCCGCAGGTACAGTGACAAACAAGTTTTGGCACATTTGATATTCTTATTTGCAATTGATATTAGTTGCAATGCCAGCTTCCTTAAATAGTTTCAATGTGCAAATTGTTCTGTGTTCTCTCATTGCATGACAACATAATGTTCAAATCATGATACATCACAACAAAAATTGCCTGCTGGTTATGATACTGATTGATATGGCATGAATATGTATGTGAACAAACCCTTAAGTGATATCTCTTCGTGATATTTTCAATATTGCTCAAAATTTGGCTTAGAAATTAATACAAGTCTTTTTCTTCCCTAGTTTTGCATAATTTAAAAATGCGATTTCAAGAATATAATACAATATACACATATTGTGGTAAGTTTTATAAACTATTAAATGCCAAAAAGATCATTTTAAGTGATGTAGTTTTCAGTAATTTTCAGATATTTATATTCTTTCTGTTTTGTGTTTCATTATTTCTTCCACAGGTATTGTTTTGGTGGCAATCAATCCTTATATGGAAATACCTCTGTATGGTTTTGACATCATTTCTGCATACAATGGTGCTTCAATGGACAAAATGGATCCGCATATCTTTGCTGTGGCTGAAGATGCTTTCAAAACAATGAACAGGTAGTTCAAGTTGGGATAAAAAATATATTTTGCATCTATTACATGTTTGTTGATGTAGATTGTCTATGCTGTTGGTGTTGATGTTGAATGACATTTTTTGACATCATTAGTCATCTTCAGAGTCAAGTGAAGAAGGCCACCGCTGTCCGAGGTTGTCATCTTCACTTGATTATGTCATTGTAGGTTGCTGAAATGTCAGTCAACATCAACATGAATAGTCCTTCACAATACTGCACTAACCTGGACAATATACATCTAGAAACATGTGATGATACTCCTGGGTTCAAAAAACCATTCATTTTATAAGAATGTGTTATTACTCATGCTCATATGGAAAATGAAGTAGGTAATGACAAATTACAACAAACAATGTAGGGAATCTAGTCTTGCTACCATTTATAAACCAATACTTCCTTATTATTTTTTATGCCCATATATTTGTTTGTGTTTTTCTGCTCAGGGAAGATCAAAACCAATCAATTATTGTGAGTGGGGAAAGCGGAGCAGGGAAAACGGTTTCAGCAAAGTATGCTATGAGATATTTTGCAGCTGTTGGAGGCTCTGAATCCGAGACTCATGTTGAAAAGAAAGTGCTTGCTTCAAATCCTGTCATGGAGGTACTTAACTGTCAGTGGCAGATTTGGGGACATAAATTCATATAGGCATGTCTTAATCTGTTGAAACAATGGATTTCAAAGGAACTCAATGGGGCAGAACATGAATATATGAATATGTGCCCCCCCCCCCTCAATTAACGAATCTGCTACACCACTGTTAGGTATACATAGATATGTAATATGATATAATATGTAGGTATATTTATACATTTATTAACTGAAAGATGTTTTGAATAAAGTATTTGGTCCTGACTTGTGACATATTGGTCAAACACTTTCCATGTGAGACTTTTTGGGAGGTACTCTGCCCATATCTTTTTGTCTGCATTGTATGTGAACTGCCAAGGTGAAAATTTATTGAATTTGTTCCCAGTCTTCCAGACCAAGGTTACACTAGGCTACCTAAAGAAATGTCTTCATGTTTTAATGCATCGTGTAATATTGCAGTCATTTGGCAATGCAAAAACAATACGCAATGACAACAGCAGCCGATTTGGAAAATACCTCGAGATCAATTTTAATCGCGCTCATCATATCATCGGTTCGCACATGCGCACTTACCTCTTGGAGAAGTCACGTGTTGTGTTCCAAGCCCCCAACGAACGCAACTATCACGTCTTTTATCAACTCTGTGCTCACGCTGATGAGAAGAGATTCAAGAATCTGAGACTTGGTGAGTTTGGTTTTATTCAGGTTTGACTTTTTGCTGTTTATCATCGTCGTATTGTCAAAATTCCCATGACAGGTCGTCCAGATGAGTTCTTGTACCTGAACCAGGGCGAGAACGTCTACATAAACGGTGTCGATGATGCTGAGCTGTTTGATGAAACATGTGAGGCGTTCGACATGCTTGGTGTTCATCAAGATCTACAGATGAAGATATTTCAAATTCTTGCGAGCATCCTACATCTGGGAAATGTTAAAATTAAACTCCTCTCTCTCTCTCTCTCTCCTCTCCTCCTCTCCTCTCCTCTCTCTCTCCTCTCTCTCTCTCCTCTCCTCTCTCCTCTCTCTCTCCTCTCCTCTCCTCTCCTCTCCTCTCTCTCCTCTCTCTCCTCTCTCTCCTCTCCTCTCTCTCCTCATCTCTCCTGCAAAAAAAAAATCCAACTATTAAGAAAAATTCTAATTAATTTTACTGTCTTTTCGATAACATTTGTCAATTTCAAAAAACCTTTTCCATTTTTAGAATGATGACTTCCACGTGACCGTTGCTGCCTTTTTACTCGGCATCGATAAATCTCAGTTTCAAAAATGGCTTTGTTTTCGCAAGATTGTCGCTCACAGAGAAATCGTCATTACAAACCTTAACCTAGAACAAGTAAGGCCAAGACCATCATTCGTTGCTCTCTGCTGGCATACGTAGTAAGATGAAATGTTTTTGTGATTTATCAAGGCAACTGTTGCTAAAGAATCCTTATCAAAGCATATCTACGCACGAGTTTTTAGTTTCATCGTTTCTAGCATCAACAAAGCGCTTATGCCTTTAGATCAAAAGCACATTCACTCTTTTATCGGAGTTCTTGATATTTACGGGTAAATTTATAGTCTGTTCTGTTTCTACATTGCTTGCGGTTTTTTATTATACATTCTACTTGTCTTTCTTGTTTGTTTTAAGCTTTGAAACCTTCGAGTTTAACAGTTTTGAACAGTTTTGTATCAACTACGCGAACGAGAAGCTTCAACAGCAATTTACGATGGTTAGTTTTATGATTTTTGTACATTATTTTATCGATAATTTAGTCCAACTTAACTTTCTCTGTTGCTGTTCTTGGACTTAACTTCTTTGTATAAGCAAATAAATAGTTTATCGGCAGTGTGTTTCTGAAAGAAAGTGTCATCGTAAGCCAAACCTATATAAAATATTTTTCTTCTCTGTAGTGACGTTCATATGCCAAAAATTTCCTCCAAAATTGTTTGTTTACTAAAAGCATTGCACAAAAGCCAGCCGCACGGATATCTTACTCTTGTTTAGTTATTTGCATTTTAATTTTTTTCCAATTTATCCTTTCCTTTTTTCACTTGATAACTGAAAAAAAATGAAATCATTTTATCTTTTTGCGTATGTATTTGCGATGTTTCTTTCCCTCATAAATTTTCTTGTGCGGTCAAAAAATTTAATGGCAGCATGCTGCCATTCTGGCGAATTTTCACAAGCCTCGAGTCGTCAGAATTAATCTCATACTGAATATTTTCATTGTGTGGTTCGGAAAATGTGTCTTCCAAATATTATTATTCCCCTTGAGCAGTTTTATGACGGTATCATTTCAGCATGTATTCAAGTTGGAGCAAGAAGAGTACGTGAGAGAAGCAATTGATTGGTCTTTCATCAACTTTTACGATAATCAACCGTGTATTGACTTGATTGAAGGTAAACTGGGGATATTAGCTTTACTCGACGAGGAGTGCAAGGTAATGCTGTGTGTGAAAATGGTTTTGTGTTTATGTTAAATTTTTATTTTCATGTCGTCACGATGAGCCATAAAAAAACTTTTACATAACAAGAAATGGAACAACTATTGTAATCAGCCGTGAAGAGTTTTTAACAAAAACAGAGGGAAGCTTTATCAAAATAAGTTTGTCTTATGCATGTTTCATAGCGTTTGTCCCGAACTTTGATTTTTACGCGGGAAAAATCAAGGATGTGCAATTGAACTGTTATTTAAACTGGAGCGCTAACCCATTTTAAAGCCAAAAACGAACCTAGTTTTTCTGAGTTTTAACAGTTCCGTGATATTATTTTGGAAAATTAACGTTGTATATAAAATACAATAGCGCAAATTGTCATGATAAGTTTTAACACACGAGCTCTGCTGGTTATTAAATGAAAAACTCACATGTCAATCCATCCTAGTTGCCTGTATTGCATGGAGGTAGCGTTCTATGGTGTACCTATTATCAGAACAGCACAGACAGTTAGCTTTGTACGTTTCTTACAGTTGACCAAAGGATCCGATGAAAACTGGATTCGTAAATTATACCATGAACATATCAATAAGAAGCCAAATGCTCATTTCAAAAAACCTCGAATGTCCGAAGTGTCGTTTCTTATCGTTCATTTTGCCGACACTGTCCCTTACGAAAGCGATGGCTTCCTCGAAAAGAACAGAGACAGTGTGAACGAGGAGCATCTTTTACTTCTTAAAGCAAGCGAGGTTTGTTTATGTTATGATTATGTGCGGTGCATATTCCAGCAAGGTATTTACGGTTTTTCACTCGTTCCCAACAATTAAAATGACATGGCGTCATTTCTATTACGACGAAATGACGTCATGTTATTGAAGTGGTTGGAAACAAGTGTCTTGCTGGAATAATGGCGGCTGTGAGGACTCGGTGCACACTTGACCTTCTGTATAGTTATTATTCTGTGTTATGATGAGGTATGTATATATTATATGGTTTAACTATCTCAAATATTTTATTACATATTGTGTTTAGGACAATTTTGTGGGTGAATTATTCAGTGAGCAAAGGTCAGCGGTGCCTGCTCAACGTAAGCGTGCGCATACAAAAGCACCAGTAATCGCATCATCTGCTAAAAAAACTGTCGGCTCACAGGTGAGAGGAAATGATTACATTTAAAAATATCATCAAAAAAACAATGAATCTAGACATCATTCTACTTTTTCATTTCGTGTCCAGGTATTAAGAAGGATACCCACATGTTGTCATTTTGTACCTATTTTATAAACTTTGTTATTTGCTCTTATAGTTCAGAGATTCTTTAAAGAAATTGATGGAAACCCTCAATTCAACTACTCCCCATTACGTGCGGTGTATAAAACCGAATGACGAAAAGAAAGCGTTCACATTTGATTCAAAACGAGCAATGCAGCAATTACGAGCCTGCGGTGTTCTGGAAACGATCAAAATCAGTGCAGCGGGTTACCCATCAAGATGGTCCTACTTGGATTTCTTTTATCGTTATCGTATGTTGATAAAGTGGAATATGATAGAAAAAAACGACCTCAAATGCTGTTGTGAAAATATTTTAAACACCTTGTTGAACGTAAGTGTGCAATAATGTTCGGGAAGAAATTTGTTTGCGTCGATTAGTGACAGCTTATAGTTTGAACAAATGAAGTTAAAGGTTGATTAGGTACTCTTTGGATATGGGATTTAAGGTGGATTGGGTGTGGAATAAGGATTTAAGGTGGATTGGTTGTGGAATAAGGATTTAAGGTGGATTGGGTGTGGAATAAGGATTTAAGGTGGATTGGGTGTTGGGTGTAAATGGGATTTAAGGTGCAATAGTGATAAGGGTTGAAACAGAGCGTTGTGTAGAATGAGGTTTGGTGTAGAGTGGGTTTAGGACGGGACTACTAGGGTGGTTTTGTGCATCAACATAATCTTTTTGTGATATATTTATTCAAGACAAAGACATGTTAAAGAGAATAGTTTGAACCCAGGAGTATCGTTACATGTTTGTAGATGTAGATCATTCAGGTTAGCAGAGTCCTGAGAAGGACTGTTGGTGTTGGTGTTGACTGACATTTCGATAACCTTGCGGTAACCTTGACTCTGAAGATGACTACCTCTAAGGTTGTCGAAATGTCAGTCAACAACAACAAAAAGAGTCCTTCTCAGGACTATACAAACCTGGACGATCTACATTTACAAACATGAAACAAAGACATTTCCTTGTTTTACGACACAATTTTCTCATTTTCGTTGAGATTATCACTTCTTTGTTGTTTGTTTCTCTTGATAGGATCCTGACAAGTATCAATTTGGTAAAACTAAAATATTCTTCAGAGCTGGACAGGTAAATTTTAGCCAATCATATCGTTCGTTGTTTTGTTTTTAAATTTTTCTTATCCGTGATGGCAGAATTATCTTGAAATGTTATAAAGAGTGAGCTACTTTAAACTAACCTCTCAAATAACAATCTCTCTGATCAACTTTAAATTTCCAAACTGTGAAGGTCGCATTCTTGGAGAAGCTCCGTAGCGACAAGATATTCAAGAGTTGCGTCATTATACAAAAAATGATTCGTTGTTGGATTGTTCGTAAATGGTTTGTGAAATTAAGAAAGTCGACCATCGTCCTTCAATCCTTGACGCGAGGACATCAAGCGCGCAGGTTATCTTCACACTCCCGTTGATGAAAATAGTTTAAGAACGTTTTCTCATTACATGTTTGTGAATGTAGATCGTCCAGGTTGGTATAGTCCTGAGAAGGACTGTTTTTGTTGTTGTTGACTGACATTTCAACAACCTTAGCGGTAGTCATCTTCAGAGTCGAATGAAGAGTCATTTGACTCTTCATTTGACATCTTCAGAGTCATTTGCTCTGAAGATGACTACTGCTAAGGTTGTCAAAACGTCAGTCAACAACAACAAAAACAGTCCTTCTCAGGACTATACCAAACTGGACGATATACATCCACAAACATGTAACGATACTCCCGGGTTCGAACCATTTACTTTATACCGTTTTCTCATGTTGCTCGTCGACAAAATAAACCAAGTTTTTGCGTCCATGTTTCAAACATGTCATCTTTTTAGATTTGTGAAACACTTACGTCAAACTAAAGCAGCAATCACCATTCAGACCACATGGCGATATCACAAAGCTCGAAGTCGATATTTACGCATGCGCTATGCTACGCTTATCATTCAGTCCCACTACCGAGGCGGACGGGCGCGTTTATTGAAGAAACGATTGCTCTACGAAGTGAAGGCGATTGTGATTCAACGAGCGATTCGTACTTTCCTCGGTCGTAGATCGTTCCTTTCCGTACGTAGAAAGATAGTTTTGATCCAATGCTGTGTGAGACGACTAATTGCACAACGAGCGTTGAAAAAACTTAAGGTACTTTAACTCAACTTTTTCTGCATTGTCGCTTCACTTCTCTTTTACTTTTGTTTGTTCTTTATACCCTTCAAGATCGAGGCTCGTTCCATTGAGCATTACAAAAATCTCAACCGTGGCATGGAAAACAAAATTATCACACTTCAACAGAAACTATTAAGTACAGTGAGTATTATAGTTGGATTTTTGTAAATCCAATGGGATAAACATGGATATTTATTGATACGAACGAGACCACAGAGTAAAATCTTTAATGTGACTATAGCTCATGTTTTGTTTTTTCCGCTTTAGACTCGACAAAAGGAAGAGTTAAATGGGAAACTACAAGAGCTGGATGATCTTAGAATAGAACTAAATGCTGCTAAGATTTGGAAAAGTGACTACCAGACAGCCAGTGCAACTATAGTTGAATACGAGAAAATTATTAAGCAATTGCGACAAGAGCTTGCTGTTGTGAAGTCGGAGAAAGATGAAATGTTGAAGAAGGCGAGTAATGAAAGAAATTCTATTGAAAAGGTATGGCGAAGTTTATGTTTGGGATGTTGATGTATACGTTAGGAGTGCTGAAGTTTATGTTTGGGATGTTGATGTATACGTTAGGAGTGTTGAAGTTTATGTTTGGGATGTTGATGTATACGTTAGTGCTGAAGTTTATGTTTGGGATGTTGATGTATACGTTAGGGGTGTTGAAGTTTATGTTTGGGATGTTGATGTATACGTTAGGGGTGCTAACGTTTATGTTTGGGATGTTGAAGTATACGTTAGGAGTGCTGAAGTTTATGTTTGGGATGTTGATGTATACGTTAGGAGTGGTGAAGTTTATGTTTGGGATGTTGATGTATACGTTAGGAGTGCTGAAGTTTATGTTTGGGATGTGGATGTATACGTTAGGAGTGCTGAAGTTTATGTTTGGGATGTTGATGTATACGTTAGGGATGCTGAAGTTTATGTTTGGGATGTTGATGTATACGTTAGGGGTAAAAGGAGTCATGAATGAAAAGGTTAATGCTAGGGATATATATAGATGTGGAGGGTTAAAGATAGAAAAAAGACTAGGACTTAGGTTGAGTACATTAGGGATATGATTGTGTACATCAGGGTATGGCGTAAACTCTAAGAAGAATAGAAATAGAACTTGCCTTTTTGAAATTGCATGCTTTAATTAATATGTTTTTGAGGAATGCGAAAGATTGCGAGAAGAAAATACCAAATTAAGTGAAGATTTAAAACTGTGGAAGGAAAACGAAGAAAAACTAAACAAAGAAAAACAAGGTACAACAACTTTGAATGTTATCTTTTTTTCACAGTTTTCACATGCTTATATATATATCGCACATTTATCTTAAGATCAGCTTCTGGGACAGTTTGAGATCGAGAGAGGTCAGTTGTTGGCAGATATTGACGCCGAAAGACTGCACCATCAGCGCATTCTCAAGAATTACGATAGATTACAGCAGAGATTTGAGAATCTGCAGGACGAGGTAGAAATTCTTCAAAGTCCTTCAGAAAGTCCAATGAAAGACGAACTCACAGGTACTGGACAATGTCGGGGTTTTTTTTGTCAACTTTGCCAAAGGCTGGTATGAAAACTTTACTATGTTTTGATCTGTCTTATCTGCTATGATGGTTTGAGGATTTTCCTATCAATCCAATGATATTACGTTCCTAGACGCAAGCATTGGTTTTTGTTATAGTAAACACTAAAATATTCTTTTTTTGTAAGAAACAGCAGAAAAGGCTCCTGTGGCTGTACGAACTAAAGAAGAGGATGCCCTTATTGCTGAGCTAAAAGATCGCATAAAGAAATTGGAGTCGAGTAGACAAACAGCAAATCAAACTCCGACCAAAGAGATGCCGTCTGTTGATAAAAATGAATCACATAACAGTGAAGATGATGCATCAAAGAAAATCATCCGCGCTGTTGATTTTCAATCTTTAACAAAAGAAAACAAAAAACTGAACAAGGAACTGAGTATCTTTCGTGATATTGTGAAAAAAAGGGACTCTTTGTCGGAGAATGCCGTGAGTGAGTCGATTATAGCGATTAAGGAGGAAAATATCAAAAAAATCACTAAAGAAAGAGACTCGTACAAGCAGGAATATCAAAAGTTTCGCGCCGAACTCATTCGTTTCGCGTCCGTTTCCAAAGACCTGTCGGATGTGGAAGTGAAAATGAACAACAATCCCGACTTAAATGCTTACATTTTGCAAGCGAGTGCGTTGAAGCAGGCAAACGAAGTTCTACAAAGAGAGTTACAAGATTTACTTGTGAAAGAAACTGACCTTCAAAACGCCAATGATAATCTATGGCACGAATTAGCCAAGTTGAATGTTGAAAAGGTACTCATGGGGGGGGGTCACAAAATTACATTTACATATCATACTTACTTTTTGATATTTTCAACAGAACCCCCTCTTGGCCAACCGCACGGACTGTATCATGAATAAATGGACATGTACTGTTGTTATTAGTGTAGAAATCCTTTGACTAGATTCCACCAACTTTTTATCAAACTTATTGTCACAGGTTAAAAAAGGAGAAAATCATTGCTTTGCCATGGACGTACAATATGAAATATCACGATTAGTTGAGGAAAATTTGGTAAGCCTTCCTTTGAGATATCTTAAACCGTATGTTTGTTTATTGCAATTAATTCATCGTGTTCTTTTCTGTCATTTCCAGGATTTAAAAGAACAAATTGAAAAGCTGGAGGGACGATTGAAGAACCAACAGCAAAACACGTTAGGAAAGAATGGTCCGGACCATTTTCGGTTACGCGCGACGTCATGGAATAAAGGTTCGTGGGTTCATAATACATCATCTGTATTTGTGGAACGTGAATACCTCTTGAGGAATGTTGCAGTCATTTTTGAATTTTTTTCAAAAGATGTTTTTGTTTTGTCTGATATAAATGCAAATGAATGAATTAGTTGCTAAGCGATGAGGAAGAAATTTAAATAAAGCATTCTTTGTTATTAAAACAAACCTAAGTACTACGAGATCTTTGAGTTGTACGTATACTTATCTACAATGTTTAACGTTCGGAATTTTTGTTGTAATATTTTCATTTTCTTTCAATAAGCCGAAACAGAAATAAAAAGACGAACTGGATCTTTATACAGAGGATCAGGAGATCCACTCGCCGGAAAGTTGGTACGATTTAGTTTTCGTTAATATATGTAATGTACAACTAACAACTATTGTTGGCCTGTAGTTTTGGCCGTAGTTTCGAAATCATTCATGTATTATCTTGTTGTTTTGAAATCTATGTAGTATCATTGTATGTGTAGAGTCTTTGTGTTCTTGATCGGCCGTTGTTTCGGAATAATTCGTGTATTTTCTTGTTGTTTTGAAATCTATGTAGTATCATTGTATGTTGAATCTTTGTGTTCTTGATCGGCCGTAGTTTCGGAATTATTCATGTATTTTCTTGTTGTTTTGAAATCTATTTAGTATCATTGTATGTTGAATCTTTGTGTTCTTGATCGGCCGTAGTTTCGAAATCATTCATGTATTTTCTTGTTGTTTTGAAATCTACTTAGAGTCATTGTATTTGTAGAGTCTTTGAGTTCTTGATTGCTGATTATTGCTTATTGCTGGTTGTTTTTTTTTTGCATTTTTTACTGCATTCTTTTAAAGGTGATGAATTTTGCTGGACTTTTGAGAAAAAATCCCAAGGATTTGGTGCGTGTATTTCATACTTTATCAAATGTACCACTTTCCATTAAAAATTGACGCTTCTTCTCTCGTTCGTCGTTGCTGACTATAACAGGCGACAAGACGTTCTTACGACAGTGGCAAAAACCTAGGAATGATCGAGTTTGAAATATCAGATGTGGATCTCATTATCAAACAGCTTATTTACGACATGTCACCTGACCAGGTTTCCGATCAGATCCCTGGACTTGCAGCCCACCTCATTTTCATGTGCGTGCGTTATTGTGATCACGTGAACGATGACGAAAAACTACAGACTTTGCTTACGTCAGCCATCAGCGCTATAGGAAACATCACCAAGGTAACGCGTGCGAGAAGTCATCGTGTCATGCCGTATGGAGTCGTAAGCTGTCGTCAGTTTTAGTCATCGCAGCAAAGCAATGTAGAAAATTTTTTTATGTCTGTTTTTGTAAATTGTGATCTTTTGCAAATAAGTCAATACTGGGAGTCTTTTCCATTAAAATTTTCAGTCAGAACTGGTTGGAGTAGCAAATGGTATTTTCTTGGGTTTGGATCATTTTGGTCTGTTTGGTGATCGTTTTTTAAAAGTCAATTTTTCCAGTGCCAATTCAGTTTTTTCCCTGTCGTTTACAGAAGTCTTCAAATGATTTCGACCTTCTTGTATTTTGGCTCTCGAATACTTGTCGTCTTCTTCATGATCTGAAGCAATACAGTGGTGATAAGGTAAAATACTTATGGAAATAATTTAATCTTTGACAGATGACATACAGTGTTATCCTTTTAGAAATAAAAAGATGTTTACTTTGTTTACACAGGCTTATGCAAACCGAGGAGACGTTTGGGAGGCCTCGAGAGTTCTCACAAACATCTCCGAGGTTTGCATAAGCTCGTGCAAACACATTAAATATCTTTTGCTTCTTTCATAAAATTACAAAATGCGAAGCAAATAACTTTGAATCAAGCGTTTTAATTTTCCTTTCAACATGTACTTATGATTGATTTGCAAATTCTCTTTTATTGGTTTATTTGATTGGTTTAATTGATTGGTTTATTTGATTGGTTTATTTGATCAGCACACGCGTTTTGTTGTTTTTATTTTACATTCTTTGTAAAGGGTTTTCAAATGCACAATACACCGGAGCAGAACGAACACTGTTTGAAAAATTTTGATCTCACCGATTACCGTCAACTACTCGACGATCTTGCTGTTCATATATACAACTATATTTTAACAGCCGTCTATGAATCAGTACTAGGATACATTGGTATGTTTATGGTTTGATAGGGATTCTTTAGGATACATATCCTTCAACAAACTTTAGCAATTTCATATTTTCAGTTCCAGGTCTCCTGGAGTATGAGTCAATACCAGCAGTTTCCAGCTCCAAACCATTTGGAAGAACAAACATCAGGCAACGAGCACAAAATGGTAACGAAGAAATCACTGTTAAAACTATCACGAAACATGTAAGTTATTTTAAAGCTTACGGTACTCCATGCTTTAGATTCCGAATTCAAAGCAGTATGTTTGCTGAAATGCCATTTATCTAAACAGATGAATTACTAAATATATGTATTACCATAATCGTCTTTTGCTTGTTCAATTACTTTCAATGAATTCTCATCTTTTTTTACTAGCTCTCGTACGTATTAGCAATATTAAACACTCACTGCGTTGATCCCGTTATCATAAAGCAAATATTTAGACAGGTAACTTCTCTTTTTTTCTTGTTTCGTACAAAATACACTGTTATTCACAGATTACTTGTTTTGCAAAGACACTGTTATCCTTAAATTGACTGTACAATAATATACCCTGTTATCTTTAGGTTAGCTGTCTAGCTATATACTGTTATCTTTGGGTGACTGTCTAGCAATATACTCTGTTATCCTTAGATTGCCTGTGTAGCAATATACTCTGTTATCCTTAGAATTCGTGTCTAGCAATATACACTGTTATCCTTAGATTGCCTGTGTAACAATATACTCTGTTATCCTTAGAATTCATGTCTAGCAATATACTCTGTTATCCTTAGAATTCATGTCGACACTGTTATCTTTATAAATTAAATGTCCTGTAATATACTCTGCTTAACACTTCTAAACCAAACTTGTGTATTCCAATCAACTTGTAATGAACTTTTTCACTTGAAGTTTCTTTTATTTTTTCATGTATAGATTTTCCATTTTATTGGTGCATCAATGTTAAACAACGTTTTACTTCGTAAGGATATGTGTCATTGGTCTCGTGGCTTGCAAATAAGGTGTGTTCTCCGTTTGGCTTAGTCATTTTCTTATTTTGTGAAAACTATTTTCAAGGGTGTTCTTGATGGTAAGTAACCAAGTAAAATGATGGATCAAAAAAAGAAATAACAATGAGTCATGTTAGAATTCTTTCTGCTGATCTATTTTATTCTATCATGCACTTTGTATTAAGGTTCAATCTGAGCGTGCTGGAGGACTGGGTTCGAATTAATCAATTAGACAGCGGTAATATATTGGACGGTCTTACGTGTATCATTCAAGCGACTCAGTTACTTCAAGTAAGCAAGAGCAGCATAAAGGATGTTGATGCTATTTGCGAAGTTTGTAATTCATTGAACACTATTCAGGTAATTCCACCAATCAAGGTTTATTAAAAAAGCTAAAGTGATTGATTATTGGTCCCAGACTCCCCGCAATATATGTTTATATTTTATCTGTTTTGCAGGTGCAGAAAATTCTTACTATGTACACTCCTTCGGGTGACCACGAAGCTAGGGTGCCTCCCGCAGTAATACGTGCCGTCGTACAGCGGGCTCATAACGAAACTGATCCCATGTATCTCATGGCCGACGCGAACAAAACGTACTCTGTGAAATTTGCATTTACTGCGTCAGCGGTTTGCCTTGAAAATGTAACTATTCCTGATTCAATAAACAGCAATTGCATGAAGATTATTTAGAATTGAGGAATGTTGTGGGACTCTTTTGAAATCCACTTTTCTAAATGAATTTATATACGTGACTTCGATAGTTGTACAACGTGACAGTTGTACGGTCGTTCAATGTAACATTGCCGTACATGCATCATTGTACGAATATTGCATGTAAAAATTTCTCATTCGTCAAGCAAAACTCGCGGTGTGGCTGTAAAACAGTAACACCAAAATTATTTATATGCCAAATTTTTTCAATTTAATTCGATAATATACATTTAATATAATATTTCTTCGTCAATTTTGCGGAATGTTCATTTACTTAAAATACTGTTTTAAGTATGAGCATTGTGACGAATTTTTACATTACTCACGGTAATACGCTTGCCCCAATAATATTAGTACACACCATTCGACAATTTTGCCCACTCTCATGAAGTGAGAGGTTTCTATGCCAATACCAACACAATACCAATGACAGATATATGATAACACCAAATACGCAGAGATAAATCTTGATTGTAGATAGTTTGAGATTGAGCTTTTTGTTGAGATTGAACACTTGATGGTAGATAGTTTGAGATTGAGGTTTTTGTCATCTTACGATTCAAAAAAATTTTGATTATAATTATCCGATAGCCGACAGTATTGATATATTATTGGGATGTATTTACTTACATCATTTCTGAATGAAGTTCATCATTATGTAAAAAGCATATATAAAAGAATTCTTCTAAGCCCAATAAAAAAACGATGGTTCGTTCTTTGTCTGTCAATGTTCGTTTAGTTGCCTTTAACGAAAACAAAAATTGTTTTCTATTAAACTATCTTCATTTCGAAGAAAGTTGTGTAAAAAAATCACAAAGTTCCATCTTACACGGATGGATCAAAAACCATATTTTATAATTTTGCCAATCAGAGTCGAGAAGCTCGTCGAAATCAGCCAAGAAATCAGGCTACAAAACGACTTTCAGAACTTACAATCACTCTCAGATTCACTCACTGCTAGAGTGATAAATTTAATAACGCCAGAAATGTTCTTGCTTGAAGATGCTTTATCAACAATATATAGTTTTGTATGAGGCAAGGTAGTAGTAATGTGTAGTAATGGCCCAGCAAAGCAGCTCCCTATCAATTAGGTTTCCTTTTGGCTGTGGTACTAAAGTTGCTTTGCAGGTGTCTCATCGTTCAAAGGTTTGTTTTAAATTGTTTCGTGCAGAATACTTCTTAGGTGGATGTTCAAAACTTCAAATCGGTTATTTTATGCTACTGATCAACAGGGTTGTGTGAGGACGTACATAGGCAAAAAAATAGCGTACACGGAATATTTTTACAAGGATGCATATTTCATAAGTCACCTGTTTCAATAACCTTGTAAGGATAAAGACAGTCTAATAAATTTTGTAAATATAATTAAGTATGTTAATGTCCTTCTTTGTCAAGATAACTAGTAAAAATATATAAGGTGATGCCAAGTAATGTGCATCCACGGACTGGCTTTCGTTACTTGTTTGATATCTGACGGTTATTCTCTGGCGATACGCCGGTTTCCCTCATCGTTAGAGAACCATTCGATGTGATTACAAAGGACTGGCACTACTTCCAAAACACCACAGCATCAATCCTCACTCCAGTTATCGTTTGGTTTCAGTTTACTTCACCAAATTTCTCGTAATTCAATAAGTGAGGTTGTGACAGGCATCGAAATGGTTGTTTTGAAAGGTGTTCCGCGTATTCTATCTCCTCAAATATTGTATGCACTTGCAAGAATGGGTCATGGAGATCAGTTAGGTATCTTAAATTGCTTACGTTTGTGTTCGCGACTTGTAAAATCATGTTGATCATTCATTTTGACGATTTTCGATTTATTTTTTATCAACTCTAATTCAACAACATTAATTTGCAACAATGCATTTTGCTCTTTAAGTCCTCGCTGACGCCAACTTCCCTTCAAGTTCTGTATGTAACAGTGGCCCAGAAGAGCTCAGAGCTGATGGTAGGTCAAGTTTATAAATGGTGATTATTTTAATAAAATTCAAAAAGATTTAGACTCGAATTAAGGTTTCGTGGCAATTATCTAGGTCATGGTATACCTGAGCTGTTAGAAGCAATTTTGAAATTTTTTCCATTGGATACCTATGTAAAGGAGCCGGTTAGTAATTTTGTGTTAATAAACATGTGATATAGATAATTGGAGAGGGGGGGGGGCACATATTCACATATACATGTTCTGCAATATTAAATTCCTTTGAAATCTGTTGTTTTTTATGGATTAAGACATGCATATATGAATTTTCACACACACACCCTTTAATCAACTACTTTGCTATTTCACCATACGAGAGTTAGAAATAAAACTGCTTGTAGCTTTGTCTCATGTTTATCTTGATGGTACATGACATTTTTTATAATGTGTTGTAATGTGCTCTGTTATAAAAGACATTTTATTGTTATACATCAGGTGAAACTGATGCAGGTTACTCAAAAAGACCTTGATGAGGGAATGGGTATACCAAGTGTTTGGGCAAAGTACAAGGAGATCATCGACAAAGCTGAAGGACACAAGGTGCTGAAACATCTACTTTCAAAGATACTTTTGTAAATGCATTACATCAGGTTCAGTTGACTTCTTGGCATTGTCGACTTCATTTCAAGAATGTTTGTTATAGATTTGATTGGTTTAAAATTTTATTGTAATGGGGGTTTATTGGTCAAGAAGTTGCTGACTCAGCACTAGAAGTGACATACATACACAGGAGAACACACTGGCTTCATTTAGAATAAAAAATTTATGATATTCTAAAATCTTAGTGAAAAATAATGTCTGAAACTATAAACTTGTATCATGAAAGCTATATCTTCAATTCATGTAGTCTCCAATACTGAGTCATCGACTTTCAGATCCAAGTGGCTCATAAAGATAATGTTGTTGCTCTATAAAATATATTTCAGATATTCTTGAAATCGAATTAACTATCAGAAGAAGTCGTTTCCCTGACCCTAAAATAGCCACTTTTTGGATAATAATATAAATGCCTACTTTCAAGAGTACTGTTGCTTATATGATAACATGATTCTCACTGTAAAAATGGTTATTTAATTGCAAAAATTTTGCTGTCAGATGAGCCATTGGAAGTCCAACTACCTATTCCTTCAATGGTTTTTGCAGATTTTACATGCTGATAACATTAGCAACATTTTCGTATCTTTTCAGTTTTTTTTATACACACCCTGTGAAAAGAAGTCATTTCCCTGACCCTTATATAGGCACTTCAAGGATATTTTAAATTCCTACTTTCAAGAGTACTATTGTAATTAAGTACTGCTTGCCTTTTTTTTAGGTTTTTGTTGGTACAATTGAAAGATTTGAATTTTATGAGGTTGCAAAGAAATCATTTGCTGTGATTGCAACTGGGTGAGTGTCGTTTTGTATTTATGTAACACACGCAAGTTTGTATTATATGCTTTTTGGGCCCATTGACTGCTTTCCTTCTAAGAATACTGCATTGCTTTTATGAAGGATACGCCTTAAATGAAATAAGCATGTGGAGGTTTAGATGGCGAATGTGTTTACTTGATTCAAAACAAACACCCAGCTTAAATAAATTTACTCAAACTGTTGATTTTTACAAATTAAACATCTGAGTAAGGATCAAGGAATATATCATTAATACCTAAGAGGAATAATTTAATAGCTCCCTTTTTCATATCATGTTTTTTCTTCTGAAATCAGCTCTTTCGTTTCTCTTCCAGAGAGACTGCTTTGTATGGGAACATTATCCTTATTAAAGGAGCTCTGCCACCGGACACCGAAAATGAATAAAATATAAGGAAAAAGTGGAAACACGAGTGGAGATAAATCTACCATTGTGCATTTAATTGAAATAGTTAAAATTGCAAAAATTTGTCGTATTAATAAATACCAATTAGGTTACAAAATGTTATGATATCGTTTTTTACATAGTTATTTTTAACGTTTATGAGAGTAAATTTTCTCATATGTCTCGTTCCTTCGTCATGATTGTCAACACCAGTCTTTCTGATCCGTGGTTTTTTTGAGAATCAAGTTGATCGCAACGCTCACGTACTTAAGTACGCTGATGCACGGCTAATGACTTTACGGTTCGCTGTAGTTGTCACGAAGTATCCTAGTTTGTTGCCGCTGGACCAAAAGACGCACTTCGGGTGGACAACTTCGTATGATGGACAATGCCTCCTGGAAGTGGTGGGGAAAGAAATAGTTAGGAACGGACTCTGACGGTGAGACAATTTTTTTCCATTTTTGAAATCGGTACGCGCATGTCAAAGGCATTTTTTACTATGCTTATTGTGTTTTGAAGAAATTCTGAAGCATTTTGAAAATAGAAGCGAGTTGAAAAACTCTCTTAAACTCTTAAACGCCATGAAGAGGGGGCTGAAAATCTTTATAGTGTTAAATTTTACGTTTCTGTTTCTACGTTCGGACGAATACGTTTATGACTGTAGAAAGATCGATACTTGGTATAAGGCACATATTCATTAATTCATACTATAATCCGCAGAAAAAAATAGATTTCATTGTGACGTAGTGAAGCGTATCTTTCTTATATGAATGATGCCTTCTCCATTTTCGGTACTACCACGCCCTGGATGTATATACTTGTGAAAAAATATATACAAAAGTGACATAAAATTTAAGACTACTTTCGTGTACGCTCTACGTGCCTATTTTATTACCTTATACGTCAAGCGATCCAAGTTATTTCCGTTTACCTGAAAGATGAATTGACTTAATATTGTCGCCAGTCTTCTGTTCATAAATTATAATTAATTTTTTTTATATATTTTATCCTTACTTGTATCAAGATATCTCCAACTTCTAAAGCTCCACTTTTTGCAGCAGTTCCTTCCGGTACGAGGCTTTTGATGAATATTGGTTCTATGAATTTGTAACATCAATTAACAAAGAAACGATTTCACTCTGTTTTCACTGGCTTATGCAAACCGAGGAGACGGTTGGGAGAACTCGAGAACTGATCAGCGCAGGCACAAAATCGAAGGTCGAGGGTTGCACCTACTGTGCAATTCTTACAAACGTCTCCAAGGTTTGCATAAGTCATAAGAAAACACAAGAAATATATTATTTCTTTTATGAAATAATACTAGAATGCGGAACAGATAAATTTAAAACAAACGTTTTAATTTTCTTCTAACGTGTATTCATGAACGATTTGCAAATTCTCTTTGATTGATTCAATTGATCGCACTGTGGTCTCTTTTTCCAGGCTAATACAAAATCATCTATAGACCAATCATCGCACGTGTTTTTATTTGTATCATGATATATTACATGCTTACCGCGAGGTCCGCCCCCAATTAAACTCATTCCCAGTCCCGACTCTTGTTTGTAGAGTGTCACTTCAAACGTTTGTCGGCCATATTCGACTGGTTCATCTAAGTTTATCAAAACAAAAATAAAACATTTTCTTTTTCATTTCACGTTATTACTGGTGGTCTGTAAGAGGTTATTGTGTGCATTGTCGATTGTTAGAATAGTGACATATAGTCAAGGGTCGGTTGTGATTATTTCATTTAGTTTACATATCTCCCGGTTTTACTTTTTAGTGAGCAATTTACGAGTGTTAACGATGGTTTACCGAGTGTTTGCGAACTTTGGACGCTGGTCATTGAATCGGACATTGCATCATATGAAGGCTCGCACTTATCTATGACCATACGAACTCTTTTCCCAGCACTCCGCATGACGTCAACTGCCTATGGAAGAATATCCAATCAAATTGATCTTTCGTGTGAATGACATTCAAAATGTAAAGGAATGGACACGATCTAAACCAGGTTAGTATTAAAATACCTCTTGTCTTGTCACGCCGATTAAACTAACCGCATTCACGCACAAAATCCTATCTCCTAAAGGAAAGAAAATCTTAGAGTTAGAAATTCATACCGTATATGTAATGCAAAGTAAAGCACATTTGCTATGTTTTATTTCATGTCTGACGTCATGTTATTGTTGAAAACTGACGTAAGTGATTGGTTATGTAAAGAGGTACAAAGTTAAGCCAAGTTGAGTATTTTGAAATTGGTTCAGGTTCATCTTCAAACCACTTTAAGATGAACCTGGCTATCGAGGAACTACACCTGATCACACCAATTATTTTTCAAAATAAGAGAAGTTTCTTCGATAGTTGTCTTTTTTACAAATGTATTCGCTAGTGGCGTGCTGATCGCACAGTTTTCTCTTGCTGATGAAGTTCCTGTGCTCTTACTGTGAGAGATCTGGTGACGAGATCTGCACGCCTTACCTTGCTTGTAGCTATAGTGATTGCATGACATTTGATGTCTAATAAATGATATCGTACTACAGTTAAAATCGTTACGTATCAAGCTCAGAGTTATTTTTTTGTTGTGGCACTAATCGCTCACGCATTTGACGCAAATTTTCGTGCGGTGAAAATATTTGAATATTTTGATTTATAAACCGTATTTTAAATGTTGTTCACAGCTGACTATGAGGTTTCGTTATTGAACTAGATGTATTATTGGAAGGCCACCTTTATATGAACGTGTCTGTACTTGCATGAAGCCAAATTTTACCCCCAGTCACGCGCGTCTAGAGGTCGAATTCCGCATTGAAGATTATCGTCGTAAATGAACTTTCTTTTGGCCGTGCGTTGAAAGATTGGCACTAGTTAAATTACTGACTTCAAATTTTGGGGGGGGAGGTAGCCTTCCAGTTATATTCAATTCTCTGTGGTTTTTACCTACGGAAATTCGACCATCCAGATCAGCAGCACCGTTTGGATTTATTGTCCTGACGTAGATTCCTCCCAACTCTAGTCCTCCCTTCAAGAAAGAAATCTCAAGTTTTTTCAACTTGGAACGTATTGTTGTTTCCATGTTTAAGTGTTGCTTTTTCATCATGGCGCAGAATAATGATTATGCAGAAGGGTCACTCAGGTGTACAACGTGTCCTCATGTCGGCCATTATTTCAGCCAGATGATTAGGATTTCTTCACTTGTTTCCAACCATCAAAATTACATGACGTCAATACTTCATAATGAATTCAAGGATATTTTGACTTAAGAAATGACTTCGGATCATTTTAAAGGTTTGGAAAAAGTCAAAAACCCTAATCATCTGGCTGGAATAATGGCGGCCACCATGCGCGGCACGACATGCGCGAGGACAAAAACATCAAACACGAGCGACTCTTCTGTATATTCTTATTCTGTGATCATGGTATAAATTGCTGTTAGCATATTAAAAAGTTTCTTTACCACGACACTAAGGCCCAAACTTTGCTGCTGCTTCTGTAATTCAACAATAATGTTTGTTGGCTGCAAGAGATCAACGATTTTTCTCATTAGGACGAACTGTATTGAGACATCAACTACATCACAACACATTAAAGCATTGAAACATTAAACACATCACGAGTCGACTCGTTAAACCTTTAAAAACCCACCGAAGATTTCAAAATATCGGTTTCTATCGCTTTGGCTTTCTGGTCAAGTTGAGCTCCTAGTCCTTTATAACGTTCAATAATTACTCTGACGGTCGATGAACATGTCCTTAATAACTGCACGGCATGTTTTCTTGTACAATTTTCTAAATTCGCTCCATTTATTTCCAGAACGCGATCACCTTGAAATACAGGATGGCGCACTATGACGTCATGCACTTGTGACGTACGAGCTGCTTAGTTACTTCGAGTTATTTTTTCATGTTTATCGTAAAAATATAAGATTTCTTGTCTCGCCTGTTTGTTCGAATGTATGTAAAATTGACTAAGTCAACATACCTACTAAAATAGATCCGCTTTGCTCTGCTGCTCCGTCTGGTAGCAGAGTTTTTACGAAGATACCTCCGATCTCTGGTCCACCCTGATTACATAAATAAGATAAAATTAAAATTTCATCTATACACGATGATCATGCACGTTAACTGTAGCTGATTTACTATCCCTGTCTAGAGAAGGTAGATTACTTATAGTGCAATGCTGTATGTATTTTAAGCCTCCTCTCTTGATATTTAGACCTTATGTCCTATTACTGTTAAATTCTATGATACTTGTACTGTTAAACTCTATGGTACTTATAACCGTTAAATTCTATGGTACTTGTACTGTTAAACTCCTTGGTATTTATACTGTTAAACTCTGTGGTACTTATACTGTTAAACTCTATGGTACTTATACTGTTAAACTCTGTGGTACTTATACTGTTAAACTCTGTGGTACTTATACTGTTAAACTCTGTGGTACTTATAACCGTTTAAATTTATGGTACTTATACCGTTAAACTCATTCCAAAACTTCCATTTAATTTTGGCAATTCAACTGTCAGACAAATCTGTAACGAACCAAAGAATTTAAAAAAACTTTACAAAAACAAGAGCCAATGTTCTAAAAAACGTAACGGCAGGAAAAATAACGTACTGGTGCATCCTTCTCTGACTGTTTCATCTTTTCGATATTACGAAATGTGAGCGGAATTTGTTCAGTTGAAATGTTTATATGATTACGAGAGGCGATTGACGACAACGACAAAGCTTCTCCGCTTTGCATTTTTAAAGTTACTGATTGCGGTTTTCTTCGAAGCATTTGTACAACCTGGTATTTTAAAAGAGTTAATTTTAAAAACGCGTTTGAGCTCTTTAATGTATCCCGATTCGACTTAGCCATGAATGTTGTTGTTGCTGTTGTTGAGTAATAAAAAAAAACTTTTCTTTGTCTAATGCAAGGCTGTGTAATTTTGAAACATATTGCATGACGATATGTTTATAGAGCTGGTTTACATTCCATAGAATCATTCGTTGTTATGGTATTATTTTCAATAATCGTTTTGTTGGCAAAAAGTAGCTTGTATTGTGTTCATTTGATCATTAAGAAACCATTAGACAAAGTTTAATTTTGTTACATATAACGAGCATGATTTTTAAAGTAGATAGTTTTGTACTATGTTGTCTTTTGACTGACGTTAACCGAGTCTGTATTTTTATTGTACCTGAAATATTTTAGCAAATATCCTACCTCTTGCGTGCTTTTGTCTCCCACCGGTTTTCCATCGATTTCTAAAAGTTTATCTCCTTTAATAATTGAGATGACGAGTTATTAGTATTTGATCACATTGACTGGCGAAATTGTCGTCAATTCAAGGAAGCATTATTATCAGTGACTGAAAATTTCCTTGTGTACAACATAAGTTTTAATGCTACAGCTGAAATGTAGAATAATTAGACAAAAATATGTATATAAATATATATGAACGAATGATACTTTCTAGCATGACGAGACAAATGGAGTTTCCAATCTTCGTTGAAAAGTCTCCAGATATTTTAATCTTTAACGCTCCTCATCTGATCTTTAAAACCCGATGCCTACGTATAAATGCATGAACTCACCTACAAGCATTTTACCACTTCTTGAAGCAGCACCGTTTGGTTTGACTGACTTAAGAAAAATTCCATCTTCGTTTGCTCCACCCTGTGTGTTTATACGTCATTTTACATGATTGTGTTTACCGGCATTAGTAGGTTTGTAATAAAGCGATGTTTTTGTCAGTCGTTCTTCCAACTTACCATAACATTAAAACCAAAACTTCCCTTTTCTTTGATAAGTTCGATTTGATATTTGTTTCCCTGCAAAAAAAAAAAGGAAAAAACTTGTAAGAAATTGGTATTTAAAAAAGTAACTTTTAGTTTGAGGATGTAAAAGATAATGTTATCTTAAGCAAAAACTCTTTTTCCATTTGGCAATTTTTGAGCAAAATATTTCGAAGAATGTGATATAGCAAACTTGTTGTGAATTCATTGTACTTTTTTATGAGCATTTTTTACTTGTATTGCAGAACTACATTGACAGCATTATGTGGAACATGCAGGAAACGGAAGGTTTGTTGAAGCTAATTTGTTCTATAGGCTTTGCACTTGAATATATTAAATATATTTATGATCAATGAGAAATTACAAAAGTTATTCTTCTTACTGAGAGTTGATTAAAAGCCGATCCATTAGATCAATATATTTATGATCATGAGAAATTATAAATTTATTCTTCTTACTGAGAGTTGATTAAAAGCCGATCCATTAGATCAATATATTTATGATCATGAGAAATTATAAATTTATTCTCCTTACTGAGAGTTGATTAAAAGCCGATCCATTAGATCAATATATTTATGATCATGAGAAATTATAAATTTATTCTCCTTACTGAGAGTTGATTAAAAGCCGATCCATTAGATTGTGATCTGTCAACTGATCTTGTTTCTTTACCGTTGTTGGAGTTATCGACGTAATTTTCCGGAGCTTTTTTATTGAAGAAGGAATATATATTATGTATTTGATCATTACATAATTGATGACAGTATAGCACACATGAACTTCTATGTTTGATGACATTGTATAACATACACTTTTCTACTGGTGATGACTGTATAAGATACACTTCTCTATGGTTAATGACAGTAGAACATACACTTCTCTATGGTTGATGACAGTATAACATACACTTCTCTATGGTTGATGACAGTAGAACATACACTTCTCTATGGTTGATGACAGTAGAACATACTCTTCTCTATGGTTAATGACAGTATAACATACACTTCTCTATGGTTGATGACAGTATAACATACACTTCTCTATGGTTGATGACAGTAGAACATACACTTCTCTATGGTTGATGACAGTATAACATACACTTCTCTATGGTTGATGACAGTATAACATACACTTCTCTATGGTTGATGACAGTATAACATGCACTTCTCTATGGTTGATGACAGTATAACATACTCTTCTCTATGGTTGATGACAGCATAGCATTCTTTTTTTGATGAGCCATTAAAGTATAACAGACACTACCTCGTGCCTCAGTAAAAAAAAATTCACTATTTACAATACGTACTGTCAACAGCTTGTTTGTCTTTGGACTCTGTCAGACTTGACTCCATCACGCTATGGAAGTCATAAAAGTCAGTACTTATGGCAAGGAGATAGCGGGACCTTATTGGAAAGAAAATGTAACATAATTATCTCAGAAAAATCTTATGGCTCTCTTTCGTCATAGCTGTGATCTTACTGTTTATATCCACTTGTAAAAAGGATCATCTTTTCAATTTCTTTCGTGCCTTGTGCCTCAATGAAGAATCTTCTCCTCTAGTTTTTAAAAAGTTCCCACTCGGTTAAATGACTTGTGTATGACGCAGGATATGACTGGATTCGCATATAAATTCTTTAGTTTATAAGTGACTTACGTAAAATGACATTCTTTTGATATGCTGCCAAGGATGGCGAAAGATTGGTGTCTTCATAAAGCCTCGTTCCTTCAAAAATATGAAATAAAACTGTGTTTTAAGGTTGTCGAGCAATACGACGGTGCTCACGTTGTTGTTCGTGGTCAGAGTTCATGGTTAGAGAGTTTGAGACTATGGTGTATGATTTAAAGGTTAAACTGCTCCTATTGACAGTAGAGGCTAAACTCTTTTTGTTCTCGGTTTGAGAGTTCAGCTGGTTCTCGTTTCAACCGTTCAACCATTTTTTTTCATCCTTACTGAGTTTAACGATGGTACATGATCAATGGATCAAAATGTTTATGTTGATGGTTGAAGAGCAGAACTATAGCACGTGGTTCCCTGTCCTTGTTGGGGATTACAGAGTATCACAATGTTGTTGTAGTAACTGATGGATTTGTGCTCTAGTTTTTATAAGATGTCAGTAAGTCAGTCCAGTTTGGATTTGATATCAGTGGCTTGTTTGAGGATGTGTTTATGTGATTCTAGCCAAGGAAAGGAGTGCACACCCTCACGCACCCCTTTCCTAAATCCATCCCTGGTTATACTCACTTCATACACCAATATCCCTCGAAGACAAATTCCAAGACTAAAACCTCCTCTTCTGTCTTTCTTAAACTTCGAAACTTTGTGGAATAAAACTCCATACTCTTGAAGTTTTTGCGCTTCCTAAGTTTAGGAATCATGTCGAGCATTAAAAGTAAATCACGTTTGGCCATATATTATTCTTATATTTCCTAACAGTTTTGTTTTCTTTTAGAGAGATGCGATTACCTTTAAGAACTCGATTTCAGCTTGTGCCTCTGTAAGATTGCGATGAGAGTGATGCATTTTGGGTAGTTGATGACGTATCTGCTCCGGAGTCAACTTCATGATGGCCTAAGAAGTGGAAGCTTATCGTCACAAATATTTGAAGTATGTACAACGTTTGAGCATGAAAACTTAAATAGTTATTCGATCTTGCCGGGTTTATTGAATATCGCCGTGTTTGTTGTAGAGATTTGCGGAATTGAAGGAAAAGTTCGTATCAACGGACGTTGGCAATTTCTTATGATTGAATTTGGTTGTTCCATTCAGAAATGCTTTTGACGATTGAAGATCATTTGCTCATCAATGTTACGTAAGTTGAAATTTTAGTTCTTTACATTGAATCGTATGGTGACTTTCTTTGACAACGATTTGAACGTAATCCTTTCAAAAGTACCTATCTCATTCAGTTATAAAATATGCGCACATTATTATAATTCTATCGAGCGCGTGCCCAATAATCATGACTAATACCTACGTCATTATTATGACTTCAGCATTGATGCTACTCCTGTAACTTATTAGTAGCAACGTTAAAAAGTCTCGGCAATCGTCAGATAAGTAACTTGACAAACACAACACAATATGACTGTCTCGTTGTATTCTCATTAAGTGTATTGCTTTAAAGTAAATGGTTTGAACCCCGGAGTATCGTTACATGTTTGTGGATGTAGATCGTCCAGGTTAGTAAAGTCCTGAGAAGGACTGTTTTTGTTGTTGTTGACTGACGTTTCGACAACCTTAGCGGTAGTCATCTTCAGAGTCAAAAAAAAAGAATTTTGAAAAAAAAACGGAAAAAAAATGGACGATCTACATCTACAAACATCTATTGCTTTAGTGAATAATTAGCACATGATTAGAACGACTTTTTACGTCTGCAGTGCTTGAAAATTTTTGAAAGACATTTTGGGAGGGCGAGCACACGTCCTTTAAGTAACTTTACACTGTGGAAGTGTGAACATACCCTTTGAGGAAGATACTTTTCCGGAGCAAAATACAAAGAGCTTGGCCCTCCTGAACCTAGTTCATGCCGGACCTCTGCTTGAAGTGCGTAAGAGGCCAGCAACAATGCCGTTTCCTCGTGGACGTATATATTTCCTTCTAGAACATCTTTTCGTAGTTGCAGATAATAAAGATGTCTGGTGATTTCATCTCTTCAAGACGAACAAAACAAATTAACGAAACAGTGCAGAAATTTCCATCGTTTCATAAAAATTTTTATCAACTTACTTCAACAGACAAATGTTTTCAACGTAGAATTTGACTCGAAAAAACATTGTAAACATAAGTGATGAATTACGTGAACTCTGAAAAAAAGGAAAACGTTTTTCATGTAGTTTTTTTACGTCATGAAGTATTGGTTTAAACCGCTGACACAGCGCTTATCGTATTTCTCCCTTACGTCATCTCGCCAAAGATTTGGTGCAAATTTCGACAACTTTGATATGCGATCCTTTAAGTTTACAAATTGCTGCTCGGATTCTGAAAAAAACATGCGCTTTCTACATTTGCTCCACTGTACACTGCCTTTTACTGAGATATCTTCACCCCCATAGTCCAAATCTACCATTTGTATACCTTTGATTATCATCAAACCAAAATATTTGCTTTCACGAAGGTCGATATGTTTGACCACGTGGTTGAATAGATCCTTACCAGTTGCTGTTTTCTATAAGAAAAAATCTTTTGGCAACTTATCGATGCAATTTAGGTTTATCTGCTTAGATTTATGTGTATAACTGAGTGGTTTATGTTACGAGTTCACTTTAGTTACTTTCTATTTGTTTCCCTTAATAATTCTATGAATGCTTGAGTAGTTTAAGTTACAAATTCACTTTAGAAACTTTATATATGTTTCTCTAAATAATTTACCTTTTTTTTTGAACAGTAGATTGTACGACTGATCTCTCTCATATTCTATTGTATTGCATTCTTTGCATGCAAACATGATCACATTCACTTACTGGTATTCGGACGTTGAGTCTATCTCCTTCTAACAAAATCACCGTCACTATTTTCTCGCCCTCTCCGATCTCATGAACGAAAAAAAACGAAACTGATGTCATGTTGTATGTCATTTAGTTCGCTGCTTCATTAAACAAAATGGCACGGAAGCTGGGGTTAAAAATGGCACGGAAGCTGGGGAGGATTAAGGAGTTGTGCTTTCATTGTGTTTTCATCATTCTTGCATATTATGCTCACTAAAAGTTCCACTAAAGATTGTCTTTTCTGTTGTCGTAGCAATATACACATGAACGATTTCTGATACTTCTGTACATTTCTCTCTGTATATTTCTGCTTTTCTATTTTGTAGTGTTTCAAACCTCATGTATTATTGGCTTTTCAATTTGATTAGGACACTGTAGTATATTTCTATCCTTCAGTGTTTATACCTATTGTGAGTAGGACACTGTAGTATGTTTCTATCCCTCAATGTTTCTGCCTATTGTGATTAGGACACTGTAGTATATTTGCTTACTGGGACACTGTAGTATATTTGCTTACTGGGACACTGTAGTATATTTCTATCCCTCAGTGTTTCTGCCTGTTGTGATTAGGACACTGTAGTATGTTTCTACCCCTCAGTGTTTCTGCCTGTTGTGATTAGGACACTGTAGTATATTTGCTTACTGGGACACTGTAGTATATTTGCTTACTGGGACACTGTAGTATATTTCTATCCCTCAGTGTTTCTGCCTGTTGTGATTAGGACACTGTAGTATGTTTCTACCCTCAGTGTTTCTGCCTGTTGTGATTAGGACACTGTTGTATGTTTCTACCCCTCAGTGTTTCTGCCTATTGTGATTAGGACACTGTAGTATATTTGCTTACTGGGACACTGTAGTATATTTGCTTACTGGGACACTGTAGTATATTTCTATCCCTCAGTGTTTCTGCCTGTTGTGATTAGGACACTGTAGTATGTTTCTACCCCTCAGTGTTTCTGCCTGTTGTGATTAGGACACTGTAGTATGTTTCTACCCCTCAGTGTTTCTGCCTGTTGTGATTAGGACACTGTAGTATATTTCTATCCCTCAGTGTTTCTGCCTATCCATTTTGTTGGGACACTGTTGAATTTCGTAATGGCTAAAATAATCAAACGCATCTAAAATAACTATTGCTGCTGCTAGTATTAGGTATTTGCTTTTCACCTGACCCCATGATGGAGTTATGTTATAGCGACTGTTTTATTATACTATGAATATAGGAGTTTGCTACTGCATCAATTGTTAATTTTCTTTATCATGTCTCTCGTTCTCGAAACAACATTGAAAAACATTTGCCTCATTATAATATCTTCCTTCAATGTAGAACATTAGTATAAGGATTTCAAATTCCTTACCACTTCTGGAAGCGACATGAGTTAAACCATTATACATAACAATCTTCTGTTGAACAACTTATTCCATGGCTGTTTTTTTTGTCAAATCCTTGTCAATTAACGTCGTTCACTCTGTTTTCGTTTCGTTGCTTCTGATCTTACGTCATCTGTAGTAACTGCTGAATATATACAAAAATTATCACCATAGGGTGCACGTTATCTTTCTTATTCCCTTAATATATAAAGATTTGCAAATGTGCTTCGAAATTTATCTTTATATTTCAGGATGATCCTGTAGTTATTGGATTGTCTATACCCTACGTAGCTACGAGAAAACCAGACAAGTTGACGACAAAAAAAGGTTTGTGGCATAATTTAGAAAATTTCGGTGCTTTTAGTTCATTTATTTTTAAATCAAATTCCCATTGCATCGTGTTATTCGCGGTTTACCTCTCTTATAAAATTCAAGTATTGAATGTCCAACGATTTTTTCCATCATTCAAAAAACCGCGTAGACTAATATGCCGACCATTTATTAAAGTATAAACGGGCAATCATGCTTTAACTCAAATGTATTTTACTGAAATTACAAAGGAGTCATGTAGATCTTTCTTATGTAATTTCGTTTTTATCAACAAGAAGCTCATTATGGTTTTGCATACACTTGATAAATTGACACGAATGCACGCAACATTGGTCAGATACAAGTGCCTATACAGAATAGAAAAGGTGGCTCAGATATTTTATTTTATCGTAGTGTAGCTATAGTCGATGACCTGCATCTACCATTACATTTAGGTTTTACCAGCAACAAAAATGTATAATACACAAATTTATCACATTAGACATGTATGTAACAACACTACGTATAGAATATAAACGACCCCTTTGTCATCTTTTTCGATAATTGATCTGCATCCTAGGTATCTTTGGAACTATATAATTTTGTTTTCTTCTATATTTGAGTGATTTAGTACACCTTTTTGTTTTCAATACATTCGACCATATATATAAACAGCTAAAACAAATATTATCCACGTTTTTGCAAAAACTACCTGCAAGCACACATGGATTTTTTTGTTGAGTTTTGTTGAATGTGTCAATATTTGAGACTTGCTGTGCAAACATGCAGGGGGTTTTCCTAAACATTCGTTGCCTAGCAAGTCAAATTCTTTTGTCAAAGTGTGTGATGGCTTGGAGTCTTAGTAATTCATCGTAAAATTATGTAATATCTGTAAAATTATCGCATTTGCTTGAGCGCTGTGGCTATTTTCGCATAACGTTTTAGTTAAAAACTGTGACATTTCCTCTTTCTACGTCTAAATGTTTTGGCACATATTGTGTATTTCTTAATCCATCTGTCCTTTAATGTGATTTTCACGTAATATCTTGAGTTGGCAAGAGCTTACCTTTTTTACGCTTATCCTGAGAAACATTCACTTAACGTCGCGTGTAATTAACTGGCAGCATGGCGTGTGAACGTCAAACGTTGTTTCTATGCCGTTGAGAATTGAGCAAATGTGTATCGTGTGTCAGGAAGTCGATGCAGAGAAAGCACAAACAATTATTTACATGCGTAACAGACGCGTACAATGAATTATTGAAAGTTCAATACTCAAACGAAACACCTGCCGTTATCAAATATGGAAATGGTTTTGATTCGTGCCAGTCTTAAATGGATAGCCATCTTCATAAACATTCAAATCAATTTCGCTTGCCTTGTTAGAAACGCGCGCCTTTGGGAATTAGAGCAAAATGTAGTAGTTATTGGCGCTGTTTAATTTCAATCAGTATATTTTTCATATTTGTTTGATATTTTTCATGATTCTTACATGTCGTCTGAAAAAAAATCAAAACCTTTGTAGAATGTTTGAATTTGCTAAACGTTGACCAATTTCACAAATTCATAGCAAGATTTTTATTGGAATGCAGTTTTCAATCAATCCGAAATGATGCAAATTTTCACTGACGTGCAGATTTTTTTAGTTGTCTAATATTTGAGTTATTCATGTTTTAAAGTTCATTAAATTAATATTAACCTCTTTACATAACGGAATACTCCCAACCTTATTGACAACCAAATTATCTGCGGTAGTTCGGCTGTTGCAATTTTTACATTTGTTATATTATTAATGATTGTATTGTTTACAGTCATCCATTGAATACTCATCAACATCACCTATTGTCCTGTCTTACTCCTCTTCGCTTTCAGAATCTTCTTGCTCCAGGCATTCCTTGACTTCGACTATGGCGCTTCTTAAATTGATAAACTGACGTGCGAGGTTGCGATCTTCGTCGCGCATGCTCTTTAACTCTTTCATCAGCCAGTCACGTGACTCGTGTAGCGTCTTCATTCGTTCTTGCAGCGACCGTTTTTCGGTTCCCGTCGTCAAAAGGAATTTTAGATTCTCTGCGTTTATTTCCTGGTCTTTGATTATCGGCTGGGGTTCTTCATTGATAGCTTGGGATAAATCTGTGCATGATTGATACTGTGCAGGATTGCTTTTGTTGCTGGTGAGACTTGGGTTCGATACCCACGATGTTAAACCATTGATTTCCTAAAATGTAAAAATTTCTGGTTAAGTCGATTCATGCAAGCACAGAGAATTGTCGACTCTTTGTTTTCGATTCTATGTTTGTGTTCTCTCGTTCAGATAGGCCACATTGGTCCATGACCACATGGCTTATCTTAATAACACGGAAGATAACCTGCGTACAGGTGTTGCTATTAGACAATTTGACTTCTTGAAATGAAGACTTACATCAACCGAACTATTCAAATCACTGAATCCGTTCCTGTTTTTAAAACATTTTTTTCATTTCAACAGTTCGTTGAATATGGTCATTATCTACCAAGACAAAACACGCTCGTTTTTGACGAGTTCAGGATGAGCTGAAAAAACTGAAATCAAATCCAGGAGGAATAAGATTTAAACGGATGAACTTTTGTTCTCAAAATTCATTCAGTACTAAGCATTTTCAAACAATGATATGTTTAATATACTATACTTACCGGCGAAACTTTACCCTTTTTTTCCTGTGTGACGATAAAACTTGTTGTCTCTGAGCTGCAATTGGTCACCTGTTGAACGTTCATTCTGCCATGATCTTTATCACCGTTGATGTAGTTGTGTGTGCTTGTTAAACAACTGACTTCTGTTCTTCTTAATTTATCTGAGTTTTTTTTCACATTTTTTCGCTTCGTGGACTTACTTCGAATATAATCCTGAGCAACGCACTTTAGCTTGGACATTTCGTATTGCGTTTCTGATACAACTTGGTCTTTTGTTTCTTGTTCCTTTGTGAGTCTAATGGCTTTGTTGTTTATGCGTAAAATGTTGTCGGTCAAAGCGACACTTCTTGAGCGAGCATTATTCAATTTGTTTTGTGATTTCCTGCTCAGCTCTGTGCCGAAATCAAACTCAGATGTTATAACCATAACCTGACGCTCCCATCTTCTCATATCAAAGTTACTATTGCTATGTTCCTCGCAGCTCTGTTTTGCTAGTTTTCTTTCAGCGTAATCGTAGCTATAGTTGTTGTTCGAATCATATGTCATTAAGGGCTCCTGTCCATTCATTTGCCCAACACGAGATTCCTCTGGGAAATTCTCGTTATTAACTTTCACGAAAATGTCATCATTTAATTTGCTACCGGTAATTGATACATTTCTTCGATAACTTTCTAAATTTATCGCTTTTTTGAACAATCGTCGAGGATGATATGAATCTTTCTCAATGCTCGTCTCATTCTCTCGGAGTTCGCATCTCAAATGGGCCGGTAAAGATAGTGTTCGTTTTACTGCGGGATTTCTGCTAAAGGAACTGTCTTTTTCCGTAGGCGTCTCAAAGGGATCTTGGAAAACTTCACTTTCGCTGGACAGTGAAGTGTTGAAGCTGTTGTCGGTTGAGAAATGCGAAACGATGTCTTCTTCGCTCGAATGGGTGGTTTTTGAAATCTTGTTCAGATATTTCGTAGCTATTGTTGAATTGGACGTTCTGTGTTTTGTTTTTATTAGGGTCGGTGTATGATTAAGTTCACCCCAGTAAATTTCTCTCACGTTTGCGTTATAGGCATTCCACTGACTCATTTTGTTTGTTTGCCTTTTTGACAATCAAATCTTTATTACAAACTTCTTTCTTCACTTTATCTATGTGAACTATACTTAGTATGTCGTCTTAAGTTGCCCGAGCGATGCTTGCAATCGCCAAGATTGCTCTGATTTATCTTTTGCTTGGATTAGTTCATTTATGCCTTTTATATTAGGAGTGCTAGAATAATTTAACGACTCGGGATTGTTCTCAAGTGAAATATGGTTTTATTGTCTTATTTGTATAAAGATTAGTAGCCTCATTATACATTGTTAAATCATATCATTTGGAAAGGTCGTGTTCAACCTTTCAACTGATATATATGTATGTTTCTTTTGAACTTTTAACCTTATAAAAAAATACACTTATTTGATGGCACCATAAGTTGGCTAGTCGTTTATTAGTGGCTCAAACTTTTAGCCGAAAAATCGCTTGTGCAAACAAACTAGAAAGCGTTTAATGATCATGTGTTCGAGTGCACGTTGCACGCAGGCAGTTTATGTTGAGCTACCTTTGATGACGTCACATATAATGGTAATTATTACCGAATCTATTGTGCAGTGCATGTTAAAATCTCTGATGGACGACCAGACCGTGGAAAACGCTGTGAATAATGAAAATGTGAAAGATGGCGATTGTAATGGTGTTGAACAGGAAAATGATGTGGTAAAAACTTCAACAGTCCAGACTACAGGAAGCGAAAACGAAGATGTAAAATCGGTAGATATTACGCAAAATAATCGAGAGGATTTTGCAAAGACAAGCATCTCAGATAGCGATGAAAATTATGCCGCGTCGAATGTTTGTGAATCAGATGAAAATGCTTTCGCGCCGAGTCAAAATACTAATGATGTTGAAAAATCTACGAACGTAGATAATGTTGATGATTTGTCCAAATCATTGAATGATGATGTCCAACAACCAAAGTCTGGAGATGAAAATGCCGAACAGACGATCCCAAAGGAAGATCCGGCTGTAGATGAAGGAAAAAGCAATGAAAAAATGGCCAATGATCACACGATTCCAGAAGCGAAAATTTCAAATCATGGCTCAGAAACAAAAACTCATGAATTTGATGCACCTACTGAATTCGAAAACGATACGCCGAGCTTAGGAATGACAGAAATAGAAACTTCCTCTAAAAAAATGGAAGCACAACTAAGTGAAAACACAGAAGCAACATCGGCGGAAAGTCGTCCTCAAGACATAGAGAAGAGTGAAGATCTCAAAAAGAAGGAAGAACATTTGAACGTAGAAGATGAGGATTGTGTCGAAAAAGTTGAAGTAAATGCACATGAAGTTGAACCATCTAATAACTCCGATAAGAAAAGTTTGCATGTTGAAATGACAGAAGATGAAAATTGTTCAAAAGAAGTGGATATGAAAACACAAGCAATTGAGACACATCTTGAAATTGAACAAAAGAAAGAGAATGTAGAAGCGTTAGAGGTTGAAGTTTGTTGTGAAGAAACCGAACTGAAAACGAAAGATATTCAACCGCTTGCAAACTCTACTGAGAATGGGATGCATGTGAAAGAGGATAATGATTCTCAACAAGTGCAAGAAATTAATTCTTTTGTCGATTTTGAGAAGAAAAAAACAGAAAATGATACTAAAGTAAATGAAGATTTAAAAAATACAGAAACAGCTGGTGCACTTGACAGTCATGATACAAAAGATGGCCGCGATGATCATACGGTAGTCAAGGCTTCAGAAGAGACACAAGAAAAGAATGATAAAGCAGAAACCGACAATGCAGTGACTGAAAATAAGAAAACAAATGATGATAAAGTTGATGTTGACATGAAGAAAACGAATGATACCTCAAACGAGTCTTCCGAAGAAGCTCAAGAAAAGGATGATAAAGCCGCAACTGAAAATAAGGAAATGGATCATGATAATGTTGATGTTAAAATGAAGAAAACGGATGGTACTTTAAACGAAGCTTCAGCAGAGACTCAAGAGAAAGACGATAAACCGCTGACCGATAGTGGAGCGACTGAAAATAAGGAAATGGATCATGATAAAGTTGATGTTGAATTAAAAAATACAGATGGTACTCTAAACGAAGCTTCAGAAGAGACTCGAGAAAAAGACGATAAAGCCCTAACTGACAGTACAGTGATTGAAAATAAGGAAATGGATCAAGATAAAGTTGATGTTGAAATGAAGAAAACAGATGGTACTTTAAGCGAAGCTTCAGCAGAGACTCAAGAAAAAGACGATAAAGCGATAACTGACATTACAGTGATTGAAAATAAAGAAATGGATAAAGATAATGTAGATGCTGAAATGAAGAAAACGGATGGTACTGTAAACGAAGCTTCAGTAGAGACTCAAGAAAAAGACGATAAAGCGATAACTGACATTACTGTGATTGAAAATAAAGAAATGGATCAAGATAAAGTTGATTTTGAATTGAAGAAAACGGATGGTACTTTAAGCGAAGCTTCAGCAGAGACTCAAGAAAAAGACGATAAAGCGATAACTGACATTACAGTGATTGAAAATAAAGAAATGGATCAAGATAAAGTTGATGTTGAAACGAAGAAAACGGATGGTACTTTAAACGAAGCTTCAGCAGAGACTCAAGAAAAAGACGGTAAAGCAATTACTGACATTACAGTGATTGAAAATAAGGAAATGGATTATGATAATGTTGATATAAAAGCTACGAACATGAAGAATAGGGAAGTTGACCAAGAAGGGGCGCTAACTGAAGAAAATATACCTACTAATAATGACATTGTTGAGCAAAGTTTCAATGGTGATAGTATTCAAACTGAAGAACACACATTCGTTGAAAATAGTAAAGAAAGTCTTAGTGATGCTTCAAAAATAAACGTCGACGAATTAACGACAAAAGATGACCAAACAGAAACTGCGGAAAAGGAAGATTCAACAACTGACTTTGTCGACATGCATCATGAAGACTATGATGTCGATCAATTTGAAAATGAAGATATTCCAGAAGAAAAAGAGCTCGACTTTCCACTGCAAAGATCTCCAAGTCCTGGTAACATGAGTGAGAAAAAACCTAGTATTATTGATGATGTTAGGGACGAAAAAACACCTGAAGGAGAAGAAGCAAATGGTGTTGAAGCTACCGTGTCACGTGATCATCACATGCAAAAGCCAGTGATAGAGATATCTAGTGACTTTTTGGAGCTCTTGGAAGGATTCTGCATGGCTGCTGTACAGGAGTTTCCAAGCAACGTAATCGATTTTGCCTACAAATATTTTCAAGCGATTCGTGAAAAGCGCAAAGTTCTCAGAAGTCAGAGCATTGATGTTTCAGACATAGCCCTGATCTCTGACATTCACTGGAATGGAAATATTTAAAGGAGTAGAATATAATTGAAATAATTTATTTGGCGAGAGACCGTAATAAACTAAATGACAAAAAACGGAGACAGGAATTTTGATAAGATCATCGATAGTTGATACAAAATTCATGCACCTGGTGCTAAAATGTTCTTCACAAGTTGTAAAATGTCGAGGCCCCTTGGCTTGGTGTGTCTATTTGTGTTGTGACGAGCACAGAACGCAAAATAATTATATTTGATTTTATATCATTTCAGGACATGTGAGTTTTCTATCTGTACAGCGTCGTCTGTTCTGCACCAACAGCAATATAGGATTGGATTGGATAGGATAGGATTGGATAGGATAGGATAAGATAAGATCATGTTCATAACGTCAGCAAAACGGAGTTGGTTTTTATAGTTGTTAAAAAAACTTCAGATAACGTGCTGGCTAATACGAATCAGACGTCTAAATTTTTTCTTTTACATTCATATTCAGGGTAATTATTGTTAATCTCCGGTCGGGTACTTTCTCTCTGGTTTGCTCGAAATGCATTCTGGGTTATTCTCACGTGTAATCTTCCTTTTCGACGAAGAAAGGCAGCCATTTTCTTCAAATTTGTAATTTGTGATTTAAAATCAATCATGGTAGGCTACAATGTTACTTATAAAGTCTGAGCTTTACTGACGAAAAATTTCTTTTCCTAAGCTTAACGAATTTGTTAAAATCGGGACCTTCATCATTTTTAAGACCATCTTTTATCCCCTTATGTTCGGCAGTCCTGTATACTATTGACATTATACGAATTGAATATTTGAATTGGCGCTATTTTTATTCGCTTGACTTGCAATTTTTATTCTCTTAAAGAGGAAACTAGTTGCGTTATGGTAGCTATCTTTTTGAAAAAATGAGTTGTATATTTTGAAGAAAGACATCTTTTAAACTCAAATTTAAGTTACAATTAGTTTACCTGAGTTCACAATATGTCTTTCTTTGTAGTATGGATTATTTTATAACTTATTTTTGGTTTTTATTTTGGGATTAATTTGCCTTCGTCACACATCACTGTTCAACGCACATGCATGCAAAACATTAAGCCTGAAATTATTCAAATTTTGTTCAATATATTTTTATAACTTAAGGCTGCTCGTCCATTAATTACTGTGTACAATGAGAAAGGTGAAGCAACTTCCAATACTGTAGCATTACCAGCAGTGTTCAAGGCTCCCATTCGTCCTGATGTTGTGAACTTTGTTCACACAAACATGGCTAAAAATAAGAGACAGCCTTATGCTGTGAGCAGCAAGGCAGGTCACCAAACCTCTGCAGAATCTTGGGGTACGGGTCGTGCTGTTGCTAGGATACCTCGTGTAAGAGGAGGTGGTACGCATCGCTCTGGTCAAGGTGCCTACGGAAATGTATCCTTATGTATAGCTGCTCTTTGTGTACTGTCATGTATAATTCGCCATTATGAATGCTCACTTATTTGTATAATGAATGTTACCTTTACTTGATTGTGGTTAGAAACTTAAATATTGTGTTAAAACAGCATATTTGTCATAGTGAATAACTAGTAAATAGTTCTTTAAACCAAAAAATGGTTTTTAAAACCAAAATAATCTTAAAACCATGAATAGTTGTTGAAGAGGAAAATAAATATAGCTATAAAGTTAAATGACATGATGCATTTTGGTAGACTTCTCATCAGGTGCCACATCATTTCAAGGTAGATATGGGACCTAATGAGAAGTCTGTCAAAATGCATTGTACCATTAATTTTATAGCTAACTTGTTTCTGTATTGACATAACTTTACCGATAAGTTTTTTGGTAGTAAATTAAAGTTATTGACTTGACTGCAATAAAGATGTGCCGAGGTGGTCGTATGTTTGCACCCACCAAGATCTGGAGAAGGTGGCATCGTAAAATCAACGTCAATCAGAAACGCTATGCAGTTTGCTCCGCCCTTGCTGGTTCTGCCCTTCCAGCTCTTGTGATGGCAAGAGGTCACAAGATAGAAAAAATTCCTGAAGTGCCACTTGTTGTTGCCAATGGCATTGAATCTGTGCAAAAAACATCAAATGCTGTTAAACTTTTGAAAGACTTGAATGCGTATGATGATGTGGAACGGTGCAAAAGCTCCAAGAAAATTCGAGCTGGAAAGGTATTGCTGACTTCTCATTTATCTTGGATTGATTTGTAACAAATTAATTAATTAATTAAAAAATTAATTTTTGCGTTTATTTTGGCACATTTTAATTATGAGATTTTGTTCTAATTGATTCTTTTATGACAAATGTTGTTAGTTTTACTGTGTATTTGCAGCAGAAATTGAGACAATTGTCATACTACAACTAGATAAAATGAATCCCACAAACAAGTGCTCATTGCTTGTGTTTTTTTAAAGGGTAAAATGAGGAATAGAAGATATGTGCAGAGAAAGGGCCCTCTCATCATTTACAATGAAGATCATGGCATTCGTCAGGCATTCCGTAACTTGCCAGGAGTTGATTTGCTTAGTGTGGATCGAATGAACCTTCTTAATCTTTGCCCTGGAGGACATTTGGGAAGGTAGACATACATGTATATACTTTTGAAAGTATTTGAAGTACAGTTGTCTGTGGCTATATTTAGTTTGGCCCGGAGGACATTTGGGAAGGTAGACATATATGTATATACTTTTGAAAGTATTTGAAGTACAGTTGTCTGTGGCTATATTTAGTTTGGCCCAGAGGACATTTGGGAAGGTATACATACATGTACATACTTTTAAAAGTATTTGAAGCACAGTTGTCTGTCGCTATATTTAGTTTGGCCGGAGGACATTTGGGAAGGTATACATACATGTACATACTTTTAAAAGTATTTGAAGCACAGTTGTCTGTGGCTATATTTAGTTTGTGGAGGACATTTGGGAAGGTAGACATACATGTATATACTTTTGAAAGTATTTGAAGTACAGTTGTCTGTGGCTATATTTAGTTTGGCCGGAGGACATTTGGGAAGGTAGACATACATGTATATACTTTTAAAAGTATTTGAAGCACAGTTGTCTGTGGCTATATTTAGTTTGGCCGGAGGACATTTGGGAAGGTAGACATACATGTATATACTTTTAAAAGTATTTGAAGCACAGTTGTCTGTGGCTATATTTAGTTTGGCCGGAGGACATTTGGGAAGGTAGACATACATGTATATACTTTTAAAAGTATTTGAAGCACAGTTGTCTGTGGCTATATTTAGTTTGGCCCGGAGGACATTTGGGAAGGTAGACATACATGTATATACTTTTAAAAGTATTTGAAGCACAGTTGTCTGTGGCTATATTTAGTATGCAGTGCTTAATAAAGTTAAATTTGAAATTCTTTTTTTATTTTTAGGTTCTGTATATGGACTCAAGGTGCTTTTGAGAAACTTGACAGCCTTTATGGCACATGGCGTAAAGCAGCCACTGAGAAGTCGTCTTATAAGTAAGTTGAATTTTCAACTAGCTATTTTCTTTATGGTTTTTACTTTATTTCTTTTTTTTTTTACTTAGCTTGCCCAGGCCTATTATGAAGAACAGTGATTTGGCCAGATTAATCAACTCAGAGGAAGTTCAAAGTGTTGTTCGACCAGCAAAGTAAGTATCTAAGTGGTGTTGATTATTCTTGAAAAGAATAATTTGAAATGCAATGCTTGTATAACTATTGTCATATGTGTACTGTCACATAGTTTGATGGGTATTGTTTTTGAAGCAAGGGTTTGTAACTTGTTTTATCTCTGTGTATATGCATTATATTGGGTGGCCAACTTTTCACTGGATTGATTTTATGGGGACATGTTGGGGAATGGATTGATTTTATGGGGACATGTTGGGAAATGGATTGATTTTATGGGGACATGTTGGGGAATGGATTGATTTTATGGGGACATGTTGGGGAATGGATTGATTTTATGGGGACATGTTGGGAAATGGATTGATTTATGGGGACATGTTGGGAATGGATTGATTTTATGGGGTCATGTTGGGAAATGGATTTATTTTATGGGGACATGTTGGGGAATGGATTGATTCTATGGGGTCATGTTGGGGAATATATTGATTTTATGGGGACATGTTGGGAAATGGATTGATTTTATGGGGACATGTTGGGAAATGGATTGATTTTATGGGGACATGTTGGGGAATGGATTGATTTTATGGGGTCATGTTGGGAAATGGATTTATTTTATGGGGACATGTTGGGGAATGGATTGATTCTATGGGGACATGTAGGGAAATGGATTGATTCTATGGGGACATGTCGGGAAATGGATTGATTTTATGGGGACATGTCGGGAAATGGATTGATTTTATGGGGACATGTTGGGCAATGGATTGATTTTATGGGGACATGTTGGGCAATGGATTGATTTTATGGGGACATGTTGGGCAATGGATTGATTTTATGGGGACATGTTGTAAAATGGGTGATTTGTATCTAGCATTTCTTAATATCAGTCACAACATTCAGGTTATATAACTGGCCTTATAAAGTTCTTTTCGCAATTTAGAGCTCCAGCCAAACGAGCACAGCTGAAGAAGAACCCTCTTAAGAATCTTGGAGTAATGCTGAAGTTGAATCCTTATGTGAAGACGAGCAAAAGAGCTGCGATTTTGGCACAAGAGAGAGCGAAGGAAGCGAGGAAAAAAGTGATTGACAAGAAACGTAAAGTTGGCGGGAAAAAGCAGTGAAATAGAAACGAAAATTCTGAAGTTATTCAATAAATGTTTCCTCTAAAATACATTTTCATTATTTGTTCGTTCTTTTTGTTCATTTTTGCTTGACATGGTGTAATCTCTGAATCCATATAGGATTCGAATTATGGCTGAATTGCGCAGACACCAGTGGCCTAAAGACAGATTTCGTTACTGGAAGGCGTGAGAGTAGGAAATTCGCACACATAGTTTGTCTAGATTAACTTGCTTCTATTTGTTTTTTAACTTTCACGAACATTTGAGAAATTACAGTTGAATTTCCCAACTGTCTGCAGTCATTGCTTAATCTTGTTTGAAATAGCCAACGCGTATGCAACACGTTGCTTCTTCAGTATGTAGCCGTCTCGAAGTAAATCTTTTTCTCGCTTTACACATTCTTTAAATCCTCTTAGTCTAATTGGTTTTTTATGACATGCTGTATCTCACGTAAACATGAAAGAGCATGGCCCATCATGCGTCATGTCAACAGAGGTTAAAGCGACTAAAGGCAAAGTTCACAGTTTTTGACAAATAAGGTAAACTTGAGGTGTTAAAACTGTTAAAAAATGCTAAATTTTTAATCTTGAGTATTTTTCCATGTTGATTCTAGTTAATACATGAAGTTTTTGAACTCCTCGCATTTGGGTCATGTTACGTTTTTTTGAATAAATTGCGCCAATGCAGGAGGCTTTCTATACCAGTTCCTTCTTAAGAATCAACTAATCTTTTTAGATCATTTCCTTTCCCCCCCCGGAAATCGCGCGTGGGTTTCAAGTCCAACACACGAAGTACCTCGATTATCAATACATGGACATACAATATGGAAGTCGATTGAAAAGCAATGAATAACAAGAAGTCTTGCACGATTTTCACCGCCTCCATATGTTGATATGTGACATATTAACGTAGAGAAAGAGTTTCAGGAATGTCTACTTAGTAACTTGGATACCAAAAGAGGACCAGAAGTGTTTAAATTGCCCTGAATATATTATGCAGTTCAATGACCAAGCGAACGACAAACTTTTCGATAAAAATTGCCAACATGTGTCAAATAGCGGAGAAAATATCAGCGTTAATGAACGGAAAGAAAGCTCTTTAAATCATTCAAAGAACTCAAAGAGTATAGGAGAGAAATCTTTGACGAGGCAAGTCATTTGTTATGGCACAATTCTGTTTATATGACAAACTTTATATGTCGTTTATTTTTACCTCTATGTACTAATTAGTTGTTTAGCTTTCCTGTGATACTTGTTCGCCGTTTCTCGTCATTCCCAAAGTGTATTTTGAAAAGTGTAGAAGTTTCGACACGTCAAATTTGTAATCAAATATACAACTCAAATCTTTGTGAAACGATATGACACCACCAATTTAATTTATTTTACAATACAAATAAAATTTGTTTGTATCGGCTTATGAAGGGACAACGTGTATAACATTAAAGTGCTTTTGAAAATTTTTTCATTTTAAACAGAGACGACGCGACGATAATTTGTCGTGAAAAAGGTATGGGAGATCGTAAGATTCAAGAAGTTATGAGCAAACTCAAAGTTGGAGGGGATATTTCTTTGGATTGTTTAGAAGAATTGCTACGCGAATTTCCCCAATCAAAAGACGATAAAAGCGTCGGATCGTGCTCAAATGAAGAAAATTTACGTGACACTTCAGACATAAGAAACGATGTGTCGACAACGGACATTTCGAATACTTCATCTACGCAAACAAATAACATAAGTAGAGGGACAAATTTCTTAGAGTTGGCAAACACGGTGAGTTTATTGGTTTGTTATGATGGCGTATTGGCTATTCGTACGCTGTGTGTGTGTGTGTGCTTTTGTGGCAATGTTTTCGTGGTTGTCAACGGCGAATGTTAAATGGTCATTAAAATGTAACTTTATCTGTTTTATATTCAAAGAGGGTTTGTATATTTAATGGCAGTCCTATTTCTCTATTTTTCATTTCATCATTTCGCGGACTTCTCTGCTGTGCCACTAGCTTACTGTTTCAAATTAATGGGCTAATTTGGCATTGGCCGCATTGTTGCCTGGCTCGCCGCTTGACTGTAACTAGTTTAAACTCCACATTGCTAAGACGTGCGCATAGTACAGGTTCTTTTGAGCGGTGCACTGTGTCTACATTATGATGATGTATCGAATTAAGTGTCGCAAATATCGAAATCTAAATGTTTAATTACCTGCAAAATGTTGCAATTTTTTTGTATCAGAATATCACACCCCTTAAAGTCGTGAAACATTTTCGCGTCCTTTCATGAAACGGTTTTTAATTTTAAAATCCTACTGTTTCAATATAAATTGCACCGTAGGCGAAGTTTCTTTAATACTTTATTAATTTTAATGAGTTTGACGATTATTTACAAAAAAAAAAATATGTTTTTACATGATGTCCTCTTAAAGATTGAGAGCACTCAACCGCTATGATAAGTCTATGTTCTACTCCTTGCGATACCATTTGTTCAGATGATGCTAAATATCATTTGAAGAATTTTTCAGACAGATTTCATTGATTGCAAGTTTTCGAAAAAATTTTCCAGACATTTCTTGCGCGTGTTAGAGTAATCGTAACAAATGGGTACTATTATATAAAACATTGCTCAATGCACAAATAAATACGGGTATGCGAGAATTCGCGAATTATATTGCTGCGTCTATCACAAAAGCAGCTATGGATTCTAGATTATTTTTGGTTCATTTAAACCAGATGTCAAACTAGCAAGTGAACTAACTACATGATTTATCCATCTAAACCTGACTTGCATTGACTGCAGATAAATTTTACAATGTTACAAACTTTTTGTCTGTCTGTCAAACGATGTCAATCAATTCCATGTCCGTCATGAGCGCAAATTATGCAAATTAAATACTTGATAGAAGACTTTATCTCTGTGAACAGAATTTTAGATATTTTATTTTGGAAAAATATAGACAGGTGAAACAAAGGAAGATTATTGCGCCAATACATCCGACGCAACATGCCAAAGCCTTCTTGATCGATTTCACCTTCTCTCCCACACCAAGTCCGCACAGTTTAGTGTAAAAGCAAAGTAGTAATTTCACGTTGCCAAAAATATTACAAATGGTGAACATTTTGTTGTCTTGCTGACGCACGTTCCACGAATTCAGATTTGAAGATCTCAAACAGGATTGAGCTCTGTAAAAGTTCTTTGAAGAACAACTCGCAAAATGACACTGTTGTCTCCAGTACTAACACTCGTTCGTTGATTTGCCACGGCTCGATAAGCTCACGTTTTCTGCTAGGCAACAAACTTCGTTGATAGTATATGAAATAAGCGTAGATGAATATCATAATTATACTTAACAGTGAACCGCTTATACAGCTTGTTAAAAGCAACGTACCCAATGTTGTTTCATTCTCAGCTGGTATAAGTGAAATATCGCTGGGAAGTTCATCGTAAGTAGACCAATCGGCGTACGTATCTGTTGCGTGATACACAATCAGAGCAAAATAGTAGAACAGTTTGAAATAAACGTCCAAACATATGTGAAAGAAAGCCATTTCAATTTACGCAACAACGAGGTTGATGTTAGTCATAGTAATTGTATTTACGATAATTCTATTGCGTATCAAATAATGGCGATTTGCTTCTTTGGTAATTTTATCCAAATTGTTTCTCTGCCGAGAGTATCGAATTTTTAGAAATTTGATACTGAGAATGAAAGCAGCCTTAGGCTAAATAAAACGCTGTAACTTATGGATTCATCTGGACGTCTAATGTTAAAACTGAACGCTAGAAGTTCCGAATGGAGAACTCGTTGAAATTAATAAGTGCGATCCAGAGAGATCTCCTGCTGTAATAAATATGCTAAGATTACCGAAATTCAAAAATATATTTAATAACTTATAACTTCCGATTCTCGAAGCTACGAGTCGAAAGCTCAGTAAAATTATTTATAGAATCCGGAGAAACTTTTATTTTTAAACAGTTCATGATATATATATATATATATAGTTCAGTGGATGTTAGGTAGATAAAAATAGAGTTATCAACATTTATGCTTTGCTCTAGATAATATCAGAGATCTATATTTAGGTGGGGTTGTTTTTGCAAAAGTGTTCACTACATGTCTGTAGTGAAGGTTTTAGTTGGAGGAGAGTAACTATAATGACATATATATTGCTTCATTTCTATGCAGAAATATGAATTATGTATTGCAACATGTTCGTTTACTCGTGCGATACCTGATAATATCCCGTTAAACTAAAATAGTGCTAGCAATTTATTACCCGTAGTGCTGGGTGTTTGTATTAAACCAACACAATTTACTTTATTTCATTTAAAATATGTATGGGGGTAGATGCTCGTAAAACATTTGAAGAAATTTGGCGCGACGGGCACTGGTTAAAGATGTCTATTTAGCTATCTTCTAAGCAATAGTACAGGGCAGGAAACAGCGAAATAAGACTAACGGATGGAGCCATTTATTTTGAACTATTGCCCCCTTGTGTTTAAATTTCATGTCAGTTTATTATTAATGGACGTGTCATTTTAGAGTAAGATATCATCATTTGTGAACACTTTTAAATTATATAATTGTTTATAAAGTGTTCTTTGTATTGACTACCAGGAGTTGTCATCAGTAATTTTGGTATCATATTTTAGTGTATTTCCTGTGAATCAATGTTTGTAAATACGACGATGGCCTGGAAGGCATTTCCAAAGTTATCTTGCCAAATCGTCGTAATTTAAAAAATGTTTCGTTTCGCGGAAATTTGTCGTTTTCCTTTTCTGTCATACGACACGCTGTCTTGCTTTGAAAAGTTTTTCGTGAACTATTCTTACGTGAAGATTGTCATATGAACTATACAAGTTACCACGCATTACAGTTTGGTACAATCCGATATCTGTTCTCGAATGTCAACATCAGCATGTGCCATCACACGACCCTCGCATGAGTAATTTAAAATAAAGATACATTCAAAACATTTCCTGTCAGTAAAAACATCGTTTAACACACAATTAACGATGCAAACATTCTTTATTGAAAAGCCTCTGACGCGTACACGCCACAACTTGCGACTTTAATATGAATTATCAGAATCACTATCCAATATTTTCGACAGAATTTGTACGTCAGAGATTACTCAAACTTCGCAGGGTATGTTATTATTAAAATTTGATGATTAAATAAGTCATGTTGCCAAAGGAGGCCTATATATGTTGTTCGTATATGATTGTATGTAAACAGCTTGTTGAATTGCTTGTGTGGGGTGGGAATTGTTTAAAGAAGTCGTTGTTAATGTATGTAGAATGGGAGAGGTTTTTTTGTATCGAAAATAATCTATCCTTGTGAGTTTAATAAGTTGTCTTTCTTTTATCGCGTGATTAAATCCCCATCATAAGGTCGTGTGCGTGGACATGCCACATACGATTATAATATTTTGATGTCATACTAGCTTTTCAATATTGAAAGAGAATTTGCTAACGCGTGTTGTCGGTCTACAACCGATTCAAAACAGATTGTGTTTACATCGAGGTTCTTGTTGATGTTTTTGAAAAAGCTTTAGGGTGTTTAGTCAGATATTTAAATGCTGTGTCGTGGTATTTTATTGTATATTTGTAAATGTGGTTCAGTGTACAGGCTCTCACTTGCTATATTCGTAGATTAAGTTCTAAAGCATGATCTATCGTGTTTTAGTTGCATTTCGCCGCCCTTGCGTCTTTGAAGAGTGAAATCAACGATCTTACCAAACAAGTAAAGACAGTGACGTCAGAAAGAGATTCATGTCGTCGCGCGCTTAAAGAGACTAGAGACGAGAAAGATCGACTCTGTAACACGTATGAGGAACGGTTGCACGAACAGGACCAACAGGTATATATGTGAAGCAAAAGGTATAGAACAAGACCAATAAGTATAAAGACTAGGAGGTATAGAACAGGATCAGCAAGTATATAGACTTGGAGGTATAGAACAGGATCAACAGGTATAAAGATTGGAGGTATAGAACATGATCAACAGGTATGTATAACTGAAGTAATAGGTATAGAACAAGAGCAAAAGGTATAGAACAAGACCAATAAGTATAAAGACTAGAAGGTATAGAACAGGATCAGCAAGTATAAAGACTGGGAGGTATAGAACAGGATCAGCAAATATATAGACTTGGAGGTATAGAACAGGATCAACAGGTATATATAACTGAAGTAATAGGTATAGAACAAGAGCAAAAGGTATAGAACGGGGCCAAAAGGTACATATTTGAAGTAATAGATATAATAGAAGACCAGAAATTATACAGAACAAGACTAAAAAGTATATATAAGTACAACTTATCCCTATACTAACGTATAGAATGTTTACGTAGATAAATTGGTAGACAGGTATAATAATTCTCTGCTGTTGAGCATTGCGTCATATTGATGTCATTATAGAAAAAACCTGTCTTGTTTGTTTCTCAAATATTAAGTTGAACTTGCACTTTGAATTCGGAATATGTTTCTTATCGTACTTCATAAAATTGTCGGCTGACAGTGGATTTCCCCTAGCTATTTAGAAGGAAAGTAGTTTCTATGTGAAACGTCACGTTCTTAGCATAACGAGCTCGCGTCCCGACTGCTTGGTATAATGGATTATTTCGGTTGTATGTAGATCACTGAGCTACAAAGTGTAATAGCGGAGCTGAGAAGGAAACTTGATCAAACCTCTGTTAATTGTATCGCTGAAGAGGACGAGGAAGAAGAAGGCACCCATAGCTCTGATGGAGATGGCGATTGTGAGTAGCTTTAGAAGTTCTGTTAAATTTTTTCATTTTGAAAACGATATATGAACGTTTTAATTTCTATGTTTTTGGTAATTATGTTTTCGTTCAACTAGCTTCAAACGCCTCTCAAGGCGGAAGTGATCCTGAGGATACGGATACTGCTGAAGTGTTCGAGCTCAACGAACAACGAGCGACAGACTCCGATCATATTGATGACGCACATTTTAATACTTTATCAAAAACCAATCAAAAACTTCAAACTCTCGGTCAAAGCGCCTCGAGTCCTGTAAACGATAAAGCAAACGATGTGAAACAATTGGAGTTGAGTCGTGCCATCTTTTTGCAACTCCAGAAGAAATTGACTGAACTCAAGGATCAATGTCAAGAATTGGAAAAGAGAAAACATCAAAGTATGTGTTTGCATTTGTTGTTACTTGGTCATGAAACGAAATGTGCGTCACATTTCGCTTTTCGTAAATAGAAATAATTGTTTGTCAACGTTGCTTTATAAAAGAAGTGCAGAAGGAACAAACATCGAATGATGTATACAAACATAGTTTAGCACGTGGTCTAACTAAATACCCTGATCTATAAATTTTATCGAGCATATACCGCTGACTTGTGATGTTCTCCTCATTTTTTCCAGTTGAGAAACAGATACAACAGGCCAGCGTGGTTGATTACGTTAATCGAAAAGCATCTGGTGAAGGCGGACAGGTGAAATAGACATTGTGATAATACAAATTTTAAAAAAACGGAGTGATTTATAGCCGTTGAAAAATAATCCTAATTGTGACCATTTAAATTATGACTGCGAGTATATTTTTATAATTTGGATGAAAATAAACCATGTTTGAAATTACTACATAGCCATAGAGAAATGCTGTCTCTCTTCATCTCGCTCCCCCCCCCCCTGCACCGTCATCCCCATCCAATTAGAATCCAATCCTCTAGATGTTTAACTACAATAGAAAGGTAAGGCAAGGACGCCATCTTCAAAAAGCAAAACTCAAAATGAAAAATAAACTAAAAGAAAGTTTGAAAACCCAATCGTATGAAACATTTTAAAAATCAAACTTATACTACCAACTTTGCAACAGTACATCAACTCAGCAAAAGCAGATATTAATCATAAATATCGCCAGTTTTGCCACCTTTTAAGATGGCGGCTTGCCTCACTCGTGTCTGTTGAATTTTGTCGGAGTCAGATATCTTGTAGATTGGGTTCCAGTCATTGCTCCCACCTCCACCCCACCCTCAATTCAGGTTCCGAGGCTATCATTACAGAACTCCATGATTGTCATTGCAGGAACAAATGTTGAACATGTCAAGAGAACGTGAAGCAATGAAGTCTCAAATAATGAAATTGGAGCAAGATCTCGAGAGAAGTAAAACTTTAGTTACTTCTCTACGAGAAGAAAGAGACAACTGGCGAAAAAAGGTTAACGCACGTTACGTTTTTCCCTACTTGTTTAAAAAGTTTGTGGGAAATTTATGATTAGTCTGAATGATTCATAAGACATTATCTATAAGCTCATTTAGTAATATTTATTTCACTGCTAAGCTCTCTCTCTCTCTCCCTCTATTGTTATTAGTATCAAGAATGGAGTAAACATCACTCCATGTTAAATGGTTCACGACAAGAGATCAGCGACCCTTCTCCTCCTCGTGCCTGTCGATCTAACAGCAATTCGGCTTTCACACCGGTGAACTCACAGTCTCAACAAAACGTCTCCCCTCGTGTTCAACGACAAAACAATTCATCGACGCCGAACTCCCCGGGATCGCAACGTCACAGCCTCAACAGATCATGGACATTGGGTGAAAGTCCCGGATCGTCTTTAAAATCTATCAAAAACTCACCTCCGGGTAGCGGTGAGTTACTATTGCCTTGAAAGTCTTTCTTCACACCCATGCACCTCTCTTTCCCTTGCCAACCCCATGATATACCTCTCCCTATTTTGCCAGTCCCATGATGCACCTCTCTTTTCCCTTCCAACCCTATGATATACCTCTCCCTATTTTGCCAATCCCATGATGCACCTCTCTTTTCCCTTGCCAACCCCATGATATACCTCTCCCTATTTTGCCAATCCCATGATGCACCTCTATTTTCCTTGCCAACGACAAGATATGTATGTCATCCGTCTAAATAGCTTTATTTCTGTTACGTTAAGTAAAATCTGGACAAGGTAGTTGGAAGAAAGTATCCAGTGATTTGGGATCATCCGTACACAGTTGTCCTGATGCTGTACTTATGAGTCGTAGAGGAAACGAAGAGGATAATGAATTAAGTGAAGGACTCACCGGAGAGAAATTGATCAAAATATTAGTAAGTTTTAAGCTTCTGATTATAACTTCAGATTGTAAAATACAAACACCTCACTGTTGATAGCAGGAAGATCTATTCTGATGAAAAGACTAGAATATATACCCGGATGAAATAGCAGACCCTCAATTGCCATGATATATGATATTCCTCATGTGGGCCATCTTTTTTTGTCTTTACAATCTACCCGTACAAAGTATACCTGATATTTTCAATTATAAAATCACTTTACAGCATCAACTTCCAGAATTCGACAAAATGCCAGAATCTTTAGTAAACACCCTTCAGTCGTGTCAAACGTTGCGCGATGTTTTTCACGCGTTGCACACTCACTGGACCCAGCAATCCTGCGAACAGGTGCACGAGTATCAAATCGAAGCCGAAAGGCTGCAGGCGAAACTTGAACACGTTCGAGCTCAAAACAATGTCATCGCTTTATCAATGGACGAGAGCAAAAATAACAGTGAACAGTTGTCTTTATTAATTGGTAGGTTCTGATATGGTCTTCTTGCCGTAACGTGAAAACAACAAATGTTTACAAGACAGTTGCTACGTATAGATGTGTGCCCTTAGTTACCATTCTGTGAGGTTGCTGAATTTGTGCATCTATATCTCATGAAAATGTTGTAACATTCAAGTAACCTTCAAAAACAAAGAACGTTCTGATTATATTAAGATAAAAACTATATATTTCTGTTCAGATCTGAATCTTTGATTGATTATTAGTGAACACACGTGTGGATTGTCTTTAGTTTGCATCTACCGAAAATTATAACCTGGCCCAGAGATGTATTGCTATCGCTAATCGAGGGGGGGGGCTTTTATTCATATATGCATGTTATAAATCCGTAGTTAACAATACATTTCTAAAGAGATTAATTCAGCTTATCATGAATATATGAATCAGCCCCCAATTAGCGATAGCCATACGTCCCTGAGCTGGCCATAGATTTTAGCAGCGTCCACTTTGATGATTCTGTCTGTATGATTTTGTCTGTATCATAAGCTTGCGTTTTTTGAAGGACTCTTTTTCTATTATGCATTTCGTCCTGAAAATACTAAAATTTAGTTGCTAAAGCTCGTGTGTGGGACATTTTTTGCAGGATATTCTTAAAAAAGTAAATAAAAACAAACTTTTTACATGTTATGCCATTTTGGAATTATGTTTTTCTAAAATCATACAAGATGCTACAAGTCACCATTTTAATATGGTGATAGCCGGGAGGGCACATTGTATATACACTTTGTACATAAATATATATTTTTTTTACAGGCAAATATGAATCTCAGTGCTTGGCTTTGCAAGTGGAACTTGATCTCTGTGATCGTACAATCGACGCTTACGAAGCGTTTGTATATTTACTAGAGAGCGAACATGAAGTATTGAATGTTAATTGTAATGCTGACGGCATTGACTTATATCGCTATCGTTCGTTATCCCGAGGTGGCAGCGAATCAAGACTTCGTTGTCCGGACATCTACGAGGATGATGATGATCGTATGGCATCGGGATGTTACGAACGTCGTAGACATGCTGAGAGTCAAGCGAGAGCTTTATTAACCAGATACGATAAAGGGTCTGATGGGAACGTTTCAACTGGGGCTAATCGCCCATGGGAGGAACTATCTTCTTTGAGTCGTACTAGTGCAACTAGCTCTACAGGCTCATCTGCTGATTTGGACTTTGGTAAAGAAGAGGAAGGCAGGCTCAGGGCTTATTTATCTAGATTAAAGGATGAACGAGATACAGTAAGAGGCACTTTAATGGAACTTCAAAGTGTTCACGATATTTTATCGCCTGTGGCAAGGATTGAGTTGGACACATTGGATGCCAAGCTAGACTTGGAAAACGCAGTGTTATTGCAAGAACTTATGGCTCTTAAAGAAGAGAAAGCCGAACTGCGAGCAAAGGTTTATTTAACTGAGAAAGAGAAGAAAGCAGTCGAACTTCAACTAACATCGAGAGAAGCACAAGAACAGGCCTATGTCGTGCACATTGAGCATTTAAAAACTGAGCTCAAAGATCAAATAAGAAAACGACGAAAGGTCGAGGAGACAGCAAGAGCCATTCGGGGATCACAAAGCACTGTAAGTTTATGTTCACTTTCTTTTTTAAAAATGTGTGTCAACCAAGATGCATTGCGCGCTTTTGTTTATGCTTGTATCGTTACTTTTTGAGCTTGCGGCACACTGAATTCTATTTCGTCACTACGTCGTCTAATTTATTTGAAATGTTAGCAAAAAACATTATTAAAAATTTTAAATTAACAAAAAATCCGCCATTTTCTTGCCCCACAAAATGTCTATCGTGCGTCCAGATGAACGCACAACGCATCTTGGTTGATGTTGAAACACATTCCTTAGCTATACCTTTGAACGTAAAAGCTTTCTTCGTCTTCAGCTAACTCCTTCACTGAAAGCGACACCTGTATAATGCACTAGGAGTTATAGAGTATTTAAACTTATTTAGTCAATTACTACCCTCATGAAATAATGGTTATGAAAGTGATATCAGAAGCTGACTTTATTTGTAGTCAGGGATAGATCCAGGATAATTTTATACAAGAGATGTTCTAGTTTTTATAAGATGTCGTTAAGTCTAGTTTCGATTCGATTTCGTTGGTTCCTTCGTGGGTGTCGTTATGTCATTTACATGTCTGACTTTTTGTTGGTTTGATATGAGACCCTGGAAATGTGGCACTGCTTCACTTGATTGAACGATGCGCTGCTATTTTCGTGCACTACGTCTCATCTATGACATGTGACATGACCTTTTTCAAATCATTTAAATGAGCAAATATATTTTCATCAAATATAGGATGGCGAGCTATCCAATGCGTCAGCAACTCCTGCCATAACTCTGGCAGAATTGCGCACGAGCGATGAAGACATTCCAGCAGATTTGTATGAGGCCGCACGACGCGAGAAGAAATTGAAATCAAGAATTCGCGAGCTTGTCGACACGTTGGAGAAACAGTCTAAAAGTACGGAAAGCAGACATCAACAGACTGGCGAATATATTTCTGATCTAAAAAGAGCGAACGGAGCATTAGTTGCTGCGTATGAAAAGGCGAAGAAGAAACACACCACAAGAGTTAAGAAATTGGAATCTCAAATGATGACAATGATGGAAAAACACGAAAAACAAGTATAAGTTCATTTTAAATGAGAAAATTGTGCTCGTCCTTTTAGATGGCGAAGAAATTCATATTCTCATTTATTCACTGATGATATCTTGGAAATAAAGTGAAACTTAGTATTTCTTTGTTTTATAATGATATCTTATAGTTTCTAAGTTACATAAATCTTCATTTATACAAATCTTTAAAAATTGGCTTGACAACGAATATTTTTTTTCTTTTGTTTTGTAGATCTCCAGTCTAAGAGAAAGAATAGCAATGCAAGAAGACACAGGCATGACCCATCCTAACGAAACGGCGCTATGAAAGCAAGAATGAAACTAAATACAGAAGAATATTTTATAGCTTACGCGTTTAGTAGTATATAATGGGATAATTATATTTAAATAGAAAATAATTTTTTAAAAAATTTATTGCTTCATTACGACTGTCAAAAGGTATTTTAGTAAAACACATAACAATTGACCGTAAAATATGAGCTTGTATAATATAATTCTGTAAACATTATTTAAGAATAAAAAGATGTTTACTGTGTTTGCACAGGCTTATGCAAACCGAGGAGACCTTTGGGAGAACTCGAGAGCAGATCACTGCAAGACCGAAGATCGAGGTTTGCACATGCTCGAGAGCTCTCACAAACGTTTCCGAGGTTAGCATAAGTCAGTGCAAACACCAAAAACCTCTTTTATTTCTTTTCTAAAATAAAATAATGCGAACAAGACAAACATTTTAATTTTACCTCTTAAATGTATTCATGATCGATTTGCAAATTCTCTTTGACTGGTTGATTGTTATGATTGATTTGATTGGTTGAGCTCACATGTGTTTTGCACAGGCTAATGCAAACTCAGCTCTAGACCTATCAGCGCACGCGTTTCATTGTGTTTACTTTATAATCTAAAATGTTTCGACGACTATTTCATGTCATCATCTGTGGATTATGTGAGCTTTTCAAACATTACGAATTATAAAAATAAATTGTCATTTTGAAAAGCTCACATAATTTACTTATGAAGGCATGAAATACTTGTCGAAAGTTTTAGAATAATAAATGTTTACTACTTTTACGGAGTGTCCATTGTTTTGTTGTATTATCACCTATTATTTAATAACCAGAAGAAAGTGAGCAATTTCATTGGTCGAGAGCTATGATCTGTAAGAGGACATACACACGGAAGACGTCACAGAAAATTTCATGTTTACAAAAACAAACAAATGTGGCGGATATATTTGAATATTTATCGCAATACCTCCCTGAATGGGAAAATAAAGATATTCACAAAGACCTAGTTGAGGCAGTTAATGTATTTGAGCAAAAAGAAAAGAAAAAACCCGGTTTTCAAACATTAATTTGTACTTCGTCTTAGATAACAAAATTTCAACAGTATTGATCAGCCATTGCTTGTTTATTTTGTTAGCCAATCATATTTTATCACGTGATTAAGCTAGCCAATAGAATTTCTTCATTTCTATAGACACGTACGTATATTTGCAAAATCAACACTTTTCAATGTTCCATTTGTTGGGGGCAAGGGAAACAAACTATTTGACCATTTAATTTGGGAATTTTTTGATTTTATTATTTCACTCGCCCCGGCGGCTCGTGGTCACTTTTTTAGTTTTTATCACAAATGACGTCTTACCCGTGTATCTATAACTGTATAGACAAAGGTTAAATGTTATCTATTTGTTAATTTCTCAATGCTTATTTCACACGTCTTTTGGGACTTGGTGCTGCAGCCTGCGATTAGGTTGAATGCGTCAATAAAAAAAACTACGACTAAACTTAAACATTTGTCTGTTTGCCATTATTTTATAAATTTTTTTTAAATTTCAATGTTTTGATTGATACGTAAATGCATTACACTAATTATGAAATACCGTACGGGCCACGTAAAAAACCACCTAAATTTTATCAACAAAAACAAACGTCCCCGGGTGGGCTTGAACCACCAACCTTTCGGTTAACAGCCGAACGCGCTAACCGATTGCGCCACGGAGACGCTACATTAACGTCTGCAAATAATACGTTATAAACAAAATAATATAATATTGCAATTGGTGTTTAAAATTACTCAACAAACAAGGGTAATATATAATAATATATATCAGTGAGATAGAGAGATTAAGTTGTGAAAGAAGATATTAAAGATTGATTCTATATAAAAAGATAATTGCTACGTGGCTTTCTGTGAACATATGACGGTCGATACCAAGAATACAACGTGAAAAGATATAGCAGTCTTTGGCATGAAAATGTGTGAAAAGCAAAGACTATAGTTTTAAATGGGGCGAGTGGCTGAATGGTTAATGGCGTGAGCTGTAAGCCAGACGGCGCCGGTTCGATCCCAGCTCGTGGCACATCTGGCAATGTGTCTGTAAACCTAGCCCGGGTTGACCAAAGCCATGTGAGGAAAATTTGGTAGAGGAAACTATGTCCTCGGATGGACTGTATCTGCATCTGCAATGTTGCAGCCATGTCACACTGTGTCACGCTGATTATCAGCGTTGTGGTTGCGTGAAGGGTGATTGCAGTCTGGTCAGCTGCCTTCACTATAATTTCAGCAACCAGGATGTTCCGCCTCGCGGAACCCTCATCGTCGAAATCGACGGAGTCCATTATAGTTTTTAATGTGAAAGTGTGTGAAAAGCAAAGACTATAGTTTTTGGTGTGAAAGTAGGTGACTGTTAAAATAGACTGTTTAAATGTGTAAAAATAGGCTGTTAAAATGTGTGAAATGAAAAGACTATAGTCTTTTGCGCAAAAGTGTGTAAAAATGCAAAGACTATAGTCTTTTGTATAAAAGCGTGTAAAAATGCAAAGACTATAGTCTCTTGTGTAAAAGTGTATATAAATGCAAAGATTATAATCTTTGCGTAAAAGTGTGTGAAAATGCAAAGACTACAGTCTTTTGCGTAAAAATGTGTGACAATGCATGAACTATCTTCTTTGGCATGAAAATGCTTGAACTATAGTCTTAAGCATAAAAATGTGTGAAAATGCAAAGGCTATAGTCTTTGGCATAAAATTGTGACAAAACACACACTTTCACGCCAAAGACTATAGTCTTTGCATTTTCACACACTTTCACACCAAAGACAATCGTCTTTGCATTTTTAAACACTTTCACACCGAAGAGTATAGTCTTTGCATTTTTACACACTTTTAGGAAAAAGATTATAGTCTTGGCATTTTAACACACTTTTACACCAAAACTATAGTCTTTGCATTTTTACACACTTTCACACAGAAAACAATAGTCTTTGCATTTTTAAACATTTTTAAGTTAAATACTATAGTCTTTGCACTTTTACACTTTTCTACAAAAAAGACTATAGCCTTTGCATTTTTACACACTTTTATGCAAAAGACTATAGTCTTTGCATTTTTACACTCTTTTACACAAAAGACTATAGTCTTTGATCTTTTTGCAAAAGACTATAGTCTTGCATTTTTAACTTTTATCAAAAGACGCAAAAGACTATAGCCTTTGCATTTTATATTACTTTTACGCAAAAGACTATAGTCTTTATTTTTACTCTTTACGCAAAAGACTATAGTCTTTGCATTTTACACTTTTACGCAAAGATTATAATCTTTACATTTATACACTTTTACACAAAAGACTATAGTCTTTGCATTTTAACATTTCTAAAGACTATAGATCTTTGCATTTTTATTTTGCTTTTATGCAAAAGACTATAGCTTTGCATTTTACCTTTTATGCAAAAGACTATAGTTTTACATTCCTACCATCTACCTCATAATATTTCATTCCATTCCATTCCTTTCTTTTCCTAAGACTATTAGGTCCTCAATCTTCCATTTTCCTAAAGACTATAGTCTTCATTTCCTTTTTTCCAAAAAGACTATCAGATCTTTTCCTTCACATTCCTTATATAGATCTTCCATTCTTCATTCTTCTTTTGCAAAAGACTAGATCTTTGCATTTTTACATTACGCACTAAGATCTTTGCATTTTATTTAACTAAAGACTATAGATCTTTGCATTTTACTTATAAAATAGACTATCAGATCTTCATATCCATTAAAAGACAGATCTTCATTTTACACCTTAGATCTAAGATCTTTCATTTCCTCCTAAAGATTCACATTTTACTTACAAAAGACTGTCTTTGATTTTACTTTATAAAAAGACTATCTTCTTTGTTACTTTTTGCATAAAGACTATAGTCTTTTCACGTTTACACTACGCAAAAGAGACTATATCTTGCATTTTACCCTTTACATAAAGACTATAGTCTTTGATTTCTACTTACGCTAAAGACTATAGTCTTTGCATTTTACACTTTACGACTATCAACATTCATTTTACTGACCTGGCTAAGACAGATCGAGATCTTTGCATTTTTACTTTATAAATAGACCTATCAGATCTTTCATTCTATTAAAAGTTCTTTGCTCAGAAAGACTATAGTCTTTGCATTTTCTTTTGCCATAAGACTATCTCTTTCACGTTTTCTTTAAAAGACTAAGATCTTCATTTTCTACTTTACGCAAAGACTATAGTCTTGCATTCTATACAAAGATTCTCAATCTTTACGTTATCTTTAAAAGACTATAAAATATCTTTATTATTACCTTTTAATACAAAGACTATGTAATCTTCATTTCTATCTTTTATAAAGACTATTTACCAGCTCTTTAGCTTTGTCGCAAATGACTAGTCTTTTAGATTTTACTGCATTTTAATGCAAAGACTATTATCTTTACGTTTACGCAAAAGACTATAGATCTTTGCGTTTTACTGCCTGGACTATAGATCTTGCGTTTTACACTTTTGCGCAAAGATCTAAGCTTTCGTTTTCTACTGATTGCAAAGATGAATCTTTGCATTTTACTGCCCATAAAGACTATAGATTTTGCAGTTCACTTTACAAAAGAGACTATAGTTTGCATTTTACACTTTTGCAATAAAGACTATAGCATTTTTACACTTTTATTCAAAGACTATAGTCTGCATTTATATCGCTTTCGCAAATAGACTACTTAGTCTTTGCAGTTTTTACTTTTACACAAAGACTATAGTCTTTGATTTTACACTTTTACTGAGACTATAGTCCTTTGCATTTTCTCTTTTATGCAAAGACTATAGTCTTTTGCGTAAAGATAATAAATCACAAAGACTAATCTTTATTTAAACTGTGTAAAAATACAAAGACTATTCTTTGCATTAAAGTGATATTCATCAAAGACAATATCTTTAGCATAAAAGTGTAACAAAGACTCTTCCTTTAAAGTGTTTAATACAAAAGACTATAGTCTTTATACATAAAAGAGTCTTTTGAGCAAAAAACAATAAAAAATGAATTATAATTATCTTTTAATAAAAGTGTCTCAACTAAAGGTATAATCTTGCGTAAAGGGTGTGTATACAAAAACTAGTCTTTTGCGTAAAACTCATCTAAAAGACTATAGTCTTTTAAATCTTTAATTAAAAAGCTTAAAATGCAAAGACTATAGTCTTTTGCGTAAAGATGATAATAAAAAATACAAAGACTATAGTCTTTGCGTAAAGATTGTAAAATCACAAAGACTATAGTCTTTGCATAAAGAGAAGAAAATCTAAAAGACTAGTCTTTTGTGCAAAAGTGTAAAATGCTAAGACAGTCTTCCGCAAAGATAAAAAATCTAAAGACTATATCTTAAATAAAAGAGTGTGATTAAAGACCATCTTTGCATAAACTGTGTAAAAATGTCAAAACAAAGACTATAGTCTTTTGCGTAAAGGTGAATAAGAAAGACTATAGTCTTTTTAAGGAGTGTAAAAATGCAAAGACAGTCTTTGCGTAAAAAGTAAAATGAAAAACTATAGTCTTTTGCGTAAAAGAAAATGCATCAGAAGAATCTCTTGCGTAAAAGTGTGTAAAATGCAAAGACTATAGTCTTTTGTACAAAGAAGATAATATGCAAAAAGACTATAGTCTTTGCGTAAAGTATAATGCAAAGACAATAGTCTTTTGCAAAAAGTAAAAATGCAAAGATAGTCTTCACAAAGACTATAGTCTTTTGCGTAAAAGTGTGTAAATGCAAAGACTATAGTCTTCGTAAAAGAGATAATAATGCAAAGACTATAGTCTTTTGCGTAAAGTGTAAAATGCAAAGACTATAGTCTTTGTGTAAAAGTGTGTAAATGCAAAGAGATATATCTTTTGTGTAAAAGTGTGTAAAACAAAGACAGTAGTCTTTTGCGCAAAGGGTATTAAAAATGCAAAACTATAGTCTTTGTTAAAAAAAAATGATAAAAATGCAAAGACTATAGTCTTTGCGTAAAAGTAATAAAAAGATAAATAGTCTTTAAAGTGGTAAAATGCAAAGACCTAGTCTTTTTGTAAAAGTGTGTAAAATGCAAAGACTATAGTCTTTTGCGTAAAGAGATAAAATGGCAAAGACTATAGTCTTTTGCATAAAAGTGTGTAAAATGCAAAGACTATAGTCTTTTGCGTAAAGTGTGTAAAATCACAAAGACTATATCTTTGCGTAAAATGCAAAGACTATAGTCTTTTGCGTAAAATAAAAATGAAAGAATAGATCTTTTGCGTAAAAGTTATGCATCAAAGACTATAGTCTTTTGCGCAAAGTAAAAAATGCAAAGACTATAGTCTTTGTATAAAGTGTAAATCAAAGACTATAGTCTTTTGCGTAAGTAAAATGCATAAAATCGAAAGATCTTTGCGTAAAAGCTAATGAAATCAAAGACTATAGTCTTTGCGTAAAAGTGTGAATGCAAAGACTATAGTCTTTGAGCGTAAATGAGATGTAGTCTTGCAAAGACATAGTCTTTTTCTTAAAGGGTGGTAAAAAAAAACTAAAGTCTTTGGTAAAGTGTAAATGAAGACTATAGTCTTTTGCGTAAAGAATGTAAAATGCAAAGATACAGTCTTTTGCGTAAAAGTGTAATCGCAAGACTATAGTCTTTTGCGTAAAGTGTAAAATGCAAAGACCTATAGTCTTTTTAAAAAACTTTTGCGTAAAAAAAAACAAAGTCTTTTGCGTAAAAGTGTAAAAGTGCAAAGACTATAGTCTTTTGCGTAAAAGTAAATAAAATAAAACTATAGTCTTTTGCATCAAAGTGTGTAAAAATGCAAAGACAATAGTCTTTTGTGTAAAAGTGTGTAAAAATGCAAAGACTTTTGTAAAAAGACAATTTTTGTATTAGAACCAAATACATGGTCAAGAGTAAGAAAATCAGCACATTGCGTAGTGTATATCTTACACTAGTTGTTTATTGTATCTATGGTTTGGCAGACGACAACTTTATAATTACAATCCCATCTTCGTCGTAGGGTAAAATGGCCGCCAAAGCTATAGAAATAGAAGCATCAAAAAGACGAAAATCGAGACGCATCAGAGCTGCGAATAACTTTTTGGCAAATATATCTCTGGATGGAAAATTTATAGGGAATATCACGCAAAAAGGAGATAAAGTCAAAGAGAAAACGCAATTATCTTTGGATAAAGAGGAAATTAAACTGATTTCAAATCAGGGTCTAGTTCAAAATCTTTCGCACTGTACTCGACCTAAACTTTTGAGCTCTTTCTCAACGACCGTGGCCATGATTGAAAACAAAACTAGTTTAGATATAGCTGCATCAGTATCCTCTTCTTCTTTGTTTCCCTACAACAGTTTAAAAGATACACGAGTTTACAAGCGTGCACATTCTGTAAAGGAAAATGTTGATCAAAATCATAAAAATATTATATGCGGACAAAATCTTGATAGATATGACGGGAATCTTTGTGGGAAAAGGTATTAGGTATTTTCTATTTATTTGTATCATTAGACAACCTAATTATCAACAATCTAAGCATCAGCAATAATCTAACCGTCAGCAACAATCTAACCATCAACAACAACAATCTAACCACCACCAAAAACCTAACCATTAACAACAACATTCTTACCCTCAGCAATAACCTAAGCATCAACATCATAGCCTTGACCAAACTGACATAAACAGGAAATTAAACTGATTTGAAGCCAACCTAGATTAGAGATTGAACACCAAATACTAAAATTTTGCTGATGCAGTACCTATTTTCTTCTTAGAATGATAATATGTTCTGGTCATTTTGTGCCCATTGTCATTTATTCAACCTTGAAATATTCTCAACATAAAGAGTACTTGGAGTCTAGTGAGAAGACAACTTATAAGTAAGTATGTATATATATGATTGACACTGAACTGGACACATTCAGAGAGAAGTCAATCAGCAGTTTCAAGTAATGATACAATGTTAAAAACAACATATAATATTTTGGAAATGCTGGCTAAAATGATATTTTTAGACTACAGAAGCCAACAGCAGAGCATGAGCAACGCTTTTGTGTTGAAAAAGGCATCGAAAATGGATCAAAAGACTGGGTATATAATTTTGGTTTTTTGACATGCAAATGACTTTCCTTTTATGGCAAGAATGTTTATGTTAAAAAATAGTTATGGCAAGGGTTCATGTACACAATCATTGATCACGGTGGAGTAAAAGGACTTAGTAAATACAAATGAATTGCAAATTATATATGTATTCACTGGCTTGCATATAAAATTATCACTACTTGCTTAGGAGCAACACATGGAATGCATAGGCTGGCAGATTACCTAAACAGAAATCATTTTGTTTTCCATCTAGCCAGTATCATATGGCCATTTATTGGCTCGTAACAAATGTAGCCATGCTTCAAGGAATTCTTCATCTCCTGGCAATTTATTACAAATTTCTTCAAGTCAATTGCCTTATGAAAAAAGAGATTTGTGTCTTACCACAGCAGGGTCAGGAACACCAAACAAGAAGCCAATTAAGCAAAGAGGTTGTGCTCGCTTAAATTGCCACCATGTATGGTTGGCATGTTGCACCAATGTTGGGATTTATTTGTGATTTTTTTTTAGAATATTTGGGGCATTCATTAGACTCCAGTGAGTATGATCCAGATATACTTGATGATCCTGAATTGCGATCTGGAAGATATCGAAAGGTTTTAAATCTTAGTTCATTTATGGTGAGTGTTTTGGTGAAGACTTTGTCAAGGCTGATGCACTCCGCATAGATATTGTATCTCTGTATTACATAAGGATGTTTCTTATGGAGATGATTTAAATAAAGATGTAGTCAATGGAGTTGTACATATATTTTGATTTTACAGGTGTCCATTATTGAATACGTAAAACCATCACAACTGAAGAAAGACTTGAACGAGCAATTCAAAGAGAAGTTTCCAAACCTGGACATAACATTGTCAAAATTAAGAAGGTGACATATCAAAAATAACCTCACATCATAGGCGGCCCAATAAATCACTTACCTAGCTAAAGTGTATAAACAAACGATAACTCTCCCCATTCCATTGTAACAGACCGTGCGCCGCAAACTTTGTATTGATTATATATATAGGAAGTTTATATTTGATGATTCTCCGTATAAAACATTGCTCGATGCCCGAGAGCAAAGCGTAAATATGTGAAGAGTGAGCAATCACGAAACAGGCTTGTCGGGATCAATCTTTAGTTTTGTGATTTTTTCTCAACACCACTACACAGATTTACGCTCTGCTCCCGGGCATTGAGCACTGTTTCATACGGAGAATCATCAAATATAAACTTCCTATATATATATATTGTATACATTACTGGTAAATATATACAATATATATATAATCAATTAATACAAAGTTTGCGGCGCACTGTCTGTTGCAATGAAATGGGGCGAGTTATCGTCAGTTATTGTTTGTTTATGCAATTTAGTTAGCTAAGTGATTTATTGGGCCGCCTATGCTTACATACATCATTTTTCTTATTTTTCCATTTCATTTTATTTTCAGTTTGAAGCAAGATATATCGAGATTAGCACTAGAGGTTACTTGGAGATTATGACATTCGTACCTGATATTCGCTAGCTCACACATTCCATCTTCTTCAGTGTTCTTTAGATCATTCTACAGTGGCATATACGATTGTCTACTTTGAAAAACTTGTGCTGCAGGTCGACCCTTTTTTAAATTGAAATTGCTTTCTCTTATGTAACACTTCGCCTGATGCCAAGATTTGCTGTTCTTTTTAGGGAAAAATTAGTAAAGTTAACAGAAAATTACTTGCAGGCGAGTCTCGCTGTCTTCATGACCATAATCGTGACTGTACTTTGCCCAACAACATTTTTGTATTTTAGGCTCTTGCCTACTGCTTGCTGCAAAATTTAACTGTGACCTAAAGAAGAATGCTGTAAAAATGATAATCGAAGTAAGAAATTTGTTTTTGGAAATGATCTCAGGCACAAACACAAAAAGAAAAATTTTCGTAATAAAGTTTTGGGATTAGTTCTATGTTTTACCTGCCCCATTGAGCGAGCATAGACGACGCTCGTATATATTGACAAATTTGTATACATCTTTGGATAAGAAAGAACTTAAACTTTCAAAAATATTATCACAGTCCCGCATTTGACTCATGAAAGTCGTGACTGATTTAATCAAATTGCTTGTGATTTAAATTCTGATGCATCTAAAGCAGCTTACTGTGAAAAATGTATTTATTTTTGTTTTTTTCAGAATATCTCGGACTTTTTTCGATTAAGCACAAAAGATCTTCTCCTGTATGAAATACAATCATTGATCAGCCTTGAATTCGACCTTCATCTCTCAGTTTCTCATGTTCTTCCGCATTTAAAACGTCTGGAATTTAAGAATGTGACTTTATCATGACGTCAAGTGATGACGTCAGAAGTTGTTCCTGGAAATGTACCATAAATGAGATGTACATATGACTGATGGTTAAAGTTTTACCACGTCATTATTGTCGCAGTTGTATAAAGTAGCAACTAGTTGACAAGAAAAATGTTTAAAGCAAAAGGTAACAGAGAAATCACAAGCCAACCTATCGAAATACACCTGCCAAGCTAGAAAGTAATTGAAAAACATTTTAAAAGAGATCGGGCGAATCTTTTTTATCTTGGACTTTCGTCTTTCGAAGTAGAGCGAACTTTGTTTATTTTTGAGATTAAATTTACAAGTTCAATATAAACGTCCTACTTTATCTTAATACTTTACACATTAAATACTAATCTTAACCGAATCGCATAGTTATAGACAAATTTGGTGCAAAATGTTCGTCATGTAAATTATACAGTTAATACCGTTGCTGTCTTGATACCAGTCCCCTGGCTTTTGGAAACATCTCTGTCTGCAAAGATTCACGGGAAGTACCTGTTTCGGGTCTTTTGTTTCTACTCCTAAAGAAAGAAGATAGTCGGTAAGTTTTGTCTTAAGAAAAGATGTGTTGAAAACAGGTCATATTACACCGTAGATGATGTAAAAAAGATACGCCGAGCGTGTAAAACGTCACGCCTGTGTCAAAAGTAGTAATTAGGTCTGTGTGTTATTCATCCAAAAGACAATCGTCAAAAGCTCTTGTAGAAAAGTGGTGAGAGTTCATTATATCATGAAATGCATTGTAACATAGATAAATATATATATATTCTATACGTATAAATATATATTATAAATATATATTGCATATGTAAGTATATATAAAATGTACCTTGTTTTTTGTTTATCCTGTCGTTTTGACTTCACATTGGGCTTGCTGAGAAGAACACTAAATGGAATAAAAAAGAAATGTGGTTCGTTTGTTTTGTAAAACTTTATTAACCAAGAAAGACTACAATGACACATATTATCATTAAACCAAGAAAGCCGAAGATGACACATATTAAACCAAGAAAGTTTAGAGGGACACATTGTCATTACTAAACCACGAAAGTCTGTAATGACACATATTCTCCATTTCTTATTTGCCACTAAAGTTTACGTGATGTAGCTTAAGACTGCTTTCGTTCCCCATTGTTCATTATTACCTAGCTACGATATAAAATGTGACATTCAATAATATCTACGTTGACATAAACTATATGAACTTTACTTTGCATCCAGTGTTATGTCCTCCTCATCTTGAAGAGCAGCATCCAACGCTGCTTGTACTCGTGGTGCTACAGCAGGACCCTCGTAATCCTTTGTTGTCCTGTTCGGCATGTCCAGTTCTATTTGAATAATGTTTTCTGCCTGAAAAAATGATTTCATTCATTAAAACCTCGCAGTAATGAAGAAATTGAAGGTAAAGTGAAATGGATTTAGTTTAACACTAACAAAGACACATTTTACATAAGTTAAATAATTTTTGTTTATCAATTGTCTATAGTTTGCCAAAAAGTAAATATAAACAATACTTTATGAAAAGCAGTATCATAAGTAGTTAAATGTTCTAGAAAAAAAAAATTCTGCCCAAATAAAACAAACAACTCCATAATACCTTGTAACGCGGATTCCCGCCAAGAGCGGCCGCAACACGAGCATACTCGGTTATAGGTCGACGATTTCCGATTGCAGAAACAGGACGCTTCGTCATAGTCTCTCTAGATCAGAAAAGGTAGAATGAAAAATGGACGTAGACAGATGTAGTTGTACTGAAGATGTAAGAGTTAAGACATTAAAGAATTTACAGTAGAAACTACTTAGTCAAAAATTACGTATAGGCACAAGTAACCAAGCTTTTGCACATTTTTACAAACTTACTTTTTATTTTCTGTGATGGGTTTTAATTTCCATTCGCTATTTTCTTCATCGTAAACGCATCTGTTTATGACTTTAGTTCTTTCTTCTGGCGGTATGAAATTTTCGATCAATAGCAATCTTATAAAGAAATATGAATAACAGCTTACGTACATCTATGAGAACTATCAACAGAAACAATTTTGCTCAAATATTGTACATTCTGAGTTTTTAAGCGACACTTTATCTCCGAGTAAACTAAGATGGACAAAGCAATGATCTCGTTAACTTTTCTTGACTGTGTGATACATTTTTGACACGTGACGCCTCTTGAATTGCCCCAACCATCATGCTTAAATACTCTCCTCCTCTCCAAAGGCGGCGGAAAATCGATTATTAAAGGGGGGGCTGTTATTCATATATGCATCTTTTACTTCATTAGTTTCTATTGAAATGAATTGTGTTTATGGATTATAACATATGAATGTATCAATATAGCACCCCCTTCCAATTATCAATGTTCCGCCGCCACTGCAATAGCCCTCCTCACTCTAGAAGATAATGTGCTTCCTTGACATGAAGTTTTGATCTTACTTGAATTTCAAATCGCGCATTAGATCTTCTTGGTTTTTTTCTAGTTGTTGACGTTGACTGATGTATTCTTCTTGCAGATCGGTGATTTCTGCTTTCACTTGTTGTAACTTGCTGTAAATCTAAACGATGTATAAAACTTTTGTCATGATGCTGTTCTCTTACGTATATTATAATTTTAAAAACAGACTTGACTCCTGTTGGCAAACATTGTGCGACAGCAGTTCTGCATTATCACAAAAACTAAAATATACTTTGATAAAGTATGCTGACACCGTTTAAAATGAAACACTAAGAAGGAAAACTCAAGACTGTCTTTTCACAAATACACACAGGCTCTCAATTTCATACTTAATTTCAATCGAAACTGAATAAAACTGTCGCAAAATGATGTACAACCAAATTTATAAACATCACATGACGAGGCTGAAACCGTGAAATTCTAAAAAACCAATGACGACGTCCTATGACATTCAAGATGTTCACAACCATATCGCTAAAACGACTTGCTAGGTAACTGACAACTCACAAGTATTAAAAGTCATTATCACCATTTGAATGTGGCCTATATGTTTTGAAAAGACTTACACACACAGTCATACCGTGCTGGAACGTGACAACAGTGTTCTTAATAAATTATCGATTTTCAAATATAGAAGAGGAGCTCACCCCCGAACTTAAAGGAGGAGGCTACACTCTCCCTCATATTTTTACAGTGTTGCCGTCACGCCTCGAACGGAAAAAAACGAATCATTACGTTATGTCTTTGTGTCAAAACGCCGATACCTTTTTCAATTTTTTCGTCTTAATATCAACTTCTTCCTGAAGTGTAGAATGCGTCTCTTTCATTTGATATGACTCCCCATCTTTTTCCTCGAGCTTTTGAATCATCTCGCGTTCCCGAGCCTTAAAAGATATTACCAACAGGCGCGCGTAAGAAGAAAATAATGAAATACAACATTTATTAGCATGCAAATGTATATGTACACCATGAATTAAATCACAGTTGTAAGTGTTCGCAACACATTTACTTGTGGTACTTAAAAATGAATTACATGTGAAATATGAGCATGAAGCCTTTTTAGGCAACAACAATCAAGGACTTCCTACCTTCTGTTCGGCCAATTCCTTTCGCCTGAGTTCCAAAGCTCGTTCCTGTTCGCTGGTCTTGTCAACTATACTTTTGCCGCCAACTAATAACTTACTCTCCATCATCTTAAAATAATTTTGAAAATGAATGCGAGTTCTTCAGATGATGTTACCATAGAAATGATTTACTTGACAAGCAAAGTGTACTTTTGAAATGTAGAACCAAGTACACAGGAAAAATAGCGAAGTGTTCTTACTTTGATTTTGGCATTAAGCGCTTCCTGTTCCTTCTGTCGTTTCTTAAGCTGCTGTGACTTCGTTTGTATTTTATTCATTAACTTTTCCTTCTCCTATTGGATTCAATAAATAATAAATTTCATGAAAAATCACCATTTTGCCAAACTGAAAAGTAAAACCGGCAACCTGTTGCATGCGGTATTTCATGAATATTGACACTGCAAACTGAATGGTTTAAACCCTGGAGTGCCCTTAAATTTTTTATTAATGTACATTGTCCAGGTTAGTAGACTCCTTAGGAGGGTTGGTGTTGTCAAACGTTTCAACAACCTTAGCGGTAGTCTTTACTTTACTTTAAAGATGACTACCTCTAAGGTTTTTGAAACGTCAGTCAACATCAACACCAATACTCCTTCGCAGGACTACACTAACCTGGACGATCTACATTTACAAACATGTATTGACACTACGAAGAGCAAAGGACAGAATATGACACCACAAGACTTGTTCAATGTTGTCAGTATTTCTTAAACTTTCTATCATTTAAATTATAAATACGTACCTCAGCCATCATACTTTGATTCTCCAGCAAGGCTTTCTTCTCCATCTCAAGTTCACTCTGAGCCTTTTGAATTAAATCTTCATCATCAGCAGCATCATCTACAGCATCGCCATTCTCTCCAATACTACGATCTACCATTAAAAAAGACACGAGTTAGTCCAAAAATACACGTAAATTAATATGGAAGTGAGATTATACGTAACTTAACTATTTTAATAAAAAAAATGAGAGCAAAATAAACAATGAATTTCTTTGACATTTACTGTACAATAATTATTGAATGCAAAATCAAGTGAATGAAAACATGATTGTGTAGTTTTTACAATACAAATACTTAAGATGAGTAAAGAAAACTAAGATTTGATTCAGGGTGGGAGACTGGGGTGACCTTAGTGACCAAACTATATGCTTAAACTCACTTGATTTTCTGCTTTTTTCTCGACCAGTTTTTCCTCTTTTTTGTAGCTCGTTTTTCAATCTGAATCAAGGCAACAAAACAGCGTATGTAAGACTGAAAAGAAGTTGCAAAAAAATACCCAATACTAGCAAAAAGAAACTTTACTATACGGCACTGCTTGACAAGAAATGGCAATAAATCAACTAATTAAAAATCAGCCAGTATATTCTCACCTCGCAATTTCTTCCTGAAATTCACGAAGTAAAGCATCCTTTGGATCTTCATTAATCTTCGGTTTGTTTTTGATATTCTTTGCGCGGTTTGCGTATCTGAAATGGATGTCAAAGTTTGTGGAAATCAAGGGAAAGTAGTGAAAAAGATGTTTTCTTGAGACATATATGATTATGATGAAATAGATACTCCACAAAATGTTGATGTTTGAAAACTGGAGAACAATATTGAAAAATGTTGAAAATGTTGAACAATGTTGAACACTGGAGAACAGTGTTGAACAATGTTGAACACTGGAGAACAGTGTTGAACAATGTTGAACACTGGAGAACAATGTTGAGCAATGTTGAAAACTGGAGAGTAATGTTGAACAATGTTGAATATTGTTAAAAATGTTGACACTGGAGAACAATGTTGAACAATGTTGAATATTATATGAAAGAATGTTTTATGCAGTGCGGTGTTTGAAATTAAATGTAGATATGATCTTCGCACTTTGCTGGACAATTTAAGCAATTGTCTCGTGAACCTCAAAAATTCAGGTGACTCAACGGGATTCGAACCCATGAACCGCAGAGGTCCAGCAAAGTGCGAAGATCATATCTACATTTAATGTTGAATATTGTTGAAAATGTTGACCCTGGAGAACAATGTTGAACAATGTTGAACACTAGAGAGTAATGTTGAACAATGTCAAACACTAGAGAGTAATGTTGTACAATGTTAAACACTAGAGAGTAATGTTGAACAATGTCAAACACTAGAGAGTAATGTTGTACAATGTTAAACACGAGAGAAGAATGTTGAACAATATGAAACACTAGAGAGTAATGTTGTACAATGTTAAACACTAGAGAGTAATGTTGTACAATGTTAAACACTAGAGAGTAATGTTGTACAATGTTAAACACGAGAGAAGAATGTTGTACAATGTTAAACACGAGAGAAGAATGTTGAACAATATGAAACACTAGAGAGTAATGTTGTACAATGTTAAACACTAGAGAGTAATGTTGAACAATGTCAAACACGAGAGAGTAATGTTGTACAATGTTAAACACGAGAGAAGAATGTTGAACAATATGAAACACTAGAGAGTAATGTTGAACAATGTTAAACACTAGAGAGTAATGTTGAACAATGTCAAACACGAGAGAGTAATGTTGAACAATATGAAACACTAGAGAGTAATGTTGAACAATGTGAAACACTAGAGAGTAATGTTGAACAATGTCAAACACTAGAGAGTAATGTTGTACAATGTTAAACACTAGAGAGTAATGTTGTACAATGTTAAACACTAGAGAGTAATGTTGAACAATATGAAACACTAGAGAGTAATGTTGAACAATGTTAAACACTAGAGAGTAATGTTGAACAATGTCAAACACGAGAGAGTAATGTTGAACAATATGAAACACTAGAGAGTAATGTTGTACAATGTTAAACACTAGAGAGTAATGTTGAACAATGTCAAACACGAGAGAGTAATGTTGAACAATATGAAACACTAGAGAGTAATGTTGAACAATGTGAAACACTAGAGAGTAATGTTGAACAATGTCAAACACTAGAGAGTAATGTTGTACAATGTTAAACACTAGAGAGTAATGTTGTACAATGTTAAACACTAGAGAGTAATGTTGAACAATATGAAACACTAGAGAGTAATGTTGAACAATGTCAAACACGAGAGAGTAATGTTGAACAATATGAAACACTAGAGAGTAATGTTGAACAATGTGAAACACTAGAGAGTAATGTTGAACAATGTCAAACACTAGAGAGTAATGTTGTACAATGTTAAACACTAGAGAGTAATGTTGAACAATGTTAAACACTAGAGAGTAATGTTGAACAATATGAAACACGAGAGAGTAATGTTGAACAATATGAAACACTAGAGAGTAATGTTGAACAATGTGAAACACTAGAGAGTAATGTTGTACAATGTTAAACACTAGAGAGTAATGTTGTACAATGTTAAACACTAGAGTAATGTTGAACAATATGAAACACTAGAGTAATGTTGAACAATGTCAAACACGAGAGAGTAATGTTGAACAATATGAAACACTAGAGAGTAATGTTGAACAATGTGAAACACTAGAGAGTAATGTTGAACAATGTCAAACACTAGAGAGTAATGTTGTACAATGTTAAACACTAGAGAGTAATGTTGAACAATATGAAACACGAGAGAGTAATGTTGAACAATATGAAACACTAGAGAGTAATGTTGAACAATGTGAAACACTAGAGAGTAATGTTGAACAATGTCAAACACTAGAGAGTAATGTTGTACAATGTTAAACACGAGAGAAGAATGTTGAACAATGTTAAACACTAGAGAGTAATGTTGAACAATGTCAAACACTAGAGAGTAATGTTGTACAATGTTAAACACGAGAGAAGAATGTTGAACAATGTGAAACACTGCGTAGAATGTTGAAAAGTGGAGAACAATGTTAAACAATATTGAACGATGTCTAAAACGGGACAGTTAATTAGTAACGGGATAGTTAATTAGTAACGGGATAATTAATTAGTAACAGGATAATTACTAACTTGATAATAATTACACATACGTACCTCAACGTGGTGAGAGTTTCTTCATAATTATAGCTTGCAGGACCCTAATGTGCATAAAACATATGGAAAACGTTCCGTTTACGCATTAAAAATAACAGCAAATGTACATTTTCATCATCTAACCATGTTAGCAACCATTACTGTTTTTGCATTGCCACCAAGAGAATCTACATAAACATTAGTTAAACGTCGACAAATTTACATAAAAACAACGTCTTCCACAAGATTACGAGGTATATCACAAAGGATTGAAAACGAGGAGATTGACTTTCTTTTCCATACCTTGCAAAAGTCTAGTAAGTTTTGAGTCACGGTAAGGAATGTGGGTACTTTTTCCATCAACAAGAGCAGAAATGACGTTTCCCAGAGCAGAGAGAGATAAATTGATTTTAGTCGCTTCCTTTAGTCGTTCTCCCTGCAAGTGTGAAAGACATTTTAGGAAAGGTCATCATTATTCATGTCGATAATAAACGTGTTTCATTTAAAATGTCGTAAAGACATTTAACTTTAATTGGAGAATTTGCTATTTCCTGTGTGGAAGGTCAAAAATTGAATTATATAACATGGCAAAGGCATCGGTTGAAGTCCAAGACGTGTTCTCAAAAAAAAAATAAACAAAAACAAAAACAAAAAAATGAATTACATAACTTGACGAAGGTGCTGGTTGAAACCACGTAAACTAAAAGCTTCTGAAAATGGCCTCATACCAAAAGGTGTTCTCAAAAACAAACAAACAAAAACAAACAAAAAAAGCAACAAACAAAAACAACAAGCAGGCAGACTAGTCAAGAACTGCATGTAAGAACAACAACAAATCTTTGACTTTCCACTAACAACATACTCTCATTGAAGAGCATCGGTAATTTTACTGATATACGTACAGCAGCGCCAGTCTTTGCCTGACGTTCACTACCAGCTAAGTCGACCAAATTTAGTTTTCCAACACGAATATGTCCTTCACCATCTGGGCCAACCTTACATGAAGTGAATAGCAAAAGCGAATTATTTCAAAAAAAAAAAAAAAAAAACAGAACAAGAATATCAACAACCAGGACAAGCAGACAATTTTGAATAAAACAAAATAAAAGAGATTCCGAAAACAGACATCTCGTTTTCTTGATATTCAAGATGATACAAGAGTTTTAGACAACAGATGGTGTAATATTTCGTCTTTATTCCAAAGACATCGTCAGACTGGAATAAAGACGAAATATTACACAATCTGTTGTCAAAAACTCTTGTATCATCTTGAATATCAAGAAAACGAGATGTCTGTTTTCGGGATCTCTTTAATTTTGTCTTATTTAGAATATCAACAAACAACAGACTATCATAAGGGACAAGACAGGACTATGGCTAACAAGGAGCTGAAGCAAGATAGTACAGACTTCAGGCGGAAGTAGAAGACTAAGAAAGATAACACAAAAAAATAAACCAACTTCAGAGAATAAAGAGAGTGAAATAGGCAAAAAGAATAATATCACAAAACAAAAAAAAGAAGATTACCATAACAAGAAGAACATTGACAGACGTCAGCGGAGGAGAAAGATTATAAAAAAATAACACTAAGATGGACAGGAGATACGTAAAGACATATGGAAGAACATTAGGATGGATGGGACGATAAAACAAAACAGAAGATCACGAGAAGAAAGATGAAGATACGTTAAGAACAAGATGAAGAAGAGATCAGAATATTAAGAAAAAGAAGAGAAAAAAGACAAAGGAACAGCATAAGATTGAGATCAACAAAAACGAAAAGAAAGACAAGACACCTTTTAATGCATACGTACTTCGCTACATTCAATTGTAATAATAAAAATGGCGTGGGAACGCGACGAGTGTTCGTTCATATTCGTAGCACTATAAATATAAACGTGAATGTACATAAAAATGGCGTGGGAACGCGACGAGTGTTCGTTCATATTCGTAGCACTATAAATATAAACGTGAATATACATAAAAATGGCGTGGGAACGCGACGAGTGTTCGTTCATATTCGTAGCACTATAAATATAAACGTGAATGTACATAAAAATGGCGTGGGAACGCGACGAGTGTTCGTTCATATTCGTAGCACTATAAATATAAACGTGAATATACATAAAAATGGCGTGGGAACGCGACGAGTGTTCGTTCATATTCGTAGCACTATAAATATAAACGTGACTATACATAAAAATGGCGTGGGAACGCGACGAGTGTTCGTTCATATTCGTAGCACTATAAATATAAACGTGAATATACATAAAAATGGCGTGGGAACGCGACGAGTGTTCGTTCATATTCGTAGCACTATAAATATAAACGTGACTATACATAAAATGGCGTGGGAACGCGACGAGTGTTCGTTCATATTCGTAGCACTATAAATATAAACGTGAATATACATAAAAATGGCGTGGGAACGCGACGAGTGTTCGTTCATATTCGTAGCACTATAAATATAAACTTCAATATACATAAAAATGGCGTGGGAACGCGACGAGTGTTCGTTCATATTCGTAGCACTATAAATATAAACGTGAATATACATAAAAATAGCGTGGGAACGCGACGAGTGTTCGTTCATATTCGTAGCACTATAAATATAAACTTCAATATACATAAAATGGCGTGGGAACGCGACGAGTGTTCGTTCATATTCGTAGCACTATAAATATAAACGTCAATATACATAAAATGGCGTGGGAACGCGACGAGTGTTCGTTCATATTCGTAGCACTATAAATATAAACTTCAATATACATAAAAATGGCGTGGGAACGCGACGAGTGTTCGTTCATATTCGTAGCACTATAAATATAAACTTCAATATACATAAAAATGGCGTGGGAACGCGACGAGTGTTCGTTCATATTCGTAGCACTATAAATATAAACTTCAATATACATAAAAATGGCGTGGGAACGCGACGAGTGTTCGTTCATATTCGTAGCACTATAAATATAAACTTCAATATACATAAAATGGCGTGGGAACGCGACGAGTGTTCGTTCATATTCGTAGCACTATAAATATAAACTTCAATATACATAAAAATGGCGTGGGAACGCGACGAGTGTTCGTTCATATTTGTAGCACTATAAATATAAACGTGAATATACATAAAAATGGCGTGGGAACGCGACGAGTGTTCGTTCATATTGGTAGCACTATAAATATAAACGTGAATATACATAAAAATGGCGTGGGAACGCGACGAGTGTTCGTTCATATTCGTAGCACTATAAATATAAACGTGAATATACATAATAAGAGCAAAGTCTAGGCAAAAATATGAAGAATAAAAGTAAAAACTCATCAAAAGAAACATTTTTTCATAAACAACGGTAAGGCAACTTACCCCACGGCTCTGTTTTGATTACCGACATTCATGACATGTTCAATTTCCTTCACACTTTTACATACAAACGACTGGAGGTCCTTTCACAGTAAAAAGAATGCTTCAAACATTAGCGCTGTTTGAAAAAATAACTACAAACTACAATCTTTAACGCGCGAGTTTAACCCGACACGCGTGTCTTGGGGTCAAATTGAGCTTTATGCAGACAGACATGTTTATATTGCGCCTTGAAGTGGTATTCACTTACGTACCTTAACATATATACCAGTATCAGGCCGTTCCTTTAACTCCAGTCTTCTTTTCTGATCTTTGGCTAGCAAGTCACGTATTTCCTCCTGTGTAAACACATAAAATACAAGTTAATATACTTAATATACGTAGGTACATACGTAGATACATACGTAGATACATACGTAGATACATACGTAGGTACATACGTAGATACATACGTAGATAATACGTAGATACATACGTAGATACATACGTAGGTACATACGTAGATACATACGTACAAAGTACAGGAAGTCCAAAACAACTTTACAACATAATTTTTGATAACTTTGTTCATGATAAAATTCGTTGAACATTTCTGTAATAAGGATGAAATTATCACACCTGATATATTTCAAGGTAAGATGCTCGAACAAGATACTGTTGGTCATGAGTTCTGGCAATGTGTTTAAATATATGATCAAATGAGTTGGGAATGACACCTTGAAGTTCAGGATCTGATCTGACACCTCAAATGAAACAAAAACAAGATACATACTTGTTTAGCCATCGAACATTGTGAAAGACAAATGTCCAATGTTAATGATTGCATACCTTCCATTGTGTACGTCTTTCCTGTTCCTGTTTGACCATACGCAAATATTGTACCTGTATAATTATGAACATACAAGTACACGTGTGCTAAAAAGGCCTCATAAATGAATGTAACATATGATCAAAATAAGTACATTTTCTAACCATTATATCCTCCTAAAACTGATTCCACCAATCCTCTAAAGCTTTCATCATAGAGATCACGTTGAACAGAGCTAAATGTTAGAAATGCAAATAAATCAATGTCTTTTGACTCATGAGATAAATAAAAAGAAATAAAAGATGTTTACTGAGTTTGCACAATATTTTAAAACTTAATAGCAGATGTCAAAAACATCATCAAATGACAATTAGTTATTTTCATGTGCATTTACTACGTACAGTACCGACCTCGAGTAACATAACTTGACTCGCGAGTATCGAATGGCGAGTGACTTGCGATGCAGTTGCATGTGAGAGGTTTGCGAGTGGATAAAATATTTCGCTGTTTGCAAGTAAATCGAAATAACTCGGAAAAATTTCTTTCTCCGCAACTGCATCGCGAGTCACTCACCCACTCGCCATTCGATACTCGCGAGTCAAGTTATGTTACTCGAGGTCGGTACTGTACATGTTACAAATTGAATTTGCACTCAAATCAAACAACAAACAGCAGTTATAAGTTATGAATGCACTTTGCTATGTGTTGATTCATGAAAAGGCCACTTCAGCAAACAATTCTCTGTTGACAAAGACTTCCTCAAAGCAACATTTCTTATTGTCCATAGTTGGAATTTGTAGGGGGAGGCAAAACAAGCACAATTTTTCAGGGTGCATTAAAAATATCAAACACCAAATCCAAAAAAAGTAAATTTAGTCTGATACATAATTCTCACACTAATTGTTCAACATGCAACTATACTGCATAATTGCCAAGCAACTTTGCACAATAAAAACAGATGCCAATACATTTTGAACTCACTTCCAATCATAAACTGCATCAAATGTGAATTCCTTTGGCGGTTCACCTTGTTTGGCTAGATTCTTTAACAACACATGACCACGTTTGATGTCTAGTTCAACAACCCTAAAATGGTAACCATTTTTTAATTTGCTTACTATAGGATGATCGAAGAATGTCCACTGTCATTTGTAGTTAATTATACCTTTCAAACCCTTCAGAAACTTCCTTCTGGTTCATGGGGCGACATCTTATGATGACCTTTACACTCTCTCCTGTCTTCTTCTTCAACTGAATAGTTCACAGCAATATTTAGTGATTTTGATTATTTTTCATAATATATTACATGACACGGGAGTTAACACATCACCATACTAGAAAGTTTGTTTGTTTTTCACTTTTACACTGTTACTATTCAAACTTAGGTTCTTCTTTGGTATTGGTAAGATAAAACTTTATCATACATTGACTTCCAAGCAAAAATAGTTTAAATTGTTATCATGGTTTCCATTCTTAAATTGTAAACACAGTTTACGTGGTGTAAAAAAATATAGAACACTTGAGTAACTCTACAGTCTTTACTTACCATTTTGATTTACAGCATGCTGAACCATATCAAAATTAAAAGTCCGACTTTTTAATTTCAATGTATATTGTTGCTTTTATAAAGTAGTTTCGAAAATACCATTTCCCTAGTCCTAAGAGACTTTCAACGCCGATAAAAATTATTTCCTTTAAAATGAAAAATTTAACTTAAACCGCCATCTTTGTTACCAATGAGCATGCGCTGTTATGAATGACAACATGTGTTAATAACAAGTATCTCCATGGTAACACCACTGACATGGTAACATTAAAATTAGATCAACGGGAGAAGATAATATTTGAACCATACATACACATATATATTTACAACGCATGAAATAAGTAAACGGAAATAAGCAATAGAAATAAAATAGTGTGATATTTAGCGGGAGAAGATAAAAATTACTTTATTATTTAAAAAGATCAGACAGCTTATTGATAAAGTAGATCTTTTGTGATGATTTTCATGCAACACATGCGCAATACGAACAACGAATCGTCGCAGATGAGGATCCAGATGAGCGGTGCAGGGAGTGTGCCCTCCCTCCCTGAACTAAGATAATTTAATACATGTTTGTAGATGTAGATCGTCCAGGTTGGTATAGTCCTGTGAAGGACTGTTTTTGTTGTTGTTGACTGACGTTTCGACAACCTTAGGGGTAGTCATCTTCAGAGTCAAAAAAGGTAGTCATCTTCAGAGTCAAAAAAGGTAGTCATCTTCAGAGTCAAAAAAGGTAGTCATCTTCAGAGTCATTTTTTGACTCTGTCAAAACGTCAGTCAACAACAACAAAAACAGTCCTTCTCAGGACTATACCAACCTGGACGATGTACATTTACAAACATGTAACGATACTCCCGGGTTCAAACCATTTACTTTATAATTAATAGCTTGTTAATGTTATGTTATTGAATTAAAACAAAACATTTTTAAGAGTAGTACACAACAGATTTATCTGGATACTAGGATGTCAAATTTGCGAAAAATACTTTAGTTCTTTAAAATAACAACACGAAAACGCGTGCGCTGATTGGTCAATAATCTTAATTAATAAATTCTGTACGACATTATGAGTGGATGATAACAATACATATGATATGGACGACCATATTTAGTAATGAGTACAACTGAATTTAAAGCTTTAAAATTTTCAATAATCTTTAAATCACGCATCTGCTCGAAATTTTCTTTGCAGAACGTCTCTACTCTTTTTTTCCCCTTTAAAAATGAATGTTGGAGAACGAACATTTGGAGAATGAGCACGATTTAAAAATGACGTCGTACCTTCTTGACAAGCTTTCTCATGTGCAAACTGTGATTTTAGACCAAACTTTGTTATCATATCGATGTCTATCCAAAAATCTTGCTGTTATCCATTGTTGAAACGAACCACTTCCAGCGCTGATCAAGTGTTGTGCACCCGTAACAAGATTCATATCGACAAGAGCTATAACACCACGATCTAACGTGTCAGACGATGGTACATAAGTTGTACCTTGTGATTCCTTGACAATATACTCAATCAAATCGTTAAAAACGCTTTCATCCAAGTTTTCTTCGGCTTTAAATCTCATTAAAGATCCTGAACCATATGTCCCCATATCAGTCGCAATAAAAACATGCGATACTCCAGTTTTTTTCTTTAATAGGTTTAGAGCCTAAAACACAAAATACATCTGTAATTATTTGTAATAATTTATAATAATTTGTTTAGCGAAGTAACACAAACACCTCTTTGCAATATTTCGTCAAATGTAAGAAAGCAATACACACCATTTGCAATAAGTAAGTTTAAGAAATCAATTTAGCACCACAGATGGTGGAAAAAAGAAGCAGAAATGAATATTTTTAACAAACGAAGAAATGTGGAAATACAGAGTAGGGAAATTCGACATTGGCTACAAAAAGTAGAAACTCTTTTCCCCACGTAACGCACAAATTTGTTTTGACTGCATTATACCACGTTTTCAATCTTTCTATTAAAGAAAATATGCTTTTATAAGATGAGGATTACAAGAGGATTTTCCCATAGTAAAAGATTAAAAGGAAAATACTCTTTTAAGTGTTAACAGTCGATGATTATGAGAAGTAAATCTATAGTCACAACAGATGTACGTATGAAAAAATGAACAAGATATTGCAATACCTCCAGGACCAAGTCCACGCATTTACGTAAATAATCCATATTTTTATGACGAAAAACGATCTCGCTTCTCAAATAAATGGCGATGTAATTATTGGAAAGAAACTCCTCGGTGAAATCCTCAACTTCATTCTCTACATCCATTCCAGGTCGCAAGGCAAATGTCAGATCAACCGATGAGAATTTCAGATCATCTTCGGAGAACTTTAATCGATACGAGACACCGTCAATTCCTCGCCATTGAAATATATTAAGACACTTGTGTCCCTTCACAATCTCTTCTTCTAGTTTCGTCCAGTCCTTTATCACCGTAGAGTGAACACAATATTGTTTACCAGGAACCCGACCCATAGCCTTGTCAATGAAATTACATTCTGTCCAACCATTTCGACTAGCGTCAGCTGTAATTTTATTGACGTAATCTCTCTTCATGCGAAATGTCGACATAAACGCATTTTTGGACGTTTGAGAATCGTCCACGAAGTATATACTAACATGACCAGAGTCATTGATAGGACATTGTTCAAAATATTCATCTTTCTCCACTAAACCAGCATAATTACTGACAGTCAGCAATTCTTCCATATGATCGATATTATAATATGTGTCAAAATCAAGCCAAGAATCCTGCGACTGACTGAACCTCGCACCTTTGACATAAGGTTTTACTACGTATCTGTTGCTTCGTCCAGCTTGTGCACATAGACTGAGAAACGCTCGCGTGTTCTTTGATAGTTGTTCATTGAACATAAAGTAAACAAATGCATATTTCTTGGTCATTTCGTACGGACGTCGTGGACCAAATGATACATCGATGATTTTCGGGAAATTCATCGGCGTATACACCATGTGTATTTCATCATTATGAGATTTTCTATCTTGAGTAATATAAACACGGAGATTTTGCTCCTTTAACTCCTCAATCATCGTTTGTAGTTTATCAAAATCAAGTCCACTGATATTTTTATGGCGAAATTGGATATTTACGTCGAGTTGCCCATTCGAACTTTCCATCATTTTAAAACCGAAGCGAAGGAGAAAGATAAAAGTCAATGCTAGAACCAAGTATTTCAAGTTTGATCGTCGCATTTGTAGTAATATATATTAGCCACAAGTATAAATTGCCACTTTCAATGTCGCACAGAAACAAGTGTATGTACGGAGTTCTACAAAGATGAAACACACATACACACGCACGACTCAATTCCTAGATATCTTTCATAAAAAACAAACGTAGAACAGACACTTGTCGATATACTTTGCTATTTTTGTGAAAATTAACTTGACACGTACTTAAGAGTGAAGAGAGTTGAAATATCGTTATGCATGATTGCTCGTGTATTGTATGGTAAGCAGCAACATTATTCAAATTTCATGATTTTTAGAGAATTTGGTACATTTTACGACATTGTGAAAATATCGTCTCATCATTTGTTGGGAAATTTGTGGTTGGAAAAGAAAGTTCCAATATATAATCGCACCTTTACTTTTCTTTAACTCTGTCGTTTTTTGCACGATAAGTTTCAAAAGGACTGATTTCTATTCATAGTAGCTTGCTTAGTTCTTTGAGTGATTTGCTCTCATGTATGAATGAAAAACACTCCACAATAAACGTTCTGGGAAAGGCCCTGAAGACCGGCGACTGTGGCATAATTCAACCCTTATTTTTCGTAGATTTCGATTTATGAAAAATATAGTTTAAAATATTGATGGAAAACCCGACCTCTGTAGGCAAATTGTAAGATGAGATGTAAATATATAAAGACTTTTATTTTCAATTTTATGACTTATTTTGATGGGTTTGTATTACAGCCACGACCATAGTATGGTGTTCCTCAACCCTTCTGTACTTACCAATTTAAGGAGAAAATAATTTGTAAAATGCATCTTGAAATTTTGTTTGCATCCACAAGTTTCAACTTTCTGCTTCGGTTCTAGAAAAGTATCAATGGTTTGTTAAAACTTGAGTTACCATACATATGACTACCATTAAAACTTGACTTACCATACATATGACTACCATTAAAACTTGACTTACCATACATATGACTACCATTAAAACTTGACTTACCATACATATGACTACCATTAAAACTTGACTTACCATACATATGACTACCATTAAAACTTGAGTTACAATACATATGACTACCATTAAAACTTGAGTTACCATACATATGACTACCATTAAAACTTGAGTTACCATACATATGACTACCATTAAAACTTGAGTCACCATACATAAATGACTACCGTTTAAACTTGAGTTACACGTTTAAGTAACCGTGTGCAAAAGCAAGTCAATTTAAATGAATATTCCTGGGGTCAAAAGTTCGATACTATACATGAAGGTACTAATACGATCTTCTTGCCTTAAAATTTTACAAAAAGACAGATCAAACGTTGTGCTCTAAAGTTGCGATTGTCGCTAAATAAACATAAGTTCGTAATTATTCATGTTTTGAAGTTCACACCAAAAGTTTGTGTAACAAACATTCTACAACATTAATTATGTATGGGTGGAGGAGTGGATTGTTTATTTATATAGTCAGTTGTGCCCGAGTGATTTTTTTTTGAAAGTGAATTGCTTTCAAAAGGGTACAACTGAATAATTTAACAAACACCCTCCCCACCCTAAATCAACGTTCAAGAGACGGCCCCTGTAATAATTTTGAAAAACACGACGTTCAATTGTCTCCTCTGTAGATTCACGGCATCATTTCGTCAAAATTTTTAGCTTTCTACGACTAAATAACTTTCTGTTTCTTTTCGCAACATCCACAAAGATTTAAATATTGTTTAGTCGCCAAGTGTTTCAACAAAGGTGTGAAAATATCTATTATACACGATCCAATTAAGTCAAATACAATATTTCCTCACAAAAAGCCACACAGGACTTTCCATTTCGTCTACAATATCCTTAATACTATAACTGACAGATGGAATAAAGTTTTCAGAGAATGAAGTGTGATCGTTGAAATATTAGTCGACCCATGGCCTATGTGTTGATGTATGCACGTGTTATTGTAATGAACGTCTTAAAATAGACAATGTCAACAGTCTCAAACAAAAGTCATTTGAGCTGCAGACTAATTGAAGAGTTCGTTTGGAGGATATGCTGCATTGAGCACCGTGAACACAAAAAAATTTCAATGAAAAAAGTAAGCTCAGGCAGAAGATTTGCCTTCAGTCAACATTATACTTCTCATTAAAAAAACATAATATGACAGCTTCACTTCACGTTTCGCTTTTAATCAATCTTCTTTTCATCCTTTTAGATGAGAATCGTGTGTTTTCCTCTAACGAATTAGAAAGTCATTGTCTTGGTTGTGTATGCAAGACATATTAACACGTTTCTATTCACAACCGAAATTCTTCCTGTTGACTTTAACACTGCGCCTTTCCACAACAAAATTTGACATGCCTTTGTGAATGCTGGAGAAAAACGTAGGTAAAAAAGTTTTCTTCAAGAGTTTAATAATAACAATTAGCCAAAACAGACTTCAAGAACAAACATTTCTTCAAGACCGAAAAATTTCATGTGCGCCTTTTTCAGATGAGAATAGATTGCAGATAAGCTGGTATGTCATAAGAAATTAAGATCGTGAACATCAGCCATCAGGTAATATTGGCGTAAAAAGGATTTTCATAATAAAATAAAGGAAATTGAACTTGTGATAACTATCAAGTACTAAACTATATGATGTCTGTATTTTCCCATCATCATCAATCTTAAGAGATAAATATAAAACGTATATAATGATCTTTAATATAGATAGTTACACAGTTTGTGCCAAGACGTGAAGCCACTACCAAGACAATCAAATAGCCAAGCAATTATCCTAATATCTCATTCCACAACAAAATATCAAATGTCAGAGCAATCAGATAACCGAATACAAGAAGAAGAACAGCGACCACAAACAGATCGCAACGTACTTCCTCGACAACAAGCCATCACCGTTTCATTTCCAAAAATTCACACAACATCACTCCAGTCAAATCATCAAATTCCGCCAAGTCATCCAATTCCGCCAAGTCATCCGATTCCGTCAAATGAAAGATATACGCCCGTTTTCTTGAATGTGCCGGTCGAAGAGTTTCATAAAACATGGCCACCACCATTAGACAACCAACGTTCTCACACACAAGAAGAAAATATCCTCAAAAATCTTTATAATCCAAAGGGACACCCCCCACAATTGCCAGGAGGAGAACCTGGAGGAGAGATGAACGATATTATTGTCAAAGTAAGCTATCCTTGTTCACAATTAATACTTGTATCAATGAGGGGAAATCACAACTTAACCACACAAAAAAAGGATTGTATAATTTAAAGATAAATATTGAAAATAAATTTTTCTGAAATCTTTAGGAACAATCAACAACAAATCCACGGTCGTTAAACAATCACATGAAAATATCTGTGTTCGCATGTCTCTTTTGTTGTTGGTGCGTGGGTCTGTTCGCTATAAAAAATTCTTCAGAGGTAAAGTAAAGAGACATATTACGACTGTATGTTACACGACTTGCATTATAATGAATGCGCGTGTACAACAGACAAGCGTCTGAACACATCTTGATAGCCCGGATGACCGGAAGTAAATTACACGTTTTCTGCACATCAAATTCACCTGGTTTTGTCGAGCAGTTATGAGTTAAGACAAATTCACTCTTTGTTATGTTGTAAACATGCATAATGAAAGTGTTTCACCTAGTTTTTTAATGCAGTTATGTATTAGCAGAAATTTAATTTTGTAGTCAATCACTGCCTTAATCCAGGGAAACGATAAGAGATGAATGTTACTCCACTTGATAATCATAATTTTAATTATGTAGTCAGTCACTGCCTTAATTCAGTTAAACGATAAGAGATGAATGTCACTCCACTTGATAATCATAATTTTAATTATGTAGTCAGTCGCTGCCTTAATTCAGTTAAACGACAAGAGATGAACGTCACCCCACTTGATAATCATAATTCTTCTTTAGGCAAAGTACTTCTATGATGAAGGAAACTACGAAAAAGCTCGAAGTGTTGCAAACAAGGCCCGCAACAAAGCTTACGCTGCAATATTCTTGGGGATTTCTGTAGCAGTTGTCTTGGGAGCTATAACGTTATTGTCGTGAATCGCGATCAGAGACATGAAATGTGTTGAAAATTAAATAAAAACTGTATTGATATAGGTAACAAAGAACACAATAAATAATAATTTGCATAGTGCAGTTTGTTTATAGATGTTGATTCAAACTTTATCGTCCTGAGAAGAGCTGACGTTTTGACATTTTTATAGGTGGTAATGTAGTTAACGTTAAAGAGTAAATTTCAATGTTCTGAAACACAGCGACTTAAGACGGAACGTTGAAGAGTAAATTTCAATGTTCTGAACCACAGTGACTTAAGACGGAACGTTGAAGAGTAAATTTCAATGTTCTGAACCACAGTGACTTAAGACGGAACGTTGAAGAGTAAATTTCAATGTTCTGAACCACAGTGACTTAAGACGGAACGTTGAAGAGTAAATTTCAATGTTCTGAACCACAGTGACTTAAGACGGAACGTTGAAGAGTAAATTTCAATGTTCTGAACCACAGTGACTTAAGACGGAACGTTGAAGAGTAAATTTCAATGTTCTGAACCACAGTGACTTAAGACGGAACGTTGAAGAGTAAATTTCAATGTTCTGAACCACAGTGACTTAAGACGGAACGTTGAAGAATAAATTTCAATGTTCTGAACCACAGTGACTTAAGACGGAACGTTGAAGAGTAAATTTCAATGTTCTGAACCACAGTGACTTAAGACGGAACGTTGAAGAATAAATTTCAATGTTCTGAACCACAGTGACTTAAGACGGAACGTTGAAGAGTAAATTTCAATGTTCTGAACCACAGTGACTTAAGACGGAACGTTGAAGAGTAAATTGCAATGTTCTGAACCACAGTGACTTAAGACGGAACGTTGAAGAGTAAATTTCAATGTTCTGAACCACAGTGACTTAAGACGGAACGTTGAAGAGTAAATTTCAATGTTCTGAACCACAGTGACTTAAGACGGAACGTTGAAGAGTAAATTTCAATGTTCTGAACCACAGTGACTTAAGACGGAACGTTGAAGAGTAAATTTCAATGTTCTGAACCACAGTGACTTAAGACGGAACGTTGAAGAGTAAATTGCAATGTTCTGAACCACAGTGACTTAAGACGGAACGTTGAAGAGTAAATTTCAATGTTCTGAACCACAGTGACTTAAGACGGAACGTTGAAGAGTAAATTTCAATGTTCTGAACCACAGTGACTTAAGACGGAACGTTGAAGAGTAAATTTCAATGTTCTGAACCACAGTGACTTAAGACGGAACGTTGAAGAATAAATTTCAATGTTCTGAACCACAGTGACTTAAGACGGAACGTTGAAGAGTAAATTTCAATGTTCTGAACCACAGTGACTTAAGACGGAACGTTGAAGAGTAAATTTCAATGTTCTGAACCACAGTGACTTAAGACGGAACGTTGAAGAGTAAATTTCAATGTTCTGAACCACAGTGACTTAAGACGGAACGTTGAAGAGTAAATTGCAATGTTCTGAACCACAGTGACTTAAGACGGAACGTTGAAGAGTAAATTTCAATGTTCTGAACCACAGTGACTTAAGACGGAACGTTGAAGAGTAAATTTCAATGTTCTGAACCACAGTGACTTAAGACGGAACGTTGAAGAGTAAATTTCAATGTTCTGAACCACAGTGACTTAAGACGGAACGTTGAAGAATAAATTTCAATGTTCTGAACCACAGTGACTTAAGACGGAACGTTGAAGAGTAAATTTCAATGTTCTGAACCACAGTGACTTAAGACGGAACGTTGAAGAATAAATTTCAATGTTCTGAACCACAGTGACTTAAGACGGAACGTTGAAGAGTAAATTTCAATGTTCTGAACCACAGTGACTTAAGACGGAACGTTGAAGAGTAAATTGCAATGTTCTGAACCACAGTGACTTAAGACGGAACGTTGAAGAGTAAATTTCAATGTTCTGAACCACAGTGACTTAAGACGGAACGTTGAAGAGTAAATTTCAATGTTCTGAACCACAGTGACTTAAGACGGAACGTTGAAGAGTAAATTTCAATGTTCTGAACCACAATGACTGAAGACTTAAAGATAACAAGCATACCTCAAAAAATATATTATCTGCGTTTTAGACTTCAATAAACAATGCGCAAATGCCTATAACTTTGAATTGTCCTGAGAAGTGACAAATATATGAACATATGTTATCAAAATAGTAGAGATTTTTTTATTGAACGATAAACGTTGGAGTTCGGATGGTTTTTACGACAACGACCAAAATAAAATGCATGCGAAGTACAAAGAATGCCAAGTAGAAAAACCTGATATTGAAGTCAACCATACTGTCATAGGAGAGAGATCATACTTCATTCACACAATGACAACCAGACACGCAAATGGACGCAGACTAGATACAAGTCTTTCAACTATCAACGTACGGACGTACTTTGTGTGAATGTATGAATGAATGAACGAATACATTATGTAAATTTACATTTAAACACATGATAATACAGTACATTTGAAAACTTTCACTAAAATGTGGAGACGAGGTTGCTTATTTCCTGCTGAGTTTGTGCCTGTCACTTCATGGTACCAAAGCTCATAAATATAAAAATGTTCAGTGTTACCCATAAAATCGGGGAATTAAATCAATTCACGGGCAAATGTTTGCAAATAAAATTATCCGCACCAAAAAAGTCCACAGTGACACACAACAATTGCGCATATGTACCTCAAAGAACGATTATGGATATTCCAGGACCAACAATGACCGAGAGTCTCGTGCTATTGGCAAAATATGGTTTCCGTAAACATCATATTTTTGTGGAGGAAATGTTTCAACGTTATGGTCCAATATTTCGACACAGTTTACCTGGAGCACGTTATATTTATGTCTCGGACCCGTCAGATATTGAGCGAGTCTTTCGAAGTGAAGAAGAAAACAGGCCGTATCGCGGTGACATCATACTTACTCAGTATGCCGAAAGAAAAGGTCTGGAGTTAGGTTTAGCGGGTGATGACAAAACCTGGTTGAAAAATCGTCAGCTTATTGCACCGAAACTCTTGCGTCTGGACGCTTTAAGACCGTACTACACGGAAATGTTAAATGTTGCAAACGACACAATTGACAACTTCAAAGATGGAGAAAACGGAAACATGCAAGATCACTTATTTAGGTGGGCGGCAGAGAGTATGGGTGTCATCTTGTTTGGAATACGCATTGGTACAAATTACACGGAATTAAAAAAGCAAGCAAAAGCATTTATTTGTTCAGTGGAAAACTATTTTAAGGCCGAGACAAAGTTGTTTTTCAACATACCACTTCATAAGTACTTCATGACGCCACAACTGAAGAAGACGTTTGAATATTTTGATGAAATGATTTCAATTACCACTGACTTAGCTGCAGAAACGAGAAAACGTATAAACTCGACAACGAAAAACTCCATGGTGACGAAGTTAGAAGAGGACGATAAAGTGAATAAGGAGTACACCATGTTCATAGTAAACAATCTCTTTCTTGCAGCCATCCATACAACCGGTAGTTCAACTCTCCATCTTCTTCATGCTTTATCGGAACATCCAGATGTTCAGGAGAAAGCTTACGATGAGATAAAAAATATTTTAGGAACGCAATACCAACAACCTTGCCATGAGCAACTATCGCAATTTAAATACGTACGAGCTGTGATAAAGGAAGGGTTTAGATACAATTCAACACCACTTGGAAACATGCGCGTAACAAAGTCGCCAATACGCATAAAGGGATATCAAATTCCACCTGGGACGAATGTTGTCATGTCGACTGTGGCATCAAAGGAGATGCAGCAACAAAAGTATGGAGATCCAGAAAGATTCGCACCTGAGAGATGGTTGCGCGATACCGAGAAGGCTGATATTCATCCTTTCTCCTCGCTGCCCTTTAGTTTTGGGAAAAGATCGTGTGCTGGAAAACGAGTCGTAGAAATGGAAAAGACGCTCCTTCTTATAAGGCTCTTGCAAAAGTATAAGATCGTAAAGAATAAAGATCATGTTAATTGGATATTTAATGTATTAGTAACTCCTGACAGACCTTATACTATGCAGCTAAAGAAGCGTCAGTAAATTGTTTGCGTTAGTTGTCAAGGTTACGGTTAAACCATAATATATTTTCATTGACTTTATTACATCATCTCTAGAAAGATGACATCTTGTTTTTTTACGCACAGAACGTCAATGAACAGGGGGGAACATTCATATATTCAGTTGTGCCTTACTGAATTTTTTTGAAAATGAATTCACTTTCAAAAGAGATCAGTAGTGCACGACGGAATATATGAATATACACCCCCCCTTCCCAAATAACGTTCTTGTTAAGCTTCGTAGTTAAGTATGAGATGTTTTATTTATCTTACTACTCTCAGAAAATCTGAGGAATAAAAAAATATATATACCATTTCTATTAAACAGGTTTATCTAAATTAAGCAAAATGAATAAATTAAGTCTTCTACATAAATTTTCCCAGTGCATTAAAATAAACATTCCCTCAGCCATGTTGCAGAACATATTTTGCTTAAAGATCTACTACAAATCTTTTTCCTATTTCTTTAAAAAATATTTAAAACCAGACATTGACATTAAGGCACGTACATGTCTTAAGGACGGTGGATGATTTATAATTGAGGAGAGGGGGGGGATGTTTATATATGAATATATCCAATTATCAATATTCCGTCCCTCCCTGGCCATCTGTCACGCACAACACAATGTGAAAGTTTGAAGATGGCTATGCCTTCGTTACACTACCAGTAGTATATACTCAATACTTTGATTAATGAAATTGCAAACAATGGACTTACCATTTATCGTCTGAATCATTTTCCATCGAATTCTTTCGTTTTCTTTTCTTTACAAATATTTTTTCACAAGTCTGGATCTGACTGATTCGCCACGTAAAATAGCAACACTTCATGTAAGAATAATTTCATAAGTTTTTCCCTAATATACAACAGAACTAAGCTGTTGTGATAAGATTGTCCATCTCATGTAAAGCTGCATCAATAGTCGTGTCAAATTTTCCAACCAACAACAAATAGAAACGAAAAATCACGAAAATTACAAATGCGAACCAGAGCTTCTGTATCTCAAAACTCGATTTTCAGTGAATTTTTTTCTCTCCAACCAATTGACAAAACGTTGAAAAAGGCCAGTGACTAATTCATGCATTGCCATGTTGGGAGGACCATTAAAATGGCTGAATTCAAATATTTTACCAAAAGTCAACGTGTTTTTCCATAGGCCAGCATTACACAACAGCAATGTGAAATTTTCTGAAGTTATTTCATGACGCTGTTTTTAAGTTATTATTCGAATTCTTTTCTCCCTTATCTTCTTTGTCTTCATTTTCTTCTTCCATTTATCAACGTGTTTTTTCCACTTTGACCTGTTATACCAGGGGTACAATCTTACATGTTTATTTAACACAACCACAGGTTTTTGTAATATCCCGCATGCATCCTCCTTGATCTTTACGTATCCCTCATCGCCCCACATAGTGGACCAAGAATTTTTGACCAGCCAATAATTTATGCCATTCTCTTGATTGTACCCGACAACCAGTACAGCATGATCAGTCCATTTATCTGCATAAAACAGAAAGATTTTAGATATAGACTCCATATGACATACAATGGCTACTTTTAATCGAGTCGTGATTTGTTTACTGCGCATGCTCTTCGGTAACATAGAAGTCGTAACTGGGCTTACTGCAATGTTTGTCATCATAAATACCATGACTGTAGAACTTAAATGTTAGTGGACGAGAATTGATGGCAACAGCCGCTGGCCCATGATAAGCGATCGCTCGTCTCAGGCTTTCTCCACTGTGCTTTTTCACGCGACGAAAACCGTAAATGTTTGCTCCAGCTGTGATGTTGTCTGTCTTACAATACCCTTCCTGGGAATAATATCATGTTTAATGTTGACACATAAAAATGTCTAAGTATTTACACACTACTACCTTAGTGGTAAATATGTAGTGTGTAAATACCTGGTGTGTAAATACCTGGTGTGTAAATACCTGGTGTGTAAATATGTAGTGTGTAAATACCTAGTGTGTAAATACCTGGTGTGTAAATATGTAATGTGTAAATACTTTAGTGTGTAAATACCTAGTGTGTAAATACCTGGTGTGTAAATACCTAGTGTGTAAATACCTAGTGTGTAAATATCTAGTGTGTAAATACCTGGTGTGTAAATATTACTGTAAAGACCTAAATACCTATTACTCTAAAAAAATACAGAGCTACCTTCAACACTCGAAAAAAAAATGAGCTACCTACATTACTTTATAAGACAAACTTAGCTACTTACAATACTTTATAAGACAAACTGAGATACCTACAATACTCTAAAAGAAATACTTCGCCATCCACATCACGCAATAAGAAATACTTAGCTACCTAAAATACTCCAAAAGAAATACTGAGCTAACCACATTACTCTAAAAGAAATGTTTGTTACTCCATTGGAGCTGACTAGATTATTCCATCAGAAATCCTTAGCCACAACAGTATGTCTTTCAGACTACAACAAACGATTGTCCATCATGACCTACAAGCGACCATCGTCTTAAAACCAATCAAGCAGAGATCCCCTTATCCATTTACTCTATAACTTGCCTACCCCAATACCAAGAACTTACGACATAACACATCGTCATCAATAAAAGATCCACTTAAACCATTTACTCTCTAACTTAGCTACCTCAAAACCAAGAACTTCCGACATCACACCGCTTCATCAATAAAGAAACACAAAATACAAAAACCTGTCCTTTGTACGAGCCATAACTGTCGCTTGTTGCTATGGTATTGCTTCTACCCCAAAAGAAAACTTTCCACGCCATACCGCCATGGCAACCGTGATTACCACTGTTATTCCAAACTCTGCGAACCTTCCAAGTACAGTCGACCATTTGCTGTTCAGAAAGTCGAACCATTTCTCCGGTCTATAACAAATAAAAAGTTTCATGACCGTCCACTATGTCTTTATGAAAGAAAAATGAAGCAAAAAACCTTGATAAAGTTAGCACTCTCGATGGCTCCTATGGCAGCAAACGCCCAGCAACATCCGCAAGTCCCCTGACCTCTTGGACTGGATACTGCACCTGAAGTGACGGTAAAACTGGATATGATGTTACAGTTTTCATAACTTTTTCATTTTAACTCTATTTCTTCAGTAATCATACCGTATTTTCTCCAGTCGAGCTGTTTTGGAATGTTTGGTGCATTTTTGTAAGGTTTGTATTTTTCGTCAATGTAAAATACAGATTTACCATTGATCGCTTTTAGATCCTCGGGAGAATCAGGGAGATCACCTTTATGTCGATTGTATTCGTCGATAGTCATATCAGCGAATGCATTTGTCTGTAGTTTGTATGTAAGCCTCATGCGGTTTATGGAATTGATGAACCTGAGAACATTTTCAATTTTTCAATAGTTTATCTAGGAAATCTATTACTTTTCCAACTGTTTTTAGTTTTCATCACTGAAAATTCTCAATTTACCTCAAATTGTGCTTGAAGATGTATTTTCTCCTGCGACGCTCTTTATGATCATAATACTTTTTATGTGTTCTCTGAAACACTTCAAAGTTTTTGTCCACAATTTCTTCGTCATGATAGGGCGAAAGAAAATCTGCCATGGGGTTAAAGAATCCATCTCCCGCTTCACTGTTGCTTTCATTCTTTGATAAAGCAACGCAATTGTCTTCAGCTAAAAAAAATAATCATACCATAACTAAAGGAGGCAAAGCTAAAAATGCACCGCTAACAGTTGATTAAGTAAACATAAAATACGTATATGTATATCAGCTATGTTTTCAGGGCTTCAAAAAAATAGAAAGAGAATGCCCGATTACTTCATTTTTTTAATATTGGAACAGCATCCGCCTTCACTTACATTTTGGTATGTCAAATATTCTTTTCTCATAAGGCCATTTCTCGTACAAGACATAGTCAATGATATATTTATCGTAGTAAGATGTTAATAAAGTGTCATATCCATACATTTGATAGCGTACTGGTACAGGAGGAACACTTATCATCACCCAAAATATATAAACATTGTTTCGTCCCAGTACGTTGTGCTCATATTGCCATTTTCTGCAGAGATGACCTTTGACATTCTCGTCACCAACATACTAAAGAAAGAAGTTATTTTACTACCATTATGATGTTTTGATTGAGAGATTATGGAGTTTAGGGACAACAAAAGGAATCGCTAATGCATTAAATTATGGAGTTTAGGGACAACAAAAGGAATCGCTAATGAATTAAATTATAGAGTTTAGGGACAACAAAAGGAATCGCTAATGCATTAAATTATGGAGTTTAGGGACAACAAAAGGAATCGCTAATGCTTTAAATTATGGAGTTTAGGGTCAACAAACGGGATCACTAATCCATTGTAATTTTTTGCAAGTTTAGGGAGCAAAATCAACTCTGGGTTTTAGCACACGATTTATATCAACAAGATATCAGTTAGTCTTCATAGAACTAGCCTAAAAAATATAAAATACAGCAAACAATATGGTGAGCATCACCTCAAATTTTTTCAGCGTTCCTCTAAAAGGCCAATGCCAATCAGAAGGAAGAATAGTGAGTGCTTTGATTTTTCCTTTATCTCCTGTTGTTTTTCTCCAACATCCAACGTAATGTTTCTTCTTTATGGAATCGTATTTGGGAATGATTTTCACCGTTAAACCTAGCTTGCCAATATGGTACGTTTTCACATCACCTGAAAGTACACATGTTTGTTCGTTTGTACCATGAGGTTACCATTTAAAAGGATGATCTAATATAGAAAAATTAATATTTTATACACCATCATAAATACCCTGCTGGAAACCATGAACTAAACCCTGGTGTCCCAATTTACTTAATTTTTTTGCCTTACGATAGTATTCAATAATAATCAGACTTTTGAGACTTTTATAAGAATATAATTTACACAGGAATCGGGATTCAGGAGAGGGATGAGCGCACCTAAGAATATAATTTACAGAGGAATCAGGATTCAGGAGAGGGACGAGCGCCCCTAAGAATATAATTTACACATGAATCGGGATTCAGGAGAGGGATGAGCGCACCTAAGAATATAATTTACACAGGAATCGGGATTCAGGAGAGGGACTAGCGCCCCTAAGAATATAATTTACACAGGAATCGGGATTCAGGAGAGGGATGAGCGCACCTAAGAATATAATTTACAGAGGAATCGGGATTCAGGAGAGGGATGAGCGCACCTAAGAATATAATTTACAGAGGAGTCGGGATTCAGGAGAGGGATGAGCGCACCTAAGAATATAATTTACAGAGGAATCGGGATTCAGGAGAGGGATGAGCGCACCTAAGAATATAATTTACAGAGGAATCGGGATTCAGGAGAGGGACGAGCGCCCCTAAGAATATAATTTACACATGAATCGGGATTCAGGAGAGGGACAAGCGCCCCTAAGAATATAATTTACACAGGAATCGGGATTCAGGAGAGGGATGAGCGCCCCTAAGAATATAATTTACACAGGAATCGGGAATCAGGAGAGGGATAAGCGCACCTAAGAATATAATTTACACAGGAATCGGGATTCAGGAGAGGGATAAACGCCCCTAAGAATATAATTTTTACACAGGAATCGGGATTCAGGAGAGGGATGAGCGCCCCTAATACGGAACCTTGGCTGGAAGAAGAGGTGTAAGAGGGGTGCGCAACCCCATCCTCCAACGTAACTCTGGCTAGAAGAGAAGCAGGTGGGGTGGCAATTCCCCTACAGAAAATTATTATACAACAATAAAGTAAAAGCCATAGTGCTTAGTGTTTAACTTCTGAAAATCTTCCAGAAAAACTCCCAATTGAACACATTTCAACAAAAAAAGCGAGTGCTACGAAACCAAATATAGCAATCGAAATGTTATTAAAACTAGAACACAGCCCTCCCCTCCCCCCAAAAAAATTATGTAGGATCTTCCTCGGATTTACCAGGAACACTCAACTACCGCAGCACACCCCTCCCCCTACAAAATTATCCAGGATCTTTCCCTCATTTACAGCGAATACTAAACCACAAAGTATGCCAAGGCTTGACACAACCAAGTTTTTTCACAGAAAAAGATAAAAACTATATTTCTTTGAAGAAAGAGCACATACCATTATAGAAGTCAATTCTGCTGTTCCTATGTTCTTTATTATACCACACTTCAATTGGTTCCTTCAAACCAGTCGTCAGCAAGCGGAGAAATCCTTTCATATGGTATGAGCTATGGAAATGTACATCACTTAGATTCTTGGGAAATCTTTCATGAATTGAATGAAAATTTCCATCCCAGTTTCTCTCGTCGTGCGTTGTTGAGTTGAAGGTCTTGTAAATGGAGGTCCTTTTAGGGAATGCATCAAAATCACTGTAACTAAAAGCTGTGACAGACAGTGTGAAAGGGAATACGACAATTGAACCATAGAGAAGACGCATCACACAATTGACGAGACGACAATGCATTTTATCCAAAAGTTTTCATTCTAAAAGAATGAAAAGTAAGATCGACCATAACTTGCGTGAACTGTTCGCAACAAAAATGTCTGTTTTTTTTGCATATTTTGAGTTTTCGTTTTGCAGAACAGCATTGAATGACGTTCATAGTCATTTCTTGTTATGATTTTGTTTATTTATTTGTGTAGTTATATTGCTAAGGACAAGTCAAAAAACATTTGAAACCATGATATAGCTACAGGTGGATCGTTGTGATGATCACACTGCATGACTGATCACAAAATTCTTCAAACATCACTGGCTATTAAACAAATTAAATGTAAAATCCTCCCAACAATCCTTTCACACTGCTTCTGGCTACTGAGTACGGTTATTTTACATGAAAATTAATGTTTTTTTTATAAAAATTATCTTGTATTTAGTCTGCGAGGGAGTAAAAACAGTTTCAGTCATATATGTAACAATGAATATAGAGCAGAAAATGAATGTTTTAAGCAGGAAACCGTTATGATTCAACATCTCTTTAGACAGCACGTCGTTTTTCTTAAATTCTTCTAACGGTTGTTGCATTGAGTGAAAAGTTCTTGCATGATTTAAAAGAACATTTTACAATTTCGCCCTAGTTTCAACTTGACTTGACAATCTCGTAGTGATAAGAGATTACTTACAGCAAATCAACATGCACTTGTTTTCAGGGCTATCGCAAATCAACCTTTTATATATAAATGCGCATAAATCTTATTTTATCTTTGCTTGATTTAACGCCCGCCATGCAATATATCATCAACATATAGCATGTCATAAGCAAACATTTTATTTAGGAGGACAACATTCATATTCGTTCCTACCTACATTCATCAAACAAATCGCTAAAACTACTGAAACATCTTGAAGAGCGTGGGTGAACCATATTAAGATAATTATTTAGCTACATAAGTTTAAAGTGTTTTTGATTTATATGAGTATTCTTAATTTTTCCTACTACTTGTACTTCTTCGCTCAATTAACAATTTTACGAGAACCTTACCAAATACGCAATATATAAAAACGCATTTTTATCGAAAACTTTTTGTAGAAGCTGAAGTTTCTTAGCCTCAAACAAAACACTGTCCTTGTAGCCAGTTAAATCTTTTTCCTGTGAATTTTTATACAAGATGGAACAGGCTCCACCATACACCTTTGGAAAACAGAATCCTGAATACTCACCTGATCAATCTATTCATCAATCTCCGCCTGGTTTACCCTCTACAGCAAATACAACCAGCTCCTCAACCTGTGTCAATTATACCACCACCGGGTAACAACTCTACAACTGTTGTTGTACCAGTAAGTAAGAAAAATTCAATCTCTAGTAACAACTAAATATTATGATTTTATGAAGCTAAATTTAGTTTACTGCATTCAATATACTTGTAGCATCCAGATCAAAGAGTAATTGTTGTTGACGAACTATTTCAAGATTACATGGGTTTATCGATTTTTGCATGTCTGCGCTGTTTCAATTAAATTAACTTTCAAAAGAAATCAGTAAGGCATAACTGAATATACACCCAATTAACGTTCTAGTTTCGCCTAGTATCTCAATAAAAGCGAACAATATGAAGCAGACTTACACACCTACACACAGCGATCAAATTCAAAAGAGTGATGGAATTATTTAATGCTTAACGGCCTTCAAGAGAAAACACATTATGAATATTCAAAATAAATGCATATTTAAGTTTTGCTTTCAATAGTTGTAAAGGCAGACTTAAAACGAAAGCAATTAACCCAGATCATCAACTTCAGAAAATCAAACATTTAAAGCAAGGTAAGTGTATTAATATAAAAACTTTTTTTACTGATTTTAACTAATTCATTTATAAAACGTCCGAGTACCCCTTTTCTCTGGTAACACGTCGAAAAATTCTTCGAAATGACCGTTTCATCTTTGTTTGAAGTCAAGAATATAACCCAAGGCACTCCTTGATAACAGCATTTTTCTGATAAGCGTCCCTCACTCACTGTGTATATATTTATATACTTATATAAACATTGATTAAAAACCACACTGTAGTTCAAAGGTACTTGAAAACATAAAGATCTTTAAATGCCTCAATACAAAGAATGTGTAAGATAGTTATAAAACTTAACATCAACATAATCAACATCCTAATGCAATGGCAAACCTCGACGACCAAAATCGACGACCGTGAACTAGAGTAACAATAAGCTTTTATAGAACATCCAAATTCAGCCAACTAAGGGCGATACATATTACCTATTAAACTATACTTGCTCTATAAACAACAATAATGACTTTCACTTTGTTGATTAAAGTCAGGCAAGGGATGATTTTTTATCAAGAAACATTTTTGCCACAAAAATGCTTTTTTTCAGTCGTGTCTGTTCTCGAACAGATAAAAATCGTTTTGCGCGTTGAGTAAAATGAAACATGATAAACATAATACATTACCAAATGTGAAATTACAATGTGGTGAATTTCGCTGTAATATTAGGCGAGTATTATAAAAGTTAAATATAAACTAACATTGTTCTATGGAGCCGGTGAGAACGCCTGATAGCGTCTTATTTATTTTAAATTTTCATTTCTTTTAAAGATGCTCCATCAGCCCATCCCTCCACTATACACGATTGAAAAACAAAACCCTGTATACATTCACAAATCTCCTCCGAACGTCGTACTACCTGGTTACCCACCTCAACAACAACAACCTGGGCACTCACCTCCATCTCCACCAGGAATGCAACAGCAAAGTAGCAGCAGCACGACAGTTGAGGTGCTCGTATGTGGGAAAAATACGAAAAACTCTACTTTTATAAGATTATATGAATAATGCGAAGACTTCTATTTAAAATATTACTGTACTATGCATGAGAAATTTTAATGAAATATTTTTAGAACCAACCTCAGCCTACGGTGGTTGCACCAATTCAAGTTGTCAATAATCACCTGATATTGTCCATCGTCTCCTTTTTCTGTTGTTGGATACTCGGAGCTTTTGCCATCTTCAAGTCATCCGAAGTAAGTCATTCTAAATTAATTGTAAACAGTTAATAATCCACCTTGCGATAGCCACCTTTAAAATCTAATAATTTCCAAATTCGTCAATCCGTAAAATTTTCTTGCATAATATAATAGAATGCTTAATATTAAATTCGTGTATATTTTGTGAGCAGTTTAACATTTCAGAATTAGTCATACCGGGTGAGGTGTAACTGTAGAGGTGGGGATCCAAAGGAGGGAGTGCAGTGGGAGCACCCCTCTTGATAACGACAGCTCTTTAATGAAAATGATATTGTCCCGTGACATCTTCAAATTACGCACCTCTCTCCAGTTAACATCCTGGATAACTAGCGCAAATTATTTTCATCTTTACTTTTCAATCATTTTCACCTAGCACAAATCAAAGTAAAGTAAATTTTCTATCTTCTTTAGGCAAAGGCCCGTTTTGATAATGGTGACTACGCAGGTGCTGTAGCCGCCGCTCGCAGTGCAAGAAATCGTAGTTTTATCGCCATCATGTTTGGAACATTCATGTACACCGTTATTATAGTTTTAATTAGATTACTATAGTTTCATTCATTGTCTAAACTTGTTCATGTTTAACTGTATTTTCGCATAAATTTTCCTATTTCCTATAACTTACATTTAAATTGTCGATTAAACGAATAAAATGTCATTGTTTTTGCTCTTTTTCAAATCCATTAAGCGCTGAAACAGACTGCAGCCTGCGGGGAAAGAATTCAATCAAGTTTTAATCAAAATTGTGCGCAAGCAAACATTCACATTTCGAATACATTTGGTCAAATACTATGGAATTTCTGCATCCCCATTTACTATAGAAGCATTTTGCTATTTTTTCCTCCAATTCCAGCACTTGCATAATGATTTCAATTTTTGACATATTACAACACATACATATATTGCAATTTTTGCTTGTAGCTATATTGCCCGATGTAGGATTTTCGACAACTTCTAAAGTTTCTTCGTAAAAGCTAACAAAAAAGAATGTAAAATGAAAAGCAATATTATTTACAAGTAAAACCATGAGAGTGAGGTTACTCAGGAGATGATTACATTAGCCAGGTAGCCGGGATTCAGCAAAGCGTTAAATCATTTTGGCAAACGGAAAACATTATATACTTCACAACAAAAAACTTATTTGAGCAATTTCTCTATGCTCTGACATTCCAAATGATTATTTAGCAACACAACTTTATTGTGTTTCATGTATAAGTATTCTTAATTTTTATCTTCTTCTGAAAGTCTTTGAACAATTCAATAAAACACCCTGTTTAAAACTAGTCTCTCTTCCTTTAACAAGTAGAAGAAATTCGAGGAAAAAAGCTAAAACAGATCGTTGTTGAGATAAAGCTATTGTTCCAAAACATTTGCCTTTCACTACTAAAAACAAATGTTCCCATGGTTACATGTGACAAACCACAACAGTGACGTCACGTACATGAAGATTCAAATAAACATTAAATCTATAATTAAATTATTTCTGATGAAAAGCAAAAAGCAATTAACGATGAAGCTTTGCATTATTACGCCATTCTTATATAATTCCAGGAAAATCTGACAAAATAACTCTAGCACCGATGAAGCTTTTGTTCGCTGTGTAATCAAAGACTTTGTGAATGTTTAAACCTTGAATTGTTGTATTGAGTAATAAATTTATCAAGTAGCTAAATCGCTAACACAAGAAACATAGAGTAAAACTATCTTTCAAAAAGTAAACTCTTCCATCTTTTTCAAAACATTTTTCTTATTGTTGGTCTGTATATGAACAGGATTTGACTGCAAATTTTATTATTTAAAGTCATTGAGCAATTGAAAAATACCCAAAGTTCCGCTTCAGCGTTTAATTATCCAAAGACAAATTTTAGCGTGATAAGCATTTCATGAACGATATCTGATATTTAAGACCAAGACGCTTCTACGTATAGAACAGATTAAGGTCAAGCGCGAGAAAACAACAACACTGAGAAAATCAGACAAGTTTATCGGCCGCATAAAACATTTGAATTTAAGGTAAGCAGCTATAGATATCTACTTTCAAATAATTTCAGTAAATGAATATGGACGGAGTTAGGTTGATGATAAAGAAAATATAAGAGCGAACGAATCTCTAACTTTGTTACAACATGTTAGAGAATGAGTTATGTACAAATAAGAAAGGACATGTTTATAACATAAGGACAAATACTTTTAAATGGTTGGGAGCGCTTCATACTTCACCAAAACAGCCGCCCATACATACATGACGTAAGAGACTGATCATAAAATATCTCAGCAATCTATTTATTATATCAACCAAATCGTGCAAACACATAATACATACCTTGTATACAGCACACCATCAAAGCTTCTTGATTGTCGATGAACGAAGAACTTTCCACTGCGTTGTGTCTTTTATACACAGATACATTTTGCTTTCTCTTCACGATTATCTCTAAAATTAGTAAACCATCAACCTCAGCGGAGAACTTTGTTCATAATCTAAAATTTCTTGCTAACATAAATACAAAAGCTATATCCATTGTTGGTTGTAGAGTTTGAAGTTTCCTAGCCCCAAACAAAACACTGTCATTGCAGTTAGCTAAATCTTTTTCCTGCGAATTTTTACACAAGATGGAACAAGCTCCACCATACACCTTTGGAAAACAGAATCCTGAATACGTACCTGATCAATCTATTCATCAATCTCAGCCTGGTTACCCTCTACAGCAAATACAACCAGCTCCTCAACCTGTGTCAATTATACCACCACCGGGTAACAACTCCACAGCTGTTGTTGTACCAGTAAGTAAGAAAAATTCAATCTCTAGTAACAACTAAATATTATGATTTTATGAAGCTAAATTTAGTTTACTGCATTCAATATACTTGTAGAATGCAGTTCAAGGTGTAATGGTTGTTGACGAACCATTTCAAGATTACATGGGTTTATCGATTTTTGCATGTCTGTGCTGTTTCTGGCCAGTTGGTCTCTGTGCCATAGCAAAATCAAACGAGGTAAAAACGTACATCATCATTGTATTACTGCGTTTAAAATGTTAAAGTTGAATAATAATTTTAATCATGTTAACTTAAATAGAGAATACAGGTAACTTCCTTTCAAGATAACTTGATTTTCAGTTTATACTTGTAAAATACTACGTGTGAATTGAAAATGCTACCAAAATGCTACGGGCGAATACTATAACGCGTGAATTCTTAGTTTCTGGATTTTAATGACCATTTTCAGATACATCACTACGTATAATATACTTAAGCAACATAAACTTTAAACAAGAAATACTCGTTTTCATGGCTAATTTTTCCATCGTAAACATTCTCTGTATTTTCTTTAGGCAAGAAAACTCGCTCGTGGAGGTGACTATGAAAGTGCTAGAGAAGCGGCAAATAAAGCAAAAAAGACAGCCTGGGTAGCTATGCTTCTTGGTCTCATTCTTACAATTGCTTTGATCGTCCTTAGAGTTGTAGCATCTTCGGCTAACTCAAATTGAATCAAATATATGTAAGCTATTACAACTATTATAACGATAAAAAGAGATACAATGTATTTTGTAATTACAATACAACACATACATGAAGTATTGTATAACGCAATTAATATAGTACGACATGTAACTATATTGCAATATTATAACATTAATTTTTGCAATATACATTTATATAATACAATATATATCTATATGAAGGTCGTAAACAGACTTCTCATGAGAACACGATCTATTGATATTTAATTATTTCTATATTTTTCTAATTTATGTAAATGAATGAATTCTTTATAAGCATGGAGATCGTTCTCAAGTCATACATAGTGATAAATTTCAACATACAGCTAATGTCTTTTCATGAACAGTCTTTTCATGAAAGGATAGCAAGGGAAAGCAATCACGATCTATTGATGTTTATGTATTTTTCTAATTTATGTAAATGAATAAACTCTTTATAAACATAAAGATTTTTGTCCAAGTCATACATAGTGATAGCTATTGTTGTATGCGAGAGGCTAAGTCAGCTAGATGTAGCCAGTGAAAAGAAAGCAAATGAATGGAAACACGAAACTTTATAACCAATTGTTCGCATCGTTTCGTATACAAACTAATACACACAACTGTATTTAGCAAACTGAAAAAAAAAATTCAAGAAATGAGATAGTGACAAAGCAAAATTTCACAAATCCCAATCTACCGAAAAATTTATGCGATGTTTTATTGAAAAATTTAGTCATGAAGTACAAAGGTTTTCTTAGAGAAATTTTTGAAATAAAACAAATCTTTGTAAAATAGCTAGTAGTTTTCATATTTCTTCTAAACTTTAAAATGTGTACGAAGTTTCTTCGCTTGGTGGTATTCGTATACTTGTCAACCATCAGTCTGGTGAAAACAGCACTGATTGTATGGTTTAAGAAGTTCTGACGTATTTCGCTACATGTTTATAAGCAAAAATTATCATAAATGTTATGATGTAGCCAAGCACACCCCCACACAGTGATCGTTTAAAGGAGTGATCGAAGTATTTAATGGTTTATGGTCTTGTATACATCACCAAACTATAAATATTTTACAGTTGTGTACGAGTATCATCATTAAACATCTAAAGATTTAATGAGCACAGCTATGATACAAAAGACACAGCTACAGCACATATACATCTACCTTTAATTTCTTTCAATAATTAACACTAATCATTCTGTACTAAAGATGGCATTTTAATGACGAAGCATGTTTGCGCTTAAGAAATCATCGTTTTTCTTAAATGTTATTTAAACTTGCTGCTTTTTAGAAATTACGTTTCGCGAGTATCATGAAAATACTTTTTGACTAAGTGAAAGTTTTGTCTTGCGATTAACTGTACATTCGTTGTTACGATTGCGCATTTTAAAAACAAACGAGCGATTGAGATGTCATTGTTTTTGCTCTTTTTTAAAATCCACTAAGTGCTGAAACACAGTGGCGGATCTAGCTATATAGACTCGTATAGACTCAATTTAAAATCAAAATACTTTTACAAAACGCTGCTGGTTATGAGTTTCTAAAGAATTATCAAACCCAAAATTCTCCAAATCGGATTTGCATCAGACATCAGCGTGCAGGCAAAAAATGTGATTACGTTTCATATAAAAATGACCGCAAGCAAACGTTCTCACTTTAAATTTATTTTATTAATAACGCCGGAATTTCTGCGTCTAATCCACTATGAGTATTTTTTCTCTAATTCTAACACTTTTAACATGATATTAAAAAGCTCCTATCAGCAAAAAACTTTTATTGGCGTTATTAAAACTTGGTCTGATTTCCAACTTATCGGTACAAAAATTTTCATATTGGTCAAATCCTTTCTTGATATGGCCATTTAAAGTTGCATTTCAATGGACGTTGTCCGTCGTGGCATGAAGCCTGGGTCTAGCTAAATTCATACATCATCAAAGATAGTTGGTATATATATTTTGTGCTGACGAGTGTCTTACATGACGTCACAAAAGTAATTCGTTCCAGACTTTTTGACAACAGACATAAGGATCTTTGCCAACTTCTGAACATGAACTAAGAGCGTGGGTAAACCACATCAAGATGATTATTTAGCAAAACAACTTTATTGTTTCTTAATTTGTATCTTCTTCTGAAAGTCTTTGAACAACTCAACAGAACTTCATGTTTTGCTATCAGTTTTTCTTGCTTTAACAAGTCGAAGAAATTCGAGGAAAATATAAAGCGAAAACAGTTTATTGTGGAGATCAAGCTATTGTTCCAAAACATTTGCCTTTCACTTATAAAAAGATGTTCCTCTAGTTACATGGGACAAACCAGAACAGAGACGTCACGTACATAAAGACTCAAATAAACATTAAATCTCTATTTAACTTATTTCAGATGAAAAGCAGAAAGCAATTAACGATGAAGCTTCACATTAATGCGCCATTCTTATATAATTCTAGGTAATTCTTAAAGGGAAAAATTACTCTACAAACAGGGAAGTTGTTTGCTGTGTAATAAAAAAGAATCTGTGAATCTTTAAGCCTTGAATTGCTGTATTGAGTAGCTATACTAGCTAATAAAATGACAAAGAAAATCGATAACACAAGCAACATTGAGTAAAACCATCTCTCAAAAAGTATAGACTTCCGTCATTTTCAAAACATTCTTCCTATTGTTGGTCTGTATACGCACTCGATTTGATTGCAAAGTTTATTATTTGAAGTCATTGAGCAATTAAAAAATACCCAAAGTTCCGCTTCAGCGTTTAATTATCCAAAGACAAAGTTTAGCGTGCTTCGCAACAAACACTTGTGATGTCAGGAAAGCGTGATTAGCATTTCATGAACGATATCTGACATTTAAGACCAAGACGCTTCTACGTATAGGACAGATTAAGGTCAAGCGCGAGAAAACAACAACACTGAGAAAATCAGACAAGTTTATCGGCCGCAAAAAAACATTTGAATTTAAGGTAAGCAGCTATAGATATCTATTTCGTATTTTCAAATAATTTCAGTAAATGCATATGAACGGAGATAGGTTAATGATAAAGAAAATATAAGAGCGAACGTATCTCTAACTTCACCAAAAACAGCCGCCCATACTTACATGACGTACGAGGCTGATCATAAAATATCTCAGCAATCTATTTATTATATTAACCAAATCATGCAAAAACATAATACATACCTTGTATACAGCATACCATCAAAACTTCTTCATTGTCGATGAACGAGAAACTTTCCACTGCGTTGCCTCTTATTAAACACAGATACATTTTGCTTTCTCTTCATGATTATCTCTAAAATTAGTAAAACATCAACCTCAGCGGAGAACTTTGTTCATAATCTAAAAATTTCTTGCTAACATAATTACAAAAGCAATATCCATTGTTGGTTGTAGAGGTTGAAGTTTCCTAACCCCAGACCAAAACACTGTAAGTGTAGTTAAATCTTTTTCTACGAATTTTTATACAAGATGGAACAGGCTCCACCATACACCTTTGGAAAACAGAATCCTGAATACACATCAGATCAATCTATTCATCAATCTCAGCCTGGTTACCCTCTACAGCAAATACAACCAGCTCCTCAACCTGTGTCAATTATACCACCACCGGGTAACAACTCTACGACAGTTGTTGTACCAGTAAGTAAGAAAAATTCAATCTCTAGCAGCAACTAACTATTATGATTTTATGAAGCTAAATTTAGTTTACTGCATTCAATATACTTGTAGAATCCAGATCAAAGAGTAATCGATGTTGACGAACCATTTCAAGATTACATGTGTTTATCGATTTTTGCATGTCTATGCTGTTTCTGGCCAGTTGGCCTCTGTGCCATAGCAAAATCAAAAGAGGTAAAAACGTACATGATTGCGTTATGGGTTAAAATGGTAAAGTTGAATTAACTTCCTTTCAAGATAACTTGATTTGGAGTTTATACTTGTAAAATACTACGTGTGAATTGAAAATGCTACCGAAATGCTCAGTGTAAAAAAATGCTACGTGTAAATGCTACGTGCGAATTCATAGTTTCTGTATTTTAATGACCATTTTTTGATACATCACTACATATAATATACTAAAGCATTTTAAAATTTAAATAAGAAATACTCGTTTGCATCGCTATAATTTCTTCCAATGTAAACTTTCTCTGTATTTTCTTTAGGCAAGGACGCTCGCTGATAGAGGTGACTATGAAAGAGCTAGAGTAGCGGCAAAAACAGCAAAATTGACAGCCTGGGTGGCTATGCTTTTCGGAGTCATTTTTGCAATTATTTTGATCGTCATGCGTTTGTAGGATTTACGGGTAACTCATAATAAATCAAACACATGTCAGCTACAACTATTAGAACGATCAAAGAGGTACAGTTAAGGTATTATTTAATTCCAATACATCACATACATGAAGTGTAGTAAATCGCGAGTAATTTAGTACGACATGTAACTATACTGTAATATTATAACGTTAATTTTTGCAATATACATTTATAAAATACAATGTATATACATGTATCTATATAAAGGTCGTGAACAGTCTTTTCATGAAAGGATGTAAGGGAAAGCAACACGATCTATTGATATTTAATTATTTATATATTTTTCTAATTTATGTAAATGAAAAAATTCTTTATAAGGATGGAGATCGTTGTGAAGTCATACATAGTGATAAACTTTAACATATAGCTATTGTTGTATGCGAAAGGAAAAGTCAGCTAGATGTAGCCAGTGAAAAGAAAGCAAATGAATGGAAACACGAAACTTTATAACCAATTATTCGCAACATTTCATATACAAACAAATACACAAAATATGTGACGTTTTATTGAAAATTTTTAGTACTTTTGTAAGGTTTTAATATAGAAAATTTTAAAATAAAATAAAATTTTATAAATTAGCTAAAGGTTTTCATATTTCTTCTAAACTTTAAAATACATGAAATTACCTCGCTGATACATGTGTTAGTTGTATTCGTACACTTTACCGCCATTATTTTGGTAAAATGATCACTGAATGTTTGGTATATCCAGGGCGAAACGATTACGTTAATTGGGGTGGGGGGAGGGGGGTGTTTTCATATATTCAGTTATGCCTTGCTGATTTCTTTTGAAATTAAATTAACTTTCAAAAGAAATCAGTAAGGAATAACTGAATATACACCCAATTAACGTTCTAGTTTCGCCTAGTATCTCAATAAAAGCGAACAATATGAAGCAGACTTACACACCTACACACAGCGATCAAATTCAAAAGAGTGATGGAATTATTTAATGGTTAACGGCCTTCAAGAGAAAACACATTATGAATATTCAAAATAAATGCATATTTAAGTTTTGCTTTCAATAGTTGTAAAAAATTCACGCCAGGCAGAATTAAAACGAAAGCAATTAACCCAGACCATCAACTGCAGAAAATCAATCATTTAAAGCAAGGTAAGTGTATTGATATAAAACTTTTTTTATTGATTTTAACTAATTCATTTATAAAACGTTCGAGTACCCCTTTTCTCTGGTAACACGTCGAAAATTCTTCGAAATGACCGTTTCATATTTGTTTGAAGTAAAAGACTTACGTGTAAACTATTGACAGTAAAATTAAACAGCTACCTTCAAAGTTGAAAACTTTTATCTCTAATTTATATATTGTTGAACTAAACAGGTTATTTTCTAACGTGTAAAGTCAGATGTAATGCCTATTTACGAAGTTGAACGTAGAAGACTTTATCGTCAATTTACACTGTTAATCTAGGCAGGAGAACTATGCTTCAGTGACTTATAAGACAAAAGAACATACTTAGAAAACGACTCTGGTCAATGTTGATAACATAAAATGTTTTGAAAAAGGTCTTGCAAAATTGCTATCTTCTAAGCTAAGCAGAAAACCACTTAAAGCTCGCTTTATTATGCAAAAGGTTAATGCCTATTTGCATTTAAGTATGCATTGGGCCAGATCACTTTGAAAGTTTATTTGACAAGACAATGTTACTGTTATAATACTGGACGTAAAGATCTTGATCTGTTTCTTCCCAAAGTAAGGACTGAATAAGCAAAGAAAAGCTCTTTTTATTCGGGAGCTGTTGTTCAACTGACAAACGTATCATAATCATGTTAAGGAAGTCACTTCCTTTTTGACATTCAAAGAGAAACGACACTTTAATTTTAGACTTCATATTGTTCTATAAGTATAATTATTTTTTTTTATATCATTATGGTTTTTGTATTCCAGACTTGCAACCATTCTCTTGAGATTTACCAAACAATGTTGTTCGCCCACGTCGGCTGGTGCCAACAATAACACTGTTAAATATTCTTTTGTATCAGACAACCAAAATGACTGAATTGCAAGTCAAGAATATAACCCAAGGCAATCCTTGATAACAGCATTTTTCTGATAAGCGTCCCTTTTACATTACCATTATGGTGCCTCAGTCACTGTGTATATATTTATATACTTATATAAACATTGACTAAAAACCACACTGTAATTCCAAGGTACTTGAAAAGATAAAGATCTTTAAATGCCTCAATACAAAGAATATACAAGATATGTTATAAAACTTAACATCAACATAATCAACATCCACATCCTAATGCAATGGCAAACCTCGACGACCAAAATCGACAACCGTGAACTAGAGTAACAGTAAGGTTTTATGGAACATCCAAATTCAGCAAACAAAGGGCTATACATATTACCTATTAAACTATACTTGCTCTATAAATAACAATAATGACTTTCACTTTGTTGATTAAAGTCAGGCAAGACTTTAATCAGGAAAGTGAAAGTCATTATTGTTATTTAAAGTCAGGCAAGAGATGATTTTTTATCAAGAAACATTTTTGCCACAAAAATGCTTTTTTTCAGTCGTGTCTGTTCTTCAACAGATAAAAATCGTTTCACGCGTAAGTAAAGTGGAACATGATAAACATAATACATTACCAAATGTGAAATTACATTGTGGTGAATTTCGCTGTGATATTAAGTCAGTATTATAATACGTAAATATAAACAAACATTATTCTCTGGAGCCGGTGAGAACGCCTTATAGCGTCTTATTTATTTTAAATTTTCATTTCTTTTAAAGATGCTCCATCAACCCATCCCTCCACTATACACGATTGAAAAACAAAATCCTGCATACATTCACAAATCTCCTCCGAACGTCGTACTACCTGGTTACCCACTTCAACAACAACAACCTGGGCACACACCTCCATCTCCACCAGGAATGCAACAGCAAAGTAGCAGCAGCACGACAGTTGAGGTGCTCGTATGTGGGAAAAATACAAAATACCCTACTTTTATAAGATTATATGAATAATGCGAAGACTTCTATTTAAAATATTACTGTACTACATGAGAAATTTTAATGAAATATCTTTAGAACCAACCTCAGCCTACGGTGGTTGCACCAATTCCAGGTGTCGATGATCACATAATATTGTTGTTTGCCTTATTATGTTGTTGGATACTCGGAGTTCTTGCCATCTTCAAGTCATCCGAAGTGAGTGATTCTAAATTAATTGTAAACAGTTAATAATCCACCTTGCGATAGCCACCTTTAAAATCTAATAATTTCCAAATTCGTCAATCCGTAAAATTTCCTTGCATAATATAATAGAATGCTTAATATTAAATGCGTGCATATTTTGTGAGCAGTTTAACATTTCAGAATTAGTAACAGTAGAGGTGGGGATCCAGAGGAGGGAGTGCAGTGGGAGCACCCCTCTTGATAACGACAGCTCTTTAATGAAAATGATATTGTCCCGTGACATCTTCAAATTACGCACCTCTCTTCAGTTAAAATCCTGGATAATTAGCGCAAATTGTTTTCATATTTACTTTTCAATCATTTTCACCTAGCATAAATCAAAATAAAGTAAATTTTCTCTCTTCTTTAGGCAAAGGCCCGTTTTGATAATGGTGACTACGCAGGTGCTGTAACCGCCGCTCGCAGTGCAAGAAATCGTAGTTTTATCGCCATCATGTTTGGAACATTCATGTACACCGTTATTATAGTTTTAAGTACATTACTATAGTTTCATTCATTGTCTAAAGTTGTTCATGTTTAACTGTATTTTCGCATAAATTTTCCTATTTCCTATAACTTAGAATTAAATAGTCGATTAAACGAATGAAATGTCATTGTTTTTGATCTTTTTTAAATCCATTAAGCGCTGAAACAGACTGCAGCCTGGGGGAAATAATTTAATCAAGTTTTTATCAAAATTGTCCGCAAGCAAACATTCACACTTCGAATACATTTAGTCAAATACGATGGAATTTCTGTATCCCATTTACTATAGAAGCACTTTGCTATTTTTTCCTCCAATTCCAGCACTTGCATAATGATTTCAATTTTTGACATATTACAACACATACATATATTGCAATTTTTACTTGTAGCTATATTGCCCGATGTAGGATTTTCGACAACTTCTAAAGTTTCTTCGTAAAAGCTAACAAAAAAGAATGTAAAATAAAAAGCAATATTATTTACAACTAAAACCATGAGAGTGAGGTTACTGTTTACATGAGCCAGGTAGCCGGGATTCAGCGAGGCGTTAAATCATTTTGGCAAACGGAAAACATTAAATACTTCACAACAAAAAACTTATTTGAGCAATTTCTCTATGTTCTGACATTCCAAATGATTATTTAGCAACACAACTTTATTGTGTTTCATGTATGAGTATTCTTAATTTTTATCTTCTTCTGAAAGTCTTTGAACAATTCAATAAAACACCCTGTTTAAAACTAGTCTTTCTTCCTTAAACAAGTAGAAGAAATTCGAGGAAAAAAGCTAAAACAGATCGTTGTTGAGATAAAGCTATTGTTCCAAAACATTTGCCTTTCTCTACTAAAAACAAATGTTCCCATGGTTACATGTGACAAACCACAACAGTGACGTCACGTACATGAAGATTCAAATAAACATTAAATCTATAATTAAATTATTTCTGATGAAAAGCAAAAAGCAATTAACGATGAAGCTTTGCATTATTACGCCATTCTTATATAATTCCAGGAAAATCTGACAAAATAACTCTAGCACCGATGAAGCTTTTGTTCGCTGTGTAATCAAAGACTTTGTGAATGTTTAAACCTTGAATTGTTGTATTGAGTAATAAATTTATCAAGTAGCTAAATCGCTAACACAAGAAACATAGAGTAAAACTATCTTTCAAAAAGTAAACTCTTCCATCTTTTTCAAAACATTTTTCTTATTGTTGGTCTGTATATGCACTGGATTTGACTGCAAATTTTATTATTTAAAGTCATTGAGCAATTGAAAAATACCCAAAGTTCCGCTTCAGCGTTTAATTATCCAAAGACAAATTTTAGCGTGATATGCATTTCATGAACGATATCTGATATTTAAGACCAAGAGGCTTCTACGTATAGAACAGATTAAGGTCAAGCGCGAGAAAACAACAACACTGAGAAAATCAGACAAGTTTATCGGCCGCATAAAACATTTGAATTTAAGGTAAGCAGCTATAGATATCTACTTTCAAATAATTTCAGTAAATGAATATGGACGGAGTTAGGTTGATGATAAAGAAAATATAAGAGCGAACGAATCTCTAACTTTGTTACAACATGTTAGAGAATGAGTTATGTACAAATAAGAAAGGACATGTTTATAACATAAGGACAAATACTTTTTAAATGGTTGGGAGCGCGCTTCATACTTCACCAAAAACAGCCGCCCATACATACATGACGTAAGAGACTGATCATAAAATATCTCAGCAATCTATTTATTATATCAACCAAATCATGCAAACACATAATACATACCTTGTATACAGCACACCATCAAAGCTTCTTGATTGTCGATGAACGAAGAACTTTCCACTGCGTTGTGTCTTTTTATACACAGATACATTTTGCTTTCTCTTCACGATTATCTCTAAAATTAGTAAACCATCAACCTCAGCGGAGAACTTTGTTCATAATCTAAAATTTCTTGCTAACATAAATACAAAAGCTATATCCATTGTTGGTTGTAGAGTTTGAAGTTTCCTAGCCCCAAACAAAACACTGTCATTGCAGTTAGTTAAATCTTTTTCCTGCGAATTTTTACACAAGATGGAACAAGCTCCACCATACACCTTTGGAAAACAGAATCCTGAATACGTACCTGATCAATCTATTCATCAATCTCAGCCCGGTTACCCTCTACAGCAAATACAACCAGCTCCTCAACCTGTGTCAATTATACCACCACCGGGTAACAACTCCACAGCTGTTGTTGTACCAGTAAGTAAGAAAAATTCAATCTCTAGTAACAACTAAATATTATGATTTTATGAAGCTAAATTTAGTTTACTGCATTCAATATACTTGTAGAATGCAGTTCAAGGTGTAATGGTTGTTGACGAACCATTTCAAGATTACATGGGTTTATCGATTTTTGCATGTCTGTGCTGTTTCTGGCCAGTTGGTCTCTGTGCCATAGCAAAATCAAACGAGGTAAAAACGTACATCATCATTGTATTACTGCGTTTAAAATGTTAAAGTTGAATAATAATTTTAATCATGTTAACTTAAATAGAGAATACAGGTAACTTCCTTTCAAGATAACTTGATTTTCAGTTTATACTTGTAAAATACTACGTGTGAATTGAAAATGCTACCAAAATGCTACGGGCGAATACTATAACGCGTGAATTCTTAGTTTCTGGATTTTAATGACCATTTTCAGATACATCACTACGTATAATATACTTAAGCAACATAAACTTTAAACAAGAAATACTCGTTTTCATGGCTAATTTTTCCATCGTAAACATTCTCTGTATTTTCTTTAGGCAAGAAAACTCGCTCGTGGAGGTGACTATGAAAGTGCTAGAGAAGCGGCAAATAAAGCAAAAAAGACAGCCTGGGTAGCTATGCTTCTTGGTCTCATTCTTACAATTGCTTTGATCGTCCTTAGAGTTGTAGCATCTTCGGCTAACTCAAATTGAATCAAATATATGTAAGCTATTACAACTATTATAACGATAAAAAGAGATACAATGTATTTTGTAATTACAATACAACACATACATGAAGTATTGTATAACGCAATTAATATAGTACGACATGTAACTATATTGCAATATTATAACATTAATTTTTGCAATATACATTTATATAATACAATATATATCTATATGAAGGTCGTAAACAGACTTCTCATGAGAACACGATCTATTGATATTTAATTATTTCTATATTTTTCTAATTTATGTAAATGATGAATTCTTTATAAGCATGGAGATCGTTGTCAAGTCATACATAGTGATAAATTTCAACATACAGCTAATGTCTTTTCATGAACAGTCTTTTCATGAAAGGATAGCAAGGGAAAGCAATCACGATCTATTGATGTTTATGTATTTTTCTAATTTATGTAAATGAATAAACTCTTTATAAACATAAAGATTTTTGTCCAAGTCATACATAGTGATAGCTATTGTTGTATGCGAGAGGCTAAGTCAGCTAGATGTAGCCAGTGAAAAGAAAGCAAATGAATGGAAACACGAAACTTTATAACCAATTATTCGCATCGTTTCGTATACAAACAAATACACACAACTGTATTTAGCAAACTGAAAAAAAAAATTCAAGAAATGAGATAGTGACAAAGCAAAATTTCACAAATCCCAATCTACCGAAAAATTTATGCGATGTTTTATTGAAAAATTTAGTCATGAAGTACAAAGGTTTTCTTAGAGAAATTTTTGAAATAAAACAAATCTTTGTAAAATAGCTAGTAGTTTTCATATTTCTTCTAAACTTTAAAATGTGTACGAAGTTTCTTCGCTTGGTGGTATTCGTATACTTGTCAACCATCAGTCTGGTGAAAACAGCACTGATTGTATGGTTTAAGAAGTTCTGACGTATTTCGCTACATGTTTATAAGCAAAAAAATTATCATAAATGTTATGATGTAGCCAAGCACACCCCCACACAGTGATCGTTTAAAGGAGTGATCGAAGTATTTAATGGTTTATGGTCTTGTATACATCACCAAACTATAAATATTTTACAGTTGTGTACGAGTATCATCATTAAACATCTAAAGATTTAATGAGCACAGCTATGATACAAAAGACACAGCTACAGCACATATACATCTACCTTTAATTTCTTTCAATAATTAACACTAATCATTCTGTACTAAAGATGGCATTTTAATGACGAAGCATGTTTGCGCTTAAGAAATCATCGTTTTTCTTAAATGTTATTTAAACTTGCTGCTTTTTAGAAATTACGTTTCGCGAGTATCATGAAAATACTTTTTGACTAAGTGAAAGTTTTGTCTTGCGATTAACTGTACATTCGTTGTTACGATTGCGCATTTTAAAAACAAACGAGCGATTGAGATGTCATTGTTTTTGCTCTTTTTTAAAATCCACTAAGTGCTGAAACACAGTGGCGGATCTAGCTATATAGACTCGTATAGACTCAATTTAAAATCAAAATACTTTTACAAAACGCTGCTGGTTATGAGTTTCTAAAGAATTATCAAACCCAAAATTCTCCAAATCGGATTTGCATCAGACATCAGCGTGCAGGCAAAAAATGTGATTACGTTTCATATAAAAATGACCGCAAGCAAACGTTCTCACTTTAAATTTATTTGATTAATAACGTCGGAATTTCTGCGTCTAATCCACTATGAGTACTTTGTTATTTTTTCTTTAATTCTAACACTTTTAACATGATATTAAAAAGCTCCTATCAGCAAAAAACTTTTATTAGCGTTATTAAAACTTGGTCTGATTTCCAACTTATCTTTACAAAAATTTTCATATTGGTCAAATCCTTTCTTGATATGGCATTTAAAGTTGCATTTCAATGGACGTTGTCCTTCATGTTTTGCTATCAGTTTTTCTTGCTTTAACAAGTCGAAGAAATTCGAGGAAAATATAAACCGAAAACAGTTTATTGTGGAGATCAAGCTATTGTTCCAAAACATTTGCCTTTCACTTATAAAAAGATGTTCCTTTAGTTACATGTGACAAACCAGAACAGAGACGTCACGTACATAAAGACTCAAATAAACAGTAAATCTCTATTTAACTTATTTCAGATGAAAAGCAGAAAGCAATTAACGATGAAGCTTGACATTAATGCGCCATTCTTATATAATTCTAGGTAATTTTTAAAGGGAAAAATAACTCTACAAACAGGGAAGTTGTTTGCTGTGTAATAAAAAAGAATCTGTGAATCTTTAAGCTTTGAATTGCTGTATTGAGTAGCTATACTAGCTAATAAAATGACAAAGAAAATCGATAACACAAGCAACATTGAGTAAAACCATCTCTCAAAAAGTATAGACTTCCGTCATTTTCAAAACATTCTTCCTATTGTTGGTCTGTATACGCACTCGATTTGATTGCAAAGTTTATTATTTGAAGTCATTGAGCAATTAAAAAATACCCAAAGTTCCGCTTCAGCGTTTAATTATCCAAAGACAAAGTTTTGCGTGCTAAGCAACAAAAACTTGTGATGAAAGGAAAGCGTGATTAGCATTTCATGAACGATATCTGACATTTAAGACCAAGACGCTTCTACGTATAGGACAGATTAAGGTCAAGCGTGAGGAAACAACAACACTGAGAAAATCAGACAAGTTTATCGGCCGCAAAAAAACATTTGAACTTAAGGTAAGCAGCTATAGATATCAATTTCGTATTTTCAAATAATTTCAGTAAATGAATATGAACGGAGATAGGTTAATGATAAAGAAAATATACGAGCGAACGTATCTCTAACTTCACCAAAAACAGCCGCCCATACTTACATGACGTACGAGACTGATCATAAAATATCTCAGCAATCTATTTATTATATCAACCAAATGATGCAAAAACATAATACATACCTTGTATACAGCATACCATCAAAACTTCTTCATTGTCGATGAACGAGAAACTTTCCACTGCGTTGCCTCTTATTAAACACAGATACATTTTGCTTTCTCTTCATGATTATCTCTAAAATTAGTAAAACATCAACCTCAGCGGAGAACTTTGTTCATAATCTAAAAATTACTTGCTAACATAAATACAAAAGCAATATCCATTGTTGGTTGTAGAGGCTGAAGTTTCCTAGCCCCAGACCAAAACACTGTCATTGTAGTTAAATCTTTTTCCTGCGAATTTTTACACAAGATGGAACAAGCTCCACCATACACCTTTGGAAAACAGAATCCTGAATACTCACCTGATCAATCTATTCATCAATCTCAGCTCGGTTACCCTCTAGAGCAAATACAACCAGCTCCTCAACCTGTGTCAATTATACCACCACCGGGTAACAACTCTACAACCGTTGTTGTACCAGTAAGTAAGAAAAATTCAATCCCTAGTAACAACTATATATTATGATTTTATGAAGCTAAATTTAGTTTAATGCATTAAATATACTTGTAGAATCCAGATCAAAGAGTAATCGTTGTTGACGAACCATTTCAAGATTACATGGGTTTATCGATTTTTGCATGCCTGTGCTGTTTCTGGCCACTTGGCCTCTGTGCCATAACAAATTCAAACAAGGTAAAAACGTACATCATTGCGTGTTGTGGGTTAAAATGGTAAAGTTGACTTCCTTTCATGATAACTTGATTTTGAGTTTATACTTGTAAAATACTACGTGTGAATTGAACATGCAACCAAAATGCTGAGTGTGAAAAAATGCTATGCGTGAATTTGTAGTTTCTGGATTTTAATGACATCACTACATATAATATATTAAAGCAATATAAAATTTAAATAAGAATTACTCGTTTGCATGGCTAATTTTTCCATTGTAAACTTTCTCTGTATTTTCTTTAGGCAAGAAAACTCGCTCGTAGAGGTGACTATGAAAGTGCTAGAGAAATGGCAAATGTAGCAAAAAGGGCATCCTGGGTGGCTATGTTTCTTGGCATAATGATTCCTCCGATTATTCTTTTGATATATTTTGTAACAACTTACGGCTAACTCAAATTAAATCAAACACATGTCAGCTCCAACTATTAGAACGATCAGAGGCACAGTTAAGGTATTATGTAATTACAATACAACACATACATGAAGTATAGTATATCGCGAGTAATTTAGTACGACATGCATATTGTAATATTACTTATAACACAAATTTTTGCACAATGATACATTTATATAATACAATATATATCTATATGAAGGTCGTGAACAGACTTCTAATGGAGATCGTTGTCAAGTCATACATAGTGATAAATTTCAACATATAGCTAATGCCTTTTCATGAACAGTCTTTTCATGAAAGGATACCAAGGGAAAGCAATCACGATCTATTGATGTTTATGTATTTTTCTAATTTATGTAAATAAATAAACTCTTTATAAATATGCAGATTTTTGTCCACGTCATACATAGTGATAGCTATTGTTGTATGCGAGAGGCAAAGTCATACATAGTGATAGCTAATGTTGTATGCGAGAGGCAAAGTCATACATAGTGATAGCTAATGTTGTATGCGAGAGGCAAAGTCATACATAGTGATAGCTAATGTTGTATGAGAGGCAAAGTCATACATAGTGATAGCTATTGTTGTATGCGAGAGGCAAAGTCATACATAGTGATAGCTATTGTTGTATGCGAGAGGCAAAGTCATACATAGTGATAGCTAATGTTGTATGAGAGACAAAGTCATACATAGTGATAGCTATTGTATGCGAGAGCAAAGTCATACATAGTGATAGCTAATGTTGTATGCGAGGCAAAGTCATACATAGTGATAGCTAATGTTGTATGCGAGAGGCAAAGTCATACATAGTGATAGCTAATGTTGTATGCGAGAGGCAAAGTCATACATAGTGATAGCTAATGTTGTATGCGAGAGGCAAAGTCATACATAGTGATAGCTAATGTTGTATGCGAGAGGCAAAGTCAGCTAGATGTAGCCAGTGAAAAGAAAGCAAATGAATGGAAACACGTAACTTTATAACCAATTGTTCGCAACGTTTCATATACAAACTAATAATGTGATGCTTTATTGAAAATTAAAGTACTTAAGTACTTTTGATGTATTCGTACACTTTCGCACCCTTAGTCTGGTAAAATGATCATTGATTGTATGATATAAGATCGCTAGTTTCGCCTAGTATCTCAATAAAAGCGAACAAAATTATTATTTGAAGTAAATTTACCCACACACACAGCGATCAAATTCAAAAGAGTGATGGAATTATTTAATGCTTAACAGCCTTCTAAGATAGCATTATGAATATTCAAAATAAATGCATATTTAAGTTTTGCTTTCAATAGTTGTATAAAATTCACGCCAGGCAGACTTAAAACGAAAGCAATTTACCCAGACCATCAACTTCAGAAAATCAAACATTTAAAGCAAGGTAAGTGTATTAATATAATAACTTTTTACTGATTTTAACCAATTAATTTACAAAACGTTCGAATATCCCTTTTCTCTGGTGACACGTCGAAAAATTCCTCGAAATGAACGTTTCTGCTTTGTTTGAAGTAAAAGACTTACGTGTAAACTATTGATGGTAAAATTTAACAGCTACCTTCAAAGTTGAAAACTTTTATCGTTAAGTTATATATTTTTGAACTAAACAGTTCATTTTATAACATGTGTAGTCGGAGTTAATGCCTATCTAAAAGGTTGAACGTTGAAAACTTTTTCCGACGTAATCAAGACGGGAGAATTATATGCTTCAGTGACTTCAGCCAAAAGAACATATTTAGAAAATGATTCTCGTCAATGTTTGATAAAATAAAATGTTTTGAAAAAGGTTTTGTATTTTTCTAAATACCATCGATAAGCTCAGCAAAAACCACTTAAAACTCGCTTTTATATTCATAAGGTTAAAGCCTATTTGCGTTTAAGTGTGCAGTTGGATTGGGCCAGATCTCTTTGAAAGATTATTTTTAAGGCAATGTTGTTGATGAATAAGCAAAGAAAAGCTGTATTTGTTCGGGAGAAGTTGTTTTTAATTTCTTACAAATGTATCATGTTAAGGAAGTCACTTCCTTGTTGACATTCAAAGAGAAACGATACTTTAATTTTAGACTTCATATTGCTGTATAACAATAATTGTCTTATTTGTATGATTAGGATTTTTGTATGTAACACAAGCACTCCTTCATAACAGCATTTTTCTGATAAGCTTCCCCTTTAAATCATTATTATTTTGCCACTGCCAGTATATATATATGTACATATTGATTAAAAACCACTCAGTAATTTCAAGCAACATCTAGAAGGTACTAGAAAAGATAAAGCTCTTTAAATGCCTCAAAACAAAGAATATATAAGAATGTTATAAAACTTCTTGCGAGTGATATACATCAACATCAACATCAGCATCATCTTTATACAATTTCAAAAGCAAACAACGACGAACGTGAACAAAAGTAGCAAGGTTTTATAGTACATCCAATTTCAGCAAACAAATGCCGACACATTTTACCTCTCAACCAATAATCGCTCTATAAATAACAATAATGACTTTCACTTCGTTGATTAAAGTCAGACAAAGGATGATTTTTTTTCATTTTCGCCACGAAAATGTTTTTGTCTGTCATGTCGTGAGATTTCACGTCACTAACGAAACGTAAAATGAAAGATGATTTTCATAAAATATTGCCAAATGTGAGATTGTATTGTGGTGAATTTCGCTGCGATACTTGGCAACTATTCTAATACGCAAATATAAACTGACATCGTTTTCTAGTAGACGGAGAGTACGCCTGATAGCGTCTTATTCATTTTAAATTTTCATTTCTTTTAAAGATGGAAAACCCTCCACCATACACAATTGAAACACAAAATCCTGCATACATTCACGGATCTCCTCCGAACGTTGCACAACCTGGTTACCCACCTCAACAACAACAACCTGGTTACCCGCCTCAACAACAACAACCTGGTTACCCACCTCAACAACAACAACCTGGTTACCCACCTCAACAACAACAACCTGCATACTCACCACCACAACCAGCGGGTTATCCCCCAGAAAAGAACTTCTCACCTCAAGGTTACCCTCTCAAGGTTACCCACCTCCACCCCCACCAGGAATGCAACAAAGCAACAACAGCACGACAGTTGTCATGCTCGTATGTAGGAAAAATACAAAATACTCTACATTTCTAAGAATATATGAACAATGTGAAAACTTCTATTTAAAATATTACTGTACTATGCATGAGAAATTTTAATGAAATATTTTTAGAACCAACCTCAGCCTACGGTGGTGGCAACAACGATTCCAGTTGTCAATGATCACATGATATTGTCCATCGTTGCCTTTTTATGTTTTTGTTGGCCAATCGGACTTGTAGCTATTATCAAGTCGCTCGAAGTAAGTGATTCTAAATTAATTGTAGACAGTTAATAATCCACCTTGCGATAGCAAGCTTTAATATCTAATCCTTAAATAATTTCCAAATTCGTCCATCAGTAAATCCTTAAAATTTCGTTGCTTAATATAATATAATGCTTAATGTAACATGAATGAACATTTGCGAGTAGTTTAACATTTCAGAATCTGTCATACCGGGTGAGGTGTAACAGTAGAGGCGTATCCAGATGAGGGAGGGCAGTGGGAGCACCCTTCTTGATAACGACAGCTCTTTAACGAAAATGATATTGCCCCGTGACATCTTCAAATCACGCACCTCTCTTCGGTTAAAATCCTGGATAATTAGCACATATCATTTTCATCTTTACTTTTCAATCATTTTTACTTTAGCACAAATCGTACACATCATAAAGGATTTCTACATCAAATTATAAATCACAGGAAAGCGAATCCTCTCTCTTCTTTAGGCAAGGAACCGATTCGCTGCTGGTGACTACGCAGGTGCTGTAACCTCCGCTCATACTGCAAGGAATCTTAGTAGTATAGCCATCGTGTGTGGAATAATCATCTACATCGTTGTCATAGTTGTAGAAGTAGCCGTCGTATCATCCTCAAACACCTAAAGGTTTTCAATGAGCACAGCTATGATACAAAGGGCACAGTTACAACACACATATATATCTACCTATAGTTTCATCTAATGATTTAAGTTGTTCACGTTTAATTGTACTTCAGCATACATATACTCATTTTTATTAAATAACGATTAAACTGTTTCATGATTGTCATGAAAATACTTTTTGACTTGGTGAAAGTTTATATCCCGAGTAACTGCACATTCGTCGCTCCGATTGGTTATTTTGAAAACATACGGAACGAATGAAATGTCATTGTTTTTTTTTAAATCCAACATGCTTTGTTAAAACAAACGGCAGCCTGCCTGTAGGCAAAAAATTCAATCACGTTTTCATCAAAGCTGTCCGCAAGCAAACATTCATGCTTCAAATGCATTTAGTCAAATACGCTGGAATTTCTGCATCCAATTTACTAGAAGTACTTCGTTCTTTTTTCTTCAATTCCAGCCTTCATAATGACAGTGTGATGACAAATTTACTTATATTGAAGTCGAAAGTTCTAACAGATTTTTGCATTAAATAAACAAATTTTACAAAACTCTTAGCAAGGACGAGAATTAACAAGATATTTATCCATACCATCGATTAATTCCTATCTTAATATATCCTAATTCCTTTGTAATCAATGTGAATTTCTCTGAATAGACGTAATTAGCCAGTTTCTTATTACAAACAAATGTCTTAAATTCTTAGACGTTGAAAAATCTGGTAATTGTCTTATCAAAGCGCGCATCAAATTTCAAAAAGGAAGACAAAATTCTTTGCTGTTATTTCCGCAACCGTCTAATTGAAAAAAGACGTTCAGTTATATTGAATTTTCTTACGCAGTGTAAACTTGCAGAAATCGTTGGAAATCGTTGGAAATCTAATCAAAGTGTTTCAAAAGACGACATATTCAAGAAAGAAAGGTGAATTCGCCGATTCAGTGCAAATTTTCACTTTAGTTTTAACAAGTGAACATTGTGACAACAGTGGATAGTCAAGCCTAACGCACACTATAGAGATTTCTGCATAGCAACACGCCATTTGCAGCAGCAAGCTTAAGCAGGAAGTTCTAGTGTGCAGTGGTCTTTTGCGAGTTTTTTTGTTATTCGTGACAAGTGGAACGAGTATTCAATGTGTTGAATATATTTCGTCACAAATCAACAATCGCCACCGTGTGCGCGGTGAAAGTGAAGCAGCAGCAGCTTACAACTCAACAAAACCATGAATATTAACGCAACAAACGAAGACAAAATGGCATGTCAAAATGTATTATACTAAGCGATGACATTTGGGAGAATAGGCATGCGAATATATGGCTCAACTACCTGAGTCTTTGCGATTTGAGATCACTTGATTATACAAGTATTTTTCCCTAGTGCTTTTTTTTGTATAATCTAGCGCCTTGACCATCCTCGCTCGAAGCTTGTAAACGTCGTCGAAAATAAAAGGAGAATTTCTTCTTCACATTCCTATTTAGAATCGCAGACATTTCGCCCATTTCGTTTTCGTTTGTTGCGCAAATACGCATGGGCTTTGTTGAGCTGTTGTAACCTTCACATTCAGCGGTGGAGATCGTTATTCGTGGCGAAAATCTTTAACATGTTGAATATTTGTTACAAGTCACGAATGACAAAAAAACTTGCAAAAAGACATCTGCACACTAGCGCTTCCTGTTTAAGTACGCTGCTGTAAATTACATTTTGCTACACAGAAAGCTCGTGTGCACCAAGGCTTTAGATCCAGCTCGACCTTCTAAAATAGAGTAGAAAAACTATAAGGAAGATTTCTAAAAACAAATGTTCAATTTCGAACGGTATTTTAACTGTAAAGGCCAAGGAGAGGCGATAGTTTTCTTAGATAGTGATCCAGAGAAATAAATGTTGTACAAAGTCGCTTCAGACTGCATGTATAGCGTTAGTTTTCATTTCATTCGATGTTTGGTATTGTCCTGGTAAAAGTTGGCAAATTTCTATTGTCGTTTAAGTAAGTTTTATCGGTTTGTAAATATAATAGCTATATTGTGAATTTCACTGAATTATTTGATTGAAAAACAAAACTATGACAACCATGAAAAAAACGAGGTCAAGTATAGATAATGCTGCCGACCAACCTATCGACTTACCAACCTCTCGACCCACCTATCGACTTACCAACCTCTCGACTAACCTCTCGACCAACCGACCTACTTACCAATCATCGACCTACCTACTGACTTACTGACCTATCGACCAACCTACCAACATACCGAATACCTACAGACCAACCGTCCAGCTTATAAAGTGCAAATATCCATTTTACATACGAATGAATTATTTTTGAACTTTCTGTTCGAAATGAGCCAGAAGCTTGCTAAGCGCTTACTCGAGACAAAGAAAATTTGCAGATGTATCTGCGCAGTCCTCCGTCCAAGTATTTCCATATGAATTGCATTAAATATGATAATTTTATATTAAATCAAGTGATTTATACACATACACTTCGGATTAATATGCTCTAGCAGACTGCATGCACGCCCATTACAACGAGTTTTTTCCAGATTCTCTTCACTTCACGAATCAGACTAAAGGCAAAGAATAGATATCTTAACAGAAGGTTCGCTCGTGTCGGAAACTATGATGAAACGTGTTTTTCTGAAGCAATTTCTAAGGAGACACGTCTTCCAGCAAGATACTTCAGCTAGATCGCAATAGAAAATATAGATGTTTCTACAAATATATTGTTTTGCACTACAAAAGCTTGGAACCTTATCGTATTCGCAAGATGATAACTCTTTGTAAAAATTTCGGCAAACTTTTGCTTTAAACGTGAATTATTAGTAAAATAGCATTCTCGTGCACAATACTATTCCATATTGATTTTGTGAAAGTATCTTGCTGGGAAGTCACGCATGCGTAGTGAAAAAATACGCCAGGATTTTAGCCGAGTGGGCCTTCTGTTAGATGTCTATTCTGTGCTAAAGTTAAGATGCGGTAATTCGAAGCAACTGCTTTAGTGAAAAGTATAGTGTTAAACTGAGCGACATAAAGATAATCTAAACTAATCCTTTATCGTTGCAAAAGAACTTATGACTTTCAATTAAGTTCGAAAAATCTTCATCGATGACACGTCTTTTTCAAAAAATCTTCATCGATGACACATCACAACAAAAACGAATTTTTCATTTCAAGATGGAACCGACTCTACCTAACAGTGCTGATAAAGAGAATTTTGGATACATTCAAGATTACCCTCCAAACTATCCATCACAACCTGGCTATATCTCTGAGCAAAAACCTGGTGACCATCCACCACAACAACAACAGCCTGTTTATCCCGCTCCAAACTTACCACCTCCACGTTTCCCTATGCAAGCCTTCCCTGCTCATTCACCTGGGGGAATGATACCTCATTCACCTGGGGGAATGATACCACAGCAAGGTACAAGCAATACCACAGTTGTTCTGCTGGTAAGTAAAAACACGAATAAAAACTCCATGCACTGTAACTAGTTACTGTTCAGATGAAAAAAATGCACAATGTAGAAATTAAAAATACTTTTTAGAACCAACCGGCAGTTGGAGCGACCATTCCAGTGGTGAACGACCATTTGAGTTTGTCCATTTTTGCTTGCGCATGCTGTTTTTGCCCACTTGGTATTGTTGCCCTCGTCAAGTCTATAGAGGTAGCTACTTGACTTAATACAACACACACACACATCATTTGCAATCTTTTCTTGTAGCTAGATTGCCAGACGTAGGATTTTAAACAACTTTCAAAATTTCTTTGTAAGAGCTAGAAAATAAGAATTTAAAATAATACGAAATATTTTTTATAAGTAAAACCATTGTATTGAGTAGTAAAACGGTTGGGACTTTTACTAAACCTCCCTTGGCTTTCGAGCACATTTCATCGCTAAGTAATCAAACTACCATGGTCTTACTTTTCAATACTATGATTACCGAAATGTTTTAGTCAGTGCTTCACGCACTGTCAACGATGGTGTAAAATGGACTAACCCTAACCCTAACCCTAACCCTAACCCTAACCCTAACCCTAACCCTAACCCTAACCCTAACATTAGTTTTGTGCTTTTGGGAATATTTTGTGGTGATTTTTATTATTTCAAGCACAATTGATCTTTTGTAATTTGATCTCGTATTTTTGACACGTGTGTCTACCATCTGAAAGGTGGATTGAAGCAACCATAGTATTACAGGTAATGTCATCAGGCGGACCACAGTTTTAGAAACATCTTCCTCGTTTAAAAAATTTATCAATTGCAGCAAGTTTTTATACAAGTGGAGATTTTAATGTGTTGATCGCATTTTCTGAACGGGAGTTACGTGTCATATTGAGTGATGTAAATCAGTATTTTACGAATAATCGTGAGAGCATCATCCACAATCGCGAGAGCATCATCCATATACTAAACTATTTTACATCATCCAATTTGACGATGTCGAGAATAACTTTAACGTTAGGAAAACCAATCTTCTCTCATCTCTTAAGTCAAGGAATCGTTATGCAGCTGGTGATTATGCAGGTGCTATGAACTCTGCACAAACCGCAAAGAATCTGGCAAGAATTTCCATTGTTCTGGGCGTCATTATTTCCACTGTTGTCCCTGTCGTACGTATAGCTAGAGCAGGCCGTTGAGATTGTCAAGAAAACATTCAAGTATAGTTACAAAGTTGTGATTATAGTTCCTTAAATAATTTTGTTGGTTTTACTAGTCAAGTATAGAAACAGTAGTTCATATTGTATGCGTTACTACATGACACTGCAAGAAACTGCAATGGTGTAAAGGTTTTTGATTTGATTTCGAGAGACTTATTAAACGTTTTCCACATAATATATGGGTTATGATTGCACGAATTAATTTAGTTAATTAAATACACAAAAGAATTAATTTGGAATTAGGTCAGGATTCTGAGAAGTTTAAGTGATGTAGCTAATCATATTCGCACATTTTCTTCGAAAGTCATGTTGGAGCATATGAATTTGGAACTTAGCTATAATCTGCAGTAGCATCCGTTCAGGTGGTCCAAAGTCCTTTTGCAGGCTTAATTACATGACGCAACTAAACATGGACTTGATTACGTTTTGGTAGTGACAGGGCCGATCTTTTCATTAAAATAATAGTTTCAAAAAATCTTAATTATAAGGATAATTATTCTCGTGTAGTATGACAAGAAGGACTCTTAGCTACGTCACTGGGCGTAAAATTACAAATACAATTGCAGAACTACGAAAGTTATACATAAACCTAACCTCTGAAGCTTGTGCAGTTCGGTCTTTATATGTTTCTGAAACACTTGAAATTTGTTTGTTTATACATGATCATCAGCAGTAAATAAATAAGCTATCGCAGGTCATCCAACGTGGCTTATGCAAGGTACGTTTAACTACAAAAAATCAAAAACAGGGAATTTTTCTCAGCGGTGCAAGGATACTTCAATTCACAGTAACCATGACAAATCATAAAATAATAAATTTCATTCGCGAAAAATTTTTTAAATTTGTTTGCGCACGCGCTGAATTTGCTTATTCTAAACATGAACCGATAATTTGTTAATTAATGACATAACACAAACGAGCTATTAAAAAAGTGATTGCAGAGTTCTATTATTCACATGACACAGAGACAAAAAAAAACAAAACTAAACTAAAAATCATCACAAAACAAAGCAAAAACCTGAAAGAGATAAACAGGAAAATTTTAAAACAAGGTAGGCTTTCGCCAAGGTAACGCTAATATTAATGTTACAACGCAACAAGTTTTTCAAAGCTGTTGTCAGCAAACACGCCTTTCTTATGATGAACACACAAATGAATTTCAAACGATTAGAATTTGCTCAAGAAATATTAAAACTAAGTTTAAATTTGACTGAACAATCATCAATATTTTGGTCTTTACTTGCAAAATGATCATAACACAAGATACTTGTTGTTGGTATTTTATGATGGTATTGGTATGATTGCTCTTTAGATTTGGTAAAATTAGCTAACTGCATTTGCTAAGAATGTTTATTTCTGGTATTCATGACATTTACGATTAAACAAAATGAAAATCCTTTCATTTTCTTACGCAAGATGGAGCAACCACCTCCTTACAACAATGAAAAATACAACTCCATTCCACAAAATCAAGGATATCCGCTTCAAGGACAGCCTCCTCAAGATTATCCCCCTCACGATCACCCACCTCCAGGTTACCCACCTCAAAGTCATCAACCACAATGTCACCCACCTCAAAGTCATCAGGCACAAGGTCACCCACCTCAAGGACACCAACCACAAGGTCACCCACCTCAAGGACACCAACCACAAGGTCACCCACCTCAAGCACACCAACCACAAAGTCACCCACCTCAAGGACACCAACCACAAGATCACCCACCTCAAGGACACCAACCACAAGGTCACCCACCTCAAGGACACCAACCACAAGGTCACCCACCTCAAGGACACCAACCACAAGGTCACCCACCTCAAGGACGCCCACCTAAAGGACACGAGCCACAAGGTTACCCTGCACAAGGTTATCCCCCACAGCAAACAGCAGGGATGACGCAACAAAAGCAGAGTAACGATACAACAGTTGCTTCAGTAAGTAGAAATAAGACTCACGAAAAACAAAATCATTAACTTCATCTAATCTTACATTTATAACTATCGTCAGTAATAAAGAACGATGCATTATGACAAATTTCAATGTAATACTTATATAGAAAAAAGGTGAAGTGTCACCTTTAGCATCAATGATTCCAAGGGTCAATTTTTACATGGGAATGTCTATATTCGCTTTTCTGTGTTGCTTTTGGCCTATTGGTGCTTTTGCCGTGTTCAAGTCATGTGAGGTATTTGCTCCCAGTATTTACATGCCGTAAATAAGCTATATACTGTAGCTATAAACTTAAATAATGTAAGATTCTATCCAAAAAATTGTAGAAAAAATGCGTGATCCGATATCAGGATTATACATAACGCAGTTAAACGTTCACTGATACAAAATTTTATTGAACGAGTTTTCGGCTGTCTGTCTACAGCCTTCGACGGGTTATAAAAGACAACACATTACAGACAAACGGCTATCCATACAAATTAATTTCAGACATAACTAACTAACAAACCACACATGACAAGACGCCATCTCCGGAAGAATTAGTACGCACACTTTTTAGCATGGTCGAGCCCGAAAAACATTTTCATGGCAATGCAGTTCTTCCATACATAAAAGGACTTACCGAAGCACTAACAAGTCACTTACAAAAATACGATATAAGAGTCACTAACAAACCACTTAAGACATTACAACAAGAATTCCCATCACCCAAACACCGACCACCTATTGAAGAGCAAACCGATGTCATCTAGAAAATACCCTGCAAAGAATGCGATTGGAGTTATAATCGGTGAGACAGGAAGATGCTTCCTTACAAGAAAGAAAGAACACAGGAGGAATATCAAATTGGGACACACTCGGGGGTAAAACATCGCTATCTATGTTTGGGACAATAACCATAAAATAGATTTAGAAAATGTTTGTATCATTGACAGAGGAAACTACAGAATACAAAAAACTTTAAAATCATGGCACACTGGAATAACTAAAGCAGCTGATAACAACTCAAGGCCACTTCCACCACAATATAAAATCCTTTTAAAAAAACTGTAACTCTACCTATCACATAGAACATTATATCATATTACTTTATTTCCGCTTTTTATTTATGCATTTATAGTGTTACACTCCATTCGTTTCTTTTATAACCCGTCGAAGGCTGTAGACTGACAGCCGAAAGCTTGTTCAATAAAAAATTTTATATCAGTGAACGTTTTACAGCATTATTTCAAAAAATTATATTTTGAAATGTTACTTTAGCTTTTAACTTTAGCATCCAGACGTCTTTCTCCTTTACATAGGTTCTATAAAAAGTTCTATATAAAATAAGGTTTCATATAAAGCCTAAATAAGGTTTTAAATAAAGTTCTATATAAAAAATTAAACTAAAATGTTACTTTAGCTTTTAACTTTAGCATCCAGACGTCTTTCTCTTTTACATAGGTTCTACAAAAAGTTCTATATAAAATAAGGTTTCATATAAAGCCTAAATAAGGTTTTAAATAAAGTTCTATATAAAAAAATTATACTAAAATGTTAATTTAGCTTTTAAATTTTGCACTTAGACGCCTTTCTCATATACATATAGGTTCTATGTAAAGTTCTATACAAAATAAGGTTCAACATAAAAAATTCTAAATTAGGTTTTAAATAAGGTTCTATATAAAAAATTTTTCTAAAATGTTAATTTAGCTTTTAAATTTTGCACTTGGACGCCTTTCTCATATACATACTACATTCTCAGTTTTTCCAACAGTAATAAACCTTAGTAACAATAATCGGGTTCTTACAAATCAGTCAAAATTGTATTCATGATCAATTTGTAAATTTCCATAATTTCGTAAAAGCACTATTGCTAATGCGCCACTTAATATACACGACGACTTTTTTTAGAATAGACATGTTTCGACATGATGCTATCACAAGATGTCGAAACATGTCTATTCTAAAAAGTCGTCGTATATTAAATGCGAATTTGTAAATTCTCTTTGTTTGATTGATTGATTGATTATATTGGTTTAGCTCAGATGTGTTTTGCATAGGCTAATGCAAGACACGGCTCTAGACCAATCACCCCATGCGTTTTATTGTGTTTATTTTACAACATGTAATGAAAACCAGTTTATTATATCTCCTGTAGGCAAGACATCATTATAAAGTCGGTAACTATTCAGGAGCCATATTGTCATCCATTAGCGCAAAACGCTTGGCCATCATAGCTATATTCAGTGGAATAGTTTTGATTCCAATCATGATAGTAACAAGAATCGTATTTTACGCAGCTACAAAACAGTAAAGTATAAATATTATCACCTTTAGTGTTGTTAATATGAAATTTTCATGTATTGATTTCTACGAATTACTTTATAATAAATTTATGTAAATACAGTTTTTACGGCGAAAACGAGTATCTCCCTCGTTGATAACGCCTAACTAATATCCTTTGGAAAACAGACATTTTGGAAAATCACAGCTACAGACGTTTTAAGGTTTTAAGAATTTCTACCGTGCTAAATATTTTAATTTAAAGGTAAATCCTTCATAATGCTAAAACTTTAGGTCTTGCATATGTAGATATTTTGTAACTAGATTGTAACTTGACGGCGAAGAGCGAGTTCAAATGATTGACATAAAATGTTCATGTGCTCATACAAATCTTTTATGTAATGCACATATCTCATACGAAAATTTAGCATAATGCTGTAAAGCACCAAATATCGATAAACAACACAAGGTCAACTATTGAGGTGACGTTCCTGGTTCTATTTCCGTTATCCATACTTCCTATACAAACAAGCATCTTAAACTCTAATTCTAATATTAGAATATTAGAATTAGAGTTTAAGATGCTTGTTAGAATTAGAATTAGAGCAAATCCAATTTTAATATTCACAAAAATGTTTTCAGTGTTGCTGCAAATTACGATTTTCGAAGTATTAGCATTTTCGAAGTCTACCCCTCCCTCCTTTAATCTCTGATGTAAATTCATTTGAAATCTAATCCCCCATTCCTTCATATCTGAAGTGCTTCACGCGAAGACAAGTTCGACGAAAAAAAGTGAATTCGGTGAAAACGCTTTTAACAAGAAATTACATAAAAATCCGCAACGAAGTAGCAACATCAGCTGCAAATCAACGTTCTGAATAAAGGTAAGAGATACTTATACTAGATATTTACAAATAGAAATGCTGAATTTCAACTTTCCTTTAACTGTGAATGTAATGCATTTTATATCCGGTGCGAGTTTTTGTTAACTGTGAAGATGCAGCTCATCTCGTAAGACCGCCATTTTGCCATGTTTTCACTTCATTTTGTCAGATGAAAATATGAGCTAGTAATTCTTGTGTTTGTTCTCAACGGTTTGTAAATCTAAATTACATGAATTCTTGTACTGGGCTGGGACTAATCGATTGTTTGTTCTCATCGGTTTGTGTATTAAAATTATGTGACTTCCAATACTGTGATTTAGAAATTTGAAAAGAAATTGTGAGGTATATAGACATACAAACGTAGTTATATCGTAATCATTTGACCAACAAATAAGGAAGTATCGACGTACACATGTTACCGACAAATACTTAAAACGTAGTTATATTAGTAATCATTTGACCAACAAATAGGGAAGTATCGACGTACACATGTTACCGACAAATACTTAAAACGTAGTTATATTAGTAATCATTTGACCAACAAATAGGAAAGTATCGACGTAAACATGATACCGACAAATACTTAAAACGTAGTTATATTAGTAATCATTTGACCAACAAATAGGAAAGTATCGACGTAAACATGTTACCGACAAATACTTAAAACGTAGTTATATTAGTAATCATTTGACCAACAAATAGGGAAGTATCGACGTAAACATGATACCGACAAATACTTAAAACGTAGTTATATTAGTAATCATTTGACCAACAAATAGGAAAGTATCGACGTAAACATGATACCGACAAATACTTAAAACGTAGTTATATTAGTAATCATTTGACCAACAAATAGGAAAGTATCGACGTAAACATGATACCGACAAATACTTAAAACGTAGTTATATTAGTAATCATTTGACCAACAATAGAGAAGTATCGACGTACACATGTTACCGACAAATACTTAAAACGTAGTTATATTAGTAATCATTTGACCAACAAATAGGAAAGTATCGACGTAAACATGATACCGACAAATACTTAAAACGTAGTTATATTAGTAATCATTTGACCAACAAATAGGAAAGTATCGACGTACACATGTTACCGACAAATACTTAAAATGTAGTTATATTAGTAATCATTTGACCAACAAATAGAGAAGTATCGACGTAAACATGTTACCGACAAATACTTAAAATGTAGTTATATTAGTAATCATTTGACCAACAAATAGAGAAGTATCGACGTACACATGTTACCGACAAATACTTAAAACGTAGTTATATTAGTAATCATTTGACCAACAAATAGGGAAGTATCGACGTACACATGTTACCGACAAATACTTAAAACGTAGTTATATTAGTAATCATTTGACCAACAAAAGGGAAGTATCGACGTACACATGTTACCGACAAATACTTAAAACGTAGTTATATTAGTAATCATTTGACCAACAAATAGGGAAGTATCGACGTACACATGTTACCGACAAATACTTAAAACGTAGTTATATTAGTAATCATTTGACCAACAAATAGGAAGTATCGACGTACACATGTTACCGACAAATACTTAAAACGTAGTTATATTAGTAATCATTTGACCAACAAATAGGGAAGTATCGACGTACACATGTTACCGACAAATACTTAAAACGTAGTTATATTAGTAATCATTTGACCAACAAATAGGGAAGTATCGACGTACACATGTTACCGACAAATACTTAAAACGTAGTTATATTAGTAATCATTTGACCAACAAATAGGAAGTATCGACGTACACATGTTACCGACAAATACTTAAAACGTAGTTATATTAGTAATCATTTGACCAACAAATAGGAAGTATCGACGTACACATGTTACCGACAAATACTTAAAACGTAGTTATATTAGTAATCATTTGACCAACAAATAGGGAAGTATCGACGTACACATGTTACCGACAAATACTTAAAACGTAGTTATATTAGTAATCATTTGACCAACAAATAGGGAAGTATCGACGTACACATGTTACCGACAAATACTTAAAACGTAGTTATATTAGTAATCATTTGACTAACAAATAGGGAAGTATCGACGTACACATGTTACCGACAAATACTTAAAACGTAGTTATATTAGTAATCATTTGACCAACAAATAGGGAAGTATCGACGTACACATGTTACCGACAAATACTTAAAACGTAGTTATATTAGTAATCATTTGACCAACAAATAGGGAAGTATCGACGTACACATGTTACCGACAAATACTTAAAACGTAGTTATATTAGTTATCATTTGACCCACAAAATACGTTCAAGTGGAGATGAAATCTATAATTACGAAACAAGCGCTCTTTAAAAATCATTGCCATCTGTAATCCAGAGATGACCGTAAATATAACATGTATGTTTTGATTCATTTCAACTATCAATTACAATTAAAGACGTTTCAAATGAAAATATTATATTATTCTACACAATAACATATCAAAATTCCAATTCAAGATGGCGACGGGTCTACCAAACAATAGCGAAAACAGAATGAGACATTCAATTCAAACCCACCTCTTAACTACCCCCACAGCAACCAGGTCTTCCTCCCTGAAACAACCAGGTAACCCTCCACCACCACCACAACAACAACAGCCTGGTTATCCACCACAAAATGAAGGCTACCCCTCCAAGCTATTCACCTCAAGGCTACCCCTCACAAGATAACCCCCCTCTGGGCTACCCTTCTCAAGGCTACTCCCCTCAAGGTTACCCTCCTCAAGGTTATCCCCCTCAAAGCTACCCACCTCAGCCACCAGTGGGAATGCAACAGCAACAGCAGAGTACCAACACCACAGTTATCATACAAGTAAGTGAAAAACACGAATGAAATGAACACAACAAAACGCGTTTGTTGATTGGTCTATAGCTGAGTTTGCATTAGCCAGTGCAAATCGATCTAAGCTCAACCAATCAAATCAATCAATTAATGAGAACTTGCACATTAATCATGAATGAATTTTAAAAGAAAAATTAAAACATTTGTTTTTGATTTGTCTGTTGCGCATTGTTATCTTATAGAAGAAATAAAAGATGTTTTTCGTGTTTGCACAGGCTTATGTAAACCTCGGAGAAGCTAAGGAGAATCCTTGAGCATGTGCAATCCTCGACCTTCGGTCTCGGGCTTGCACTGATCTGCTCTCGAGTTCTTCCAAAGGTCTCCTCGGTTTGCATAAGCCTGTGCAAACACAGTAAACATCTTTTATTCCTTGAAATTTTCATGCACTGTAACACTTAACATAACGACGTATGGCACGATAAGAATTCTCTCCACATTCCTAGAACCAACCTCAAGCTCAAGTAGTAACAGCGGTCGTTCCTATTGTCCACGACTACTTGGGTTTGTCGATTTTTGCTTGCTTCTGCTGTTTTTGTCCACTTGGTGTTGTTGCCATCTTCAAATCTATAGAGGTAAAGTACAATGCAAACATGAGGATTATGTTCACGAGTATAGTGCATAAGATGAAGACCCTCACAAAATTTCCATTCAATTCCGAAATTTCACAGTAAGAGCTAAAGAGGAATGGAAAATCAAAGTAACAAAACATACTTTTGTGAACATACTTGCTCACATTTTAAGAAAAGTTACCATTTGAATAGAAATATCGTGTGAACGTGTCATACTGAATGATGCAAATCATTTTTTACTATAAATCATTCAGTCTACGTCACCTAATCGATGATGTGATCTGACTGTAAGTTTGTCGCGCTATATGTAAATATCTCGGTGTTGATTGGCTGCAATAACAATAGGATAATGAGGATCTAGTGTCAGGTTGGGACCTGGGCGAGTTGCACAAAGCCTGTATAGCGTTATCCATTGCATAGCAATTTTTTTGAAACTTTTATAAAACCTTTTAAAAAGTAAAACTGCAAAAAATATAATTTTCATACTGAGCAATCACTGAAATGATATAGTTTCGAAGATTACGAAATTTCTATGTCGTAAGAAAAATATAAACACCTTTTTAACAAGTTTGAAATTTTTTTCTATCCAATGGATAACGCCATCCAGGCTTCGTGCAACCGACTCCTGAAATTTATACAGCAGGACCAAACTTGCTCAGCGGTTGGTAACTCATTGATCCTAATTCAATCGGAGCTTTTATATCGACATATTTGATGTGTAGAGTGAAATTTAACATTAAGAAAATCAATTTTCTTTCTCATCTCTACAGTCAAGGGATCGTTACACTGCTGGTGATTATGCAGGAGCAACGAACTCAGCAAGAACTGCATTGACTCTGGCTAAGATTTCCATCGCTTTGGGAATAATCCTTTATATTATTTCCATCGTTGTACGAAGCGTCTGAGCATAATGGGAAGTTTGAAAATAAATATTCAAGTGGAAGTTTAAAATAAAAGATTCAAGTGATGTGAGCTACTTCAATGATTTACTCAATTTCACCAGTTTAGTTTATACAACAAAAACATTTCTTAACACGGTAACCTTTTTCCGTTGAAACAACTGTTGGAAATAAAGGTCCTGGGGCCAGTTGCGAGAAGCCTGGATATCGTTATCCATTGGAAAGCAAAAATTTTTAAACTCGTAAAAAAGATGTTTGTATTTTGTCTTAGGACAAAGAAATTTTGTAATTTTCGAAACAATATTTTATTTCAGTGATTGGAGAGCTCAAATCTTATATTTTTCTCTCCTATTTTGAATTTTTTTGAACGTTCAGAAAAATTCGCTATCCTGTGGAACTACGAGCCACTGCTCTTCAGAAAGAGTAGTTTTATGTTGCATGTCATTACATATTTTGATTATGGTTTTGCAGGAAAATTTACACGTTGCAAAAGGACTTTACGAAGCAATATCAACTACGTCAACATCAATAATGACTATAATGCAAGAAAAATGGAAAATATTACGTAACAAAACACAACCATGGCACTATACCAAATTCTATCGTGCATTTCATAAATAACCGAAAAGTTTGAAAATACGTGAATACGCAGAACACATATAAGGTCCTGTTCACACGATACCGGATTCGCTGAGCAATCCGATACGAAAAATGCACTCTATTCACACGATGCCGGATTCGTAAGACGATAAATAAGTTTTTATATTGCCCCAGTACTTGTGCGTGCAAGCAATAACAGCGATGGTTGCTACTTCAAATATTTCGTGAGAAAATGAGAAATTTTTTTGACAGATAACAAAGTAGAGCTTTTTCTTGAGTGTATTAAGGTTTTTGCATCATTTGTACGAATGGGCGCAAGGACTAAAAGAGTGTAAAGTCCAAATACAACCAAATCTATGTTGCCATTACAATAAGACTAGAAAGAAGCTTTTCACACCATGATAATACATTGTTAAAAGCTTAAACATGCCATGTTGAAGATATATTATATTTGCTGGCGGATTATTCATTTAAAACATAGTTTGTATCGCTATGTTTGCTTTCATTTTTGAAAAATCGCACGGACTTTTTAGTTGCCAAGGTGGAACGTATCGGATTCGAGCGTTCACACGACAACGGAACGTATTGGATTGGTTTTTATACCACTTCCACAGCGGAGTCAAATCGCTCCTGAAAAACGATACAAAGCGTATCGGATTTCAGCGGAGCCGTATGAACGCAAGGCTTATCCGGTACGAAAAGTAATCCGGTATCAAACCAATCCGGTATCGTGTGAACAGGGCCTAAGATTACAACACTGAACACTTCGACATTACTTGTTTTCCTTGCTTATTCACTGGTATATTGTTAGAACATTTTCTATGTTATAACAAAACGACGGTTCACGAATATTCCAGTTATCGCAGCTGTACTCTCAAAGTTAAGTGTTTTATACGTCAACGTGTTTCCTAATGGTTTAATATCACCTGACCAGACCACACTTCCATTGTAGTAGTGACAAGGTTTTGAAGGCTTTTCCTCAAACACAACACAATAAAACCTTCAAATATTTGCCAACCATACTCGTCACTACTTACTGGAACCCAATCCTGAAACAAGGTGAGTAAGTTCTAGGCTTTCCATTGAACGTCCTAATTTCGCTGTAAACTTTTTACAAACACACTCGAATATTTTCTCCAAGTCAATGTAGCGACAGTAGAAAGAAGGATGACCTCTCATTGCAAATTATCTTCTTTTCATTCTTCCTGTCATTGGGGATATAAAACATCATGGCTTAAAGGTTAACAAAATTCACCTCGATTATTCCATGCAGTTAGTCTTCTATAAGAAATTGTAAAATAACGACAGACAAACTCATATCTAAAATCATTCCATCCTGAATTCAATACCATCTTTTCACTTGATTTGATATTGTTTCAAAATACGTAATAGGTCCCTATGGGCAGAACTCGAACTCAAAGTCTCGGTGTTTGAACATCGTCATGAAGAAATAATTATTTCCTGAGCTTTTAGCAATTTATCTTTCAACCACTTGAGAAAGTCAAGTTCATTTTTCTAAAGCAATACACTTATTGAGTGTTCAACATATCGTTATATAAAACCCTTTGTTATTCTGCGTCACACAAACAATGTCTTTCTGCGTCACACAATAGCTAAGCTCTGCTGCTGTTTCAGCTCGTTCAACTCATATATAAACGATGGCGCTTAACTACTTCATCCATAGTTAAGGCTAGTACTTCTCAATCCGAGAAAAACTGTAACAAAATTCACAAATTATGATGAATAATCTGGGTTTTTATGTGATATAGCCACAAATAAAAAGTTCGGTTGATAAGTTCAGACATACCCGAGTGGTGACAGTCAATTCTTTTATAATGATTATTTCCTTATTACGGAAATAGCGGACGCGCATTTCTAACATTCTCTACATCCTCATCCCGTCATAAAATCAAAACGCTGAACTGATTTTGTTTTCTCAAGAGAAAGCAACGAACAAAAAATAATATTTTATCAATAGTTAAAATATTATGACTTAAAAAGTATGAATATATTCAATACACTGTCCCTCGAAAGACCTTTTTTTCTCAAATGTTGTATTATTAGAACGTGCTTTTCGTCATCCTTCTCCATGTAATACGTCATCCTTCTCCATGTAATACGTCATCCTTCTCCATCTATAACGTCACTGGAACTTCCGGGATGTCACATATAGATAGGCATTTCCTTTTGTCAAAAATCTCGTAGTAAACACATGTGTATATAAAAATTTCAATTGTATTGTTTGCTATTCAACCACGCACTGCCTCTTACGAAGACAAGTTCAAAGCCAAAGAAACAGCGTTCTGTTTGTTGATTTAAAGGTAATTGATCATTGCTTTGAAATTAGTCCTTTTAAGTATGAAAGTTGTGCAAGTTGTCATGTTGATTTTTGACATATATATTTTAATTGTAAACGAAGAATGAAAGTTTTCGTTGAATTTGTTAACGTAAAACGACGACAGACATGATTATAGTACTGCATAGGAAAAACTAGTACGTGTAGTGCATTATTTTCTTTTAATATCTGCATAAATAATAGTTTTTATTTCGGCTGGACAGGTCGTGAAGGATTTACTTGATAACCAGGATTAAAATAGATGGTAAATAATAATTTAATGTAGAATTAGGACAGGATTTAAGGTCAGATTGATTTGTGGTATCAGGTTAGATTTTAGGATTTAATCAATACTTTTTTAAATAACTGTCCCTTAACAAGGCAAATTGTTTCAAGGCGTGAAAACCATCAACTATATCAAAGAATAGTTTTCTTAGATGATAAGAACTCAAATTCCGTTTGTCAAGCATAAGAAAAATTCTAATTCTAGTCGGTTAGTGAATTTTCACGAAAACATTTCTATCATGTTTTAGGTACGTGCATAGGCGGCCCACAACTACGGTTTTATTATTGATGAATAAAGAATTTGTCGCACATTCATCGATCGATCTCGCGCGTCAATCTCGCGCGACGTTCGTGTGACGTTCAGTCTTATCGGTTTATTAATTACGAGATCGATCGATCGATGCGACACAAATTCTTTATTCATTAATAATAAAACCGTAGTTGTGGGCCGTCTATGATCTTCGTCTCAACATCCGCAAGACAATAGGAAGAAATTTTTTCATACCACTAATCAAATAGACGGTCAAAAAACTGTGATAACTTTACACGTCCTACGCTAACTTTCGGACTGCGATTGTGCTTGACAATGCCCCAGTCTCAGATTTCACAGACGTCAAGAAAAAAAGGGAAAAAACAAGACTTGATTTCCACGCATAACATTTTGTAATACGTTCTCACCCTACGCAAATACTAACGATATTCTTCGCCATGCAACAAATATAAAATGGTACAAAAAATAAATATTCTCATTTTTTATATAAGATGGAGCAACCCCCTCCTTACTCCAATCAAAAAGAAAACCCAGCCCCCCATCCTCCTCAACAACAGGAACCTCTTCTGGGTGAACACACTGAAAAACACCCACCTCAAGGTTATCCCCCTCAAGGTTACCCACCTCAAAGTTATCCCCCTCAAGGCTATCCAGCTCAAGGTTACCCTCCTCAAGGTTATCCACTTCAACAACTAGCAGGGATGACGCAAGAACAGCAGAATACAACAGTTCTAGTGCAAGTAAGTAGAAACAAGAATCATGAAAACTGACTTATAAACTTACTTCACCGACGAAGAGCAATCCATTCTGAGAATTTTCAATTTGATATTTCTAGAAACAACCTCAGACTGCAACAGTAGTAAAAACACTTCCAATCCTCAATGACTACATGGGACTGTCCGTTTTTGCATGTCTGTTTTGCTGTTGGCCAGTTGGTATTTTTGCCATCATCAAGTCAAGAGAAGTACATGTTTCTATACAAACATAACATTTACATTCAATAAGCAATACGATTGAAACGCTAAGCTCAAGGGTGAGGGTTCATTTACGAAATCGTACAAAATGTTACTTTTGACATTTGCTTTATAAAGTCTAATGAATTATAACATGAAATGTGTGTTTTCACTGCACGAGAAACTTTATTTTCATAAAGTGAAAAGTTCTTCCTCTAATATATTACTTTTGAGCTGAATCGATGACGTAATAATGGCATTCTATGGAAGTTAAAGTTTTCACGTTGTAGGATGCACACATTTAAAAAGAAATTCACGGAGTAATATGATCAAAGTTTTCACGTCGTAGGATGCACACATTTAAAAAGAAATTCACGGAATAATATGATCAAAGTTTTCACCCTCGTAGGATGCACACATTTAAAAAGAAATTCACGGAATAATATGAATTCGCACAAATTATTTTCTTATGTGAAGTCAATCCTCATTATGGTTATTGTAAACAATGCAACTTTACATATAACTCACTTCAATGTACTCTTAAAGATAGTTTTCCTTTTTCACCTTTAGTCAAGAAATCATTATAATGCTGGTTACTATGATGAAGCCATGAGGTCATCAATAACCGCAAGAAATCTGGCTGTCATAGCTATAATCTGTGGAATAATACTTGTTCCTTTCATGATAGTTCTGAGAGTCGCAGTTATCAAAGAATGAAGTAGTTAATGATTTATATACACAATTGTCAACTTGGATGATCATAAGAACGTTTTTATTGTGTTCAGAAGTACTTTGTGCAATAACTTTAGGGTAAAAAAACTATTTAATCATTGACGTATCTAGGGTAGGTCAAAATACATTTATAAAAGCTCATTTTAAATACAAAAGACTTTTTAAATGCCCGTTCACATGATCCGATTTGTCTGATCCCAAAAAAACGGATCGTGTGAACATGTTTAAAGTGAGCAGCCGAAAGTCGGATCCGTCAGTCTCAAAAATCGGATGGAAATAGAAGTTGCTCTATTTTCATCAGACAACATCAAAAGAAGTCGACTAAGCTAAAGCTTTTTACTCTTTACACTTCCCAAATTTGAGCTAACGCGAGAAATTAGATTTGAAAAAGACTTGAAAACAAGTATAAAAATAAGCAAATGTATCGATAAATGTACTGGATAACACAAATTGCTGCTTTCAAGACAAATATCTGAACGAATATAAATGTCAACTAAACCATTGGATCGTCTGAACAAGCAACCAAAAGTTGGAACCGAAACGGTCGGATCCGAAATAGTTAATATTAAAATACTCACAATAGTATTCGCTCGAAAGTATTTTAAAATGAAAATATATTTTCAGTAATGTATTCTGACCGCCACTGGATCCGCTACAGGATGCCTGAGTTCATGTTAAAAAATGACTCTGTTGTAAATGGTGTCACGTGTTGACTTGTCAAGGAAAACCTTGCACATTCGCTGGTACTTTCGAAACGAGAAAGCACGTTTTTTGCACGTGATATTCGCATGGCAGATCAGTTACTCGAGGAATTTGGTACTCCTAATAAGCATATCAATATTTGGTTGAGAAAACGTCATGTCTAAGATTTCACACGACTATACGGAGACAATAAACAAAATTTGCCTCTCTCATTAAATGAACCAAAAGTCATCGACAAATCGTGGTCATAAGTAAGTGCATTTTTAAAAACAAGGTAAGCGTCAACCCTACGTATACTTTTCATTATATATATATATATATTTTATAAGTTTGAAAATTTGTTATCCAGGCATTTAATACACAAAAGATAAAAAGTTTCTCCGGATTTTAAGAGATTTTTTTTGAGCTTTCGACTCGTTGCTTCGAGCCTTCGTCAGAATGAGGATATTTATTTACACGTGCTTTTTAGCTTGGAGACGTTTAGAGCGTCTAATTGGATTAGTGGTTGGATCAATGTGATTGGATGGGGTGAAATGCGTTGCCATGGGTTTTGGTGCATTGTGAATATGATTGGTGTTAATAATATAAGAGTGTAGTGTTTTAGTTTTGGTGTTGTTTGTAGTTTTTTTGTCCTTTTTCTTTAGTTGTGAGTATATGATGGGTATGTCGATATGTCTGTTTTTTGTGTCGTTGTCTTCACTGTACCAAGCTTCTTTAAATTCGCGTGCGTGTTTAAAACGACTTGAACTCAAGCTGGGAAAAGCAAAACTCGACATGGATTTTCTTACGACATGCAGAAAGCGCTCTGTGATACCAAGATTCCTGTGGTTCAAAGTAGCTAGTCGTCGCTTACTTAACTCTAGCGCTTATCGCCAATGCTAAAAAATTTCAATTGTATTGTTTGCTATTCAACCACGCACTGCCTTTTACGAAGACAAGTTCAAAGCCGAAGAAAGTTGAATTCGTTGAAAAAAATTGTGATTTAAACATTACTGAGTCCTATACAACGACGTTCTGTTTGTTGATTTAAAGGTAATTTATAATTTAAAATAGACGACAAACTTCTTCATAGCAAACATGTTTCGGCATACTTTATGCCATTGCGCTCTCACGAAATTATAATTTATCAATGCTTTGAAATTAGTCCTTTTAAGTATGAAAGTTGTGTAAGTTGTCATGTTGATTTTTGACATATATATTTTAATTGTAAACGAAGAATGAAAGTTTTCGTTGAATTTGTTAACGTAAAACGACGACAGACATGATTATAGTATTGCATAGGAAAAAATAGTACGTGTAGTACATTATTTTCTTTTAATATCTGCATAAATAATAGTTTTTAATTCGGCTGGACAGGTCGTGAAGGATTTACTTGATAACCAGGATTAAAATAGATGGTAAATAATAATTTAATGTAGAATTAGGACAGGATTTAAGGTCAGATTGATTTGTGGTATCAGGTTAGATTTTAGGATTTAATCAATACTTTTTTAAATAACTGTCCTTAACAAGGCAAATTGTTTCAATGCGTGAAGAAAACCATCAACTATATTAAAGAATAGTTTTCTTAGATGATAAGAACTCAAATTCCGTTTGTCAAGCATAAGAAAAATTCTAATTCTAGTCGGTTAGTGAATTTTCACGAAAACATTTCTATCATGTTTTAGGTACGTGCATAGGCGGCCCACAACTACGGTTTTATTATTGATGAATAAAGAATTTGTCTCACATTCATCGATCGATCTCGCGCGTCAATCTCGCGCGACGTTCGTGTGACGTTCAGTCTTATCGGTTTATTAATTACGAGATCGATCGATCGATGCGACACAAATTCTTTATTCATTAATAATAAAACCGTAGTTGTGGGCCGCCTATAATCTTCGTCTCAACATCCGCAAGACAATAGGCAGAAATTTTTTCATACCACTAATCAAATAGACGGTCAAAAAACTGTGATAACTTTACACGTCCTACGCTAACTTTCGGACTGCGATTGTGCTTGACAATGCCCCTGTCTCAGATTTCTCAGACGTCAAGAAAAAAAGGGAAAAAACAAGACTTGATTTCCACGCATAACATTGTGTAATACGTTCTCACCCTACGCAAAAACTAACGATATTCTTCGTCATGCAACAAATATAAAATGGTACAAAAAATAAATATTCTCATTTTTTATATAAGATGGAGCAACCCCCTCCTTACTCCAATCAAAAAGAAAACCCAGCCCCCCATCCTCCTCAACAACAGGAACCTCTTCTGGGTGAACACACTGAAAAACACCCACCTCAAGGTTATCCCCCTCAAGGTTACCCACCTCAAGGTTATCCACCTCAAGGTTATCCACCTCAAGGTTATCCACCTCAAGGTTATCCACTTCAGAAACTAGCAGGGATGACGCAAGAACAGCAGAATAAAAAAGTTCTAGTGCAAGTAAGTAGAAACAAGAATCATAAAAACTGACTTATTAACTTACTTAACTGACGACGAGCAATCCATTCTGAGAATTTCCAATTTGATATTTCTAGAAACAACCTCAGCCTGTAGCAGTAACAACAATGATTCCAGTTGTCAATGATCACATGGGACTGTCCATTTTGCATGTCGTTGTTGCTGTTGGCCAATTGGTATTTTGCCATCATGAAGTCAAAAGAGGTACATGTTTCTATAAAACATAATATTTACATTCAATAAGCAATACGATTGAAACGCTAAGCTCAAAGGTGAGGGTTCATTTACGAAATCGTACAAAATGTTACTTTTGACATTTGCTTTATAAAGTCTAATGAATTAGAACATGAAATGTGTGTTTTCACTGCACGAGAAACTTTATTGTCATAAAGTGAAAAGTTCTTCCTCTAATATATTACTTTTGAGCTGAATCGATGACGTAACAATGGCGTTCTATGGAAGTTAAAGTTTTCACGTTGTAGGATGCACACATTTAAAAAGAAATTCACAGAGTAATAAGAATTCGCACAAATGATTTTCTTATGTGAAGTCAATCCTCATTATGGTTATTGTGAACAATGCAACTTTACATATAACTCACTTCAATGTACTCTAAAAGATAGTTTTCCTTTTTCGCCTTTAGTCAAGAAATCATTACAATGCTGGTAACTATGATGAAGCCATGAGGTCAGCAAAAACCGCAAGAAATCTGGCTGTCATAGCTATAATCTGTGGAATAATACTTTTCTGTGGACTAATAATTGTTCCTCTCATATTTCTGAGAGTCGCAGTTATGAAGTAGTTAATGATTTATATACACATTTGTCAACTTGGATGATCATAAGAACGTTTTTATTGTGTTCAGAAGTACTTTGTGCAATAACTTTAGGGTAAAAAAAATATTTAATCATTGACGTATCTAGGGTAGGTCAAAATACATTTATAAAAGCTCATTTTAAATACAAAAGACTTTTTAAATGCCCTTTCACACCATCCGATATTGTAGGATCCCAAAAAAACGGATCGTGTGAACATGTTTAAAGTGAGCACCCGACAGTCGGATCCTTCAATCTCAAAAATCGGATGGAAGTAGAAGTTGCTCTTTTTTCATCCGACAACATCAAAAGAAGTCGACTAGGCTAAAGCTTTTTACTCTTTACACTTCCCAAATTTGAGCTAACGCGAGAAATTAGATTTGAAAAAGACTTGAAAACAAGTATAAAAATAAGCAAATGTATCGATAAATGTACTGGATAACACAAATTGCTGCTTTCAAGACAATAAATATCTGAACGAATATAAATGTCAACAAAACCATTGGATCGTCTGAACAACCAACCAAAAGTTGGAACCGAAACGGTCGGATCCGAAATAGTTAATACTAAAATACTCACAATAGTATTCGCTCGAAAGTATTTTAAAATGAAAATATATTTTCAGTAATGTATTCTGACCGCCACTGGATCCGCTACAGGATGCCTGAGTTCATGTTAAAAAATGACTCTGTTGTAAATGGTGTCACGTGTTGACTTGTCAAGGAAAACCTTGCACATTCCCTAGTACTTTCGAAACGAGAAAGCACGTTTTTTGCACGTGATATTCACATGGTAGATCAGATACTCGAGAAAATTGGTACTCCTAATAAGGACATCAATATTTGGTTGAGAAAACGTCATGACTAAGATTTCACACGACTACACGGAGAGACAATAAACAAAATTTGCCTCTCTCATTAAACGAACCAAAAGTCATCTACACATCGTGGTCATAAGTAAGTGCATTTTTAAAAACAAGGTAAGCGTCAACCCTACGTATACTTTTCATTATATATATATATAACAACGAAATGTGCGAAGGACATGTGCAAACACTTCTCGCAGGCGGAAATTAATTTTATACGATTTTAAATCGTTTTAGATATATTTAAACTAAGTTTAAATTCGAACAATCGTCAATATTTTGGTCTTCATTTGCCGGAATGATTTATAACACGAGATACTTGTCGTTATTGTTGGTATTATATGATGGTATTGGTATGATTGCTCTTGAAATTTATCTTTCAACCACTTGAGAAAGTCAAGTTCATTATCTAAGACCCCGTCCACACGTATGCGGATTCCTTTGAATCCGTAAAATTTTTTTTCCGGATACAAAAATATCTCCGTCCACACGTTGAGACTACATGGTATTCGTATTGATTTCGCCCGTCCACATGTATTCGGATTCATTCCGGAAATCTTGCAATATTTGTTACTGAGCATGCGCTACGCCTGTTTGCGCTCGCGGGAATTCCCTTTCTTATTATTCTCGATTTGAAACTGTTGAAACATGTCATATTCGGGTAGAAAAGCCATAAAAAACAAGGGCAGCAAATCTGAATCATTTATATGGAGCGACGATGAAGTCGAGTTGTTATTGAAGGTGACAATTGAATACAAAGCCGCAAAATCCATGGAGAACACTGACTGGGAGTCTTGCCAGAGTAAATATGGCGATATTCTAGATCGCTTTGTAAAACAATATCCAACCCCAGAAAATGCTGCCGCAATCCAGAAAGATTTCCGCATACTGAGGAACAGATTTTCAGGGAATTCTCGCTTCAAAACTTAAAATGATTCGCAAGAAATACCGACAGGCCGTGGACTCTGGCCGAAAGAGTGGGCATGGCCGTGTTATTGTATTTTGAACTGTGCGAGGATATATGGGGTGGATCTCCTGCAACGAATAAGATTACAGAAGGAATTGAGACCACTGAAATCGTAGAGTTGAACGATGAAGACAACCTCGAATCGACGAATGACAGCATTGGCAGTTCTACAGACAGCCCATGTGCAGAGCATGAGAGTGATGGTGATCCAAAGACGCCAGTGGAAAACGCCTTATCACCAAGCATTGCAAAGCCCAAGACAATCAAGGAAAGAAGAGAGCTGCTTGATTCCAAGTTACGAGGTTACAAAGGAGAAAAACTAAAAAGGAAGCTTCCTGTAGACTCACAGCTCTTAACCATATCACAAGAAGAACTTGAAATAAAAAAAAAACTTTTTGATAGAATGGAATCTATGGATGCAACCTACTCTAGTCACATGGAAAAACTCTCATCAAACATGGAAAAGCTTACATCATCTATATCAGATGGATTTGCTATGCTACGAAATATTATGGGTCTACCATCAGTTGCCATTGAACCTCAGTACATGCCGCCACCTCCTCCCCAAGCGAACTACATCTTCCACAACACTTCACAGTTTAGGACCCCAGCTAGTACATCAAATGCTGGACAACTTTCATACCCCCAAACAATGTACCCCTCTGAAAAAAACATGTTTTAGTTAATTGTAATACTGACATTTAATTTCCCTTTTTTTTAAAGCATTTATAGTTATTTAAGTTATTTACATGAAGGTTGAAAAGTATTAAATTTGCATGCACAAAGATTTTCATCATCATTTGGAAGAATTTGTTGCTCTTTCTATTGTATTTCCAAAGATTATAACTTATATGAGAGTACTTAGTTTTGGTCACAGTAAAAGCATTAAAAATCTAATAAATATTAAAAAATTGACATTGCTTTTTTATTAGATTTCTTTTTGAAAAATCTCAACTCTTTTTAGACTTACACTTCATCAATATAAAGGAAAAAGACTTAGTTAAGTTTTAGTAAAAGATTTAAAAGGGTCAGCAGGATGCTTATGAATATTTAAGATTGATAAACATTCAGTATTCATTAATATTTTCTTAGTTTCAGCCATGCTCATAGAGAAGCCATTTTTATGTTGATTAAATGGATGCAGAAAAAGGCAAGGAAAACATTAATTAGAAAGTGTCATTTACCATCATTTTCTTAGTTAAAGTCCATGGTATGTAATCATTTCAGGGATATTTCATGGATCAAAAAAGTTGGTGAGTATTCTCCTTACTTTTTTCCCTTCAGCTTCATTGCAGTCGGTTCTGTAACTATTAGTTGCTGCTTCCGGCTGGAAGTGTTTATCATAATCTATGGCTGATGAAACTTTGTCCTCTCCAATTGTCTCATTGTGCAGCTCACAGAAATTATGCAAGACAAAGCAGGCATAAATAACACAAGCAACATCATTAATATTTATGTCCATGGCCCTTCTTAAAGCCCCAAACCTTGCTTTCAAGTGCCCAAAGGAACATTCAATGACCATTCTAGATTGACAAAGAATCAATCCAAAATATTGCTCTTGCACTGTAGCACCTCCATTGGAGTATTCTTTCATAAGATAGGGCATGAGAGGATATGCTGGGTCTCCGAGTAAGAACACTCCAACAGCATCAATGGTATCTGGCATTATATGAGCCTTGCAATATGGTATTTTCCCACTCTTTAAGAAATCATTTAACTTTGAGTTGGAAAATACTCTTGCATCGTGTATACTCTCTGGCCATTTTACAACTACATCCAAAAAATAGTATTTATAGTCACAAACTGCTTGCACATTCAAGGTATGTCGCCCTTTCCTATTGACATAATCAGTGGAATTGACATTTGGCTGTTTGATTTCGATATGAGTTCCATCAATAGCTCCAATGCATTGAGGGAAACCATGTGCTCGGTTAAAGTTTTTCACGAGACATTTTACTTCGGATTCTGTAAAGGAAGCTTGATATACCGAGGACCAAGGTGAAAAGTAATGGCTTTGCATACTTTACGGATGATGTTAGACACAACTTGACGTGGCAACCCAAAAGCATTTGCCGTTTTCGAATTCGACCTTCGTCGCTCAAGTAGTAAAGTGTCACTGCTACTTGTTTTACTACATCTACTGGAGCACGCATGACTGTTGTCTTGCCTTCGATAAAAGGTCGTAGCTCATTAGCTAATTCATATAGGGAGCCTCTGCTCATACGGAAATTTTCTCGCTTTCCTCTGCAATCACGATCTGATTGACAAAATTATCCCACCAGGCACTGGTTCGTCCAGGTCTAACCCAAAATCGTCGAGGACGGTGTTGTTTTCCTGCTCGTTTAAGTTGTTTCTACCGGACGTTTTGCCCAGTAGATAACGAACAAAATAGCTTGAAAATATCAAGCCGCCTTCTGGCATAACTATTGCTGCCACGCATCAGCGATTTGTGTCGTTCTGTCTGTTAACATTTCCGGGGGGGATTTTTACGGAATGAGGGGGGAAAAACAATCACAATTCGGAACTCCTGTCAGTTTCTCTTTGATTTTAAATGTCTGGAATCCGAATAGATATGCGGCCTAAACAACGTTATACAGTAGATACCAAAATCGAGTGATTACCGACATCAATTACACATATCTCGTTTGGCGAAAAACACATGAAATCGATTCACCGTGCCGTATTTAGCCAGCTCGGTTCACATTTTTTATCTTGCGCTCTATGGTCAGACGGTGAGCAAAATATAGTGTAAGCATGTATTTATTTTCGTTAGAGCTTTTACTATTACTTGAAATATCGGTGTGGATTTAACAAAACGTCAAAAATAATTTAAACGCATGGTGCGAGTTCAACCATGAAATATGAATATGATGAAACGTTTGCTCTTTCCGATAACTATACATGATTTTATCGCAGTCGCACAGAATCATCGGAAAAAAGGTTCTATCAAAATGTTATAAAGGAAATAATGGAAACAAAACTACAGTTTTATAATATTGTCCGTTTCTACGTTTGTAAACATGCGGACGATTGTTCGGTTGAGTAAACAACGTATCATACTTTTAATCAAAAAGCATTTTAAAAACTCAAAAGAATCAAAACAATGAAGACATTTAAAAGAATCAAAAAAATGTTTTCATTCAAAATGGCAAGGAATTTATCTTTTAATTTTATGATGAAAACGTATGACTGACGAGAATCGATTGAGCATTGAAGCACTCACCTCCATATAAGGTGAACTGTGCGTCGTTTGTGCATGCCGATTGGATAGAAATTGGAATGCTATGATTAAACGATGTGACTAAAACACCACACGAGTACATACGTACATACGAGTGACATACGAGTACATACGAGTAACATACAAGTACTTACGAGTAACATACGAGTACATACGAGTGACATACGACTATTTTCTGGTCAACAAATGAGAAACAACACAATTTCTTCAATACATTGATATTTGCGTTTATTTTTCCTTGTATTTGTGTGGACTTTGGGGCAACCATTTGATGGATTTAAATGCTGAAAAGGTATTTTACTTTTATACTACATTCATTTGTATGTTTTAGTTGAATTTGTTATAGATATTTTGTCGATGCGATTTGCCAGTATTTGAGCGCTTTTTGAAACACTTTCACCTAGGAAATACATATTTATGAAAGCGATTAAATAAACAACGTATAAATAATGCTTTCAAAACGTGCTACATGAAATAAATTTACATTATATATATTTGAATTAAATGAGAGTTGCACTGTTACGTATAGTCCTGAGACGGACTGTTTTGTTGTTGTTGACTGACGTTTCGACAACCTTAGCGGTAGTCATCTTCAGAGTCAAAATGAATGTATAATCGCTTTCATAAATATGTATTTCCTAGGTGAAAGGGCTTCAAAAGCGCTCAAATACTGGCAAATCGCATCGACAAAATATCTATAACAAATTCAACTAAAAAATACAAATGAATGTAGTATGAAAGTAAAATACCTTTTCAGCATTTAAATCCATCAAATGGTTGCCCCAAAGTCCACACAAATACAAGGAAAAATAAACGCAAATATCAATGTATTGAAGAAATTGTGTTGTTTCTCATTTGTTGACCAGAAAATAGTCGTATGTCACTCGTATGTACTCTTATGTTACTCGTATGTACTTGTATGTTTCTCGTATGTACTTGTATGTTACTCGTATGTACTCGTATCGTATGTACTCGTGTGTTACTCGTATGTACTCGTATGTACTCGTGTGGTGTTTTAGTCACGATCATGATTAAACATGGCGAGTAAACCATGCATCATATTGTATTGGTTGTATTGCAAAAAATTGATTTGCGCTAGACTCAGGTTACAATTATCTCTCAGGTTACAATTAATAAGGCGAATGAGCTTCACAAAAAGCAGTCTAAAAGAAAGTGACACAAATCAAACAAGAAATCATGCCGTGTTTTTATTTCAACCTAAAGAACAAAATCAGAATTGTGAATTGTCTTAAAATATTTAAGCAAACAAAACTTTAAGCTTTTGACAAATATGAAACATTTTCAATAGGAACCATATGTCTTTTCAAAGTTAAAAAACTTTTCAAGGTTAAAATCTGTTCAAATGTCCACAATGTTTACATCAACCATGTGGCTTTTTACAGAATCATATTTTACAAAATCAAATTTAAGCTCCGGTTAACATGATTTAATTGTTATTGGCCGAGTTCTAAATGACAATATGCAAATTTTGTAAAATGAGCTTTGAAAACTGTTCATCCAATTATCCCATTTTGAAATTAGCATAATTATACATACATACAGTGTTACTTCTTGCATCTACTTCTATAAATTGATTTATATGACAATTTGAAAATAAAAGATGACACAATTAGCTTGTCTTTATGCAATGACAAAGTATACGAGTTGTTGCGGTTTCTTGCTGTATTTTTATTTTTACCATTCATTATTGTATTGTTTATGGCAGATGATAAATGATGGAAAACACGCAATAGCAGTTTCCAAACTGTTTTACCTTACTTGGTGGAGGGGCAGCACTTCCCTTGCGATAGTAACTCCTAGTTTTAGCGTTTAGTAAAGCGACATTCAGCTCCATACATGCTAAAATAGAGGAAATAAGCCAAATGATCACAGAAGTTATTTGCCTTCGATCGTCCGTCATGTTTAAATTTTTGCGGTGAACACTGGCGCCAATTTTTTGACGTCATCGTATTAGAAAATATCCGGATTCGACCGTCCACACGTATCTGAAATGTTATCGGATTCAAAAATTTCCACTCTGGAGAGCGGATTCAAAAATATCCGGATTTGCATGCGAATTCGACGTGTGCGTGTGGACGATAGCTGTATCCGAAAAGAAAAATTTTCGGATTCAAATATATCCGCATACGTGTGGACGGGGCCTAAAGCAATACACTTATTAAGTGTTAAACATATGTTATATATAAAACCCTCTGTTACTCTGCGTCACACAAACAATGTCTTTCTGCGTCACACAATAGCTAAGCTCTGCTGCTGTTTCAGCTCGTTCAACTCATATATAAATGATGGCGCTTAACTACTTCATCCATAGTTAAGGCTAGTACTTCTCAATCCGAGAACAACTGTAACAAAATTCACAAATTATGATGAAGAATCTGGGTTTTTATGTGATATAGCCACAAATAAAAAGTTCGGTTGATGTGTTCAAACATATTCGAGTGGTGACAGTCAATTATTTTATAATGATTATTTCCTTGCTACGGAAATAGCGGACGCGCATTTCTAGCATTCTCTAGGCAAGAGGTGTTCCTTTTGTTTACATCCTCATCCCGTCATAAAATCAAAACGCTGAACTGATTTTGTTTTCTCAAGAGAAAGCAACGAACAAAAAATATTATTTTATCAATAGTTAAAATAAAGCGATGAATATATTCAATACACTGTCCCTCGAAAGACCTTTTTTTCTCAAGTGTTGCATTATCAGAACGTGCTTTACGTCATCATTCTCCATGTAATACGTCACTGGAACTTCCGGGATGTCACAAATAGATAGGCATTTCCAGAGCCATAGAAATAGACCAAAAAAAGACAAATTGTTTCCCGTTTATTTCTTCTTGAAGGAGTTTATTTTGGCATTGGCAATAAGCGCTAGAGTTTTGTAAGCGACGACTAGCTACTTTGAACCACAGGAATCTTGGTATCACAGAGCGCTTTCTGCATGTCGTAAGAAAATCCAAGTCGAGTTTTGCTTTTCCTAGCTTGAGTTCAAGTCGTTGGAATTTTCTAAATGCTTCGAGTGCTCCATTATTATAGCGATGATTTAAAATAGTAGCGAGAGACTTGCCGAGCGGAAATCGAATTCGTGTGATAAAAATTAATGCCCAACATAAAGTTCTGATTAGAGTCATAGAAATAGACCAAAAAAAGACAAATTGTTTCCCGTTTATTTCTTCTTGAAGGAGTTTATTTTGGCATTGGCGATGAGCGCTAGAGTTTTGTAAGCAACGACTAGCTACTTTGAACCACAGGAATCTTGGTATCACAGAGCGCTTTCTGCATGTCGTAAGAAAATCCAAGTCGAGTTTTGCTTTTCCTAGCTTGAGTTCAAGTCGTGGAATTTTCTAAATGCTTCGAGTGCTCCATTATTATAGCGATGATTTAAAATAGTAGCGAGAGACTTGCCGAGCGGAAATCGAATTCGTGTGATAAAAATTAATGCCCAACATAAAGTTCTGATTAGAGCCATAGAAATAGACCAAAAAAAGACAAATTGTTTCCCGTTTATTTCTTCTTGAAGGAGTTTATTTTGGAATTGGCGATAAGCGCTAGAGTTTTGTAAGCGACGACTAGCTACGACAATAGGAATCTTGGTATCACAGAGCGCTTTCTGCATGTCGTAAGAAAATCCAAGTCGAAATTTAGAACATTCCAACGACTTGAACTCAAGCTGGGAAAAGCAAAACTCGACATGGATTTTCTTACGACATGCAGAAAGCGCTCTGTGATACCAAGATTCCTGTGGTTCAAAGTAGCTAGTCGTCGCTTACTTAACTCTAGCGCTTATCGCCAATGCTAAAAAATTTCAATTGTATTGTTTGCTATTCAACCACGCACTGCCTCTTACGAAGACAAGTTCAAAGCCGAAGAAAGTTGAATTCGTTGAAAAACATTGTGATTTAAACATTACTGAGTCCTATACAACGACGTTCTGTTTGTTGATTTAAAGGTAATTTATAATTTAAAATAGACGACAAATTTCTTCATAGCAAACATGTTTCGGCATACTTTATACCATTGCGCTCTCACGAAATTTTAATTTATCATTGCTTTGAAATTAGTCCTTTTAAGTATGAAGGTTGTGCAAGTTGACATGTTGATTTTTGACATATATATTTTAATTGTAAACGAAGAATGAAAGTTTTCGTTGAATTTGTTAACGTAAACCGACGACAGACATGATTATAGTACTGCATAGGAAAAAATAGTACGTGTAGTACATTATTTTCTTTTAATATCTGCATAAATAATAGTTTTTATTTCGGCTGGACAGGTCGTGAAGGATTTACTTGATAACCAGGATTAAAATAGATGGTCAATAATGTAATGTAGAATTAGGACAGGATTTAAGGTCAGATTGATTTGTGGTATCAGGTTAGATTTTAGGATTTAATCAATACTTTTTTAAATAACTGTCCCTTAACAAGGCAAATTGTTTCAAGGCGTGAAGAAAACCATCAACTATATCAAAGAATAGTTTTCTTAGAGGATAAGAACTCAAATTCCGTTTGTCAAGCATAATAAAAATTCTAATTCTAGTCGGTCGGTGAATTTTCACGAAAACATTTCTATCATGTTTTAAGTACGTGCATAGGCGGCCCACAACTACGGTTTTATTATTGATGAATAAAGAATTTGTCTCACATTCATCGATCGATCTCGCGCGTCAATCTCGCGCGACGTTCGTGTGACGTTCAGTCTTATCGGTTTATTAATTACGAGATCGATCGATCGATGCGAGACAAATTCTTTATTCATTAATAATAAAACCGTAGTTGTGGGCCGCCTATGATCTTCGTCTCAACATCCGCAAGACAATAGGTAGAAATTTTTTCATACGTTCTCACCCTACGCAAAAACTAACGATATTCTTCGTCATGCAACAAATATAAAATGGTACAAAAAAATAAATATTCTCATTTTTTATATCAGATGGAGCAACCCCTTCCTTACTCCAATGAAAAAGAGAACGCAGCCCCCTATCTCCCTCAACAACAGGAACCTCTTCTGGGTGAACACACTGAAAAATACCCACCTCAAGGTTATCCCCCTCAAGGCTACCCCCCTCAAGGTTATCCCCCTCAAGGCTATCCAGCTCAAGGTTACCCTCCTCAAGGTTATCCACCTCAAGGTTACCCTCCTCAAGGTTATCCACCTCAAGGTTACCCTCCTCAAGGTTATCCACCTCAAGGTTATCCACCTCAAGGTTATCCACTTCAGCAACTCGCAGGGATGACGCAAGAACAGCAGAATACAACAGTTCTAGTGCAAGTAAGTAGAAACAAGAATCATGAAAACTGACTTATTAACTTACTTAACTGACGACGAGCAATCCATTCTGAGAATTTTCAATTTGATATTTCTAGAAACAACCTCAGCCTGTAGCAGTAACAACAATGATTCCAGTTGTCAATGATCACATGGGACTGTCCATTTTTGCATGTCGTTGTTGCTGTTGGCCAATTGGTATTTTGCCATCATGAAGTCAAAAGAGGTACATGTTTCTATAAAACATAATATATACATTCAATAAGCAATACGATTGAAACGCTAAGCTCAAAGGTGAGGGTTCATTTACGAAATCGTACAAAATGTTACTTTTGACATTTGCTTTATAAAGTCTAATGAATTAGAACATGAAATGTGTGTTTTCACTGCACGAGAAACTTTATTGTCATAAAGTGAAAAGTTCTTCCTCTAATATATTACTTTTGAGCTGAATCGATGACGTAACAATGGCGTTCTATGGAAGTTAAAGTTTTCACGTTGTAGGATGCACACATTTAAAAAGAAATTCACAGAGTAATAAGAATTCGCACAAATGATTTTCTTATGTGAAGTCAATCCTCATTATGTTTATTGTGAACAATGCAACTTTACATATAACTCACTTCAATGTACTCTAAAAGATAGTTTTCCTTTTTCGCCTTTAGTCAAGAAATCATTACAATGCTGGTAACTATGATGAAGCCATGAGGTCAGCAAAAACCGCAAGAAATCTGGCTGTCATAGCTATAATCTGTGGAATAATACTTTTCTGTGGACTAATAATTGTTCCTCTCATATATCTGAGAGTCGCAGTTATGAAGTAGTTAATGATTTATATACACATTTGTCAACTTGGATGATCATAAGAACGTTTTTATTGTGTTCAGAAGTACTTTGTGCAATAACTTTAGGGTAAAAAAAATATTTAATCATTGACGTATCTAGGGTAGGTCAAAATACATTTATAAAAGCTCATTTTAAATACAAAAGACTTTTTAAATGCCCTTTCACACCATCCGATATTGTAGGATCCCAAAAAAACGGATCGTGTGAACATGTTTAAAGTGAGCAGCCGAAAGTCGGATCCTTCAATCTCAAAAATCGGATGGAAGTAGAACTTGCTCTATTTTCATCCGACAACATCAAAAGAAGTCGACTAGGCTAAAGCTTTTTACTCTTTACACTTCCCAAATTTGAGCTAACGCGAGAAATTAGATTTCAAAAAGACTTGAAAACAAGTATAAAATAAGCAAATGTATCGATAAATGTACTGGATAACACAAATTGCTGCTTTCAAGGCAATAAATATCTGAACGAATATAAATGTCAACAAAACCATTGGATCGTCTGAACAAGCAACCAAAAGTTGGAACCGAAACGGTCGGATCCGAAATAGTTAATACTAAAATACTCACAATAGTATTCGCTCGAAAGTATTTTAAAATGAAAATATATTTTCAGTAATGTATTCTGACCGCCACTGGATCCGCTACAGGATGCCTGAGTTCATGTTAAAAAATGACTCTGTTGTAAATGGTGTCACGTGTTGACTTGTCAAGGAAAACCTTGCACATTCCCAAGTACTTTCGAAACGAGAAAGCATGTTTTTTGTACGTGATATTCACATGGCAGATCACACGACTACACGGAGAGACAATAAACAAAATTTGCCTCTCTCATTAAACGAAACAAAAATCATCTACACATCGTGGTCATAAGTAAGTGCATTTTTAAAAACAAGGTAAGCGTAAACCCTACGTATACTTTTCATTATATATATATATATAACAACGAAATGTGCGAAGGACATGTGCAAACACTTCTCGCAGACGGAAATTAATTTTACACGATTTTAAATCGTTATAGATATATTTAAACTAAGTTTAAATTCGAACAATCGTCAATATTTTGGTCTTCATTTGCCGAATGATTTATAACACGAGATACTTGTCGTTATTGTTGGTATTATATGATGGTATTGGTATGATTGCCCTTAAAATTTATCTTTCAAACACTTGAGAAAGTCAAGTTCATTATCGAAAGCAATGCACTTATTAAGTGTTCAACATATGTTATATAAAACCCTCTGTTACTCTGCGTCACACAAACAATGTCTTTCTGCGTCACACAATAGCTAAGCTCTGCTGCTGTTTCAGCGCGTTCAACTCGTATATAAATGATGGCGCGCTTAACTACTTCATCCATAGTTAAGGCTAGTACTTCTCAATCCGAGAACAACTGTAACAAAATTCACAAATTATGATGAAGAATCTGGTTTTTATGTGATATGGCCACAAATAAAAAGTTCGGTTGATGTGTTCAAACATATCTGAGTGGTGACAGTCAATTCTTTTATAATGATTATTTCCTTGCTACGGAAATAGCGGACGCGCATTTCTAGCATTCTCTAGGCAAGAGGTGTTCCTTTTGTTTACATCCTCATCCCGTCATAAAATCAAAACGCTGATTTTGTTTTCTCAAGAGAAAACTATTATTTTATTTTTTACAAAAAATAATATTTTACAAAAAATATTATTTTATCAATAGTTAAAATAAAGCGATGAATATATTCAATACACTGTCCCTCGAAAGACCTTTTTTTCTCAAGTGTTGCATTCATATCAGAACGTGCTTTACGTCATCCTTCTAGAAATAGACCAAAAAAAGACAAATTGTTTCCCGTTTATTTCTTCTTGAAGGAGTTTATTTTGGCATTGGCGATAAGCGCTAGAGTTTTGTAAGCGACGACTAGCTACTTTGAACCACAGGAATCTTGGTATCACAGAGCGCTTTCTGCATGTCGTAAGAAAATCCAAGTCGAGTTTTGCTTTTCCTAGCTTGAGTTCAAGTCGTTGGAATTTTCTAAATGCTTCGAGTGCTCCATTATTATAGCGATGATTTAAAATAGTAGCGAGAGACTTGCCGAGCGGAAATCGAATTCGTGTGATAAAAATTAATGCCCAACATAAAGTTCTGATTAGAGTCATAGAAATAGACCAAAAAAAGACAAATTGTTTCCCGTTTATTTCTTCTTGAAGGAGTTTATTTTGGCATTGGCGATGAGCGCTAGAGTTTTGTAAGCAACGACTAGCTACTTTGAACCACAGGAATCTTGGTATCACAGAGCGCTTTCTGCATGTCGTAAGAAAATCCAAGTCGAGTTTTGCTTTTCCCAGCTTGAGTTCAAGTCGTTGGAATTTTCTAAATTAATGCCCAACGACTTGAACTCAAGCTGGTAAAAGCAAACCTCGACTTGGATTTTCTTACGACATGCATAAAGCGCTCTGTGATACCAAGATTCCTGTGGTTCAAAGTAGCTAGTCGTCGCTTACAAAACTCTAGCGCTTATCGCCAATGCTAAAAAATTTCAATTGTATTGTTTGCTATTCAACCACGCACTGCCTCTTACGAAGACAAGTTCAAAGCCGAAGAAAGTTGAATTCGTTGAAAAAAATTGTGATTTAAACATTACTGAGTCCTATACAACGACGTTCTGTTTGTTGATTTAAAGGTAATTTATAATTTAAAGTAGACGACAACTTTCTTTATAGAAAACATGTTTCGGCATACTTTATACCATTACGCTCTCAAGAAATTATAATTTATCATTGCTTTGAAATTAGTCCTTTTAAGTATGAAAGTTGTGCAAGTTGACATGTTGAATTTTGACATATATATTTTAATTGTAAACGAAGAATGAAACTTTTCGTTGAATTTGTTAACGTAAAACGACGACAGACATGATTATAGTATTGCATAGGAAAAACTAGTACGTGTAGTACATTATTTTCTTTTAATATCTGCATAAATAATAGTTTTTATTTCGGCTGGACAGGTCGTGAAGGATTTGCTTGATAACCAGGATTAAAATAGATGGTCAATAATAATTTAATGTAGAATTAGGACAGGATTTAAGGTCAGATTGATTTGTGGCATCAGATTAGATTTTAGGATTTAATCAATACTTTTTTAAATACCTTACTTGTATTAAAATTCGCGCAGCGCTGAGTGCGCGAATTTTAGTACTGCGCGAAATATAATCCGCGCGAAAAGCTTTGCAGTGTTATATGAGACATTCATTGTTGGTTATGCAAATCAGTTGTTTTATTAACGCATATACATATTGACATATGTTTTAGTTGTCCTGGTAACATTAAAATCAAAATGTCTTCATTTTCATCCTGTACAATTTCAGTCGGGATATTCTCAGGTTCTACGTAGTATTCCGTCACGAATGCCTGCATTTTGCTGTATATCCTAAAACTTGCATTGTTCTGCATGACTGTTAGGGTAATAGGAATCTCAAGCCTCCTTGTGGTAATGGGGATCGACGAAATTTGATGTCACACACACATGCTTCTATATTGCCCCCATATTCAAAAAAGAACTTGCAAAATCGGGATAGTGAACTCACGCTTTATTTTGAAGCCATTTTTGAGGCCACCCAATCGCTTTTTTGATGAATATTGAGGTATTTCTTAATAATGAAAGCTCAATATAAATGCGTTAATTATTAATAGTTCTTTTGAACAAACCAAAAAGAACGAGCACATAAAACTACTTGCGCGAATTTAAAGCTGCGCGAATAATTGTCAACAAAGTGCGCGAAATTAAATCGCGCGAATTTAAAGCTGAGCGAAAATGAGTACGACTCGAATTTTAATACAAGTAAGGTAACTGTCCCTTAACAAGGCAAATTGTTTCAAGGCGTGAAAACCATCAACTATATCAAAGAATAGCTTTCTTAAAGGATAAGAACTCAAATTCCGTTTGTCAAGCATAATAAAAATTCTAATTCTAGTCGGTCGGTGAATTTTCACGAAAACATTTCTATCATGTTTTAAGTACGTGCATAGGCGGCCCACAACTACGGTTTTATTATTGATGAATAAAGAATTTGTCTCACATTCATCGATCGATCTCGCGCGTCAATCTCGCGCGACGTTCGTGTGACGTTCAGTCTTATCGCTTTATTAATTACGAGATCGATCGATCGATGCGAGACAAATTCTTTATTCATTAATAATAAAACCGTAGTTGTGGGCCGCCTATGATCTTCGTCTCAACATCCGCAAGACAATAGGCAGAAATTTTTTCATACCACTAATCAAATAGACGGTCAAAAAACTGTGATAACTTTACACGTCCTACGCTAACTTTCGGACTGCGATTGTGCTTGACAATGCCCCAGTCTCAGATTTCTCAGACGTCAAGAAAAAAGGGAAAAAAACAAGATTATGATTTCCATGCAGAACATTTTGTAATACGTTCTCACCCTACGAAAAAACTAACGATATTCTTCGTCATGCAACAAATATAAAATGGTACAAAAAAATAAATATTCTCATTTTTTATATCAGATGGAGCAACCCCCTCATTACACCAATGAAAAAGAGAACCCAGCCCCCTATCTCCCTCAACAACAGGAACCTCTTCTGGGTGAACACACTGAAAAATACCCACCTCAAGGTTATCCCCCTCAAGGCTACCCCCCTCAAGGTTATCCCCCTCAAGGTTATCCCCCTCAAGGCTATCCAGCACAAGGTTACCCTCCTCAAGGTTATCCACCTCAAGGTTATCCACTTCAGCAACTAGCAGGGATGACGCAAGAACAGCAGAATAAAACAGTTCTCGTGCAAGTAAGTAGAAACAAGAATCATGAAAACTGACTTATTAACTTACTTCACCGACGAAGAGCAATCCATTCTGAGAATTTTCAATTTGATATTTCTAGAAACAACCTCAGCTTGTAGCAGTAACAATAATGAATCCAATTGTCAATGATCACATGGGACTGTCCATTTTTGCATGTCTTTGTTGTTGCTGGCCAATTGGTATTTTTGCCATCATAAAGTCATCTGAGGTACATGTTTCTCTACAAACATAATATTTACATTCAATAAGCAATACGATTGAAACGCTAAGCTCAAAGGTGAGGGTTCATTTACGAAATCGTACAAAATGTTACTTTTGACATTTGCTTTATAAAGTCTAATGAATTAGAACATGAAATGTGTGTTTTCACTGCACGAGAAACTTTATTTTCATAAAGTGAAAAGTTCTTCCTCTAATATATTACTTTTGAGCTGAATCGATGACGTAACAATGGCGTTCTATGGAAGTTAAAGTTTTCACGTTGTAGGATGCACACATTTAAAAAGAAATTCACGGAGTAATATGAATTCGAACAAATGATTTTCTTATGTGAAGTCAATCCTCATTATGGTTATTGTAAACAATGCAACTTTACATATAACTCACTTTAATGTACTCTAAAAGATAGTTTTCCTTTTTCGCCTTTAGTCAAAAAATCATTACCATGCTGGTAACTATGATGAAGCCAAGAGGTCAGCAAAAACCGCAAGAAATCTGGCTATCATAGCTATAATCTGTGGAATAATACTTGCTCTTCTCATGATAATTCTAAGAGTCGCAACTTTTCAAAGAATGAAGTAGTTAATGATTTATATACACAATTGTCAACTTGGATGATCATAAGAACGTTTTTATTATGTTCAGAAGTACTTTGTGCAATAACTTTAGGGTAAAAAAACTATTTAATCATTGACGTATCTAGGTTAATAATTAAATGAAGATATGATCTTCGCACTTTGCTGGACAATTTAAGCAATCGTCTCAGGAACCTGAAAAAATCAGGTGACTCAACGGGATTCGAACCCATGACCTCTGCGGTGCCGGTGCAGTGCTCTGACCAACTGAGCTATGAAGTCACACAGTGGTGAGCAGGTCAATATTGTTGGGCTCATGTTTTCTCGTGAAAGGAATGTCGTATGAATGTTTTACGCAGTGCGGTGTTTGAAATTAAATGAAGATATGAAGTTCCTGAGACGATTGCTTAAATTGTCCAACAAAGTGCGAAGATCATATCTTCATTTAATTTCAAACACCCCACTGCGTAAAACATTCATTCGTAGCTAGGGTAGGTCAAAATACATTTATAAAAGCTCATTTTAAATACAAAAGACTTTTTAAAGGCCCGTTCACACAATCCGATTTGTCTGATCCAAAAAAAACCGGATCGTGTGAACATGTTTAAAGTGAGCACCCGACAGTCGGATCCTTCAATCACAAAAATCGGATGGAAATAGAACTTGCTCTATTTTCATCAGACAACATCAAAAGAAGTCGACTAGGCTAAAGCTTTTTACTCTTTATACTTCCCAAATTTGAGCTAACGCGAGAAATTGGATTTCAAAAAGACTTGAAAACAAGTATAAAAATACGCAAATATATCGATAAAAGTACTGGATAACACAAATAGCTGCTTTCAAGACAATAAATATCTGAACGAATATAAATGCCAACAAAACCATGGGAGCGTCTGAACAAGCAACCAAAAGTTGGAACCGAAACGGTCGGATCCGAAATAGTTAATACTAAAATACTCACAATAGTATTCGCTCGAAAGTATTTTAAAATGAAAATATATTTTCAGTAATGCATTCTGACCGCCACTGGATCCGCTACAGGATGCCTGAGTTCATGTTAAAAAATGACTCTGTTGTAAATGGTGTCACGTGTTGACTTGTCAAGGAAAACCTTACACATTCCCTAGTACTTTCAAAACGAGAAAGCACGTTTTTTGCACGTGATATTCACATGGAAGATCAGTTACTCGAGGAATTTGGTATTCCTAATAAGGATATCAATATTTGGTTGAAAAAACGTCATGTCTAAGATTTCACACGACTACACGGAGAGACAATAAACAAAATTTGCCTCTCTCATTAAACGAACCAAAAGTCATCGACAAATCGTGGCAAGAATTTGGTGCATTTTTAAAACAAGGTAAGCGTAAAACCTCGTAAAACTTTTACGATAGAACAAGAAAATGTGCAATGGGAACGAGCAAACGTTTGACATGCAAAGGGGGAAATGAATTTTAAACGATTAGAAGTGGTTTAAGACAATGATTAAAGTAACAAGTTTGACATGCAAAGGGGGAAATGAATTTTAAACGATTAGAAGTGGTTTAAGACAATGATTAAAGTAACACGTTTGACATGCAAAGGGGGAAATGTATTTTAAACGATTAGAAGTGGTTTAAGACAATGATTAAAGTAACAAGTTTGACATGCAAAGGGGGAAATGAATTTTAAACGATTAGAAGTGGTTTAAGACAATGATTAAAGTAACAAGTTTGACATGCAAAGGGGGAAATAAATTTTAAACGATTAGAAGTGGTTTAAGACAATGATTATAGTAACAAGTTTGACATGCAAAGGGGAAATAAATTTTAAACGATTAGAAGTGGTTTAAGACAATGATTATAGTAACAAGTTTGACATGCAAAGGGGAAATAAATTTTAAACGATTAGAAGTGGTTTAAGACAATGATTATAGTAACAAGTTTGACATGCAAAGGGGGAAATAAATTTTAAACGATTAGAAGTGGTTTAAGACAATGATTATAGTAACAAGTTTGACATGCAAAGGGGAAAATAAATTTTAAACGATTAGAAGTGGTTTAAGACAATGATTATAGTAACAAGTTTGACATGCAAAGGGGGAAATGTATTTTAAACGATTAGAAGTGGTTTAAGACAATGATTATAGTAACAAGTTTGACATGCAAAGGGGGAAATGTATTTTAAACGATTAGAAGTGGTTTAAGACAATGATTAAAGTAACAAGTTTGACATGCAAAGGGGAAATAAATTTTAAACGATTAGAAGTGGTTTAAGACAATGATTATAGTAACACGTTTGACATGCAAAGGGGGAAATGTATTTTAAACGATTAGAAGTGGTTTAAGACAATGATTAAAGTAAAAAAATAATATAATTCTTCATTGGTTAAAATGATGAATAGGAGCTAAAGTCGTTATTGTTGGTATTTTATGATGGTATTGGTATGATTGCACTTTATATTTGTTTGGTTTAATTACTGTATTTTCCAAGATTGTTTATTGACGGTTTTCTTGGAATGCATAAGCAAACACATTGTGCGTATCAACCATGTCATTTTTAAACATAGTTAAACAAACATATTTTTTAATATCGGTATGCCGTCATCAAAATACGCGATTATCCATTCTGTAACATTTTCTAACCAACTAAGCATGCGCTGTACACCAACTATGGAATCATTAACGCTATTTTTCATATACTAAGATTATAATAAAGAAAAGAAAATTTCTACATTTTTTTACAAAAGATGGAGCAGCCCCCTCCCTACAATTATGGAAGAGAGATACCACCCCCATACGCCCCACAACAACCGGCACCTCAAGGTTACCCCCCTCAACGTTACCCACCTCAAGGTTACCCTCCTCAAGGTTACCCACCCCAAGGTTACCCACCTCAAGGTTATTCATATCAAGGTTACCAACCTCAAGGTTACCCCCAACAAACACCAACAGGGATGATGCAACAACAGCAGAATAACAATACAATAGTTGTTGTGCAAGTAAGTAAAAAGAAGAATTATGAAAAAACTGACTCATTAACCTCATAAAACCTTACATTTGTAACATTCCTCGCTGATAAAGAACAACATGTTGTGTGAATTTTCAATGTGATATTTTTAGAACCAACCTCAGCCTGTAGCAGTAACAGCAATGATTCCAGTAGTCAATGATCACATGGGACTGTCCATTTTTGCACTGTTATGCTGTTGCCCAATTGGTATTTGTGCCATCAGCAAGTCACGTGAGGTATAGATACCTGTTTGTATACAAACACAATATATATATATATATAACGAATAAGCAATATGTTACAACAGTAAGCTCACATAAAGGGCTATTTTTAAATGTTAGTTTTTAGTTTTGACAATATTACACGACGTATCACATGAATTAAACCATAAAAACATTGGCACTCTATGCAAGAGAATCAGACCTCGTTCTCGTTTACTATAAAGAATGCCTTTTACCAATAACTATTTCACTCTTGCAATAACAATCTCGTGGCTCCCCCCAAAAAATTTCCTGTTTTTGAAGTTAAAATTATCTACGAAGAAAAAACTCTTCCTAAGACCAGCTTAAATTGGACTTTTACTTATAAAAATATTCGTGTGATTGTTCATTTAATTTTTCGTGAAGTTCAAATTTTCACATTGCTTCAATAAATGCACACATACGAAAAGAATTTAATGAAAAATAAAATACGAGTCAATGTTCTTAGCTAAGCGTTGGAGACCCTCCATATGATACACGTAGACCATTGGTCGTAATCTATGTAATCACTAATCCGGTTTTCATATGCAAAACATGGGTCGTAATCTATGTTATCACTAATCCGGTTTTGATATGTAAACCATGGGTCGTGATCTATGTAACCACTAATCCGGTTTTATATGTAAGCCATGGGTGGTGATCTGTGTAATCACTAATCCGGCTTTGACATCAATTTTGTCCAAGTGTGATTCAGTGTATCATAACGAGGAAACAGATTCAGTAAAATTATCTTTCCATCACAACTGTATGCATCGAATAAAAACAAACACGTTTTGCAGCTACAACATGTTATGATATCAAGCTTCGTTATCTACTTTAGGCGAGACATTATTACGTTGCTGGTGACAACGCACGTGCCATGGCGTCAGCACAAACCGCAAGAAACCTGGCTTTGATTGCTATGGTCTGTGGAATATCTGGTTTGATAATATTGATAATTTTGATTACTATTTAATAAATGAACTAAATGCATCATGTCTTCTTTGAAGATCTAACCTTTCACGGAAGTTTTATGTAACTCATTATTTATTACAATTTACATTAAAATGAACTTAGGCAAAGGGAACAGACACAATCCATGCGATTATCGTATGAAAATGCTTGACTTACACTTGGCGAGAAAACCACGACCTTTGTTAGGAAATCTTCAGCCATTGATCTGAAAAATATAAAATGTAAATAATAAAGGTATCTTTTGAGCAACTCAGCTGAAAAACATAAAATAAACAAACATTTCATGAAGCTGATCAAATTGACAGCTATAGTACACATGAAAAAAATTTCACACACCCCCCTCCCTATTTTTTTGCTAAATAGCTAAATTAGGGCGTTCGAAATTGACAGGAAGTTGAAACCTTCCTCGTGGACAGTGCTTTCACTTTCAAAATTTTTCCTACGATAAAGGAATTACGTAGAAAATTCGTTCACAAGCTGCATGAATTATGGGAAATTCTATGAAAATTTCGTTGATAGGAGCATCAAGTCATAAACGTTACAAACTGAATGAATAGACGGTACAAACTGAGTATGTCTAACTGTGCACGTGAATAGAAAGCAATCACTTTGTATCACGAAGTACCCTTCAAGTGAGGTTTGTTACACTAGTTTGTTAATTGCTACATAAGGATTGAGAAAATGAAAATTAATCAAAGAATTTTGTATTCCTAATAAGGAATATAAGATACAAACGAACATGTGAATGAGAAAAGGTCGCGTATCACATTTCACACAAGACACAACTTGCACTTGACGACTACCAAGAAAGACAATAAAGAGAGAAACAAGTTGCGTTTCTCATAAAACGAAACAAAAGTCATCTACACATCGTGGTCATAAGTAAGTGCATTTTTAAAAACAAGGTAAGCGTCAACCCTACGTAAACTTTTCATTATATATATATATATAACAACGAAACGTGCGAAGGAAATGAGCAAGCACTTCTCGCAGGCGGAAATTAATTTTATACGATTTTAAATCGTTATAGAAAAGTTTAAACTAAGTTTAAATTTGAACAATCGTCAATATTTTGGTCTTCATTTGCGGAATGATTATAACACGAGTTACTTGTCGTTATTGTTGGTATTATATGATGGTATTGGTATGATTGCTCTTGAAATTTGTTATGCATATAATGGCTGTATTTTCTACGACTGTTTATGTGTGGTATTCCTAGCATAAATTACAACGGTTTTGTGGAAATCATCCTTATTCTTTCAAGCACAACTAAAGAGCAAACGCATTTTTTAGTGTTGGTAGGCCGTTAGTCGCAGACTCAAAAGGAAATTACATAATTCGTAATACTTCCTTACCTGTAACACAAGCGGCATAATGTTCATCTTTGTAATAAGGAAACTTCCGACATTTTTTTTAGATAAGATGGACCAGCCCCCTCCTTACAATAACGAAAACGAGAACCCTGCCCCATATCCCCCCCAACAACAGGCACCTCAAAATAAAGACGTTCACCCATCTCAAGGTTACCCCCCTCAAGGTTACCCACCTCAACATCACCAACCACAAGGTTACCCACCTCAAGGACACCCACCTCAAGGTTACCCACCTCAAGGTCACCCACCTCAAGGTTACCCTCCTCAAGGTTATTCATATCAAGGTTACCAACCTCAAGGTTACCCCCCACCACCACCAACAGGGATGATGCAACAACAGCAGAGTAACAATACAACAGTTGTTGTGGCAGTAAGTAAAAAGTAAAAAGAAGAATCATGAAAAAACTGAGTCATTAACCTCATAAAACCATACATTTATAACATTCCTCGCTGATAAAGAACAACAAGTTATAAGAAAGTTCAATGTGATATTTTTAGAACCAACCTCAGCCTGCAGCAGTAACAACAATGATTCCAGTTGTCAATGATCACATGGGACTGTCCATTTTTGCATGTCTTTGTTGTTGTTGTCCAATTGGTATTTTTGCCATCGCAAAGTCATCTGAGGTACTTTTTTCTATACAAACATAATATTTACATGCAATAAGCAATATGTTGCAATATTAAGCTCAAATAAAGTCAGGGTTTCGTTTACAAAATGTGACTAAAACGTTACTTTTGACTTTTGATAATGTTCTATGATATATCTTGAATCAATGTTGAATCTTTTCACCGAAATTATCTTACTTCGGCAATAATACCCACATTCCTTTTGTTCAGGGGGGAAAAGTTCTACTTTTTGATGTCAGATTCATTAACAGACAAATAGCTCTAAAAGACAAGCTTAAGTTCGACCTTCAATAATGAAAATATTCGCGTGATTTTTCGTTAAACTTCAAAGTTCAAACTTTTATGTTGCCAGGATGCTCACATTTCCAAAAATTTCTTGACTAGAACGTTCTTAGTTCGGCGTAGAGGATTGTCAATACGGTGTATGTAATCAAGGGTAGTGGTCTAGGTCATTGATGTAATCTAATGTAATCAGGCTTTCATTTCAAGTTTTTCCGTGTATGATTCAGTGCATTAGCTATAAACTCCATTATGAAACAAATTCAATAAAAATGTATTTCCGTCAAATAACAACACTCACTTAAGCTAACTTCATTCTCTACTTTAGGCAAGAAATCTTTATATTGCTGGGGACTATGCAAATGCCATGGCGTCAGCACAGACCGCAAGAAACCTGGCTTTGATTGCTTTAGTCTGTGGAATATGTATTTATCCACTGATCATCATTTTAAGACTCGTCGTGTTTGCACCTACCTATAACTAAAATAAATATATGAACCATTTATTCTACCTTATTATTGAAATATTATTGAAATTACAAAGTAAAGTAATTTTGAATAAATTTGTGCATGAAAAAATTCTACATTACAAAATCCAGTAAAATTGTAGTTCATGATTGTAATCATTAAGCCCCTCCGTCGTACAGTAAAAATGTACCAAAATACCCCTCGTGAACACCTGATTATCCCTTACAACGACAAAGGTAAAAACGGTACAAACTGAATGAATAAACGGTACAAACTGAATATGTCTAACTGTGCACGTGAATAGAAAGCAATCACTTTGTATCACGAAGTACCCTTCAAATGAGGTTTGTTACACTAGTTTGTTAATTGCTACATAGGGATTGAGAAAATGAAAATTAACCAAGAATTTTGTATTCCTAATAAGGAATATAAACGAACATGCGAAAGAAAAAAGGTCGCGTATCACATTTCACACAAGACACAATTTGCACTTGACGACTACCAAGAAAGACAATAAAGAGAGAAACAAGTTGCGTTTCTCATAAAACGAAACAAAAATCATCTACGCATCGTGGTCATAAGTAAGTGCATTTTTAGAAACAAGGTAAGCGTCAACCCTACGTAAACGTTTCATATATATATATATATATATATATAACAACGAAATGAGCAAACACTTCTCGCAGGCGGAAATTAATTTTATACGATTTTAAATCGTTATAGAAAAGTTTAAACTAAGTTTAAATTTTAACAATCGTTAATATTTTGGTCTTCATTTGCCGAATGATTATAACACGAGATACTTGTCGTTATTGTTGGTATTTTATGATGGTATTGGTATGATTGCTCTTTAAATTTGTTATGTATAAAATGGCTATATTTTATACGACTGTTTATGTGTGGTATTCCTAGCATAAATTACAACGGTTTTGTGGAAATCATCCTTATCCTTTCAAGCACAACTAAAGAGCAAACATATTTTTTAGTGTTGGTAGGCCGTTAGTCGCAGACTCAAAAGGAAATTACATAATTCGTAATACTTCCTTACCTGTAACACAAGCGGCATAATGTTCATCTTTGTAATAAGGAAAATTCCGACATTTTTTTAGATAAGATGGACCAGCCCCCTCCTTACAATAACGAAAACGAGAACCCAGCTCCATATCCCCCCCAACAACAGGCACCTCAAAATAAAGAAGTTCACCCATCTCAAGGTTACCCACCTCAACATCACCAACCACAAGGTTACCCACCTCAAGGTCACCCACCTCAAGGTTACCCACCTCAAGGTTACCTTCCTCAAGGTTACCCTCCTCAAGGTTACCCTCTTCAAGGTTACCCCCCACCACCACTAACAGGGATGATGCAACAACAGCAGAGTAACAATACAACAGTTGTTGTGGCAGTAAGTAAAAAGAATCATGAAAAAACTGAGTCATTAACCTCATAAAACCTTACATTTATAACATTTCTCGTTGATAAAGAACAACATGTTATAAGAAAGTTCAATGTGATATTTTTAGAACCAACCTCAGCCTGCAGCAGTAACAACAATGATTCCAGTAGTCAATGATCACATGGGACTGTCCATTTTTGCATGTCTTTGTTGTTGTTGTCCAATTGGTATTTTTGCCATCGCAAAGTCATCTGAGGTACTTGTTTCTATACAAACATAATATTTACATGCAATAAGCAATATGTTGCAATATTAAGCTCAAATAAAGTCAGGGTTTCGTTTACAAAATGTGACTAAAACGTTACTTTTGACTTTTGATAATGTTCTATCATATATCTTGAATCAATGTTGAATCTTTTCACCGAAATTATCTTACTTCGGCAATAATACCCACATTCCTTTTGTTCGGGGGGAAAAAGTTCTACTTTTTGATGTCAGATTCATCAACAGACAAATTGCTCTAAAAGACAAGCTTAAGTTCGACCTTTAATAATGAAAATATTCGCGTGATTTTTCGTTAAACTTCAAAGTTCAAACTTTTATGTTGCCAGGATGCTCACATTTCCAAAAATTTCTTGACTAGAACGTTCTTAGTTCGACGTAGAGGATTTTCAATACGGTGTATGTAATCAAGGGTAGTGGTCTAGGTCATTGATGTAATCTAATGTAATCAGGCTTTCATTTCAAGTTTTTCCGTGTATGATTCAGTGCATTAGCTATAAACTCCATTATGAAACAAATTCAATAAAAATGTATTTCCGTCAAATAAAAACACTCACTTAAGCTAACTTCATTCTTTACTTTAGGCAAGAAATCTTTATATTGCTGGGGACTATGCAAATGCCATGGCGTCAGCAAGAACCGCAAGAAACCTGGCTTTGATTGCTTTGGTCTGTGGAATATGTATTTATCCAGTGATCATCATTTTATGGCTTACCACCACGGTATAGGTCGCACCAACCTATAACTAAAATAAATATATGAACCATTTATTCTACCTTATTATTGAAATATTATTGAAATTAAAAAGTAAAGTAATTTTGAATAAATTTGTGCATGAAAAAAATTCTACATTACAAAATCCAGTAAAATTGTAGTTTATGATTGTAATCACTAAGCCCCTCTGTCGTACAGTAAAAATGTACCAAAATACCTCTCGTGAACACCTGATTATCCCTTACAACGACAAAGGTAAAAACGGTACAAACTGAATGAATAAACGGTACAAACTGAATGAATAGACGGTACAAACTGAATATGTCTAACTGTGCACGTGAATAGAAAGCAATCACTTTGTATCACGAAGTACCCTTCAAGTGAGGTTTGTTAAACTAGTTTGTTAATTGCTACATAGGGATTGAGAAAATGAAAATTAATCAAAGAATTTTGTATTCCTAATAAGGAATATAAGATATAAACGAACATGCGAATGAGAAAAGGTCGCGTATCACATTTCACACAAGACACAACTTGCACTTGACGACTACCAAGAAAGACAATAAAGAGAGAAACAAGTTGCGTTTCTCATAAAACGAACCAAAAGTCATCTACACATCGTGGTCATAAGTAAGTGCATTTTAAAAACAAGGTAAGCGTCAACCCTACGTATACTTTTCATTATATATATATATATAACAACGAAATGAGCAAACACTTCTCGCAGGCGGCAATTAATTTTATACGATTTTAAATCGTTATAGGAAAGTTAAAACTAAGTTTAAATTTGAACAATCGTCAATATTTTGGTCTTCATTTGCCGAATGATTATAACACGAGATACTTGTCGTTATTGTTGGTATTTTATGATGGTATCAGTATGATTGCTCTTTAAATTTGTTATGTATATAATGGCTGTATTTCGTACGACTGTTTATGTGTAGTATTCCTTGCAGAAATTACAACGGTTTTGTGGAAATCATCCTTATCCTTTCAAGCACAACTAAAGAGCAAACATATTTTTTAGTGTTGGTAGGCCGTTAGTCGCAGACTCAAAAGGAAATTACATAATTCGTAATACTTTCTTACCTGTAACACAAGCGGCATAATGTTCATCTTTGTAATAAGGAAAATTCCGACATTTTTTTAGATAAGATGGACCAGCCCCCTCCTTACAATAACGAAAACGAGAACCCTGCCCCATATCCCCCCCAACAACAGGCACCTCAAGGTTACCAACCTCAACATCACCAACCACAAGGTTACCCACCTCAAGGACACCCACCTCAAGGTTACCCAACTCAAGGTTACCCACCTCAAGGTTACCCACCTCAAGGTTATTCATATCAAGGTTACCAACCTCAAGGTTACCAACCACCACCACCAACAGGGATGATGCAACAACAGCAGAGTAACAATACAACAGTTGTTGTGGCAGTAAGTAAAAAGAAGAATCATGAAAAAACTGAGTCATTAACCTCATAAAACCTTACATTTATAACATTCCTCGTTGATAAAGAACAGCATGTTATAAGAAAGTTCAATGTGATATTTTTAGAACCAACCTCAGCCTGCAGCAGTAACAACAATGATTCCAGTAGTCAATGATCACATGATACTGTCCATTCTGGCATGTGTTTTTTGTTGTTGGCCAATTGGTCTTTGTGCCATCATAAAGTCATCTGAGGTACTTGTTTCTATACAAACATATTATTCACATCCAATAAGCAACATGTTGCAATATTAAGCTCAAATAAAGTCAGGGTTTCGTTTACAAAATGTGACTAAAACGTTACTTTTGACTTTTGATAATGTTCTATGATATATCTTGAATCAATGTTGAATCTTTTCACCGAAATTATCTTACTTCGGCAATAATACCCACTTTCCTTTTGTTCAGGGGGGAAAAGTTCTACTTTTTGATGTTAGATTCATCAACAGACAAATAGCTCTAAAAGACAAGCTTAAGTTCGACCTTCAATAATGAAAATATTCGCGCGATTTTTCGTTAAACTTCAAAGTTCAAACTTTTATGTTGCCAAGATCCTCACATTTCCAAAAATTTATTGACTAGAAGGTTCTTAGTTGGGCGTAGAGGATTTTCAATACTGTGTATGTAATCAAGGGTAGTGGTCTAGGTCACTGATGTAATCTAATGTAATCAGGCTTTCATTTCAAGTTTTTCCGTGTATGATTCAGTGCTTAAATGTAGATATGATCTTCGCACTTTGCTGGACAATTTAAGCAATTGTCTCATGAACCTGAAAAATTCAGGTGACTCAACGGGATTCGAACCCATGACCTCTGCGGTGCCGGTGCAGTGCTCTGACCAACTGAGCTATGAAGTCACACAGTGGTGACAGTGGGCTCATCCAGCAAAGTGCGAAGATCATATCTACATTTAATTTCAAACACCGCACTGCATAAAACATTCATATGATTCAGTGCATTAGCTATAAACTCCATTATGAAACAAATTCAATAAAAATGTATTTCCGTCAAATAAAAACTCACTTAAGCTAACTTCATTATCTACTTTAGGCAAGAAATCTTTATATTGCTGGGGACTATGCAAATGCCATGGTATCAGCAAGAACCGCAAGAAACCTGGCTTTGATTGCTTTGGTCTGTGGAATATGTATTTATCCACTGATCATCATTTTAAGACTCGTCGTGTTTGCACCTACCTATAACTAAAATAAATATATGAACCATTTATTCTACCTTATTATTGAAGTATTATTGAAATTACAAAGTAAAGTAATTTTGAATAAATTTGTGCATGAAAAAAATTCTACATTACAAAATCTAGTAAAATTGTAGTTTATGATTGTAATCACTAAGCCCCTCCGTCGTACAGTAAAAATGTACCAAAATACCCCTCGTGAACACCTGATTATCCCTTACAACGATAAAGCTCCACCTCACAACAGCCACCGATCAAAGCAACAAAAATTTCCGCTTATAACATAATCACTCAACTACCCTTCACAAAATTGTTGCTCTCTCCGTCTGTTGATTAATATATACATACATTATATGAGCCTGTCTATAGTGGTCAGTGTTCTTTTAGCTTTTTTAATATTTACTTTATGTGGATAGTATTATATAAGCGTAGTATCTATACAATACTTTACAGATTTCCATACATCCTTTAGAGATTTTGAAGTGGCTGTCATTTTACTTGGTTAATTTGTATAACAAAAAATTAACGCTTTCTTGAACACTGAAGGAAGTACGAATCACTTAAAAGGCTCGAATTTCTGCAAAGGAAGTCTTTGTAAAGAGTCAAATATAATAATGATAATTACAATAACACGTGACATGAACAATATAAAAGTTTCTCAGTGGCAATACATGAATATTTCAATGTGCTCACAGAAAGGAACATCCAACATTTTGTTGTGGAAACGCCACATCACACTTATTACACGACAGTATTGAGGCATTCATTTGTGTCTTTCATAGAAGAAAACTATAAAGTTATAGGATATCTCGGGGATAAACCAGCAAATATTAAAACAAGGTAAGTTTATCTAACAATTTCAAAATATTACAACGAAAGTCGAGGATTTCTTTATGAGCAAACACGGACATGAATTTTAAACAATTAGAAATTATTTTAGAGAGCAGTTTAACTATATCTCAAAATGAGCAATAATCAACGTTGGTTTTCAGTATTTAAAATGATCATAACAGACGAGGTGCTTCAGATTATTGTAGATATTTTGTTGTGGTATTTTTCATGACTGCTCTCCCGGTGTGTTGAAAATAATTACAGTATTTTCTAGATTTGTTCATTTGTAATTCTTATGACTTTCATCAACAAATATTTTGGACACATGAACTGATTCTGTAATCCGTAAAGCAAAAATCCAATCTCATATATACTAGTCTGTTTAGCGAAAACTTTTACATCGCAACGTTTTCCCTTTGCTTTATTTTCATTACAAAAAACACTTCCAAATGTTATTGCTTTAAAATTCTGTGCGTGGGAACGGAAGAGCTCAGAGGGCGGCCTTCAAGTGACGTGTAACTAGTCTGAAAGTCAGATGATTTATAAATACAACTCAGAAAGAGTACTTGAAGCAGGAAATTGGAGCCTAATTTATCCTCCTTATTTAAAATACACCACTTTTTAGATAGAGTAATGTAATTTTTATATACACTTTGTGTATTTTGTAATTTTTAGAGCCGGTAGGTCGTTATTCGCTTACGCAATAGGAAAACAATTAATTGTATAAATAATAGTATGGTTTCGAGTGTAATTTGGGCAAAACATGCACCAGTGAGTTTTTCAAAGACTATCAAAATTGCACGAGTCCGAAGGAGGAGTATATTACTTTTCACATTACCATAGCTTCCGCGCACACCGCTAGAACAAGGTACCTACTTTTAGAATTGTTGTTGTTTTCATCCAGAAACATCTTGCAACAAACAGTGATATGTTAACTTGTTCGCCAAAGAAAGTCTACTTAAAAACGTACGCCAGCCTTTTTAACAAAAAATTGCACTGTATTTCCTTTTTTTTGCGATGTGTTTCCTATTTTGTGCACTGGTATTTACGATAAATTTCACTGCTCTAAACCAATCAGAACTGAGAAAATTTTTCAAGTGTATTATTAATGTCGTAATAGGTGGCTTTCTTGTTACGTCACAGCAGTCATGTTGGTTGAATTCAACAAAAGATCTTTTCTCGTTTACAATTAAAATTTCAACCAAGATGGCAAAAATCTCTTTGTCCTTCAAGTCATTGGGGAGCGGTTTCAAACCACCTGTACTAACACATAACAGACCGAGCAAGCGCTGTACGTTTGCAAAGCAGAAAATGTTATTCTTCATTATACTACGAATATAGTAAAATTAAATGAACATTGTGATAATTTTTCTAGAAGATGGAGCAACCACCTCGTTACCTCAATGAGAAAAGTAATCCCACTCCACACCCAGTACAACAACAATCCGCACAAAATCAGGATTATCCACCTCCAGACTACACACCTCAAGGTTACACACTTCCAGACTACACACCTCAAGGTTACACACTTCCAGATAACACACCTCAAGGTTACACACTTCCAGACTACACACCTCAAGGTTACACACTTCCAGACTACACACCTCAAGGTTACACACTTCCAGACTACACACCTCAAGATTACACACTTCCAGACTACACACCTCAAGGTTACACACAAAAAAATTACTCTCTTCAAACAGTTGCGGAAGTAAGTAGAAACAAGAATCATAAAAGCTGAATCATTTAGCCAATAAAACCTTCAGCATCATGTGAAATTTCAATGTGATATTTGCAGAACCAACCTCAACCTGCAGCAGAGACGAATCCTGTTATCAATGATCACATGACACTGTCTATTGTTTCATTTCTGTGTTGTTGTTGGCCAATTGGTATTTTTGCCATCATCAAGTCACGTGAGGTACTTGTTTCTATACAAACACAATAATTTAAACCAATAAGCAATATGTTGTAGAAAGAAAATTTAAATAAGCTCTACTTTCATTTACAAAATAGTACAAATTGGAACATGTATCTTGTCTCACGACAATATTTACGTGATTTTACGTTTGATTTCTTTCCCTATTGAAATGTTTTCAAATCCGTTCGCGTGAATGTTTTTCGTAAAAGAAAAAGACTCTGGTTATGGTGATTGTAATCAAATTTCAATTTGCGCCTATTGACCATCAAATTCATAAGCACGCATGCGCAATGTTACGTTTTGCTACGATACGTTACGATACGTGGCTAGTGGAAAACAGGCTTTAATAATTGACGACATAAACACAATACAAAAAGTAATTTAGGAAAAGTGTGTGTGTCCATGAAATGCACCAATTAAAAACAACCCGTGAAAATCAGAACCACAACTCAAGTTGAACATGTTATGAAATGTAGCTTCATTCAAATGTATTTTGTTTAGGCAAGAAATCGCTCCGTTGCTGGTGACTATGAAGGCGCAATAGCGTCAGCATACATTGCAAAAAACCTGGCCGTGATTGCTATTGTTTGTTCAATAGTTTGTTTTCCACTTCTCATACTATTTTTATCTAAGTAAACATGTAAATATACCACTGCTACTTTTGCGATCACATATAAGTTTTATTTATTTCTTATTACTAGTTGCTTTACGATTAAAGATGTGTTTGAGGGAGAATTTTTTTACAAAGTTACTATACACATAGATGGACATCAGAATTACGTTTAAATAATGGCAGTTGAACTATTTTATGTAGAAATATAGACATTACAACCACCTGGTACCCCTCACCATCACTTGGTTACCCATCACAACCACCTGGTACCCCTCACCATCACTTCGTTACCCATCACAACCACCTGGTCATCCCTAACCACCAAAGCAAGAGCAACCTGTACACCCTATTGGTTATATAACCCCTCCCAGAAATGAATGTCACAAAATACAACCATAATCATACGCTCAACATTGATATACATAAAGGTTAGATAAACCAAATGACAAAAATCTTACTGAAAAATAACCACTATTCACAATTTAGACTTGATAGAAATGAATATGTTAAATCTTTCAAACACAAAACACATTTAACGACCGCCCAGCTTTCATAGAATATTTCTTTGATAAAAGAATATGCAGAACTAACAATCCAAATTGGCTTCCATAGCGTGCCTAAAATATATGATTGAAAATTTACTAAGTGCATAGCACCAAATTCAGAGCTCGCTCCGTCACAAATTAATACAGAATTAATCTGAGCATGCGTAGTCAACTCGACCAACTGTCCAAGTTCATGGTTATGGCAACGACCAACTGTATGTACTAGTACCGATTTTGAAGTAAATAGCATGCTTAGTACCAATTGAGAGAAATCTATTGCTCATGCGCTTAAGCAAGCACAGTCCACTCGACTAATTGTTCATAGTTATGGCAACGACTAACTATATGTACTTGCACTACACTTGGGGCAATTACCTCACATAGTTGCAAATTATTAAAGAATTCATTTAGGCATGCACAGTGATGACTTTAGTAATACCACAACTTTCGCAAACCTTTGAATTTAAGTATATATAGATAAAGCCAATACTAGGTATAGTAGATATCAACTAGCAGTGGAAACTGGGTGCGATTAGGTATGCAGTGGCTGAGGGGCCCGGACTTCGGTCGCGACCGCACTCTCCCTGCGTACCCCGAGCAAAGCCTATCGCATGTGATCTCGTGGTCTGATGGGCGGAAGCTTGCTATTGCATCTCCCAAGCATGGAGGGGCTGAAATCTCCTATAGAAACGTTAACATGCGGCGTTCTAGTGACTTACGCTTAAGAGGGTATCTGGAAGCATGGACCGAAAACGGGTTTTTTGCTTTCGAATTGTATCTTTTTTTTAAAAAAAGTGTTCTCATAAAAGAAACTAGAACATCCAAGGATACTGCAAAGGTTCAAACAACTTCTGCATTTTCGACTTACAATTTAAGCCAACTCTAATCATGTTTATACGTTTTTTACTTGTTACCTTTTACAATGTAACTTTCTCATAACTCTCTCGTGATGAACAAGAGCCTCCTTATACAATATGACTCTCTCATTATGAACGAAAGCATTCATTGGGCTTTATGGGAAAAGAGATTATCTACTTTGTTGCAATAGTTTCTACAAAGATAACATTTAATAAGCCAAGCAAATTGTATCGTCTAAATTGAACCTCGCTTTGAACCATTATGATATAAAATTTTCATTCATTTTGTTCCTTTAACTTAAGTCGTAGTAGAAGTAAGTTAAGCATTGTGATGGTTCATTTGTGCATTGATTTGTTTGTGGTCAGCCAAGATAAAGCTTAGATAAAGTAAATAGTACAAACATTATTCAAAATTGACCATCTTCATAGAAATGATATGAACATGTAAATATACAATATATCAAAAATCATATCATATCTTCCAGTCAGAGTACATACTCTAATGACCAACTCCGAAATACATTTGGATACTGAAAAAGTCTTTGCATTCTACAGAAAATCGATAGAAAATCTAAAATCTAAAGAATATACAAAACAAGAAATCCAAATCAGCTTCCATATGTAATCATTACAAAGAAACTTTTATTTTAAAACCATTAAAGCAGACACGTTTAAAGCGACCTGTAGACTTCCGCAACTCGCCTACGCATTAACCATATTTCATCCGTAGTATCTCAGGATAATTCTTTAACATCTTTTCCGAGATTTCAGCTCTTAAAACCGACTGATGATTACTAACAGACGGCGATCGGCAAATAAGTAATTGGGGAGCTATATCATATGTTCATGTGTTATAATATGTAATGACAATTGATTTCAATAGAAATCATTAAAGTAGAACATGCATAGATGAATAATAGTGCCCCCCACCCTTTTCATCGTTAGTCTACAAATTCTTTATGTGTGAAACAGGCTTTAGTAGTCAGTAAAAATTATTCAATAACCTCCACGATAAACCGGAAAATTTTAAAAGAAGGTATGTTTACATATCGCTTTCACAATATTACAACGAAATACGAGAGGTTTTTTAGAGCTGTTATGAGCAAACATGAACTTACAATGATAGACAGGAATACGAATATCAAACGTAATAGAAATTGTGTTTTAAATATCCAAACTAAACTTCGAATAGAGTGAATATCATTGTTAATCTTTAATAGTTAAAATGATCATAACTAAAAATACTCAAAGTTATTGTTGGTATTTTATGATGGTTTGATATGATTGTACTTTATATTTGTTTGATATGGATTACTGTATTTTTTACGACTGTTTATTTGTGGTAATCCTAGCATTCATTACAAAGGTTTTGTAGAAATCATTCATGTTCTTTTAAGCATAAAGCTATAGAAAAAAATTTTTTATCGATGCCGGTATGCCCTTATTATCCGACGCAATAAGAGGATAATTATTTATTTCCTTATGCTAATTCGTTACCAATAGAGCATGCGCAGTTCACTGCACAGTTAAAACGGATATAGTACAAAAAAATGATAATTATCGTGTTTTTTATATAAGATGGAGCAACCCCCTTCTTACACCAATGAAAAAGAAAACCCAGCCCCATATTCCCCGCAACAACAGGAACCTCAAAACCAAGGTTATCCACTCCAACATTACCCCCCACAACCAGCAACAGGGATGATACAACAACAGCAGAGTAACAACACAGCATTTGTTCAGCAAGTAAGTAGAAAAAAACCATAAAAAAACTTGTTAATAACTGACGTATAACATAATCTTAGGCACTCTATTTCCAAAACAACATATTTAAACATGCGGCGTTCTAGTGCCTTACGCTTAAGAGGGTATCGGGAAGCATGGACCGAAAACGGGGTTTTTTGCTTTCGAATTTTATCTTTTGTTTACAAAATAATCTAATTTTCATAAAATAAACCAAGCAATGTTTCAATTAAATTCTTCTGACACTGTGCCTTTTCTGACACTTATAATTTAAGACAACCTTAAACATCTAATTTACTGTTTCTCATTAATGAACATGAGACGCTCTAGTGCTCAACTATCTCGGGGTATCGGGAGGCAGGGATCGAAAACGGAATTTTTTGCTTTCAAAATTAGTCTTTTTTTTACAAAAAACTGGATTTTTTGTTTTTAAAATTTGTCTTTTTTCTTTACAAGAATTCTTCTCATAAAAGAAACTAGAACATCCAAGGATACTGCAAAGGTTCAAACAACTTCTGCATTTTCGACTTACAATTTAAACCAACTCTAATCATGTTTATACGTTTTTTACTTGTTACCTTTTACAATGTAACTTTCTCGTAACTCTCTCGTGATGAACAAGAGCCACCATATACAATATGACTCTCTCATTATGAACGAAAGCATTCATTGGGCTTTATGGGAAAAAGAGATTATCTACTTTGTTATAATAGTTTCTACAAAGATAACATTTAATAAGCCAAGCAAATTGTATCGTCTAAATTGAACCTCGCTTTGAACCATTATGATATAAAATTTTCATTCATTTTGGATAGTAAATTTCTTTAAACCTTACAAAATTTTTATGATTCAATCTATAAAGTAACGTATATTTATCAAGAATCGTAGTGCTATATAATTTTTTTTGTTATTGTGATGGTTTGTTTTATTTATTTGATTCTTCATAGTAAGACGCATTTTGCAAAAAATCAAGCCTTTAGTCATTCATACTTTTGTCATGCAAACTAATTTTGAAAATTCAAATGCCACTTCTAAGTTATTTCAGGAACTTTGGCGCACAAATTAAGGAGCATCAAAACTTTATTAAGTTACCCCTCAGCATAACCAGGTTGTGTCATCCCTCACCACTACAGCAAGACCAACCTGGACACCCTTTTGGTTATATGCCTCCCCCTCCACCACCTATAAATATGTCACAAGTAGAAAATTTAACTTAAGTCGTTGTAGAAGTAAGTTAAGCTTTGTGATGGTTCATTTGTGCATTGATTTGTTTGTGGTCAGCCAAGATAAAGCTTAGATAAAGCAAATAGTAAAAACATTATTCAAAATTGATCCTCTGTGACTATTTCATCTTGATAGAAATGATATGAACATGTAAATATACAATATATAAAAAATCATATCATATCTTTCAGTCAGAGAACATACTCTAATGACCAACAAGTTTCGAAATACATTTGGATACTGAAAAAGTCTTTGCATTCTACAGAAAATCGATAGAAAATGGAAAATCTAAAAAATATGCAAAACAAGAAATCCAAATTAGCTTCCAAATGTAATCATAAAAAAGAAACTTCTATTTCAAAACCATCAAAGCAGACACGTTTAAAGCGACCTGTAGACTTCCGCAACTCGCCTACGAATTGACCATATTCTATCAATAGCATCTAAGGATAATTCTTTAAAATCTTTTCCGAGATTTCAGCTCTTAAAACCGACTGATGATTACTAACGGACGGCGACCGGCAAATAGGTAATTGGGGAGCTATATCATATGTTTATGTGTTATAATATGTAATGACAATTGATTTCAATAGAAATCATTAAAGTAGAACATGCATAGATCAATAATAGTGCCCCCCACACTTTTAATCATTAGTCAACAATTTCTTTATATATGAAACAGGCTTTAGTAGTCAGTAAAAGTAATTCACTAATCTCCACGATAAACCGGAAAATTTTAAAAGAAGGTAGGTTTACATATCGCTTTCACAATATTACAACGAAAGACGAGAGGTTTTTTAGAGCTGTTATGAGCAAACATGAACTTACAATGATAGACAGGAATACGAATATCAAACGTAATAGAAATTGTTTTTTAAATATCCAAACTAAACTTCGAATAGAGTGAACATCATTGTTAATCTTTAATAGTTAAAATGATCATAACTTAAAATACTCAAAGTTATTGTTGGTATTTTATGATGGTATTGATATGATTGTTTTTTATATTTGTTTGATATGATTACTGTATTTTTTACGAATGTTTATTTGTGGTAATCCTAGCATTCATTACAAAGGTTTTGTAGAAATCATTCATGTTCTTTTAAGCATAAAGCTATGGAAAAATTTTTTATCGATGCTGGTATGCCGTTAATATCCGACGCAATAAGAGGATAATTATTTATTTCCTTATGCTAATTCGTTACCAACAGAGTATGCGCAGTTCACTGCACAGTAAAACGGATATAGTACAAAAAAATGATAATTATCGTGTTTTTTATATAAGATGGAGCAACCCCCTTCTTACACCAATGAAAAAGAAAACCCAGCCCAATATTCCCCGCAACAACAGGAACCTCAAAACCAAGGTTATCCACTCCAACATTACCCCCCACAAACTTATCCACCTCAAGGTTACCCCCCCCAACCACCAACAGGAATGATACAACAACAGCAGAGTAACAACACAACAGTTGTTGTGCAAGTAAGTAGAAAAAAAATCATAAAAAAACTTGTTAATAACTGACGTATAACAAAATCTTAGGCACTCTCTTTCCAAAACAACATATTTAAGCTTTATCCTTAGGTGTAAATCATTAACCCGATCAACCCTTCCATGTACATAACGTATCTTCACAAATAAATAAGTAAAATGCACGATGAGAAATTTCAATACAATATTTTTAGAACCAACCTCAGACTTCAGCTATAATGGTTCCAGTCGTCAACGATCACTTGGTACTGTCTATTTTTTCCTGTCTGTTTTGTCCTATTTGGCCAATTGGTCTTGTTGCCATCATCAAGTCATTGGAGGTACATGTTTCTAGACAAACATAACATTTACATTCAATAAGCAATATATAGTAACAATATGTTTCAATGCACATTTTACTTTGGAACCCAATCTACAAGATTTCTGAATCCGTCAAAATTCCATAGTTTACGAGTGGGGCAAGCCGCCATCTTGAAAGATGGAAAAATTTATGACATTAACGACTACTATCCGCTTTTCCTGAGTTGATATACATTTGCAAAATTTGATGGTTTAGGTTTGATTTTCAAAATGTTTCATAGGATTGGTTTTTTAAGCTTTCTTTTATTCTTTATTTGGAGTTTTGCTTTTTCCATCTTTTGAAATGGCGTCCTTGTCTCATCTTGACACTGTAGTAAGACATCTAGTGGATTGAGTTCTAAGTCATAGCGAAGAACGGGTTAAACATGACACATGGACAATTTTACAAGACAATCAAATTTACTTGTACTGTTCTGCTTTATTAAAGCGACTGAAAACTCAATCCACGACAAAATAATCGTTTTACTCTCATTTCATCAATGGCGAATGTTTTTTCATCAATCCAGCAAAAAAACCCACTTTCCTTAAAGGCCAAGTTAAGTCAGACTAACAGTTTAAAACATTCGCTCACGAAGATCAAATTTTCACAAAAATAGCAAAACAGAAATGATAAAATCATCGATTTGCACGACTGTCTTCAGTAAACAGAAGTGATCCTACATATGGTGTATGTAATCATGTTTTCATTATCCATTCAGTGTATCAAAAACAACTATTAAACCAACCACTACAAAGACAAAATAAAAAGATCTTTCCACCTATTCTAAATGTAATTATACTTACAAAAATTACAAGTGTAAATGTTATGTTATAAAAACTAGATTCATTATCTCCTTTAGGTAAGAAATCTTTACGTTACCGGTAACTATGCAGGTGCAATTGCATCTGCAGAAACTGCAAGAAAACTGGCTGGTATTTCTATAGGCATTGGAATAGCTCTTTATGTAGTGTTTACAATCCTGGGTATCGTGGTATCTTTTATCTAAACTGAATGTACCATTGTCACCCTTAAGATCTACCATATATGAAACCTTAATGCACCATTGTCACCCTTAGGATCTACCATATATGAAAACTTAATGTACCATTGTCACCCTTATGATCTACCATATATGAAAACTTAATGCACCATTGTCCCCTTATGATCTACCATATATAAAAACTAAATGCACCATTGTCACCATTAGGATCTACCATATATGAAAACTTAATGCACCATTGTCACCCTTGTGATCTACCATATATGAAAACTTAATGCACCATTGTCACCCTTGTGATCTACCATATATGAAAACTTAATGCACCATTGTCACCCTTAAGAATCCTACCAAGTTTTCATGTATTCCTTATTAATAATTACTTCAATACTTATAAATAAACATCAGTTTGTATAATAAAATTGTTTTCTTTTGTTGCAAGCCTTCGTTTCGAGTTCGCAGTATAAGTACAAAGTCACCATTATATAAAGAACGATAAATTTTAACATTATATATCATTGGCAATCGAACATCTTTGAAAAAAATTACGCGATTAATTTAAACACACAGTGTATGTGAAATAGAAAACGTTAATCGGACCATCGCAATAAAAAAATGTTATCCTTCGTCATGCAGGCAACAAAATAAGACAAAATTTATCGTCTGTCATTGTGTTATACGAGATAGAGCAGCCCCCCTCCCCCCTTATCATAATAAAAAACATAACTCCAATCTATACCCAGCACGTTCACCGCCCCAGGCCGTCAAACCCTTCAAAGTTGCTCACCTCAAACCTATCCCCTCAGGGTCGTCCTTTACAGCCACCAACAGGAATAATGCAGCAAGAAAAATACAACTGTTGTGATGGAAATGAGAAGCAACAAAAAACTGAATCATAAACCCTATGAAACCTTCTATTTATAATTTACCAAACTAATATAGAGCAATGCAGTAGGAGAAATTTCAATGTGATAGTTTTAAAACCAACCTCAGCCTGTAGCAGTAACAACAATCATTCCAGTTGTCAATGATCATATGGGAAAGTGGATTTTTGCTAGTCTGTGTTGCAGTTGGCCAATTCGCAATTTGTCATCGTCAAGTCACCTGACTGATGTACTTCTTTCTATACAAACATAATATGTATAACCAATAAGCATTATGCAGCAATATTAAGCACAAATAAGGTCAGATTTCATTTACAAAATGTTAGTAAAACGTTACTTTTGTCTTTCGACAATGGTTTATCATACATGGGTGATGTGCTCTCTTGACAAAGAATCAGACACCTTTCTTTTATTTACATCTCTATTGCTTTCAGTTGATCATAACAAAGCTCTTAAAATTTAAGCAGGCCATTCTCGGAAACGTCTTGTTCTTTGATAAGGTGTTAAACCACGAAGTGAAAAATCTCAATTGAAAGGCAAACTTAAAAATGGGATTTTACACACACGAAAAAACATTCACTGGTTTTTTATGGAGTTCAAAGTTTCACGTAGCTTGAACAAACACGATTGGAATGAAGTTCATAAAAAATCATCGATTCGCAAGAGAGTTTTTGCAGAAAGCAGAGTCAATCCTACATGTGGTGTATGTAATCAAGTTTTCATAGTTCATTTACTGTATCAAAAACACCATAAAAGAAACCATTTCATTAACTCAGTTAAAATTATTTTCTTTCAAACTGGTTGTATAATTTATGATGATTTAATTGCTTATCATAATTTAATAATTTGAAATGTAATAATTCAAATGTGCGAGGTACTTGTTTCTAGGTTGGTATAGACCTGAGAAGGACTGTTTTTGTTGTTGTTGACTGACGTTTCGACAACCTTAGCGGTAGTCATCTTCAGAGTCATTTGACTGTAATCATGTCTATACGTCTTTTACATGTTACCTTTTACAATGTAACTTTCTCCTAACTCTCTCGTGATGAACGAGAGCCACCTTATACAATATGACTCTCTCATTATGAACGAAAGCATCCATTGGGCTTCATGGAAGAAAGGGATTATCTACTTTGTTATAATAGTTTCTACAAAGATAACATTTAATAAGCCAAGCAATTTATATCGTCTAAATTGAACCTCGCTTTGAACCATTATGATATAAAATTTTCATTCATTTTGGATAGTAAATATCTTTAAATCTTACAAAATTTTCATGATTCAATCTATAAAGTAACGTATATTTATCAAGAATCGTACTGCTATATAATTTTTTATGTTATTGTAATGGTTTGTTTTATTTATTTGATTCTTCATAGTAAGACGCATTTTGCAAAAATCAAGCCTTTAGTCATTCATACTTTTGTCATGCAAACTAATTTTGAAAATTCAAATGCCACTTCTAAGTTATTTCAAGAACTTTGGCGCACAAATTAAGGAGCATCAAAACTTTATTAAGTTACCCCTCACCATAACCAGGTTATGTCATCCCTCACCACTACAGCAAGACCAACCTGGACACCCTACTGGTTATATGCCTCCCCCTCCACCACCTATAAATATGTCACAACAAGTAAAAACTTAACTTAAGTCGTAGTAGAAGTAAGTTAAGCTTTGTGTTTGTATATTTGTGCATTGATTTGTTTGTGGTCAGTCAAGATAAAGCTTAGATAAAGTAAATAGTAAAAACATTATTCAAAATTGATCCTCTGTGACTATTTCATCTTGATAGAAATGATATGAACATGTAAATATACAATATATAAAAAATCATATCATATCTTTCAGTCAGAGTACATACTCTAATGACCAACAAGTTTCGAAATACATTTGGATACTGAAAAAGTCTTTGCATTCTACAGAAAATCGATAGAAAATGGAAAATCTAAAAAATATGCAAAACAAGAAATCCAAATTAGCTTCCAAATGTAATCATAAAAAAGAAACTTCTATTTCAAAACCATCAAAGCAGACACGTTTAAAGCGACCTGTAGACTTCCGCAACTCGCCTATGAATTGACCATATTCTATCAGTAGCATCTAAGGATAATTCTTTAAAATCTTTTCCGAGATTTCAGCTCTTAAAACCGACTGATGATTAGTAACAGACGGCGATCGGCAAATAGATAATTGGGGAGCTATATCATATGTTCATGTGTTATAATATGTAATGACAATTGATTTCAATAGAAATCATTAAAGTAGAATATGCATAGATGAATAATAGTGCCCCCCACACTTTTAATCGTTAGTCTACAATTTCTTTATGTATGAAACAGGCTTTAGTAGTCAGTAAAAGTTATTCAATAATCTCCACGATAAACCGGAAAATTTTAAAAGAAGGTAGGTTTACATAACGCTTTTACAATATTACAACGAAATACGAGAGGTTTTTTAGAGCTGTTATGAGCAAACATGAACTTACAATGATAGACAGGAATACGAATATCAAACGAATAGAAATTGTTTTTTAAATATCCAAACTAAACTTCGAATAGAGTGAACATCATTGTTAATCTTTAATAGTTAAAATGATCATAACTTAAAATACTCAAAGTTATTGCTAATATTTTATGATGGTATTGATATAATTATTCTTTATGTTTGTTTGATTCAATTGCTGTATTTTCTACGACTGTTTATTTGTGGTAAACCTAGCATTCATTACAAAGGTTTTGTAGAAATCATTCATGTTCTTTTAAGCATAAAGCTATGGAAAAACATTTTTATCGATGCCGGTATGCCGTTAATATCCGACGCAATAAGAAACAATTATTTTATTTCTTATGCTAATTCGTTACCAACAGAGCATGCGCAATACACTGCACAGTTAAAACGGATATAGTACAAAAAATGAAAATTATCGTGTTTTTTATATAAGATGGAGCAACCCCCTTCTTACACCAATGAAAAAGACAACCCAGCCACATATTCCACGCAACAACAAGAACCTCAAAACCAAGGTTATCCACTCCAACATTACCCCCCACAACCACCAACAGCAATGATACAACAACAGCAGAGTAACAACACAACAGTTGTTGTCCAAGTAAGTAGAAAAAAAGAATCATAAAAAAACTTGTTAATAACTGACGTATAACAAAATCCTAGGCACTCTCTTTCCAAAACAACATATTTAAGCTTTATCCTTAGGTGTAAATCATTAACCCGATCAAACTTTCCATGTACATAACGTATCTTCACAAATGAATAAGTAAAATGAACGATGAGAAATTTTAATACAATATTTTTAGAACCAACCTCAGCCTTCAGCTATAATGGTTCCAGTCGTCAACGATCACTTGGGACTGTCTATTTTTTCCTGTCTGTTTTGTCCTATTTGGCCAATTGGTCTTGTTGCCATCATCAAGTCATTGGAGGTACATGTTTCTATACAAACACAACATTTAAGCACTATACAGTAACATTATGTTTCAATGCACATTTTACTTTGGAACCCAATCTACAAGATTTCTGAATCCACCAAAATTCCATAGTTTACGAGTGGGGCAAGCCGCCATCTTGAAAGATGGAAAAATTTATGACATTAACGACTACTATCCGCTTTTCCTGAGTTGATATACATTTGCAAAATTTGATGGTTTAGGTTTGATTTTCAAAATGTTTCATAGGATTGGTTTTTTAAGCTTTCTTTTATTCTTTATTTGGAGTTTTGCTTTTTCCATCTTTTGAAATGACGTCCTTGTCTCATCTTGACACTGTAGTAAGGCATCTAGTGGATTGAGTTTTAAGTCAAAGCAAAGAATGGGTTGAAACATGACACATGGACAATTTTACAAGACAATCAGATTTACTTGTACTGTTCTGCTTTAATAAAGCGACTGAAAACTCAATCCACGACAAAATATTCATTTTACTCTCATTTCATCAGTGGCGAATGTTTTTTCATCAATCCAGCAAAAAAAACCCACTTTCCTTAAAGACCAATTTAAGTCAGACTGACAGTTTAAAAAATTCGCTTACGAAGATCAAATTTTCACAAAAATAGCAAAACAGAAATGATAAAATCATCGATTTGCGCAATTGTCTTCAGTAAACAGAAGTGATCCTACATTTGGTGTATGTAATCAAGTTTTCATTATCCATTCAGTGTATCAAAAACAACTATTAAACAAACCACTACAAAGACAAAATAAAAAGATCTTTCCACCTATTCTAAATGTAATTATACTTAGAAAAATTACAGATGTAAATGTTATGTTATAAAAACTAGGTTCATTATCTCCTTTAGGTAAGAAACCTTTACGTTACCGGTAACTATGCAGGTGCAATTGCATCTGCAGGAACTGCAAGAAAACTGGCTGGTATTTCTATAGGCATTGGAATAGCTCTTTATGTAGTGTTCATAATCTTAGTTATCGTGATATCTTTAATCTAAACTAAATGCACCATTGTCACCCTTATGTTCTACCATATATGAAAACTTAATGCACCTTTGTCACCTTTATGATCTACCATATATGAAAACTAAATGCACCTTTGTCACCTTTATGATCTACCATATATGAAAATTAAATGCACCATTGTCACCCTTATGATCTACCATATATGAAAACTAAACGCACCTTTGTCACCTTTATGATCTACCATATAAAAAACTAAATGCACCATTGTCACCCTTAGGATCTACCATATATGAAACCTTAATGCACCATTGTCACCCTTGTGATCTACCATATATGAAAACTTAATGCACCATTGTCACCCTTAAGAATCCTACCAAGTTTTCATGTATTCCTTATTAATAATTACTTCAATACTTATAAGTAAACATCAGTTTGTATAATAAAATTGTTTTCTTTTGTTGGAAGCCTTCGTTGCGACTTCACAGTATAGGTACAAAGTTACCATTATATAAAGAACGATAGATTTTAACATTATATATCATTGGCAATCGAACATCTTTGAAAAAAATTACGCGATTAATTTAAACACACAGTGTATGTGAAATAGAAAACGTTAATCGGACCATCGCAATAAAAAAATGTTATCCTTCGTCATGCAGGCAACAAAATAAGACAAAATTGATAGTCTGTCATTATGTTATACGAGATGGAGCAGGCCCCCCCCCCCTTATCATAATAAAAAACATAATCCCACTCTATACCCAGCACGTTCACCGCCCCAGGCCGTCAAACCCTTCAAAGTTACCTACCTCAAGGTTACCCCCTCAAACCTATCCCCTCAGGGTCGTCCTTTACAGCCACCAACAGGAATAATGCAGCAACAAAAATACAACAGCTGTGATGGAAATAAGAAGCACAAAAAACTGATTCATAAACCCCATGAAACCTTCTATTTATAATTTACCAAACTAATATAGAGCAATGCAGTAAGAGAAATTTCAATGTGATATTTTTAAAACCAACCTCAGCCTGTAGCAGTAACAACAATCATTCCAGTTGTCAATGATCATATGGGAAAGTGGATTTTTGCTAGTCTGTGTTGCAGTTGGCCAATTCGCAATTTGTCATCGTCAAGTCACCTGACTGATGTACTTCTTTCTATACAAACATAATATATATAACCAATAAGCATTATGCAGCAATATCAGCATTAGTAAAACGTTACTTTTGACTTTGGACAACGGTTTATCATACATGGGTGATGTGCTCTCTTGAAATAGAATCAGACACCTTTCTTTTATTTACATCTCTATTGCTTTCAGTTGATCATAACAAAGCTCTTAAAATTCAAGCAGGCCATTCTCGGAAACGTCTTGTTTTTTGATAAGGCATTAAACCACGAAGTGAAAAATCTCAATTGAAAGGCCAACTTAAAAATGGGATTTTACACACACGAAAAAACATTCTCTGTTTTTTTATGGAGTTCAAAGTTTCACGTAGCTTGAACGAACACGATTGGAATGAATTTCATAAAAAATCATCGATTCGCAAGAGAGTTGTTGCAGTAAGCAGAGTCAATCCTACATGTGGTGTATGTAATCAAGTTTTCATAGTTCATTTACAGTATCAAAAATACCATAAAACAAACCATTTCATAAACTCAGTTAAAATTATTCTCATTCAAACTGGTTGCATAATTCATGATAATTTAATTGTTTACTTATCATAATTTAATTATTTGAAATAAAATAATTCAAATGTGCGAGGTACTTGTTTCTATACAAACACAATAATTTAAACCAATAAGCATAATGTTGTAGAAAGAAAATTTAAATAAGGTCTACTTTCATTTACAAAAGAGTACAAAATGAAACATGTATCACGTGTCTCACGACAATATTTACGTGATTTTACGTTTGATTTCTTTCCGTATTGAAATGCCTTCAAATCTGTTTGCGTGAATGTTTTTCGTAAAAGGAAAAGACTCTGGTTATGGTGATTGTAATCAAATTTCAATTTCGATTTTCTCCCTATGCAGTGTTTTAACAAGAATATACAAAATCAATAATCCAAATTGGCTTTCACAGCGTGCCTAAAATATAAGATTGAAAATTTGCTAAGTGCATAGCACCAATTTCAGAGCTCGCTCCATCACAAATTAATTGAGAATTAATCTGAGCATGTGTAGTCAACTGCACTTACTCTCTGAGTTAATGGTCATGGCAACGACCAACTGTATGCAATAGTACCAATTTGGGAGTAATTAGCTTGCTCAGTCACAAATTTTCACATAAATCGTCAGCGCATGCGCAGTCTTCTTAAGATTATGCAGTCGATTTGACCAGCTGCACAAGTTCATGGTTATGGCAACGACCAACTGCATCTACTACCACCGATTTTGAAGTAAATAGCATGCTTAGTACCAATTTAACAGTGAAATCATCTGCGCATGCGCTTGAGCAGGCGTAGTCCACTCGACTAATTGTTCATAGTCATGGCAACGACTCACTTTATGTACTTGCACTACATTTGGGGCAATTACCTCACTTAGGTAAAATATCTATTTCTTAGGTAAAATATCTATAATATCTAAAATATCTAAAATTTCCTCACTTAGGTAAAATACCTATTAGAGAAATTATCTGGGCATGCGCAGTGATGACTTTATTAACACCACAACTTTCGCAAACCTTTGAAATTATGTATATTTATATAAAGCTAATACTAGGTATAGTATTATATGTAGATGTCAACTAGCAGTGGAAGCTGGGTGCGATTAGGTATGCAGTGGCTTAGGGGCCCAGACTTCTGTCGCGACCGCACTCTCCCTGCGTACCCGAGCAAAGCCTATCGCAGGTGATCTCGGGGTCTGATGAGCGAAAACTTGCTATTGCATCTCCCAAGTAGGATAGCGTGGAGGGGCCGAAATCTCCTACCGAAACGTTAACATGCGGCGCTTAAGAGGGTATCGGGAAGCATGGACCGAAAACGGGGTTTTTTTGCTTTCGTATTTTATCTTTTTGTTTACAAATTAATCCAATTTTCATAAAATAAACCAAGCAATGTTTCAATTCAATTCTTCTGACACTGTGCCTTTTTCTGACACTTATAATTTAAGACAACCTTACACATTTAACTCTCTCATTCACTGTTTCTCATGTATCACGAGCAAACCATCCATGGGCTTCGTGGCAGATAAAATTATCTGGTTCCTTAATAAACATGAGACGCTCTAGTGCTCAACTATCTCGGGGTATCGGGAGGCAGGGATCGAAAACGGGATTTTTTGCTTTCAAAATTGGTCTTTTTTTTACAAAAAAAGTTTCTCGCAAAAGAAACTAGAACATCCAAGGACACTGCAAAATTTCAAACAACTTCTGCCTTTTTGACTTATAATTTAAACCAACTCTAATCATGTTTATACGTTTTTTACTTTTTACAATGTAACTTTCTCCTAACTCTGTCGTGATGAACGAGAGCCTCCTTATACAAGATTACTCTCTCATCATGAAGGAAAGCATCCGTGGGCTTCATGGAAAAAAGGGATTATCTACTTTGTTATAATAGTTTCTACAAAGATAACATTAAATAAGCCAAGCAAATTGTTTCGTCTAAATTGAAACTCGCTTTAAACCATTATGATATGAAAATTTCATTCATTTTGGATAGTAATTTCCTTAAACCTGACAAAATTTTCATGATTCAATCTATTAAGTAATGTATATTTATCAAGAATCGTACTGCTATATAATTTTTTATGTTATTGTAATGGTTTGTTTTATTTATTTGATTCTTCATAGTAAGACGCATTTTGCAAAAAATCAAGCCTTTAGTCATTCATACTTTTGTCATGCAAACTAATTTTGAAAATTCAAATGCCACTTCTAAGTTATTTGAGGAACTTTGGCGCACGAATTAAGGACATCAAAACTTAATAAAGTTACCCCTCACCATCACCAGGTTATGTCATCCCTCACCACTACAGCAAGACCAACCTGTACACCCTACTGGTTATATGCCTCCCCATGCACCACCTATAAATATGTTACAACAAGTAGAAAATTTAACTTAAGTCGTAGTAGAAGTAAGTTAAGCTTTGTGATGGTTCATTTGTGCATTGATTTGTTTGTGGTCAGCCAAGATAAAGCTTAGATAAAGCAAATAGTAAAAACATTATTCAAAATTGATCATCTGTGACTATTGCATCTTCATAGAAATGATATGAACATGTAAATATACAATATATCAAAAATCATATCATATCTTCCAGTCAGAGTACATACTCTAATGACCAACAAGTTTCGAAAAGCATTTGGATACTGAAAAAGTCTTTGCATTCTACAGAAAATCGATTGACAATCGAATCGAAAATCTAAAAATTATGCAAAACAAGAAATCCAAATTAGCTTCCATATGTAATCATAAAAAAGAAACTTTTATTTCAAAACCATCAAAGCAGACACGTTTAAAGCGACCTGTAGACTTCCGCAACTCGCCTACGCATTAACCATATTCCCATCCGTACCATCTAAGGATAATTCTTTAACATCTTTTCCGAGATTTCAGCTCTTAAGACCGACTGATGATTACTGACGGACGGCGACCAGTAAATAGGTAATTGGGGAGCTATATCACATGTTCATGTGTTATAATATGTAATGACAATTGATTTCAATAGAAATCATTAAAGTAGAACATGCATAGATGAATAATAGTGCCCCCCACCCTTTTCATCGTTAGTCAACAATTTCTTTATGTATGAAACAGGCTTTAGTAGTCAGCAAAAGTTATTCAATAATCTCCACGATAAACCGGAAAATTTTAAAAGAAGGTAGGTTTACATAACGCTTTTACAATATTACAACGAAATACGAGAGGTTTTTTAGAGCTGTTATGAGCAAACATGAACTTACAATGATAGACAGGAATACAAATATCAAACGAATAGAAATTGTTTTTTAAATATCCAAACTAAACTTCGAATAGAGTGAACATCATTGTTCATCTTTAATAGTTAAAATGTTCATAACTTAAAATACTCAAAGTTATTGCTGGTGTTTTATGATGGTATTGATATGATTGTTTTTTATGTTTGTTTGATATGGATTGCTGTATTTTCTACGACTGTTTATTTGCGGTAAACCTAGCATTCATTACAAAGATTTTGTAGAAATCATCCATGTCCTTTTACGCATATAGCTATGGAAAAAACAATTTTATCGACGCCGGTATGCCGTTAATACCCCATCCCTTTCCTCTTAAAATCCAATGTGGTTTACGAATTCTTATGTGCGGGAAGTAATAGACCTTTTCAAGGTTATCGCAGCCATATTGCAGGGGGTGTAAAAACATTGGGCCGAGCACGCGGTCACCCATGGGGTCCATATAAATTACTAATAGATACGCAAAAATTACCCTTATACATATTGGCCATTTCTTTCAAAAATATTTCTCAAACTCGTCGATTATAATAGTCGAATTATTATTTGCGATTTTTTATACATGTGAGTCCAATTTTCTGGTAATAGAAAAGCAAAAAGTTTAAGAAAACATTAGTTTTCTTTGAACAACTTGACCGTCGTTTGAGCGATGTTCTTGCGTTCGCAAATGTTCGGAACTCGTAAGTCAAGTCAACTTCTTTTGGCTGTTTAGTCGCCATAAATTATAATAAAAATAGCAATGTTACTTTACAAATAAGTGGAAATACTAATAAGAGTTTGCCGTAGAATAGTTCCTCGTGATACTTGTTGTAAACACGTGCGTGTGATGCGAGCTTAAGAACATCGCTCAAACGACGGTCAAGTTGTTCAAAGAAGAAAACAAATGTTTTCTTTCACTTTCCGCTCGTTGATTACTAGAAAATTGGACTCGCATGAATAAAAAATCGCAAATAATAATTCGACTATTATAATCGACAAGTTTGAGAAATATTTTTGAAAGAAATGGCCAATATGTATAAGGGTAATTTTTGCGCATTTATTAGTAATTTATATGGACGCCATGGGTGACCGCGTGCTCGGCCCAATGTTTTTGCACCCCCTGCAATATGGCTGCAATAACCTTGAAAAGGTCTATTCTCGCTACATTGGCGAAACCAGCCGCCACCTCTCCACACGGATTAAAGAGCATACAACTTCCGATAAAAACTCTCACATATTCAAACACCTCCTCTCATCACCTCACTGCAAATCTAATTACTCACAATCGTGCTTTCGTATATTAGACAGTGCCCACACTACTTCTTCTTTAAAACAAAAAGAAGCACTGTACATCAAAGAACTCAAGCCTAATCTTAACGAACAAATTCAGCATGTCAATACTATCTTTAACTTGTAAATATTTAATACCTCTAACACTACATAATTGTAAATAACTTCCGCTTCATCCCTTTTGTCTATACACATGTCTTGTATCAGATTTCTTTACATATTAACTCCATTCAATTATTCATTCATTATACCGCACTGAAAATGGCATAGGTTTGCCAAAACACGTCTGCAATAAAAAATTTAAAAAACCTGTGTATTACGTTAAATGCATAATTTCAATCGTGCTATTACGAAATTATGGAATTATTTATTTTCTTATGCTAATTCGTTACCAACAGAGCATGCGCAGTACACTGCACAGTTAAAACGGATATAGTACAAAAAATGATAATTATCGTGTTTTTTATATAAGATGGAGCAACCCCCTTCTTACACCAATGAAAAAGAAAACCCAGCCCAATATTCCCCGCAACAACAAGAACCTCAAAATCAAGGTTATCCACTCCAAGATTACCCCCCACAAACTAATCTACTCCAAGATTACCCCCCACAAACTAATCTACTATAAGATTACCCCGCACAACCTTATCCATCTCAAGGTTGCCCCCCACAAACTTATCCACCTCAAGGTTACCCCCCACAACCACCAACAGGAATGATACAACAGCAGCAGAGTAACAACACAACAGTTGTTGTGCAAGTAAGTAGAAAAAAAATCATAAAAAAACTTGTTAATAACTGACGTATAACAAAATCTTAGGCACTCTCTTTCCAAAACAACATATTTAAGCTTTATCCTTAGGTGTAAATCATTAACCCGATCAACCCTTCCATGTACATAACGTATCTTCACAAATAAATAAGTAAAATGCACAATGAGAAATTTCAATTTGATATTTTTAGAACCAACCTCAGCCTGCAGCAGTTACAACAATGATTCCAGTTGTCAATGATAACATGGGACTGTCCATTTTTGCATGTCTTTGTTGTTGTTGTCCAATTGGTATTTTTGCCATCATAAAGTCATGTGAGGTACTTGTTTCTATACAAACATAATATTTACATTATATAAGCACTATACAGTAACAGTATGTTTCAATGCACATTTTACTTTGGAACCCAATCTACAAGATTTCTGAATCCGCCAAAATTGTATAGTTTACGAGTGGGGCAAGCCGCCATCTTGAAAGATGGAAAAACTGATGACATAAACGACTACTATCCGCTTTTCCTGAGTTGATATACATTTGCAAAATTTGATGGTTTAGGTTTGATTTTCAAAATGTTTCATAGGATTGGTTTTTTAAACTTTCTTTTATTTTTTATTTGGAGTTTTGGTTTTTCCATCTTTTGAAATGCCGTCCTTGTCTCATCTTGACACTGTAGTAAGACATCTAGTGGATTGAGTTCTAAGTCATAGCGAAGAACAGGTTGGAACATGACACATGGACAATTTTACAAGACAATCAAATTTACTTGTACTGTTCTGCTTTATTAAAGCGACTGAAAACTCAATCCACGACAAAATATTCATTTTATTCTCATTTCATCAATGGCAAATGTTTTTTCATTAATCCACCAAAAAAACCCCACTTTCCTTAAAGGCCAATTTAAGTCAGACTAACAGTTTAAAACATTCGCTCACGAAGATCAAATTTTCACAAAAATAGCAAAACAGAAATGATAAAATCATCGATTTGCGCGACTGTCTTCAGTAAACAGAAGTGATTCTACATATGGTGTATGTAACCAGGTTTTCATTATCCATTCAATGTATCAAAACCATCATATAAACAAACCACTACAAAGACAAAATAAAAAGGTCTTTCCACCTGTTCTAAATGTAATTATACTTACAAAAATTACAGATGTAAATGTTATGTTATAAAAACTAGGTTCATTATCTCCTTTAGGTAAGAAATCTTTACGTTGCCGGTGACTATGCAGGTGCAATTGCATCAGCAGAATCTGCGAAAAAACTGGCTGGTATTTCTATAGGCATTGGAATGTTTTTTTATGTAGTGTCCATAATAATCCACGCTATCTAAACTAAATGTACCATTGTCACCCTTAAGAATCCTACCAAGTTTTCATGTATTCGTTATTAATAATTACTTTAATACTTATAAGTAAACATCAGTTTATATAATAAAATTGTTTTCTTTTGTTGCAAGCCTTCGTTTCGACTTCACAGTATAGGTACAAAGTTACCATTATATAGAGAACGATAAATTTTAACATTAAATATCATTGGCAATCGAACATCTTTGAAAAAAATTACGCGATTAACTTAAACACACAGTGTATGTGAAATAGAAAACGTTAATCAGACCATCGCAATAAAAAAATGTTATCCTTCGTCATGCAGGCAACAAAATAAGACAAAATTGATCGTCTGTCATTGTGTTATACGAGATGGAGCAGCCCCCTCCTTTATCATAATAAAAACATAACCCCAACCTATACCCAGCACGTTCACCGCCCCAGGCCGTCAAGCCCTTCAAAATTGCCCACCTCAAGCTTACCCCCTCAAACCTATCCCCTCAGGGTCGTCCCTTACAGCCACCAACACAGGAATAATGCAGCAATAAAAATACAACAGTTGTGATGCAAATAAGAAACACAAAAAACTGAATCATTAACCCCATGAAACCTTCTATTTATAATTTACCAAACTAATATAGAGCAACGCAGTAAGAGAAATTTCAATGTGATATTTTTAAAACCAACCTCAGCCTGTAGCAGTAACAACAATCATTCCAGTTGTCAATGATCACATGGAAAAGTGGATTTTTGCTTGTCTGTGTTGCAGTTGGCCAATTCGAATTTTGTCATCGTCAAATCACGTGACTGAGGTACTTCTTTCTATACAAACATAATATATATAACCAATAAGCATTATGCAGCAATATTAAGCACAAATAAGGTCAGATTTCATTTACAAAATGTTAGTAAAACGTTACTTTTGATTTTCGACAATGGTTTATCATACATGGGTGATGTGCTCTCTTGCAAAAGAATCAGACACCTTTCTTTTATTTACATCTCTATTGCTTTCAGTTGATCATAACAAAGCTCTTAAAATTCAAGCAGGCCATTCTCGAAAACGTCTTGTTTTTTGATAAGGCATTAAACCACGAAGTGAAAACACTCAAATGAAAGGCCAACTTAAAAAATGGGATTTTACACACATGAAAAAACATTCTCTGGTTTTTTATGAAGTTCAAAGTTTCACGTAGCTTGAACGAACACGATTGGAATGAAGTTCATAAAAAATCATCGATTTGCAAGAGAGTTGTTGCAGTAAGCAGAGTCAATCCTACATGTGGTGTATGTAATCAAGTTTTCATAGCTCATTTACAGTATCAAAAACACCATAAAACAAACCATTTCATAAACTCAGTTAAAATTATTTTCATTCAAACTGGTTGTATAATTTATGATGATTTAATTGTTTACTTATCATAATTTAATTATTTAAAATAAAATAATTCAAATGTGCGAGGTACTTGTTTCTATACAAACACAATAATTTAAACCAATAAGCAATATGTTGTAGAAAGAAAATTTAAATAAGGTCTACTTTCATTTACAAAATAGTACAAAATGAAACATATATCACGTGTCTCACGACAATGTATCACGTGTGTCACGACAATGTATCACGTGTCTCACGACAATATTTACGTGATTTTACGTTTGATTTCTTTCCGTATTGAAATGCCTTCAAATCTGTTCGCGTGAATGTTTTTCGTAAAAGAAAGACTCTGGTTATGGTGATTGTAATCAAATTTCAATTTCGATTTTCTCCTTATGCAGTGTCTTAACAAGAATATGCAAAATTAATAATCCAAATTGGCTTCCACAGCGTGCCTAAAATATATGATTGAAAATTTGCTAAGTGCATAGCACCAATTTCAGAGCTCGCTCCATCACAAATTAATTGAGAATTAATCTGAGCATGCGTAGTCAACTCCACTTACTCTCTAAGTTAATGGTCATGGCAACGACCAACTGTATGCACTAGTACCAATTTGGGAGTAATTAGCTTGCTCAGTCACAAATTTTCATATAAATCATCAGCGCATGCGCAGTCTTCTTAAGATTACGCAGTCGATGTGACCAGCTGCACAAGTTCATGGTTATGGCAACGACCAACTGCATCTACTAGCACCGATTTTGAAGTAAATAGCATGCTTAGTACCAATTTAACAGTGAAATCATCTGCGCATGCGCTTGTGCATGCGTAGTCCACTCGACGAAATGTTCATAGTCATGGCAACGACTCACTATATGTACTTGCACTACATTTGGGGCAATTACCTCACTTAGTCGCAAATTATTAGAGAAATTATCTGAGCATGCGCAGTGATGACTTTATTAACAAAACAAATTTCGCAAACCTTTGAATATGTATATTTATATAAATCTAATACTAGGTATAGTATTATATGTAGATGTCAACTAGCAGTGGAAGCTGGGTGCGATTAGGTATGCAGTGGCTTAGGCGCCCAGACTTCGGTCGCGAGCGCACTCTCCCTGCGTACCCCGAGCAAAGCCTATCGCAGGTGATCTCGGGGTCTGATGGGCGGAAGCTTGCTCTTGGCATCTCCCAAGTAGGATAGCGTGGAGGGGCCGGAATCTCCTACCGAAACGTTAACATGCGGCGTTCTAGTGCCTTGCGCTTAAGAGAGTATCGGGAAGCATGGACCGAAAACGGGTTTTTTTTGCTTTCGTATTTTTTTCTTTTTGTCTACAAATTAATTCAATTTTCATAAAATAAACCAAGCAATGTTTCAATTAAATTCTTCTTACACTGTGCCTTTTTCTGACACTTATAATTTAAGACAACCTTAAACATTTAACTCTCTCATTTACTGTTTCTCATGTATCACGAGCAAACCATCCATGGGCTTCGTAGCAGATAGGATTATCTGGTCCCTTAATTGCAATGCAACGCTCTAGTGCTCAACTATCTCGGGGTATCGGGAGGCAGGGATCGAAAACGGGATTTTTTGCTTTCGAACTTTGTCTTTTTTTTACAAAAAAATTTTCTCACAACAGAAACTAGAACATCCAAGGATATTGCAAAGGTTCAAACAACTTCGGCATTTTTCACTTATAATTTAAACCAACTCTAATCATGTTTATACGTTTTTTACTTGTTACCTTTTACAATGTAACTTTCTCATAACTCTCTCGTGATGAACAAGAGCCTCCTTATACAATACGACTCTCTCATCATGAACGAAAGCATCTATTGGGCTTTATGGAAAAAAGGGATTATCTACTTTGTTATAATAGTTTCTACAAAGATAACATTTAATAAGCCAAGCAATTTGTATCGTCTAAATTGAACCTCGCTTTGAACCATTATGATATAAAATATTCATTCATTTTGGATAGTAAATATCTTTAAACCTTACAAAATTTTCATGATTCAATCTATAAAGTAATGTATATTTATCAAGAATCGTACTGCTATATAATTTTTTATGTTATTGTAATGGTTTGTTTTATTTATTTGATTCTTCATAGTAAGACGCATTTTGCAAAAAATCAAGCCTTTAGTCATTCATACTTTTGTCATGCAAACTAATTTTGAAAATTCAAATGCCACTTCTAAGTTATTTGAGGAACTTTGGCGCACAAATTAAGGCGCATCAAAACTTTATTAAGTTACCCCTCAGCATAACTAGGTTATGTCATCCCTCACTACTACAACAAGACCAACCTGGACACCCTTTTGGTTATATGCCTCCCCCTCCATCACCTATAAATATGTCACAACAAGTAGAAAATTTAACTTAAGTCGTTGTAGAAGTAAGTTAAGCATTGTGATGGTTCATTTGTGCATTGATTTGTTTGTGGTCAGCCAAGATAAAGCTTAGATAAAGCAAATAGTAAAAACATTATTCAAAATTGATCATCTGTGACTATTGCATCTTCATAGAAATGATATGAACATGTAAATATACAATATATCAAAAATCATATCATATCTTCCAGTCAGAGTACATACTCTAATGACCAATAAGTTTCGAAAAGCATTTGGATACTGAAATAGTCTTTGCATTCAACAGAAAATTGATTGAAAATCGAATCGAAAATCTAAAAATTATGCAAAACAAGAAATCCAAATTAGCTTTCATACGTAATCATAAAAAAGAAACTTTTATTTCAAAACCATCAAAGCAGACACGTTTAAAGCGACCTGTAGACTTCCGCAACTCGCCTACGCATTGACCATATTCTTTCAGTAGCATCTAAGGATAATTCTTTAACATCTTTTCCGAGATTTCAGCTCTTAAAACCGACTGATGATTAGTAACGGACGGCGACCGGCAAATAGATAATTGGGGAGCTATATCATATGTTCATGTGTTATAATATGTAATGACAATTGATTTCAATAGAAATCATTGAAGTAGAACATGCATAGATGAATAATAGTGCCCCCCACCCTTTTCATCGTTAGTCTACAGTTTCTTTATGTATGAAACAGGCTTTAGTAGTCAGTAAAAGTTATTCAATAATCTCCACGATAAACCGGAAAATTTTAAAAGAAGGTAGGTTTACATAACGCTTTTACAATATTACAACGAAATACGAGAGGTTTTTTAGAGCTGTTATGAGCAAACATGAACTTACAATGATGGACAGGAATACGAATATCAAACGAATAGAAATTGTTTTTTAAATATCCAAACTAAACTTCGAATAGAGTGAATATCATTTTTAATATTTAATAGTTAAAATGATCATAACTTAAAATACTCAAAGTTATTGTTGGTATTTTATGATGGTATTGATATGATTGTTCTTTATGTTTGTTTGATATGATTGCTGTATTTTCTACGACTGTTTACTTGTGGTAAACCTAGCATTCATTACATAGGTTTTGTAGAAATCATTCATGTCCTTTTACGCATATAGCTATGGAAAAAACATTTTTATCGACGCCGGTATGCCGTTAATACCCCATCCCTTTCCTCTTAAAATCCAATGTGGTTTACGAATTCTTATGGGCGGGAAGTAATAGACCTTTTCAAGGTTATCGCAGCCATATTGCAAGGGGTGCAAAAACATTGGGCCGAGCGCGCGGTCACGCATGGCGTCCAAATAAATTACTAATATATACCCAAAAATTATCCTTATACATATTGGCTATTTCTTTCAAAAATATTTCTCAAACTCGTCCATTTCAATAGTCGAATTATTACTTGCGATTTTTTATTCATGTGAGTCCAATTTTCTGGTAATAGAAAAGCAAAAAGTTTAAGAAAACATTAGTTTTCTTTGAACAACTTGACCGTCGTTTGAGCGATGTTCTTGAGTTCGCAAATGTACGGAACTCATAAGTCAAGTCAACTTCTGGCTGTTTAGTCGCCATACATTATAATAAACATACCAATGTTACTTTACAAATAAGTGGAAATACTAATAAGAATTTACCGTAGAATATTTCCTCGTGATACTTGTTGTAAACACGTGCGTGTGTTGCGAACTCAAGAACATCGCTCAAACGACGGTCAAGTTGTTCAAAGAAGAAAACAAATGTTTTCTTTCACTTTCCGCTCTTTGATTACTAGAAAATTGGACTCGCATGAATAAAAAATCGCAAATAATAATTCGACTATTATAATCGACAAGTTTGAGAAATATATTTGAAAGAAATGGCCAATATGTATAAGGGTAATTTTTGCGCATTTATTACTAATTTATATGGACGCCATGCGTGACCGTGTGCTCGGCCCAATGTTTTTGCACCCTCTGCAATATGGCTGCGATAACCTTGAAAAGGTCTATTCTCGCTACATTGGCGAAACCAGCCGCCACCTCTCCACATGGATTAAAGAGCATACAACTTCCGATAAAAACTCTCACATATTCAAACACCTCCTCTCATCACCTCACTGCAAATGTAAATACTCACAATCCTGCTTTCGTATATTAGACAGTGCCCACACTTCTTTTTAAAACAAAAAGCACTGTACGTCAAAATACTCAAGCCTAATCTTAACGAACAAATTCAGCATGTCAATACTATCTTTAACTTGTAAATATTTAATACCTCTAACACTACATAATTGTAAATAACTTCCGCTCCCATCCCTTTTGTCTATACACATGTCTTGTATCATATTTCTTTACATATTAACTCCATTCAATTATTCATTCATTATACCGCACTGAAAATGGCATAGGTTTGCCAAAACACGTCTGCAATAAAAAATTAAAAAAACCTGTGTATTACGTTAAATGCATAATTTCAATCGTGCTATTACGAAATTATGGAATTATCTAATTCGTTACCAACAGAGCATGCGCAGTACACTGCACAGTTAAAACGGATATAGTACAAAAAAATGAAAATTATGGTGTTTTTTATATAAGATGGAGCAACCCCCTTCTTACACCAATGAAAAAGAAAACCCAGCCCAATATTCCCCGCAACAACAAGAACCTCAAAATCAAGGTTATCCACTCCAAGATTACCCCCCACAAACTAATCTACTCCAAGATTACCCCCACAAACTAATCTACTCCAAGATTACCCCCACAAACTTATCCACCTCATGGTTACCCCCCACAAACTTATCCACCTCAAGGTTACCCCCCACAACCACCAACAGGAATGATACAACAGCAGCAGAGTAACAACACAACAGTTGTTGTCCAAGTAAGTAGAAAAAAAGAATCATAAAAAACTTGTTAATAACTGACGTATAACAAAATCTTAGGCACTCTCTTTCCATAACAACATATTTAAGCTTTATCCATAGGTGTAAATCATTAACCCGATCAAACTTTCCATGTACATAACGTATCTTCACAAATAAATAAGTAAAGTGTACGATGAGAAATATCAATTTGATATTTTTAGAACCAACCTCAGCCTGCAGCAGTAACAACAATGATTCCAGATCACATGGGACTGTCCATTTTTGCATGTCTTTGTTGTTGTTGGCCAATTGGTATTTGTGCCATCATAAAGTCATCTGAGGTACTTGTTTCTATACAAATAAAATATTTACATTCAATAAGCAATATACAGTAACAATATGTTTCAATGCACTTTTTACTTTGGAGCCCAATCTACAAGATTTCTGAATCCGCCAAAATTCTATAGTTTACGAGTGGGGCAAGCCGCCATCTTGAAAGATGGAAAAACTGATGACATTAACGACTACTATCCGCTTTTCCTGAGTTGATATACATTTGCAAATTTGATGGTTTAGGTTTGACTTTCAAAATGTTTGATAGGATTGGTTTTTTAAACTTTATTTTATTTTTCATTTAGAGTTTTGCTTTTTCCATCTTTTGAAATGACGTCCTTGTCTCATCTTGACACTGTAGTAAGACATCTAGTGGATTGAGTTCTAAGTCATAGCGAAGAACGGGTTGAAACATGACACATGGACAATTTTACAAGACAATCAGATTCACTTGTACTGTTCTGCTTTATTAAAGCGACTGAAAACTCAATCCACGACAAAATATTCATTTTACTCTCATTTCATCAGTGGCGAATGTTTTTTCATTAATGCAGCAAAAAACCCCACTATCCTTAAAGACCAATTTAAGTCAGACTAACAGTTTAAAACATTCGCTCACGAAGATCAAATTTTCACAAAAATAGCAAAACAGAAATGATAAAATCATCGATTTGCGCGACTGCCTTCAGTAAACAGAAGCGATCCTACATATGGTGTATGTAATCAAGTTTTCATTATCTAACTAGTGTATCAAAACCACTATTAAACAAACCATTACACAGACTAAACAAAAAAGTCTTTCCACCTGTTCTAAATGTAATTATTCTTACAAAAATTACAAGTGTAAATGTTATGTTATAAAAACTAGGTTCATTATCTCCTTTAGGTAAGAAATCTTTACGATACCGGTGACTATGCAGGTGCAATTGCATCAGCAGAATCTGCGAAAAAACTGGCTGCTATTTCTATAGGCATTGGAATGATTTTTTATGTAGTGGTAATATTATACAATTCTTTCTAAACTAAATGTACCATTGTCACCCTTATGATCTACCATGTATGAAAACTTAATGCACCATTGTCACCCTCATGGTCTACCATATATGAAAACTAAATGCAACATTGTCACCCTTATGATCCACCGTATATGAAACCTTAATGCACCATTGTCACCCTTATGATCTACCATATATGAAACCTTAATGCACCATTGTCACCCTTATGATCCACCATATATGAAACCTTAATGCACCATTGTCACCCTTATGACCTACCTTATATGAAAACTTAATGCACCATTGTCACCCTTATGATCTACCATATATGAAAACTTAATGCACCATTGTCACCCTTAAGAATCATACCAAGTTTTCATGTATTCGTTATTAATAATTACTTCAATACTTATAAATAAACATCAGTTTGTATAATAAAATTGTTTTCTTTTGTTGCAAGCCTTCTTTGCAAGCTCACAGTATAGGTACAAAGTTACCAATATATAGAGAACGATAAATTTTAACATTATATATCATTGGCAATCAAACATTTTTGAAAAAAATTACGCGATTAATTTAAACACACAGTGTATGTGAAATAGAAAACGTTAATCAGACCATCGCAATAAAAAATGTTATCCTTCGTCATGCAGGCAACAAAATAAGACAAAATTGATCGTCTGTCATTGTGTTATACGAGATGGAGCAGGCCCCCCTCCCTTTATCATAATAAAAAACATAACCCCAATCTATACCCAGCACGTTCACTGCCCCAGGCCGTCAAACCCTTCAAAATTGCCCACCTCAAGCTTACCCCCTCAAACCTATCCCCTTAGGGTCGTCCCTTACAGCCACCAACAGGAATAATGCAGCAATAAAACTACAACAGTTGTGATGGAAATAAGAAGCACAAAAAAATTAATCATTAAGCCCATGAAACCTTCTATTTATAATTTACCAAACTAATATAGAGCAATGCAGTAAGAGAAATTTCAATGTGATATTTTTAAAACCAACCTCAGCCTGTAGCAGTAACAACAATCATTCTAGTTGTCAATGATCACATAGGAAAGTGGATTTTTGCTTGTCTGTGTTGCAGTTGGCCAATTCGCATTTTGCCATCGTCAAGTCACCTGACTGAGGTACTTCTTTCTATACAAACATAATATATATAACCAATAAGCATTATGCTGCAATATTAAGCACAAATAAGGTCAGATTTCATTTACAAAATGTTAGTAAAACGTTACTTTTGATTTTCGACAATGGTTTATCATACATGGGTGATGTGCTCTCTTGAAAAAGAATCAGACACCTTTCTTTTATTTACATCTCTATTGCTTTCAGTTGATCATAACAAAGCTCTTAAAATTCAAGCAGGCCATTCTCGAAAACGTCTTGTTTTTTGATAAGGCATTAAACCACGAAGTGAAAAATCTCAATTGAAAGGCCAACTTAAAAAATGGGATTTTACACACACGAAAAAACATTCTCTGGTTTTTTATGAAGTTCAAAGTTTCACGTAGCTTGAACGAACACGATTGGAATGAAGTTCATAAAAAATCATCGATTTGCAAGAGAGTTGTTGCAGTAAGCAGAGTCAATCCTACATGTGGTGTATGTAATCAAGTTTTCATAGTTCATTTACAGTAACAAAAATACCATAAAACAAACCATTTCATAAACTCAGTTAAAATTATTCTCATTCAAACTGGTTGCATAATTCATGATAATTTAATTGTTTACTTATCATAATTTAATTATTTGAAATAAAATAATTCAAATGTGCGAGGTACTTGTTTCTATGCAAACACAATAATTTAAACCAATAAGCAATATGTTGTAGAAAGAAAATTTAAATAAGGTCTACTTTCATTTACAAAAGAGTACAAAATGAAACATGTATCACGTGTCTCACGACAATATTTACGTGATTTTACGTTTGATTTCTTTCCGTATTGAAATGCCTTCAAATCTGTTTGCGTGAATGTTTTTCGTAAAAGGAAAAGACTCTGGTTATGGTGATTGTAATCAAATTTCAATTTCGATTTTCTCCCTATGCAGTGTTTTAACAAGAATATACAAAATCAATAATCCAAATTGGCTTTCACAGCGTGCCTAAAATATATGATTGAAAAATTGCTAAGTGCATAGCACCAATTTCAGAGCTCGCTCCATCACAAATTAATTGAGAATTAATCTGAGCATGTGTAGTCAACTGCACTTACTCTCTGAGTTAATGGTCATGGCAACGACCAACTGTATGCAATAGTACCAATTTGGGAGTAATTAGCTTGCTCAGTCACAAATTTTCACATAAATCGTCAGCGCATGCGCAGTCTTCTTAAGATTACGCAGTCGATTTGACCAGCTGCACAAGTTCATGGTTATGGCAACGACCAACTGCATCTACTACCACCGATTTTGAAGTAAATAGCATGCTTAGTACCAATTTAACAGTGAAATCATCTGCGCATGCGCTTGAGCAGGCGTAGTCCACTCGACTAATTGTTCATAGTCATGGCAACGACTCACTTTATGTACTTGCACTACATTTGGGGCAATTACCTCACTTAGGTAAAATATCTATTTCTTAGGTAAAATATCTATAATATCTAAAATATCTAAAATTTCCTCACTTAGGTAAAATACCTATTAGAGAAATTATCTGGGCATGCGCAGTGATGACTTTATTAACACCACAACTTTCGCAAACCTTTGAAATTATGTATATTTATATAAAGCTAATACTAGGTATAGTATTATATGTAGATGTCAACTAGCAGTGGAAGCTGGGTGCGATTAGGTATGCAGTGGCTTAGGGGCCCAGACTTCTGTCGCGACCGCACTCTCCCTGCGTACCCCGAGCAAAGCCTATCGCAGGTGATCTCGGGGTCTGATGAGCGAAAACTTGCTATTGCATCTCCCAAGTAGGATAGCGTGGAGGGGCCGAAATCTCCTACCGAAACGTTAACATGCGGCGCTTAAGAGGGTATCGGGAAGCATGGACCGAAAACGGGGTTTTTTTGCTTTCGTATTTTATCTTTTTGTTTACAAATTAATCCAATTTTCATAAAATAAACCAAGCAATGTTTCAATTCAATTCTTCTGACACTGTGCCTTTTTCTGACACTTATAATTTAAGACAACCTTACACATTTAACTCTCTCATTCACTGTTTCTCATGTATCACGAGCAAACCATCCATGGGCTTCGTGGCAGATAAAATTATCTGGTTCCCTTAATAAACATGAGACGCTCTAGTGCTCAACTATCTCGGGGTATCGGGAGGCAGGGATCGAAAACGGGATTTTTTGCTTTCAAAATTGGTCTTTTTTTTACAAAAAAAGTTTCTCGCAAAAGAAACTAGAACATCCAAGGACACTGCAAAATTTCAAACAACTTCTGCCTTTTTGACTTATAATTTAAACCAACTCTAATCATGTTTATACGTTTTTTACTTGTTACCTTTTACAATGTAACTTTCTTCTAACTCTCTCGTGATGAACGGGAGCCACCTTATACAAGATTACTCTCTCATCATGAAGGAAAGCATCCGTGGGCTTCATGGAAAAAAGGGATTATCTACTTTGTTATAATAGTTTCTACAAAGATAACATTAAATAAGCCAAGCAAATTGTTTCGTCTAAATTGAAACTCGCTTTAAACCATTATATGAAAATTTCATTCATTTTGGATAGTAATTTCCTTAAACCTGACAAAATTTTCATGATTCAATCTATTAAGTAATGTATATTTATCAAGAATCGTACTGCTATATAATTTTTTATGTTATTGTAATGGTTTGTTTTATTTATTTGATTCTTCATAGTAAGACGCATTTTGCAAAAAATCAAGCCTTTAGTCATTCATACTTTTGTCATGCAAACTAATTTTGAAAATTCAAATGCCACTTCTAAGTTATTTGAGGAACTTTGGCGCACGAATTAAGGACATCAAAACTTAATAAAGTTACCCCTCACCATCACCAGGTTATGTCATCCCTCACCACTACAGCAAGACCAACCTGTACACCCTACTGGTTATATGCCTCCCCATGCACCACCTATAAATATGTTACAACAAGTAGAAAATTTAACTTAAGTCGTAGTAGAAGTAAGTTAAGCTTTGTGATGGTTCATTTGTGCATTGATTTGTTTGTGGTCAGCCAAGATAAAGCTTAGATAAAGCAAATAGTAAAAAACATTATTCAAAATTGATCATCTGTGACTATTGCATCTTCATAGAAATGATATGAACATGTAAATATACAATATATCAAAAATCATATCATATCTTCCAGTCAGAGTACATACTCTAATGACCAACAAGTTTCGAAAAGCATTTGGATACTGAAAAAAGTCTTTGCATTCTACAGAAAATCGATTGACAATCGAATCGAAAATCTAAAAATTATGCAAAACAAGAAATCCAAATTAGCTTCCATATGTAATCATAAAAAAGAAACTTTTATTTCAAAACCATCAAAGCAGACACGTTTAAAGCGACCTGTAGACTTCCGCAACTCGCCTACGCATTAACCATATTCCCATCCGTACCATCTAAGGATAATTCTTTAACATCTTTTCCGAGATTTCAGCTCTTAAGACCGACTGATGATTACTGACGGACGGCGACCAGTAATTAGGGTAATTGGGGAGCTATAACATATGTTCATGTGTTATAATATGTAATGACAATTGATTTCAATAGAAATCATTAAAGTAGAACATGCATAGATGAATAATAGTGCCCCCCACCCTTTTCATCGTTAGTCAACAATTTCTTTATGTATGAAACAGGCTTTAGTAGTCAGCAAAAGTTATTCAATAATCTCCACGATAAACCGGAAAATTTTAAAAGAAGGTAGGTTTACATAACGCTTTTACAATATTACAACGAAATACGAGAGGTTTTTTAGAGCTGTTATGAGCAAACATGAACTTACAATGATAGACAGGAATACAAATATCAAACGAATAGAAATTGTTTTTTAAATATCCAAACTAAACTTCGAATAGAGTGAACATCATTGTTCATCTTTAATAGTTAATGTGTTCATAACTTAAAATACTCAAAGTTATTGCTGGTGTTTTATGATGGTATTGATATGATTGTTTTTTATGTTTGTTTGATATGGATTGCTGTATTTTCTACGACTGTTTATTTGCGGTAAACCTAGCATTCATTACAAAGGTTTTGTAGAAATCATCCATGTCCTTTTACGCATATAGCTATGGAAAAAACATTTTTATCGACGCCGGTATGCCGTTAATACCCCATCCCTTTCCTCTTAAAATCCAATGTGGTTTACGAATTCTTATGTGCGGGAAGTAATAGACCTTTTCAAGGTTATCGCAGCCAGAGCCCTCTATTAGTAAGAGTTGGGACAAACGGTCTGGGGCGAGCGCGGAGCCGCCATTTTGGTTCCTACTTGCAAAGTTAAACTATAATAATAC